GTGGGAATGTAGACCTTACGCTAAATGAACCAAGAGGCAAATGAATTCTCATTTTGGTTTTCATGAATAATGAAGGAGTCATTTTCTTCAGATCAAAGTCATATTTTCACAGCGCTGTTTGACTTTGAGGTGTTCATGCATATAACGTGACTAGAATAGTAAAAACAATTTTTCCCATGAATAACTAATTGTACCTGGAGTCCTTTGGTAGCTCTATGGTCGCCGTTATAGTTTAAGCTGTATTTCTGGTGTTCAAGGTCACACGGCGACTGTAAAAAGTTCCTTGTTTCAGTTTCCTTTCAGACATCTCTTTTCTGTTCTTTTCATCAGAATGAATAGGTCCTACTCCGCCCCTCTGAGAGCTCCTCTGTGGAGGCACTCCTCCTTGTTCTACCTTAGCCCCCCCTCGTGTCCACCGAACATGTCATTACAGACTCAAGATACAGTTACAAACAAGTCTGAAATTACAAAGACCTTAGACGTGTTACTTAGCAATGAACCCTTCATAAACAGTATTTATGAAAAGTGTTATCCCTACAGGTTATTTCCTCCACTTTGTCACTTTTTGTCACTTTGTCTTTTTTTTTTTTTGCATTCATCCAAGAGCCCTCCACTTTAAGAGTGGCTGCTCTAATGGCTGCTCTTGTGCTACTAAAGCTATAAATAAGGAGCCACAAATTTGTGCCGAGAACACAAATGTAGGGGAGAATGAATGCGCTGATGATGAAGAAAAACTGGAAGAAGAGGGATGGACTGATAGGACAAATGGACAGATCTATCTGATAACTGAGGAGAGAGAGAGAGAGTGTGAGATTAGGCCCAGTTGTGGAGAGAGATGGGGCATGTGTCGTTAATCGCTGGCCATGTGAAGCTGAGAGGATGGCATGTGGGACAGACTCCCTGTAACCTTGGTAACCATCTTGAAACCTTTGCTGTGAAGCATGTCAGGGATTGTTAAAGTCTCTTGTTCCTGAGCAACTGCACACACACATTTCCAGGACAGCACTGAAGGCTTCAGCACACTTGTATTAAACCTGTCTCTCCATCTCAGCTGCTCAGGGATCTCCAGTCAGACTTGATGAGCTGGAGGAGGGTTAGCAGGAGCAGCGAGGAGCAGATCTCATGTTTATTCTGGACTGCTTCACTGCGCGTGGAGCACTTTCTCTGCTTGAGTGCCATTTCTTTTCTCCATAAATCTGTCTTTTGCCGCTGGCTCTTGAGTACGCTGGATGGGTTCAGGCTCTCTGTGCATAGTACGGCAGTGGTGGTATGTTCTCGCATCACCGGGGCCCTAGACTAATAAGTGATAAGAGCTGACACCCTGAGTGAGAGCTGTCTGTCTTGCACTGAATATTTCCACAGTATAAATGCTCACTTGTGTTCCGGCTGTGGCTCAACATTGTATTTTTAGCCACTTCTCGTCCTGACATGTCACCATTATACAGTCACTGTCATTAAGTATTCTTCCTGTCTACTTTCTGTCTACTTTCTGCTGTCAGTGTTTCATAGTTTTCAGCACAATTCCCCAAATAGTATTTTTCCTCTTGTACAGAAATAGAGCTTTTTTCGTAGTGACTGTGTATTGTTGCGGCTCCTCCTGACCCATCTCCTTACTGTTTTGTGATCTGGTTAGACGAGGAGCGAGGGGAGGAGCACACTCGACACCATGACGACAGGTTGCTGGGGGGCAGGCTGGAACGTGAGCAAGAGAAAGTACTCAGGTGAGGGACCTTCCACACTCTTGCACAAAAATACTATTTCATTCAAGGTTGAAGCTCTCAGAAAAATGGATAATCAGAAGGGTGTTTTTATTTTAATCATCATCAAAAAAGGATTCATACTATCATGAAGAAGGGTCTCAAGATTAAATGGCCTTTATTATCCTGTTTTCTGATCTATGTTATAATGTTGTTTCCTAATGAACAACATACCTGGAATTGTGTTTTGTTTCATTCACATAGTTTAACACACAAATATTGCAAATTTAGGCAGTTCTCTTAAATGGAAAACATTATGTTCCACCTTGTGATGTCAGGCGGTAATACAAGAAGCGTGTGTGTTTTTAAACTTAAGGTAAATGATAGCTGTTACCTTAAACTACCGCTTCATGACATCACAAGTTGGAACAGAGCATTTTGAGCTTTGGAGATGCAGACAGACTAATAATAAAGGATTACCCAAACATGTCTGAATGGAACACAACTCCAGACATGTTTTAAATGAGGCCATAGCATTTTAACATGACTTGAAGGTCACATGAGTCAATATCACGCAATACATTTTAAGGACAGCTACAAAAATGGTATTGTTGAATTAACTGATGAGTTACTGCTTCAGCCAGTTACAAAAGTTTTGTAAAAACTGGACTATAATTTTGTGGGCGGTCATTTAGACCCTCTAAACCTGGAGGAAAGCGACTTGTCAATGCCTATTTTAATATTTCAGTTTATACACCATTTTGACAAAAAACTGAATTAAACTAAACTGTCTTTTTATGTATTATATATTTTATTATTCTGTATTATTTCTGGTGTTTTTAGAGAGTCCAAAGAGCTGGCAGAATTCACTCAGATGCACCCCACCCCTCTGTCCAGTGGCCTCACACCCAGCATGATGACTCCCTCTCTCATGAACCCAAACCTTATGGTGACAGGAGGAACTGCGCTCTCAGGGGCAGGACGCTGGCCGCCCGACCCCTCAACTCTGACCTCTCACCCCTGGATGCCTCGACCTGGGGCACCCCCAGTTTGGCTATCCAGTTCTCCTTACAGTACGTGGCAGCTGAATATTGTACAGAAAGAAGGCATTGTTTTAGCTGATTATTTTAAATGTCAATATGTTGAACCATGGCCTTTATAATTACTATAGTTTTTATGTAGTTGTCAGTATTTTGTCCTCATATACATTATCAATGACTTGCTTATGAAAGTTTATATGCAACTATGCAGTGGCTCCTGATTGGCTGTACTTAAAAGGGAGTGGTCTGTATCTGTCCATTGTTTTGGCCTGCTGCCTTCTGCAAGGGTCAAGTCCCACAGGTATTCCCAAACTTTGTGGGACATTCCAGCCCCACTTCTCCTGCAGTCTCTGCCAAAAATACACACACTCAGCCATCATGTGATCAGAGTTCCTTGAACCAGACTTGGATGAACACCAACATACTTTAAAGCTTGCTAAGGATGCATCTGTCTAGACACATAGAGAAACAAAATAGTTATTGTATACATGTATGTAGACACGTACACTAAAGTACATTGTTTCAATCTGGTCTGTCTGTCTCCTCAGGCCTTGGTCCTTCTTCTCTTCACCAAACCCTTCCAGCAGCCTACCCCCCTCTCTGGCCGGCTCCATACCTCCTCCATACCAGTTTGCCCGAGATCCTCAATCAGGACAACTGCTTGTCATTCCTACTGAGCACCTGCCACACTATGGTAGGACTGTGAAATGTGTTTAATGTGTTTAATGTGTCACACCTGCACACAAAAGAGCTCAAGTATGGTTTATTATTGTTATTGGGTTTGCAATTTCCTGACAGATGTTTTGTAACAACTGCAAACAAGACGATTGCCACAGCACTAACGGCCTAGCACCATATGGTATATTAGACTGAAGATTTACTATGCCCACACCGTTATGGCAGCAATACTGTTGTTTAGCCAACAACTGTATCATTCTAACTAATCCTTAAATTGATTTGGCCCTCATTGGAGATGGTATAATTCGACTTGTCCTGTGAGTAGCAGGGGGCGATGTTCTGGAGCGGGGAGCCCCGGTGTGGTCGGGTGTGTACGGTACAGGCAGTTCTCTGCAGCATGCGGCCCAGCTCCAACTCCTCTCACAGCAACAGATGCTGCGCCAACAGGAGCTGCTCATGATCCAGCAGCACACCGCACAAGTCCTGGAGCTGCAGAGGAACGCTCAGCTCGTTGTAAGTGCTTTCAGGTCACAAATGAAGTGTCAGGGATATGATGATGAAAAAAATCATCACAATTTTCTTAGAAACTTGATTGCAATTTTGTTTTTAATCTTTAGTTCTAGTATACAAAGTAAATTTGTTTTCAAGAGGTAACTTGATTATCTGTGTTTTCTGGCAGTTCACTTTGATTGGTTCAATTTGCCTGTCACTCACTCAGAGCGTGACTGAAGCTGATCATGTTTCATTTAAATTTGATTTAGTCATACTGCTCACAAATCATGTCTCATTCTACCTGCACAAAAGTCAGATTATCTGTGCACTGCTGTGCAAGGGTGTTTGTCTTCCGACAAATAAACCACAGTTTCCTGTTAATGATCCAATTATTCAGAGCAGTCAGTGTCACAGGTGTGCTGCTTTAATGGCTTTTGTTGGGGGCTACACAGGTGGACCAGGCCATTATTCTCTAGTAAAACAGCAGCGCAGCATTTAGGGCTCTTGTTCCTCTTCAAATAACTCTGTTGCCTAGCAGCACAACTGGAAAATATTACTGCTATGCAAGAGCAGCTGCAAATATTTGTGATATTTCTAGGACTGCCCAATAAATAAAACTTATCAAGATCACAGTCTCACCAGGATATGCACAGAACCTCTTCTAGTGAAATAACTTTGTTGTCCACTGTGTAATTATGGAAGGTGACATTTATAGAGCTTATACTATGCACCAACTAAAACAGTTTTATGCTAATTAATCACTGCAGTGTGTCTCCCAGGTTTGCTTTTAATAGGTTTAAGTCCCAGTTGACGTTGATCATAGCCCTTGCCTCCAGCTACTGCCCATGTAACCTGTCCCTCTTCCTCCCAGGAGCGTTTAAAGGCTGGTGAGCACCGTCCAGAGGTGGAAGACAAACCAGACAAGCGGAACACTGACACAAAACCCCAACCCCCTTCACTGTCCTCTCTGTCCCCTTCACCCACACTTCACTCTCGCAAACCTGCTCCCCCATCCCGCTCCCCGCCCACATCCTCCCTCGTTTCTCTGCCTCCAACGCCCTCGCCGGTGACCACTCTAAAGTCAGAAGAAGTGGGCCAGAGAGGGCTGTCTCACCCACCCACGCCTCTGCTGCACCCATCCTCCCCTCGCTCCGCATCCCCACCACCATCCTCCCCGCGCCGACCTAAACGGGAGCCAGCTGAAGATGGAGAGAATGGGAGAAGAGAGGGACAGAGAGAAGTCCAAAAGCCCCCCCACGCGTCGTATCCAGGCATCTACACTGGTGAGATTAACTTTAAAAGCAAAGATTGTGATGTTCTTGTGAAGAAAACTCCCCTTCAGTCACCAATATCATTTTCATTTTTTATAGATATTCCTTCAGGTTACCCTTACCAGTCCATCCCTGCTCCATTTGGCTCTCCGTTCCCCTCTTATCACGTCCCACCGCCCACTAGTTCAAACACAGAAGTTGTCTCCCCTCATCGGGCCCACTCACCATCTAAGACCAGTCCTCTGCCCGCACCTCATCTGCAGTCAAGGCTACTGGACTCAAACAAGCAGCCCCCCAGACTAGAGTCCTCAAAGAGCGGTTCTCTTCCTACTCAGGAGCACAGCACAGAACAACCTCAAATGTACGTGACGATGGAACCGCTAGGACCTCTCCGACGCACTTGTAGTCCAGTTTTAACCAACAAAACAGACAGAGAAGACCCCAAACCACAACCAGTGACTTTGAATACCTCCTGTCCTCCTCCACTCAAAAATGACAAACAGGAAGAAATCACAGAGGAAGAGAAAATCAAAATGGAGGCGTCACCTTACTCTTATCATGCATATACAGCACCTCCTGCCCTCACAGACTCAGAGCCCAAGTCAGAAATGATCAAAGCTCCTCAGCGGACGCCGTATCCATTATGTATAACTGCAGATGCTGACAGACACGCATCAGCTCACAAGTCCCAAGATCAAACCCCAGTGTGTGAATCCGAGCCACAGAACTCTCCAATAAACCTGCACGTTACCATTGATGCGGAAAAAGTTGATAATCCACCCCTGTCCGACTCTCCGCTGCCTCTTATTGCTGATCTTCCTCTTATTGCTGTTCCAGAAGATCCTATGGCGGGAATGCTAGCTCTGTTAGCAGCCAGTGAGATGGCCCGGCCCTGCACACCACCTGCTCCAGCCCTCACCCCACAAATGGAAAATTCTCCCATGAGCACTGAATGCAGCATGACTGGTGCACTGGAGATGGTTGCTTTGGAGGGCATGGCCTTATTGAGCCAGATGGCACAGCAAGAAATGGAAAACCTCAACAACAAGGAAAAGGGTAAGACATATGATATAAAATGACCACCCACAGCTTTGTAATTACCCGCAATTGTCCAAAAAGTCAGACTTTGGGTCATACATGTAGAGTTGAAAAGTTTCATGTAGCCCTTTTTCAACAATTAAAATAAAAGAATGAAAGTTGACTTGCGTGTTATGGTTGAATGCCACAATAGAGGGTGGGTCAGTCAGTTCTGTTAAAGTTTGTTTCTATTACTGAGACGTTTGATTGCTTTAATATCTTGTGTATCCTGGGCAGATGTGGCCTTGGAGGGTCTGGACTGCTTACTGGAAGCAAGTCGGCAAATACTGTTGGAAGCCATTGAAAAACAGTCTCACATCCAGCTGCCCAGAGACTTGGATCCAAACAAAAAGTACAGCTGGAGGCAGAGGAAGGAGGAGCCGGTATGAACAATCACCAACAAACATTGTTCTTTTAATGTCCGGAATTTCACCTGTCCCCCCTTTTCGTTTCACATGGTCTGTCTTCCTTGCAGCTGTTCAGTAAAATGTCCATGGACGTGCTTGATGCATTTGAAGTGGAGTACCGGGTTCGTCTTGCGGAAATACAAAAGACCTACAAGGATAAGCAACGGGAATTCAGCAAACTGCAGAGGCGTACAGACAAGCAGTGAGTAAAGTTTTATTACCAAAGGCTCTCATTAAAACATAACTAAAGTGCAACTCACAGCAAACAATGATGACACATTCTCTGTTTCTTGTTGCAGTGAACGGCAGCAGGATGATGACAGGCGGAGTCAAACTCGAAGGGGCAGAGGAAGACCCAGGAAGCGAAAACTACTGGCCACGCCCCCCAAGCTAGACAGCAGGCCTGGAAAGTAAGTGAAAGTTAATGCAAATACTGGTTATATCATTGAGAGTTTGTCACAAGTTTAATTTTGTTGAAGGGTTGGACGGACTGTGCAATACTCTGAGGACTCTGAGGCTGGTGACGGACAGAGGAAAAAGCTTCGGTTGTCCAAAGAGGATGAAGGGGGTGAGGCAGGGACCGGAGGAGTGAAGATCAAAAAGAAGAAAAAGAAGAAGAGTTGGAAAGATCAGAGTTCTTCTGGTTTGGAGGTATGACTTGATTGGTTTTGAACTCTAGACCTTTCCATACTGAAGAGAGATACGGTAATGAGACTGTGTGTTTGTCATCATCAGGTACTAAAGGCAAAGCGAAGTCATTTGTGTGAGCAGGAGCAGCTGGCGTCTGATCTGAACAGGGCTCTTTCACTCTCACAGCTCGGCTCACTGGCCTCGGCACACAAACTCGCCTCCAGTAAAGTGTCCAAAGGAAAGTCCACTGAAAACCGACTCAAGGGGCAGAGCCTGCATGCTTCCGTCAAAGGGACAAAACACAAGATGAGCAGCAAGACGTCTTCCTCGGAGAAAGTGAAGAGTCAGAAGAAGAGACCCATGTTTTCCCCATTGAGATCTGAGCTCAGCAGCTGCTCTAACAGTGAGTGGACACAATCTGTATTTGTAACCGATGGATGTTTAATATGAACAAATACACTGTATCAACCTAGATATTTTTTTCAAGGATATTTCTAATTAGTATTTTATAATAACTAGGAGATCTTTTTCAGAAATGCACAGATTCTGAATGCGTTGTCACACTGAGGATTTTCAGACTTTAGTGTCTTGACTCTTTGCTTCCATCCATTTGACCTTCTAAATGATTAACCACACTCTCTCTGCACCAGATTCGGATTCAGAGGAGCACATTTCGTCCCGAGGGGGCTGGCCCCCACTTTCAAACTCTCGCTCCTGTGATGACGGGACCAGGAAGAGGAAGCCTGCCACATCGGCATCTTCACTGCTGTCCAGTAAGAAGTCTGAGAAGAAGAAACACAAGCACTTATCCCTGCTGCTGGAGGAGGCAGGCCTCAGTTCCTCTGACGACTCCTTTGACCAAGGTTACTGACCACACCCTGCCCTAAGCAGACTTCATGTCTTTGAGCCTTGTCAAACGTGTTTGCTTTTGTGAAAGCAGCTGCTTCTGGACTGTGATTTAGCTTGACAATTTCTACCTCATTGCTGCTGGCTTCTCTATGAAGTTGCCTTTTTAAATAGTAAACTTATTTCTATGGTGCTTTTATATTGCCTGGATTGCAACCTAATTTGTAGAATTTGTACATTTGAAAATTGTGTGAATTTGTGAGATTTTTCATAAAGTTGTATTGCAGTTTGGATACAAATAAGCTTTATTAAAGGTGTTGATTTGATTGGTACAGAAAGCAAAGCGCTGTGGTCCTTTTGTCTGCTTCATCTGTCTGTGTCTGTCAGTCTGTCCAGCACACATCCTTTAGTGGCTCTTTGGCAAATATCCCACCAGATCTGAAACTACTTTTATGTAGTAGATATGAACTGCTGACTAAAAGATGTCACATGTCAAAGATCTGTTCACATGAGCTTACTGGTGCATTATCATTTGCAGAGAAAATAACATTTTTGTGGATCGTTGTGATAAAATATTTGAATTCTGGTCTGTGAACGTTGAGGAGAAGATTGCATCAGAATGCTTATGATCTTGTGTTGTACACTGGGATATTTGCACAATAGAGCTTTGTCTACTAAACCCTCAAGTAACCTTTTCCCTCGCGTTGCTCTGACACCTTGCTCTGTCCTCTCACTTCCCCTCTGACCTTTGACCCTTGACCTGTCCTACTCATGATGCTTTAAGTGTCTCTCAGCCTGTCCCATGAGCTTGTGCTGATGCTGCCACGACATAAAGAAGCTTGGCAAGGACTAGCGCAGCCTTGAGCCTATGCTACCTCGCTTATAGCTCGTCTATGCTGTGGCCCAAGCTCTGCTCAAGCTAGACTGTGCTAAGGCCAGGCCATGCTATGGCTGGGCTGCGCTCTCGCCGCCGCACTGCCCAGCCCTGCCCTGTGTGAGGCCACACCCTGTCACCTGTTGAGTAAGTAGGAAGTGCCCCTCCCTCTATTCTTTATTGAACTCTAACATAAAAGAAACTGAATTCATCAGATCTTAAGTTCTTTTTTATTTCACTATTCTCACTAAAATCAGCACTGAGGACCATGAGTACCTCCTGTCTATGAAATCCCACTTCTGAGGTGGGACAGGACCGTAACCATGGTTACTTAAATTTCAAGTGAGCATTATATCTAGGGGCCTCACAGGGCTGACCTCTCAGTGCCTGCTTGTTTGTCTGCTTGCTTTGTTAACACCGTGGATGCACCGTACCCATGTTTACCATCTAGCTGCCAACATTTTTCTGGGTAAAATTACTTTTTAAACATGAAGTTATTTTTATGTAGCTATAAAGTCATTAACACAGCCGTATTTAACTCTATTTGACATGGACTGAATAATTACCATAGAACATTTCTGTTTTCTGATAAGTTGGATTTATATTCCACATTATGTACTGTGCATCTACCCTCCATGTTAACAGTCTAACCTCTGAGGAGCTGCTCCTCCTGTTTATCTGTTGCCATGGATCTGCTAACGACCAGCTACTCACAGCTAACAGTTCAAACGCCACTGTGTATATCTGTGTGCGAGCGCTTTGTGTTTTATGTGCTGTTGTAGCCTGTCAGACTTTTTTACTTCCCTTTCTATCTCAAAGCTGCAGCTTAAATAATACATGATATCTGAGCTTTAAAGGCTTCAGAAGCTGTGTGTATCAGTGCGCGTCACATGCATGTCTTAAATCCCAGTCTAGTGCTGTCTCTTGGTTGCACAGCGTTACAAACGTGAAGGTGCACTGGTGTGAATAGACTGGAGGGTTAACACTGTCATGACTCGCCTCTCACATGTGCATCTTTGTTTTGTCCATTAATAGAAGGCTCTAACTCAAACCTGTTCACTTTATGTTAGGGTGGTTGTGTTCTGTCATCCTTATTTTTATGTTTCTGTTATCTTTTGGGGGTACACTTTGGGCTGTATTTACTCTGAAAACAAATGTAAACTGAACTGAACCCTTTTCTCTAAAAACAGAAACCTCTGAGGATGATGATGAGGAGGATTCATACTCGGATGGCGTCTGTGATGAGAGTGGATTGGGACTTTTGGCAAGATTTGCTGCTAGTGCTCTTCCTGTCAGTTCTCCCTCTCTGGGCCTTCTTCACAGTGGAAAACAACGCAATAGACAAAACACTATGGGTATGTGCGCTGCCCCTATCTCATCAGTTGCAAATGTTATTTAATAAAATATTATAAAGTATGTGCATTATTTTAGACATATTAACATTAGATTAGAAACAAGGACGCTACATTAATTTCAACAGTGTGAATGACATTACCAACCAAACTGTGATTGGTGGTTGACTGGGAATTATGTTATTGATCCATCATTAAATATTTATTCTTTTTTAATTGGCACATCAGGGTAATGATCCAGTCTTAAAGTTTCAGATAGATCAATATTCCATTCATAGGCATATTGATTTGAGGTTCCCATACTTGAGTCTATTACTGAGGTCATTAGTAAAATGGTGTCTGTTGTTCAGGTTCCTCAGAGTGTGAGTGGTCGGACTCTGACCTGCGAATGAGGAAGTTCCCTTCCCTGCTTCATGGTAAACGCTCTGCCCCTGAGCTTCCCCTGCTGCCTCCTGCTACTCATCGCATAAACCGCTCGAGCCCCACAAAGAGGGACGACTCTCTGTCCATCAAACGCAAGGCTCTCTCCAAGCCCCAGCCCGCGCCCCGGTCTCCAAGGAGATTCAGCTTTGAACAGGCCAGTGGCTCTGGGTTTGGAGGCTTCAGCGAAGACGAGGGCTGGAACCGCCGGCGAAGTGAGAGGATATTCCTCAATGATGCCACAACTCCAACCAATCAGATGCCTGTGTCGTCCTCCACATCAACCAACCAGATCACTCCAACTGTCTCCACCACCGCCCAGCTTTCACTGAAGCCTGCCTGCAGACCTAAGCCTGCTCCAAACAGAGATGGAAAAGATGCAGTGAAAGTACGTCAATAATTAATGACTGTTTTTCACCTGCTGAGAGCAGCTGAATAACACAAAACATAAGCACCCTCCTATTTTCTCCCTCTGTTCCGCATGTTCACTCTCCTGTCCTAACTTTGATTCTGTTCAAGCTCCTATCTCTTTGTAACCCCGGTGTGTGTGTTTAAGTGTGTGCATGTCACAGTGCCAGCAGGGCTCCCCTGTACATCAGTCACTGCAGTCCTCCCCTGCTGTCCCTGCCATGTTGCTGACAAGAAAGGACGACTGCAGGCTGCCTGAAGCATCCCACCCTCAGAGTGTGTGGGTGTGTGTGTATGGGAGAGCAAATGTGTCCAGCTCAAAGTACCGTTATCATTCTTACCCATGTATTTCTGTTTGTCCTGTCTTTACTTAGCAGCAGAAGAAGAAGCCGAAAGACTCCCCCCTCCCTCTGAGCCCGTCCACACTGTCTTCTCCTGTTGCAGACGGCCCTGTTTCTCTGAGCCTCAGTCCAGTGCGAAAGAGCCAGCCAAAAGCTAAGCCCAAGACCAGAGAAGTGAGTAGCACATATATCATTAGTACAGTTTCAGATGTTTCAAATGAACTCTCTGAGATGGCACAGACATCTGCTGAAATAGTTTAACAATATCACAAAATGCAGTCTAAATATGGTTTTAATCAAATAAGGCAATACTACTACTAAAAACTACTCTACCAATCTAGTCACTTTCATTTGGTTAGACTTTTGTAAATTGTGTTTCCTGTACAGCCTTCTAGGGGCGCAGTGAGCCGCCTGATGGAGAGCATGGCTGCAGACGAGGACTTTGAACCAAACCAGGATAGCAGCTTCAGTGAAGACGAGCTGCTCCCATCCTGTGACAGCAGCACGCCAGAGACCTCTCCTCCGCCCGGTCAGCACACATACAATATCTACACTCACTGAATGCTGTGTCATCTGTGTAATCTAATGCCCCTGTCTGCCATATGAACAGCCCCTGTCCAGTGTGTGCTCGACAAAGACTCTCTGGTTGATGGGCTCAGAGTTTTGATCCCAATGGACGACCAGCTGCTGTATGCTGGACATGTCAACACTGTACACTCGCCAGACATGTAAGTGCAACAGAAACACATACTTCTTTTGCACAAGAAAACTCAAACTTTTGGACTAATAATTCCTTTCTTGATATAACCATTTCATACTTTGAATCTCTTACCATTAATGCACGATACATAATATCTGCATAAAAGTTGCTAGTCAGTATGTAATTAACATACTGTACACCACAGATTCAGGCACTGACCTCCCAAAACATATAAAATCTAATCTGTTCTAAGTGCCACAGTTGTTAAAGGACATGCTCCCTTCCTCTCCTCCTACAGATATAGTGTGGTGGTGGAGGGCGAGCGAGGGAACCGACCACATATCTACTGCTTGGAGCAACTGCTACAAGAAGCCGTGAGTTGTAGACAGCATCTGATCTTCCATGCCCAATCCTCTTGCATGCCCCTGACTGTTTATTCTCTTTGCATGTGCAGATTATTGATGTGAAGCCTCCGTCTGTGCGCTACCTCCCAGAGGGCACTCGCATCGCTGCCTACTGGAGCCAACAGTACCGCTGCCTCTACCCGGGCACTGTGGTCAACGGTACACACTGCACCTCCTACTTACATAAGATGATTCATACTGCTCTCACAGACTGTGTAATTGTAGCTGGCAGCACAAACAAATGCTTAGTGTTTTAGGCCATTATTTTGAGCAATCAGATGGTAAAAAGGACATTACTGGTCTCTCTTTAGCCCTGACTGAGACATTAAATGAGTTTTACAGCTTTACTTAGCAATATATTTTACAAATATAATTATGGTAACCACTTCATTGGTTCTTTTTAGGAAACTCTGACATTGATGAAGATGACAATCTCATCACAGTGGAGTTTGATGATGGTGACACAGGTCGCATCCCTCTGTCTCACATCAGACTGCTGCCGCCCGACTACAAGATCCACTGTAAGCAATGCCTTGCACCAACACTGCACTGCAAAGCAACAACATCATCGTTCCTCCTATAGTCACTACATTGCTGTGAAACAGTAAAGTGGAAAATAAACCACATCATAGTCAGAAATGGAACAATTCTAAGAATACACAAAAATAAGATATGATTTCAGAGACATGGTTTCAGAGAAATGGATTTTTAAATGCTGCTATGGGAGATGCCTGAAGCTATTTTGAATATGAATTTAATGTGCTATAAAAACAAAACTTTAGTGGTGTTCTTATTTACTGCATTGTGTTCATTGTATAGTTTTATAGTTTTATAATGCATCAAAATACACCTGCTGTTTGCATTTTCCTTCAGGAAAATGTTAAAGTTTTGCACTTCCTGTCGGCATAATGAGAAACACAAAGCACGCTGGTTGAATTCATTGTACCATAAATGTTTATGGCCCTTGTTTGGTTCCAGGCGCTGAGCCGTCCCCTGCTCTGCTTGTGGCCAGCTGCTCCCGGAGGAGAGTCCGCAAATGCAGCAAAGAGGGCAAAGAGGCAGGTCCCAAACAAGACGACAACACTCCCAAGATTAAAGGAAAGCCTGGTCGCAAACCTAAGCCCAAACCAGGTGAGTAGTAAACATACAGTCTCACAATTATAACTGCGCACAAGACCACCCACTATTAAATCTATATTTTCCCCCAAATGTAGGACCTGTACCTCAGTTTTAGAACCTCAGGTGTAACAGCCTGATAATAAAGGCTAGACTATTTGTCAGCCTTTTTGTTTTTTTTCTAGACCCATAATGGACTCTATTAATAACAATGTTTTATTGCAGCCTTCTGTCCTTTTGAGACTTATATTTTAAATGACCATTAGACAATATGAAAAGTGGATTTAGGCCCAATTCTACCCCTTAGCCTAGTCATTCTCTTTAAAAAACATACAAATTACAAAAACGGCTCAAGGACTTTGAACAACGCTGATCCCACGTTTTCTGTTAGACCATTGTGGTCATCTTATTCATTTGAATGAATTTGTTCAAGCAGCCATTTTGTCTGGTAGTGTATTGCCACAGCTGTGATGTATGGCATGTTGTGTGTGTGATTTGCTGACGCCGGCCTTGTTTTGTGTGAGTAAGCACTTTATAAATGCAGTGGTTTTCATTTCAGAATAGTTTCCTTGTTGATTTGACTGCCATTTTTAGCCCATCAGAAACACCACAGAGTGAAGGCATCAGCAGTTCATGAGCAACCCAAAAAGCAGCTGAGCAAATAATTTTTATCTGTCCTTTTTGTAGAGACCACCCTCAACCAGGACGGTCGTGAAAAGAGTGAGAATTCTCCACGGGCAGATGGGCCTCCTGCTAAACTGACTCAAGACAGGACACCTTCTGCGCAGAAAGTATCTCAAGATAAGCCCAGGCCTGCCTCCCGACCCAGCATGGAGATCCACCCTAAACCAAAAAGCAAAAGCTCCTCTTCCACTCCCACCACCAGCCCCACATTGTCCAGTCCTGGGCCCAGAAAGGAGAACTCCAAATCCAGCCGTGCACCCGCTTCGTCACTCTACCCAACCACCTACGGCAAAGTCCTGACAGTGGATCTCTACACTGAACCCAATCTGTCTTCTTACAACAACCAACGAAGAGAGAAAGACAACGCTATGAGTCCAACTTCACATAGGCCAATGTCCAAATCCACCTTATCCAAATCCAGTGTTGCTCCCATTCATAAACAACTGTCCAAAACTAAATCCTCCACAGATAACCACAGTAGACCCAGTCACAGCTCTGCACTATCAAGTTCTATTAACAGGCTGCCATCAAGCAAATCCACATCCCTAAGCAGACCCTCATCATTGTCCCTTTCTTCAGCCTCTCGCCCAAAACTGAAGATGCCATCTGAGCAGCTAACTTCAAGAACAAGCTCTTTGCCTAGACCCAAGTCATGTTCCACACAAAATGAAATGAGACGCAAGCCATCTGCAGAGCCTCTGGTGAAACTCGACCACGAAGGAGTAACTTCACCCAAAACCAAGAAAACCAAACTAATGCTACTGGAAGGGCGAGGCGTAAGGCGGGACCACACCCCAATCACCACAGCAAATCAGAAGCCACTGAAGCCTAAAGTAAGAGAAAATGATCCAATTGAAAAAGATTTTTACAAAGCACCAGTGCTAACCAAGGATAAGACGGAAGGTATCACTAAGGGCCTGTCGATGGAGAAGAGAGAGGATAAGGTTAAAAGAGAGGAGATTAAACAGGAATCGCAGAGTAGCAGCAGCTCGGACTCAGAGGAAGACGGAGACAAGGAGAAGGTAAAGAAGAAGAGGAAGAAGTGCACATCCAGCTGCTCCTCCTCCTCTTCCTCCTGCTGCGGCTCCTCTTCTTCTTCCTCCTCCTCTTCGTCATCATCATCCTCTTCCTCCACTGATGACTCCTCCTGCAGCTCAGATGAAGAGAGGAACCCCAGCCCTCCCTCAGGTCCCACTACTCCACCACCAACGCAGGAAAAGCCCAAAGAGGAAGCTAAAGAAGAGCCAAGGGAGGAGGTACGGTTTTGGCTCATTACCCTTTTCTGTCATTAGTTTAATTACATTTCACCACCAAAAATATAGATTCTAAGAATTATTATAATATTTATTAATTATAAGTTTTAAGACTCATCCAAACTGTTGTATTGCATCTTCAGGTGAAGAAAGAAAAAGAAGTGAAAGAGGAAGAGTTGACTGCTCCGGAGTCTCCCTCTGACTCTCCAACGATCACAACCCCTGCTCCAGCTAAACCTAAACCTGCCACAGGGAAGGGCTCTGGACAAAGGGGGCGTCCCCCAAAACAGAAGCCAAGTGGAGGGGAAGGCAAGGTGGGCCGACCCAAACGCAGAGAGGGGGTTCATCTCCCCACCACCAAGGAGCTGGCCAAGCGCCAGAGACTTCCCAGTGTTGAGAACAGGCCCAAGATCTCAGCCTTCCTTCCTGCCAGACAGCTCTGGAAGTGGTTTGGGAAACCCACTCAGGTAATTGTCCAAAACCTTAGACACTACTGTTACAAAAAATGCAAAGTACAAAAATCACCATATAATGACAGATACCATACTTATATAGAAAACCCAGTGGAAAAAAAGAAAATGTTTTTGATGAATTATGTCTAATTTTTGTATCAATCAAGCTGCAATCAACATAACCAAATGGAGAGCTGCAAAGTGCAAAATGTAATGGTTCTCAAAGCTTTTTCTAATCAAATGAATCAGATTTGAGTTGAAGCACTGGCAGGTGGCAGTTCTTATTGCATAAGCTTACTGTCTCGTGAGCTAGTAATACTAGTATTTCCATTTTTAGCCTTGTGCCCAATTTACATTTTAGTTTAAGTAGCTCTCGTAGCTCCTAGTGGCACGTTTGGTATTTGGCTGCATATATTCTCACGTAAACTATTACACAGATAAAACTCTTGTCTTCCTCTGCCCCTCACAGAGGCGTGGTATGAAGGGCAAAGCTAAGAAACTCTTCTACAAGGCCATAGTTCGTGGCCGGGAAATGATCCGGATTGGGGACTGTGCCGTGTTCCTATCGGCCGGGCGTCCTAACCTGCCTTTCATCGGCCGCATCCAGAGCATGTGGGAGTCCTGGGGCAGTAACATGGTGGTCCGCGTCAACTGGTTCTACCACCCTGAGGAGACCAACCCTGGCAAGAAGCTCATCGACAAAAAGGCATGACACTGAACCCTTGTACCAACCAATATTTTTTCTTTGTTGTATTTCCTAATTTGTTGTATTTTACAATAGAACTGGGATCAGATGTGTGGCCAGTCTATACCTGCTGCTCTGCACTCTACTATCCAGAGAAAAGACTTTGTTGAGGTAAGAAAAATAGATGTGTAGCTTTTAATACTTATACTATAATAGTTATTCTTTAAATCATTTTCTGATGTTCACACTGCCCTGTGATTCTCATTGGCTGCGTATGTCTTATAATTACAAAGCCTGTTACAATATGAGTAATTCTGTGAACTCAGGTTTTCAAAGTCCATCTGCTCTAATTGTTCAAATCCTTTCAGGGCATAAATTGCTTTCACTATAAAACTTACATTTGATTGGCCTTACTAATAGCTGTGCTGTCAAAACATGCTCCACTGTTGAAGAGAACAGTTACCAAGTTCTAGTTTATTAAGATCTTCATTAGTGGCTGAATAATCAGAGGCTATTCTTCTTGGCGTCTCCTCCAATTCATCACACTCATTTAGTTCGAGTTTTACTCCAGCAAATCCTAATGCAATTGTAGAACCAGTGCCCCAAATGCATATGGCAACATTCAAAAGCCTAAAGTAACTCCTACTTCTCCTACACCTTCACCTGATCCCTGTAGCGTGCCCTGTACCAGTCGTCACACAGTGATGAGAACGACGTGCAGACGGTCAGCCACAAGTGCCTGGTGGTCAGCGTGGAGGAGTATGAGCAGATGACCCACACCAGGCGCTACGCAGACAGTGAGGATCTCTACTACCTGGCCGGCACCTACGAACCCACCACTGGCATGATCTTCAACACTGATGGAGTCCCTGTCATCTGCTGAACAAGTCTCAACTAACTGCATTTCTCAGACTGACGAAAGATGGATATTGTCCCGATATACCAATATGTCAATTGCTGCACTGGACCAGCTACTACAAAACACTACACAGTATTATACAACTGTTTGCACACTCCGTTAAGATTACACAGTGCTTACATATACCTTTTACATGTAAATAGAACTTGTGTAGACGGTATTCGCACCCACTTGCTTGTAAATACAACATGTAACATGCCACAGTATAGAGAATATGAGTGTTTTATTTTCTTGTAATAGATCTAAGTCCAGTTTTCCTAAAGAGGTAAACCATCAAGAAGCTTTAAACGAACTGTGAAAGATAATTACAAAATGAGCGCGACTCGTGTCCTGGCTTAAACTGTTGTGATTATGATGTTGCCATGGTGAAGTTACAGTCGTATAGCCTAAATGTTTCTAGACAGAACAGCTACAGACAGACGGATATGCATGGATTTTAGAGGGATACTCCTTCCATTGTAACAGAAAGCACTTAAAATACTAATTTAAACCTACGATTTCCTTAGACAATCCTAACTTGGACAGGTCGAATGTTTGTGTGCTACAAAAACTTTAGACTCCCTCAGAGACTCAGGCAAAAGAGAGAGGAAGGAACCTTGTAGTATTTTAAAGCACTTGTCATCTTATGTTGATTTCTCTTAAAGGAAGCGATCCACCCACAAACACTAGTGAAGCTGCTTTTTTCTTGTTTACTGATGTGGTCCAAATGTGTTTCCTTGGAATGTGGAAGAGGATTCTGGGAAACGTAGGACAGCTTTTGTAAAAATGGGAGACTAATAAAAGTTGAGATGTGAGTCATCACAAAGTAACTCCTGCAGCTTGTTTATTAACAGTGGGAGCCACAGCGGGTGGATTTTTCCTTTAAAAAGTTTTCAGAGCTGTAAACACTGCGGTTAGACCCAAAAGCCTCAAGGCTCCAATTAAATCAGCATATATCACTTCTTAACACAAGTCTCCTGCCTTTTAGATGTGTAATCATAACCGCCGTGAGTGCAGCCTCTGTTTGTATCCCACATGTTTTACTTTGCTTTTTTCTCTGCTGCTTAATATATGCCCAAACTATGATTATTGCCCTACAAGCAATTACGTTTGACTAGAACGCACTTTGAATGAGACTTAGTGGTCTCGAAAGTCTTCCTAGAGTACTTACTAACATCCTCCACACAGCCCGCCCACTCCTGTCTGCTCTGTCCTCCCTTAGCTGCTTACATTGTTTTCTATGTGCCTAGTGCGACTGTTTTTGGGCTAGACAGTTGAATGTCATGCTCTGGGGTGTGAGCATTTGGACGGCCTTTTTGATGTCCAAGGCCTTACAGTAATTATGATAATGATAAGATGATTCACCAAATCTGTGCTGGGTCCCACCCCTTCCTAATGGGAGCTGTGGACTCTCTTGTTAATATGAGAACCATATTATTGTTGTGGACGCTCCACTTATTTACACTATATTGAAGTGTAGACCTGTATCAGAGATCACAATAATATACAACAGTATAGAGTAGGCTATAACATGCCAATTTTCTTCATGTTACCGTGTTGCTCTCTCTGCTCGGCGGCAGAGACTAAAGATTGTCTTGTTGATATTCAATAGGTTTTATATTTTCTACTCCTGAGATTGTTTTCTTAGACGTGTCTCATTTTATTATAGATTATAGTGTTGTATATGTCTGGCTGTACAGATTGCTGCTTGAAAAAGGATTTCTTGCCACATTCAAGATTCGATAAGAGTACATATTCTTCAGATCAGATACTATATTAGCGGCCATGGAAAGTGTAAATAAAGGCTGCTAGTTTGTTAGCGTATACCCTATGTGTGTGCTTTGAGGTAGCATTACATTTCAATCAAACTAATATTCAATCGCTTCCTTTTATCAGCAGACCCCACCCCCCTTTTCTTATGCTGCTGCTCTTCTGTCACCTTATATAATACCTGGCTGAATTCTACAGCTCTAAATATAGATGCACAACACAAATTCACCAGTTTGTTTGCAGAACAAGTTAAAGTGCCCGTTGTGAATGTTTGTTTTCCCCCGAAGCTGCTAAAGAACTTTGTGTGGGCATGAGGGTAGATGGTCAAACCCTGAATTCACACACACACACCACACACACACACACACACACATACACACAAATACACAAACAACAGGCTAACACTATGAGGTGTGTCATTGCCTTCCAGCCTGTATTTGACCCCATCCAAAGCCCCATATTAGGCCTTCAAACAGGGTCCAACAAAACACTTATCCCCACTTTGCCTTCACTTTGATTTGTTGTCTTGTTTTAACTCCCAAGTGTTCTTTTTAATGTATTTTACTTTGGCTTGTGTTTTTGCTGTGACATTTTGCCATCTTTTTTATTACATCAATTGCATGCTTCTTTTACTTGCTTCCCCTCTCTGAACAATCGTCCAGCCTCACGCATTACTGCTGACAGGCCCTGGGAGCTAGCTGCTAGAAAGAGAGGGATGGGAGAGAGAGAATAAGAGAGAATGGGAAATGGAGAGAGAGGTGGACTGGAGGCTGGTTCTTCGTCTGCTGTTCCTTCAGTATCTTTATCGTCCTGTTACAGATTACAGCTAAAAGATTATTTTGGAAAATAAATATTAAACAAATCATCTACGTTTTTTAAAATGTACCTTCATTGTGGAGGGAAGAAAAAGCTATCAGAATATACTTTGTACACATGTTTAATCTTGTAAAAATTCTAAAGAATACATTTTAAAGAGGGATCTGAAGTGGATATATTCTGTCGGCCTATACTGTATTGTGAACTGTTTCTTTTCTCTTTTTTTACAGATGACAACCATGTTTATCAGTGTTTCTTTTCAATTGTTTAGTAACTTGATATTTTATAGTTAATCAATAAACAAATGGAACTGTACACATCTGTCTGAGAGTTTGTGCAATGCTCTTTTCCCACTGTCCACTAGCCACATGTTTAGAATAATCTCAGTAGATTACTCTTAAACTCACCAAAACCTGGTACAGTCAAGTATTTCCAAAATATCTCATCTTGATCTCTGTAATAGCTGTTTGTCACAAAACCATTTTGAAAGGAAGCTCGGAACAATAAAGTCTTTGTGTTTAGGCAAATTATAGCTGCTATTGCTGCCAGTAAAAAAGCTAAAAAGAAAATTGCTAATACACCATTTGTGTACAATGGAGACTGTATTTGAAGATTCGAGCATATTTCAGATACACATGAAAAGGAACACTTGTAGTTTGAGTTTGCTTCAGTCATGCAACAGTGCTCCAATCGGTCTAAACTGGCAGTGGAAATACAAAAATCAGCTTTTTAATCATTCTACAGTTTCCTCTTTTATTGATGTAACCACCACAGCCACCCACTGATACTTGACCAGCTCATGTGGAAAAGGTGTCTGGCTCAAAGGCACAACAGAAGCTGATTTGAGTTAGATTTTAACTGGTACGTGACCAAATCCTTAACTGACAATCTCTCCACTCCTCTGTCTCTGCTGAAGTTTTCATGGACTGCCCCTTTAATCACCTGTGGACACTCAATAAGCCCTCCATTTTGGCAGCCCTGTAATGAAGCTGCTGGTTGTGGTAAAATGGAGGAAAGTTCTGTTTCTCTTTCTTCCTCTGCTGCTCTTCTGACCGCAGGAGACCGCACATTTTCCACCGTTTGACCGTTCATGATGAGCTGACAGGGGTGGGTGTGTGTATGTGTGTGTGTGTGTGGTTTGAAATCCTGCATGTCCACGTGTAATTTAATCTTTGCTGACATGCCGAGACTTTGTGTGTTCCGGTTTCAGCAGTCAGGGGCCCGACCTCTGCTAAACTGGCCTCCAGGGGACCCACATCAGCATAACATCCCACCCTGCTGCCGGGCTAGTCCTTCAACACTGACTGTACAGCAGCAGAAAGAGACAGAGAGGGAGAGAGCAGGAGAGATAGAGAGAGGTGTGTCGGCAAACTGCTATCTGATTGGCTGGCAGCTGACAAACACATGCATTCATTGGTCAGAGATGTTCTTGTAGTTTGTGTGTGTGTGTGTTTTTTGAACTCACTGCTGTCTGATGCTGCTCCTCCTTCAGCTCCTTTAGGCGTATGTGTGGGTCGCCAACACCAGTTTCCCAGGAGACAGGTATCTGAGCGAGGGGGCGTTCAAAGCACAAACAGTTTGAAAAGGCTTGTTATTCACTCACACACACACACACACACACTACCCAAACTTAGATTGTCCTTCAACTCTTGTGTTTTGTTGAATAGGAAAATAAACTACATGAAAAAGAAATACAGCCTTATTCTACCTTATGAAAGATGAAAGACTTGCTGTTTCCAGTGTCGACCTCCAAAACAAGAATGTAATTGTGATTGTTGCAGTTACATTTCTGGGCCAACTTTACCTTCCTGTTTACAACTTCCAGCATTCAAAGTGGCTGTACAATTTGGTGTAGCTTTCAATCACTTTCAGTCATACTTAGCCACAGCTGCCTTGGGGCTGAATGGCAGCATACTGCTGTTCATTGGGCAAGGCACCTCTCCCAAGTGTGAATAGAGGTTGGGGTACAGAATTGCTCAGAATTGCTGCCATTCTTCTATGTTGTTAGGTTCCTCTTTCAGACCAGGAGTTTGTTTTCATACCTGACAGTTTCGATTGCTCACTAGCAGTCTTCTTCAGAGTGGTCATGTGCTGTTGCTGTGAAGTGTCCATTTAGCTGATTTAAACAGGTTTTGGTGCTGTCTTCCTACCTGTGGCGGCAGGACGACAGCACCATCTGCAGTCCCACTTCCTCAGGACAGTATCCCAGGAGTGTGAGAGTAAAAAAGCCCCCTCGTCACGGTTTATAGTCCTGTGGGCACGATTCCGTATGTCGATTGCCTCTTTAATCCAGCGACGATGTTTGTTTTCTTCTGTCCCAATGAGGCTTTGCTCCGTTCCAGTCCATAATGTGGTTTACTGTAGAAAACCACATTATGAAACCTGTTTAAATCAGTGGACCTGACATGTCACAGCAACATCATGTGACCACTCTGAGAAAGACCGCTAGTGAGCAGTCGAAACCCTCAGGTATGAAAACAAGCTCTTGGTCTGAAAAAAGAACCTAGTAATATAAATTATCTGAAGACCAAATGAACCTCATTGGACTAACAGCAGCCTACATTGCAAAATACTATACGTGGCATCTTATTTTTCAGCATGAATTTGATCCAAGTGACTAAGAAACTCCACTATTTTGTTTTTTTGTTTTTCTCTCTCGAAATAGATACACTACTGAACTGTGAAATTGTAAAACTGCACATGTTATGCTATTCCAAAGACAGGAAAATTTAAGCTTAGCCTGTCTTCTTATTTGTGTACCAGCAAGTATACTGCTATGTAAATGTCTTTGTAGGAGGTGCGCTTTTTGTTCTGCATTGCTTTTCATCTGCCTCTGTTCCCTCATGTGGTGCCTCCCCTTCTTGTGCATCTTGTGGTAAATTTAAATTTGAAATGACAAGTAAGCCTCACTAACCTTAGTGGAGTGCGGTCCCACAAGAGTGTGCGTGTATGTGTATGTGATGTGCTGCATATCAATTAGCTATCTATTATTCATGCTGACAATGTAATGAATGAAACATCACAGTCTTTGTAGCAGCCATGTTTACTTGTCTCCTGCTGTCGAGGATATTTAGACAGGACTGACAGTGTGCACCAAATCCCATTGTAGCCGTGAAGGCAAAGTGATGCCCCGTGAATAACTGACAGCCCAAGTCTATAATGAAGTTAGTAGAAAGAATGTGCCGCTGCAACGGGACACTTAATTGCATGGGTTTTACAATAGTGAATGGTCAAATTCTTGATAAGAGACAAGAGTATCCAGTACCCGATTATTAAGATGCTGCTTTTTCTAGTGAGAGAGTGCAAAACTAAGGCAGACATTCTTAGCCTGAGATGTTGACACTTTTTAAAATAGAACTTAACACAGTGTTTCACAGCCAGGGTTATGGGATCTACAGGGTTATGCCAAAACATTACAGTCAGTATATTGAAACTATAACTAATGATATGGCCAAAACAGAAATGTCTGATTATAGGGATGTAATAATAACCGAAATTTCATGATATTTGAGAGTTGAGTTGATTTGTAGGGCAGATCCCAAGCATTTATTTCCACAACCAAGCAAAAATTAAAAAATTATTTACAAAAGTACAAAGATAAAAGCAGGCATGGCAAAACCTGTGCTCACACACAGCACCGCTCCTAGACAAAGGTGAAGCTGGCTCCTTTTATAGGCCATCTCCTCTAATTGGGTGAGCTCATCTTAAAGTGCAGGTAAGTTCAAACTATTTAATTCAATATTTAAAAAGTTAGATATCAAAAACAGTGCTCTAGATATTTAATTACATCAAGTACAAAAATATATATCTTTATTAAATTAGCAGTGTTTTATTATTCATTTAAAAATACTAAATAGAAAAGTTAAAATATCTGTGCTCCCCTCCTCCTAACAGAACGGTTCTTAAGGTGCTCCAGCTCTTCGGGGACTCTTTTGGCCCGAACACTTAAGGCAGACAACACAAAGGGTAAGTACAAAAAAAATCATTTCACACAATTACTTAAATTAAATGCACTTATTTTACTTATTTCATTTTCTTTTACAGGTCATTTTACTGCACAATTATTTTCAATCAGTATTCCATAAACATTTTAAAACTTCGTTTGCTTCTGTCATTACTATCACCTGTATGCTGGCACAAGGCTTCTCTAATGGACCAGATACATTAGATATCGTATCGTCAAAGTTCTCACAATAATATCGTGGATCATCAAAATATATCGAATTACAAGTCTCTTTGCTGAAATTAAGAGTTATAGTGCAGAGGCAGAAGGAACTACATAGACCATGATCCTTTGCTCCATTTCAGTGCAGACAACAAGAATAAATAACAGTTCTAAGCACTTTTAAGTCTTAGTTTTTTGGATTAAGTCTTGTCAAGGTATTTTAAGAGGAAATAGTAGCATATTAACAGTTTTGTCAGCCTCCACAAAATATCGTAATAAATATTGTACTGTGAGATATATATTGTGAAAATATCATATTGAGAGATTTAGATATTGTTACATCCCTAATCGTGAGCCTCCCCATCATATCGTGAGCTTTCCCAAAATATCGCAATAATCGTGAGGTTCATAACGTGACGATATCGTATCGTGAGACTTGGATATTGTTACACCTCTATTTGATAATAATACAGTATTCATTTTTTTCAGTCTATAGTTTTACTCTACTGGCACAGTGTAGTATTTTATTATTGTATGCTTAAGTTTAAGTAAGTTTATTCCAATATCCTAGTTCAGGGTGTCCAACCTGTAGCTCAAGAGTTACCAGTAGCTCTCCACCCACTTCCATGTAGCTCGCCAAGGGATTTCTGAATTACATGTATTCATAACTCAAATTTGATTAATTGCCATTGTAAATGTGTTATTTTGAACTTTGCACTGTAATAAATAGATAATAATTTTGGGTTTTATAGGCATCTAACGGCACAACACTAAGGCTTGCCCTCTTATATCGACTCGACCGATAAAATACGGCCGATAAAATGAGTGGCTGTCCATCATTTTCATTTTGTAAAGGTAGCTCACCGAACACAAAAGGTTGGAGATCCCTGTCGTATTTATATGGTTGTGGTTATGGTTAAGTCTTTTTGAATAGTTACTTATCTATATTTTTGATCACATGTTTTTTTATTCAGCTGCTGTTTTTGTACTCTGTGTCTCTGCACTTCACTTTCCCCATTGTGAGACAAATAAAGGTTCTGTTATCTTGATGATCATATGATATTATATAGGCCTATTGTTGAAAAGATCTTCAGTTTGAGCTGCTCAGTGTTTCTTTTACAGAGGAGGGCAGTGTCAACACAACTCTTTTATATCTGGTCTTACTCTCTCTGGGTGGAGATGTTTCTCTGTTGTTCCACTTATGAGCTGTATCAGTATCTGTGCTCCGTGTGTCATTTCAGTCCACTCCCTCTTTCACTCATCCATCACCACAGCTTTGGTCATTGTTTTGTTTCCTTTAAATGACAGAGAAAAAAAATGAGTCATTTTACACTCTGCATTCAAAACCTTGATCTGTATGACAAAGACACCAACAGTGTAACTCCACAAAGGCATATCAATGTGTTTCTCTGTTATATCTGAAAAGGGAAACTGGCACGAGACACAACGCAGCACTTTGTTTGATATTTCCTATTGCAGATGGTGCGCAGGGAAGCAGGCAGGTTGCCATGGAGCCAGAAGAGTTCTTTATTTAGCCTTGTCATTCTCTAAGTAATAATGTCTCTTATCTAAGGATATAGATATATAATGCATAAAATAAAGCATTAGCAGGTGTTCTTGTTAGGTGCAAAAGGTCACTTGATTCAAACTGTTGAAAGCTGGTTCTACAGACACCTTTGGTGCTGTATCTGCAAACGGAGCCGGTGGAAACAGCCTGGGAGAATACTTCTAGGCTAACTGCAATTTCCATGTTTTAGTGTGGCGGTCTAAACTGTTGTAATTAAACATTTGACAATTATACTCAAGGAAGTGTATTAAAATTAAAGGTGCACTGTATAACTTTTCTGGTGGAGGGTCTGCCACCATAGAGATGTCATTGCGTTGACTGGATGTTCCACAGTTTGGCATAAAACTAGTGCCTCCACTCAATTTAATTTCTCTCTATCGATGAGTCAGGAATCGGAATACACTAGAGAGTTTGCAAGAACCCCGGAAGTTGTAGAGCCGTGAAGCCATGACGTCAAACTCGAGAGCTTGTCTGGGTCCCTTTTGTGGTACAGCACAACAGTAAACAAAGCGGTCGAGATGGATGTAGACGAAGACATACATTTTGTGTTGGCATTGATTCCTGAGATCGAGGATTTAAAGCCGGAGCAAAGAGAATGTTTGGTGAATTTTATCAAAGGGAAATACATTACTGCCCTTCTTCCTACGGGATTTGGTGCACTATATACCTCACGACCAAAGCAGCGATTGGTTAAATAAAAATCTAGTGAATGAATCCTAATGCTGCGAGGTCAGACAGTTTCCACGAAGTGAAACCGGCTGATGAATCAGGCTAATTAAACTCACCTCACCTCACCTCACATTTATTCAACTGCATTATTTATTCTTTATTTTGGATCCCCATTAGTGGTTACTACAGCAATAACTATTCTTTTTCTTTATGCATATGTTGGTATTGCTCATAGGCCTACTAATAAAACATATATTCTTCTAGTGGGAGCGGTCACCTCTCCACAAACCTGACTTGTAACTTGACTGGGTGACCTCTCTAATGACATATAGTGTAAAAATCCAGGCAAAGCAAAGCAATCTACATGAAAACCAGCAGGTGGATCCTCCATCAGAAAAGTTACAGAGTTACAGAAGTGACAGAACCTTTAAGTTGATTAGCTCTATTGAGAGATATATGCTTCATGCAGATGTAAACCTGGTGTCATGGACAGTTTTGACAGTTTTGACAGTTTTGACAGGTGTGACGCTCATTGCACATTGTCACGCTGATCACTACAAAAGCGATGAACAAACTTGACTCTTCACCCACATTAAGTTGAAGGTAAAGCTAATGACAGCAGTAAATAGGGCAGGGTGGAGCCATTATGCAGTCATGACAGTTCGGCAGGTTTCCAAAAAAAAAAAAAGGCTATTTTTGGTATCGACAAACCACAGACTATTACCATAACTTGTCTTAAAGGGTCTGTATTATGTAATTTTCAGATCTGTGTTATATTTCCTCATCAACAACAAACTCAGAGTTGTGTTTTGTTTCATTATTTTACACAAAACCTGCATATTTAGGTTCTTCTCGCAAACAGAAAACACTGTGTTCCACTCTGTGATGTAATGTAGTAATACAGGAAATGCTCCACTGTGTTTTTAAACTACATACACGTTCACTAAAATAATTTGGATAATTTCAGTACTGGAGTTGCCAATCTTTATTAAACAAAAGGTAAAAAGTAGCTGTCAACTGGAAAACTACCTCTTTGTGATATCACAAGGCGGGACAGAGCACTTTGGTGAGATTTAGAGATAAAGACAGACTAATAATAAAGGATTAATCAAACGTGTGAAATGAAATGTGACAAAACACAACTCCAGGCATGTTTTTTGATGTGGTAAAAATCAAAACATGGCTTAAAGCTCACAAGAGTCAATTTTCCAACCTTTATATAACATTTTTATTTGAAATTTCATACACTTGACCTGTCTGTGTTCCTAGGTTCAGTTGTGATTGTAATACCTTTTTAAAACAACAAGAGCACAGGCCACATACAGCTCCTTTATTAGGCCATATACTTTTCATACTATTCATTCTCCCTCCTCTTGCGTTGCTCCCGTTTTTCCTCCACTCGCTGAATATGGAGTAGAATGACTAATGATCACTTTTTCTGTTACACACCGGAGACTTTCTTCCTCTCCCTGGAGCTCCATCCAAAATTAGCTCATCTCTGTCCAGAGGAGCACACAGCACCTGCACACGGGAACGCTGCGCCCTCTGCAGGCTATAAATACACGATTAACAAGAGACAAGATGCAAACATGTGGAAATAAGCACGCGCTGTCCTGCTTTGGATGGCTTAGAGCAGAACAGGGCCAAGGCAAACCTTCTTTTTAGATGCTGTACCTGACCTTCTGTAGTGGTGCTGTATCTTGGCCCAACAGCTCCCTCTGCCGGATAAATATGGCCAGTGCAAATGTACGACCCGCGCCCATTTCATTTGCTTTATTGACTTCTGAGGCCATAAAGAAAGCAGTTATGATCCTTCAGGAGATTCAGAGTCTTTCTCAAGGACAAGGAGGATAGAATGGACAATCTTGGCAATATGTGTGAATTAGTTTACTCTTAATGCAACCAATAAAGATTAAGACTAAAATGTGCATATGAAAAATTCAATTCAGTTATGCCAAAATAAAGTCAAATGGATATCAAACTATAACTGATTTCTGAGTGGCAGTTTCAGGATTTATCACTGTCAGTCTCAAGTTGTGTTTAGAACAATTCACAAAACAACAGCGCATTTGAAAACATGAGCAAATCTTTTATTTTTCTTCATGGTGAATCCAAAGCAGAATGTAAACAGAAGCACATGTATTAAGGCTATGCAAAGACAAACCGATTCTTATTAAGAACTTAAGGTTTTTGACACCAAACAACAAAGTGGCCTTTAGTGTAGAGGATGTTGGATCAGCCCAAACACTACAGGTCCCTTGGTGAATGATTTATGAGCAGTGACATTATCTACCTTCTTCTTTTATGCTCTGTCATTAGGAAGATGAATGTATGCAGAAAGTGGCAGTGCATTCACAGTACACTTAGTCCACTGGGGCATCACTGCGCTGCTTTTTAAATGGCCCGTGTGGGAGCTCCCAAAATAGTGTCACTAAAGAAGACAGAGTAAAGTAACTTCCCATGTTCGTAATGGCACAGTTGACCAAAAATAAGTAACACGCGTCTTAAAAGGGAGAAACAACGTGAGCTGAATATGGCACATACATAAAGTCGATAGGTTAGCTCCCGGTCAAGGCCAGATTCCCACAGTGTCCACTATAGTCTCTATTCAAGTCTAAACTTTTCCTCTTATATAAACTTTAAGCAAGCCTTTTCATTAAATTACTTTATGACAACTTAAAGATGTATTTACTTTAACAAAATGTGCATGAGCTTGAGCTACGTAGAGTAATGAAATATATAATTTAGTTTTTACAAATACAAATCTGTCACTGCATTGAGTGCGCTTATTTGTGTATTTACAAAGTCCCTTGTTTTATATAGAACTACATTCTCACTGTTCACCTGTACATAACCCCACATACTCACACGTTACGTTTTGGTTTCTTTTTTCACCATCAGGTGGTGCAAGACATCAAATTTTACTTTTTCAACTGTTAAGGGGGGATTTTTGGTAAGATATGCTCCATATTGAAATGTTATTTATTGCCAAATTGAAGTACATCATGAGCCTGTAACACTGTATGTCTAAAATTATGTCTTTGGTGTGCAAATTACATCCACATAAATGCCCCAAATTTTGCTACTAAAATAAGTTAAGGGCTACTACAGAACATCTGACTCTACCATCTAGTATTTTTTTCTTTAATACAAGCAGCCAGTGTAAACAATGCTCATATACATAATTACTGCTCTTTTGTAACGTCCCTTCAGTCATTTGGCATTTGTAAAAGTAGTGCTTCTTTGTTCTCTCACTGTTGCTGCAGCATGCTGGCACTGTAACTCCGTTTTACACTGTACAAATGTCATCCAGAGTCCATACAATTATAACAGTGGGGATGCGCTCTGCAAAAACCCTTGTTCACAAAGTTGCAAAAAAAGGAGAAGTGAAGTGTTTTCTTTTGATTTAAGTATTTTCTGGTGTTGTTCCACTTGGACATCTTCATAGTAAATGCTGTAGCAGTCTGCATACATGTCAACATTGTCTGAGGGGTGAATTCAGTAGCCCGTAGAGTTGAGTGAGTGCAGAGTAGTGAGGCGCGTCCCTGATCCTGGAGCAGTGAAGCTGTAGGCAGCGTAGGCCACAGCCGAGCCCACCATGAGGCCTGTCATGTATGATACCGTCATGGTGTTCCCTGTAGAGCAGACAGACACAAGAAGACAGGTAGAGTTTGTGAACACAACATGAAACTGTGATGTTTTTATGCATTTATGCAGTCAATATGGACAGTCATACATTTGACAGCAAACAATATCAAAGGTTATTGCAGTAAAACCTATTCTGTGGGAATAATGTCCCTCGTGTGTGCACACAGAATAATTTTAGCTCCAAGAGTTTCTTCTCCTCAGCATTAGTGTGATTAGAAGAAGCAATTATACAAGGGCTTTCATACCAATTATTTTTATTAGGATGTTAAATTTAAATTGTTAAATTCGTCTAAAGGTTTTGATCTTTTGCCCGTGTGTCCATACACTTCAGCATGATCTAATATAACAATTGCTGACTTTGCTATGACAAGATGACCTTTAGATTATGTGCAGAGGTGTGATGTGCCAAAAAGGAGGGCAGATAAAATTTAAAAGATGACATCACTGTGTTGGATTGTGTCTCTTTCTAAAATTACTCATGATCCATGAGCTCCAAAACCGTCTTTGTGCCAAGACTTCCATTAGGAAACCTGCATATAGCTAGACTAATAAAATGAGCCAGAGCAAGAAGAAGAACATGCATTCTCATTTAGGCACAATGTTTAGTAAATTCTCAAAATGTTAGCATAAAAAATAACTATAATTGAAATCATACATTCCTAACTAAATTACAGTATCTGGGGAAGTTATTTATGGCTTATTCATCATGAATCATAAGGAATATATTTTGTTGCATTTATTCATACCGGCCAACTCTCTTTGTTCAGGAGGCACTTTTCCAGCGGCTTGGATCATTGGCACTGATCCGAAGTATCCGTTAGTGACGCCCATGAGAAGGGAGAAAAGGCAGGGCCAGGCAGGGTGTGAGAGGGTGGGGGCGCTGGCAGGATAGACACACATGACAAACAGAGGGATGAAGACCACTCTGAGGCAAGAGAAGAAGAGGAGACGACCACCCGACCAGTCATACGGCACTGCAGCCAGGATCTGAGACACAAGGAATAGTTATAAAGCATTTGTAATTAGAGGCTCAAATATTATAATTATATACATTTGAATATGTTTTTGTAATTGTGCAGTTGTGTATTGGTCATCAAAAATAATTAGATAAATTGGCAACAATAAAATTATATGCAAATGTTCACAATTAATAAAAATATTATGTGTATTATTAGCTGTTTTTAGTCTCAGGTGTCAAATAAAATATGTCTGCTAGACTCGGGGAATATTATGTGTTGGGAATTTGACTTAGTTTCGCTCCTTCACTAGCCTAATTTTCCTTTCTCTATTTTCCAGTTCATTTCTCCTCTGCCATCTTATCTCATTTTTTTTTTTCAACAAAATGCTAAATTGGGCATGAGGACAAAGTCAAAGCTTATACCAAAAACCCACATTCAGGCATAATTTTTCTCCTCAACATCCAATTTAACTGGAGGACTGCAGATAATGCTTTATTCCTGATTATTTAAATGAAGTGACAGAATTTTAAAACTTTATGCGGCAGACTGGCCGCAGATTGTCCTGCTCAAGGTCAACCACGTACTTCTCCCCATGCTGAACAGAACAGAGCTTGTACAAAAAGGGCGTCTCTGCTTAATTATGTAGGCAAATTTGAAGGCTGAAAAAAAGGACTTTCACCGTAAAAACTTGTCTGTTGTAAAATAATGGACATAAAATACAAATTAAGGTGAAGATGTGTCTGCATGTTTACATAATTGTCCTAGAACTAATCTAAGTAAATTATAATTCCAAAAGAGATAGATATGGTAGTTAATTTCACTAAAAAGTTCACTACAACTTTACAATTTGTGATGTAGCTAAATTCTCTGGGTGTCAGTCACAACACCAAGATAAATATTGGATATTGGTATCAGCTGATAGGCCGATCCCCAGTCCTTACCTTGCCCACAAAGTCAGACATATTGAACGTAGCCATGATGAGGATAGGAAGCCATTCTCCTAACGTGGGGTTGCGTATTTCCGACTCCAGGCCAGGGAATAAACACAGAGTGATGCTGTAGGTCACTGCTATGGACAGCATATATGCCCAGATCACACGGGACACAACGTACCGGTGCAAGATCATGTCTGTGTGAAAATAATACGAGGTTAGGACAAAATAAGAAACTTTGGCATAAGCTGTTAATGAAGATGGATTAGAAAGTACCACGAAGGCCAGGCCAGCTTTTCCTGATCTTGGCTTTTGGGGCGTCAAACCGTACGTAAGTCCCTCCTCCAAAGTCATCCACACCTTCTTCTGTCTGTCTGTCCGAAGGCATTGTCCCTCCATTCCCCTGTGCGCACACAAGGACAATTTTTATTTTTAACCACTCACATAAGAAATACTATGAAACCATTGAAGATGAAGGACCTTCTTCCCTGAGGATATACTTCAAAGCGAGGACACTTATCTCTTTAAATTTGAGATCCTTTAATGTAAAAAGGCTAACCTCAATGTGATCCTTTTAGGACACATGAGTTAAGTGGAAATGTTTAAGAAAAGAGACTTAAGAAGTGACTTGTATTAAATCTTGGACAAAATGTTCTGTGTCCCAGGTGATTTCTAGGTGAATGTAGCAGTATCATTAGGATTCTCATTTGGTGTGGAAGAGAAAGCCAGAATCACGATGTTTAAATCATGCCCAAATATATTATATACTTATATCAACTATAGTCATGTATTAAGCCTATTATGGTTTTTGAGCAATGACCTTTTTACAGTAAATAACCATGTTAATAACCATTCAAAAGACTCAGTTCTTGCTGTTTTGCTGTCTATTTTTGCAAGCAGACCTTTGTCAAAACAACTCCAGAGGAGGGTGTTCAAATGTAATCAACAAGTTCTGCTTTTACAATTAAGACAGGCTTCGTATCAGCGTGACATCAGCACTTAGTGGCAAATGCTATTAAAATTAAGCACTGTGAATGAACTCAGCATTATTTAAAGATACATGTAATCAACGACTTGAAACCATTGCACTTTACTATAACATATGCTACAGACTAGAGAGCATGTAACCTTTCATTTGTGCTTCCTTCTATTTCCAGTCCCTCCGCCTCAAAGCGCACACACGAAAACAGGCACACACAGATCCATTAGTTGATTAGAGAGGACTCGGGGCCAGAAGGCACCACTCTTCTTGATTATCCCATAACGTAGAGCGCTGTCTCGGTCTCCCCCAGCAACCAGAACAAAGAGCAGCCTGAACCAGCCCCCAGAAGATACATGCACAGAGCACACACGCGCACAAACACACACACACAAAGCTGTCAATCAATGTGCCTGGTGCGTAATAGTGAACAAACACAGAGATGAAAAGAGCGGAGCCCGAGGTGCAGCCTGTGCCTTTGAAGCCCTAGAGCAATGCATGTGCTGGGAGGGGAATATCAGTGTAATGACATGACTTTTACAGTACAATGCACCCATCAACAACTCATCATTGGTCATTTCTGTGGTCCTCTACTCTATGCCCTTTTCTCTGTTTTGTCTCTGCTTGAAGCAAATGCAAATATAGTTCAAGGGAGAAGGTGAGTTGTAATAGCGGTAGCAGGAGTAACAGGAGTAACAGTGCCGGAAAAAGCATAGTAAATAAGATAAATGTGGTAGTGGCAGAAGTAGTAACAGCATAGTTGTAGAAAAAAGTAGTAGCACGTGTACTTAAAGCAGATGTTAGAATAGTGCTTGATTATTGGCAATGTGTGTCAATAATCCTAGAGATATAGAAGACAATATTTTTTTCAGAACTGTATTCTCAAGGACGACATTAAAACAGAAATGTATCTCTGTGTATGAAGTCAAGATATGGAACGTGCTAAACCATGATTTTAAAAGCTGCACCAGTGTTTCTAAATTCAAGAAAATGTACAAGGATAAAATAATGATGGACTATGTGACTAAGGAAAATGTTTAAAGTTAATGGAAGCACAAGAGAGATACTGTAACATGCATATGGCTCATTGATTGGTGACTTGGTTTGGTTTTGGGGTGGGAACGATTATTAAAGAAATGTTTCATTTTTTGATCTGTGAAAGGAGCAATGTTTATAAGATTTATTTTCGTCCTGTTCCTTTTGTTCATGCAGCAAAGACAAGGCAAATAATCATAGAAATAGTGTATGTATTTGTTAATTTTCAGATTTGTGGTTGTTGTTGTTCTCTTTAAATTGATGCCAGCAAAATAATAGCGTGAGCAATAAATAAATAATCTAAAAAAAAAGAGAGATATAGCATTAGCAAAGGCAATATTAAAAAGCAGAAAGAAGAGACACTGAACAACACTTGGTCGCTACACTGTAGGGTCTAATACTTTTGAATGGATGCTTCATTTAACTTTAAAAATGGAAGATCCTGATAGCAGCAGTTACAAAACAACAATACAATGACACAAAGCCTGTTTCAACTATAATCCACATTTGAGCAAACTGTACTTGATGACAGATTTTGATTTCTACTTGCACCTGCTCTCGCTGCTCCTCATCCTTCTCCACCCTGAGCACTGTGACTTTCATTTGTGCAGCACGGAGGGGGCCCCTGTCTCATCTCCATCTGCCTTCTACCTGTCTCACCCTCTGCTGCTCCACCCACACATCCCACACAACAAACCCGCAAAGTCCCAGTCTCACACATACTGTAGCTCTTTGACTCACAGCTCGTAGCTTCAGCACATTTAAGTGTTTATCAGTGCACAGTCCCTGGCATCAATACAGAGTCATTATTCAGCGCCTGCCGCACTTCAAGCAGGTATGAAAAAGGTGTGTAAATATCAGACAGTCTCTATGGGTTATTAACAGCTTATTAGGGATGTAACAATAACCAAAATATCGCAATATCGTATCGTCAAATGTCTCTCAATAATACCATGGGCCATCACAATTTGTCGAATCACAAGTTTCTTTGCTTAAATTCATTGTTATGGTGCAGCAATAGCTAAAAAAAACAAATGGAACTACATCAACCATGATCCTTTGCTCTGTTTTGGCGCAAACTACATGAAGAAATAACAGTTCTAAGCACTTTTAAATCTTAGTTCTTTGAATTCTTGTCAAGGCATTTTAAGAGGAAAAAGTAGCATATTCACAATTTTGTTTGCCTCCAAAAAATATCGCAATAAATATCATACCGTGAGATGTATATTGTGAAAATATCTTACTGTGAGATTTGGATATTGTTACTTTCCTACAGTTTATAATAAACACTTAAATTATACTTCTGAAAGTATAACTGAAAGAAATGTATCCCAATAATAAAGATATGATTTTGCCTTTTTAATATGCATCATATAATACTAAAAATATTGATTTGCACCAATTTAAAAATGGAAATGCACAGCTTTATTGCAGAAACAACTTACTTTATCTGCAATAAATTGGTATTTAATGTGCAATGAATCCACATTCTGGATGTATTAATATGCATTAGGGCATTGTGTACCTTCTTTTAAAAGATATATTTATAATAAAAAGTCTGCTTTAGATTTTAGAGCAGAGAGCAGGAAACTGTCGGCCCCTGTGATGTATTGCCCTGTATCTGTGCCACAGATTGGACCAGCTAATTTTTATCACAAACACAAAACCCGCAACCCAAATAAATGCTTCGAATCAACAATGACAATGAATGAATTTACATTTCATTAAAACCAATGTTTTGAGCAATATGTTATAAAAGAACAGTGCAGTAAAGTGCAGTGCAGTAACATAAGATAAGATAAACCTGTGACGCAGTAATATAATCCAATGCTATTAGAAAATGTGCAATATATTAGATGTTAAAATGCATATGTTAACTTAACTTAATTTGTATATTGCATTACAAATGTTCATTATTTTGGACTGTATATTTTTAAGTGAAAGAAAACTGAAGACTTACAAATCTTACTTCCTCTGCCGTGACGTCATGGTGTACTCTGTATCCTGTCCCATTATCGCGAGGGTCGTGACCTTTGCCCGGGCCTTTACCCTGTGCGTGGCTGGTGTAGTAGCGCACAAACCGAGAGCGGCGCACGAGCAGGTGAAGCAGAAAGCAGAGCATCTCCATACTGATGGACACCAGGAAGAAAATAAGCGTGTTCCTGCGTTCGTCCGGGATGAGCAGCTTGGTGAAAATGCGAGACAGAGAGATGATGACCCCAGCTGTGCCTTCACACCGTAGGACAAAAGCACAGAGATTAAAATGGAGAGTGTGATGGATGCAGTAGATAAAAATAGCAGTGTGAAAACAGGTATGAGATTAGAAAGAGGTGTGTGCTTACTCTCTCCTGTCATCACCCCCTGTGTGTACCTCTTGGGAAGCATCCCCATGTAACCATAGAAACTGGACTGCTGCACTGAAGAGACAAGAGAAAGAGCTTATGTGAACAGACAGTGGCTGGACACAGTCAACACGGCGCAGACTCAATTTATTTAGACACACATGTTGCAAAGCACAAGAGAGAAGCAGACTCAACCTCAGATAATTACAAAAGTACTGTTGACTTCAAGGTGCATTGGCAAGGGACAGGCAGGAGTATGTGAAAGTCATTAGCAGTATAGTTGTAGAGGCTCCTGAATGCTCCATGGATCCTACAGCGTAGCTTGTTCATTGTTGTAACTGCCTTGTTATTGATTGTAACACCATCACTACACATTATGGTCCATTTATATTCAATATGGAGCTGGACAATTGTATTTGAATTGAAGTAATACATATTCACAAGAGAGCTGCTCTGATTATAAGTTTAGTAAAGATTCAGATGCAGTAATCAGAAGTACTGACATTTTCAAGGTACTCTAGAAAATGAACAAACTATTCCTTATCCCTTTCCATAAATATTTATCTATGAGTAACTCTGCTGCCCTTTTCTGTTCAGTTGGACCTGCTTCAGTGTAATTCCATCCTCTTTAGTCATGCATTTGAAATGAATAGTGTCCCTGAGAATGTAGATTCAGCAGCACATCTAATGAAGCAAACATCATTTCCAGTAAATTATATATTCAATAACAAAAGCTCTTTCCTCTCTCTGTATGTGTGCTGTACTTTGAAAAGGACAAACTGTATAGATTTTTCACTGGCATATTGTTGAGTGTGTAACATATATTCGTAGCTACCTGTACATCCAAATGCCACCACTCCCACAGACACCAAGTTTATGATGTATGCTTGTCTTGTGGTAAACTTTTCCAGCCACACATCAAAAATACTGACAAAGACCAGCGGCCCCAGTGCAAGGATGTAACCTGGATAGAGACAAGACAGACAATACAAAACATTTAAGCAAGCTATGACTCAGCTGTGTGACTGAACGCATATCTGACTGGTTGACACGTGAGAAGAATTGCTTTTAACTTGCGCCCACTACAAACCTACAATCCCCAGAGACGTGCTTTGGTGCAGACAACACACTTCAAAAGATATCTGCTCAAGGATGGAGCTGCAGCTATTTTAATACTAGTGCAGAGAAAACACAGATCGTACAAGTGTAGATATCAAACATTTCCTGAGGGAGCATGCATATTTTACACCAGTGCCTCGAAAAGACTTTTTTGACTTTCTGAGTGGGCTGAGCAGTGCTGTAGCTTAGGAATTGAGCACTAGAGTTTTGGGCAATATTAACATCTTAAAGAGAATAAATGCATAAATGCTTTACTTCAAGCATTATTAATAATTTTTCTTCAATAGCCCTGATGCCTCATACAAAAAATGTAGTAGCATTTTATAATGGAGATAAAAACACTTCCATTTCAGATGTTTGAAGGAAAAAAAACAGAGTAAGCACTTAGGGAGTCTGTGACAACAGAAATGAAAGCTCAAAATATCAACAAACCATTCTTGTATAAGATTTACAGGTCATGCAATAATAGTCAGGCTGGCGCCACCTAGTGCCTCCACTCAATTTCATTTCTTTCCAGCGACTAGTTCAGGAATCGGAATACACTAGACAGGTTGCAAGAACCGCAGAAGTTGTAGACCCCGCACTGGTCAATCAGCAAAAAGCTGAACCAACCCGAGTTGCGATAGCAGACTGCACACATTATCCTCCTTTGGACTTCCTTTGTCAAATACAAACTTTGCATTTTTTATTGCACCTTTAATTCGCAAGTTCATCTCGCAAAAATGACAATGATCGTTGACAGACATGTTCACTCTCTGCTTTGTTTGCTGTTGTGCCAGCAATTACTTGGACACCACTGAGCATTCCAGCACATTACATATGTCACAACCAAACAGCAGCGATTGTTTAAACAAAAAAAGCACCAGCCTACAGTCGAGTAAATGAATCCTAATGCTGCGAGGTCAGAGGGTTTCCACAAAGTGAAACCGGTTGATGAATCAGGCTAATGCAATAAGGTTATTGGACAAAATTCCTTAATTGATATAGCAACAAGCCAACTATGCTTAATTAAACTTCTTTTAATTAACAATATATCACATTGTTTTTAAAGAGCTTCTCTTGAAAAATAAACTATTGGTGTGACTTACCCACAGTGATTCTGGTGTGCATACTAAGCCTCTCCACCAGGACATTGTTGAGGATGACCGCCAGCAGTGCCACCAGTATATACGTCAAACTCATGTCAAACACAATGGACGTCCCTGTTAACCAAAAACGTGAAAAATTGTAAACACCAGCATCTTTTTGTCGATATGTTTTTATTGTTCATACCCTCAAACTTGTGGTGCAGGTAATCCACATCAGTGATGAAACTGTTGTATGGTAACAGGAAACCCACTCCAGCCAAAAGCATTGCGAAGTAAATGCCATGGTAACGGTCATCGGGAATCGGCTCCTCGAAGTCTGGGCAAGGAAGTGGAAATAGCCAAAGGTCAGAATATTGTAAAGGCAACAATATGGAGCTCATATGAAAAATGCCAGTAGGTGAAGCAAGAACATTGTGTTGACCTAAAGGAAAGAAGGATGAATGGGGTGGCAGTGATTGATCACACAAACGACCAGTGGTGGTGGAAAGAGAACAGAGAGTTTTGACTCAAGTAATAATACAGTGTACCCATTTACAAGTACTGCTGCCAAGTTACTAGTTACGCTACTTTTTAACATAATTTTAGAACCATTTTAGATCAGCTTTTTGGCTGAAGAAAATCAATTTAACTACACTACACACTACACATATTCACTCAGATAACCCAATCAGTGCAGTTTACACAGTGCTCTATTATATGTTTGTGGGTTCAAAAAGAAGCAGATACAGCAGCGAGACAGCTGTGCATTAGTCATTATAGTATTAATGTACATGTAATTAAGTAAAATTACATGTGAGTACAAGTATATCTTAAAAATTCTATTACATACAATACAGTTGTACCAAAAAATCTACTCATTTACCGTAACATGGACGTTTATAAATAGTTACTTCTACTCTGAACAAGAACCAGCTGCATGAGAACTACAGTTTAGTCCATTTAAAAACATGGGACTAGTGGATTTTGCTGCTGATTCAGTGAATATGTGACGTGCTGATCCTTTGTGCGACAGTTCATAATCCGCTCCTAATCCTCAGAGCCAGTTCTAAATGGTTTTAAATGATTTTTGGGCATTTAAATCTGACTCACAGCTAAACTAATGCTATAAACAAAGAAAACTCCAATGTATTACTGCAGCCTTTAAGACTGCAACTCAGATTTGGTTTGTTTATGATACATTGTGCAGGCACAGTACAGTCCTACTGGCTACTTCACAATGGTATACAAAAGGAACAAGACAGGATTCTGCAAGATCTGGGTGAAGCCTCTGTATGTATTGTGCACTGAAGCAAAGAAAGTGAATGTAATCTACGCCAACTCATAACCTTTGTGAGAAGTTCTTGCAAACAAATTAAATCACACAAAAACAATTGAAAAGATAACCTGTATATTGTGTATGACAACAATGAAGGTAACTGAGATGGACATGGGGAACTGTGTTGTGTTTGTGCAGCAGCTGATTCTGCACTGTCAACATAATGGTTTTCCGCGGTTACACAGACAGAATCATTGCTTGCACTAACTCAAACCTCATTAGCACGACATTCAAAAAAGAAGACATCGCTGCACTGTTCACGGTGAATGGCGGTTGTCTGGGCTCATTGTACTGGTGCTTTTAGCTTAGATTTCACCTTAAATGACCTGCACAATATGGACTCTGCTGATGTTTTTTCTTTCAGAGGAAATGGCCTACTTTGTGCTATTTGTAGAATGTATATTTTCGATATGAGCCAACCAAGGTATAATAATAATACGTGTACAATGTTGGATTCATAAAGAATCTCCAAATGCGCACTTTTGCTGACAAAGCCGAGGACAAATACAAAGCAGTTAATGAGTCTCTGTTGCCAGACTCTTTAGGGCCCTCGCTGTGAGTAGCTGGTCACTACTGATTAAATTAACTTGGCCTTTGTGCTACAGGAGTAACCTGGCAACAGAGCAATTTTCTCTTCACACAGCAGCCTCCTGTATTCTACATAAACTCTGCACTGTTTCCCTCTGCCCACCTCCAGACACAAACCACTTTGAATATAAATGTTTCGATCTGACATCTCACAGTACTGAATGGCCCCTCACCAGGTTCAGACAGAGCCAGCACTCCTCGCTCTGGGGCATCTTTGCTCATCTCCTCCTCCTCCAGCTGGTACGAATCGAAGCTATAGCTCTGCACCACGCCACTCTCTCGCCCATCTCGCCAGCCCATCCGCCCAGGGTCTCTCCACAGGTCTCTGTCATCAGGGGTCAGGGCAGGAGCGGGTCTGCGCCTCTCCGCCGCCACTGAACCCAACTCCGTACTGGACGTATACATGACAATGCTAAGAACAGAACTTCACTCTAGGCTCCTGCAGTCCCAGGGCTCTGCATGGTAAAGAGACACACCCCGCTCAGGAAAAAGCCATGCAGGGGACCTTCAGATGATGGAGGGTCTGCAGAGAGAAAACAACAGGAATCAGAGGGAGGGTTTGAATTTAAATGGAAAGTAAGAAACCCAAGTATAGAAAAACGACTTCTGTCACAGACTCACTGAAAGGAAGCTTGGAAAGAGTCAAGGTGAGACACCATAAAGAAATGGCTATGTGAGCGGCATACTGAGTGTGTGACAAAGCAACCATGACTGAGTGTCAAGCACAGTGAGCTGCACTGAATAAACAAACTCAGTGTATATAAGTGCAGCTCTGGATGCTATCTGTTTGCTGTCTCCTATAAGAAAACTTTATGCATGAGAACTGGAGATATCAAAAAAGTCAAGATAATATGAACTTTGATATAACAGTAGGACTGGGTTGCAAATTATAATTATTTAGAAAAATAATTAAGAAAGAATTACAAGCCACAGGGAAGACCTTTAAATAGCTGCTCTTTGTTAGTCATGACTAATTTAAATGTCAGTGCTTCTTTGAAGTTGTCTGTAATACTGAATGCATTATTACAATACAATACAAAGTGCTTTACACATCATGTCCACCATTCATTTGGATTTAATAGTTGAGACATAGCCTACAGAGCAAAAACAACTTTAGTTAATGACTGTGACAATACATTCTGTTGTAGTCTGTTACTGTTACTAAACACTTATGCCACAAGCCACAGTCAATAATCCACATGTTGCCTCAGTATCAATTAAAATATAGATTTTTACAATGAATGTTTAGTTAAGTTTCACCCCAGGGAGAGTAGCCGACTGTTAAGCTCAGCTAATGGGGATCCTAAATAAAAACAAAATGTTGATTTAATGTTTAATAGACCTTATCAAAAGCTCTGTCAATAAATACTCATTTAAATGCCTGGCCCATGCTGGGGAAACTAAAGAAAAGCAATCAATCACAGTATTAGCCAAGAGCCATACTTGATTTGCTTCACCACCTCACCTAATGTACAAGTAGTGTACACATGTACCCCCCCCCCCCCTCATGTTTAAATTTAGGTAACTTTCAATGCTCCTTTATGTTGCATTCACCAAGGCCACCAGTGACGGAAAATTAGATTAAAGTGTCAATCAATAATGAGTATTGACTTGGATCCAAATGCAAATATGCTTTAGGAACATGAACAAAAGCTCATCTGCTCCTGTCTTGTCCTGCCATCAGTGATCTGAAAGGTATCCAGTGGGGCCTGTCGAGTCCAGATCAATATCTTTGCTAATTAGGGCCAAACTTATGAGTGGTGTTTGAGATATAATGCAGGCAATATGTAATCATTTGTGTTTCTTAAGTAGATCAGTAGCTGATTACAGGAAACACTATTCCCTCTACTCACGGACATGTTTCTCTTATCAGACTCTAGGCGGCGCTCTCGGTCTCGCTTGTGTAAATTAAAATGAACGGGGATAATTGACTTGCAGTTAATATCACGCTGCAGTCCCCATTGTTGCAACGTGTTACGATAAATGGCTCCAAATGGCGTTTATTTACACTTCCCACGGGCAACACAACAGACCATAAATCCTAAGCTTATTATTGGCCGCAAAGTGCACAGTCAATTAACCTTACGAGGGCTGGACGTTCAACAGATCCCCGTGAAATTTTGTATTGAAGAAGAAGAAGAAAAAAAAAACACGGCAAAACGAAACGTGATCAAAATTAATGCCGATCTGCGCGTTTTTTTCCCGGGGAATAAAGGTCGAAACCGAAAGCACGCGCAATCCGAGGTCTGAATTCACGCTTTGATTTAGTTTGGTGTATTTATTTGTGTAGAAAACATTTAAAAAGCACGCGTTTTCTTCTTAATAATCAGACAAACAACAGGTTAGCCTACCTCCGCGTCGCTCACTCCTCTTCACTTTGTCCTGTTCCGCTTTATCAGGATGTTCCGGAGAGGCCGCTCCAGCCCGGGTCCATGCGCAGCCGAAGCCAGGGGGGTCCCGGTGGATCCAGCCGCCGTCCTGTCCTCCGTCCTCAACCCGCCGTCCAGGAGCAGAGGAGAGAGGAGAGAGGGAGATGAAGAGGAGAGGAGGAGGAGGAGGAGGAGGCTGGTGCTCGGATGGATGGATGAGAGAGGCGAAGGGGAGGAGGAAACAGAGAGAGAGAGACGAGAGGGGGATGAAGTGATTGGGGTATGTTGCCTGTGGTTGTTCATCTTTTGCAGTCACTCTTTTTGAACACACACCATTACTGCTCATATAAAACTGGTGACATCCATGTTTTAATCCAAGTACACTGCATTCAGACTATAGTGTATTGGTTCAAAGAGGCTGTATGTTGCCAATAACACATAAAAAAGAATAGCATACACTGTGAGGTAAAGTGTTAGAGCCAAACACTACAATAGGGTGACCAGACATCTCTATTTATCCGGGGCAGTCCCAGTTTTGAGCCTTGTGTCCTCTGTCTCAGCAGATTTATACAAAACTAGTGATTTGTTCCAGTTTTATACAAGACATTTTCCTATTTTTAACCAATTTGATCTATGCCAGGAGTAAACTAAAACTAAACCAGTACTACATCAGGTCTAAACCAGGACTAAAACAAGACTATCACAATTGTCATTTGTTTGACCATGAAGCAAAAAATGTCCCTCATATTATGACTGATACAAGAATGCACAATGTTACACTTTTCATGTTTTGTTTTTTTTGGTCACCCTACACAATGCATCATTCACACCAAACCAGGGTTGGCAAACTGAGCAATGATTCAAGACTAAATAAGTGTAAAAACTACTAAATTGACTAAGATTAACTTCAATCACTTTGTTCACTGTACTGCTGAGCTTATGAAATCCCTCGCGGACCTGCATGAATATTGCAGAAATTGTATTTAATCAGTTATTTCAGCTGATTTAGTAATTTCAGTCGTGCTTTATTGTGTAAAGCGCATGTCTGCCTTGAGCCCTAGAGGGAGGGAAAGAGGGAGAGAGTTAAAAGAGGGATCTTCTCTGTGCCCTTACTGTCTCTGTCTGGCTCATCACAGACACTGGGCTGGAGCTGCTATGTGACAGACATTTTTATCAGTTCATTTCAATATGTTAATGCTTGGCCTTTGGTGCCACAAAGGAACTGAGCCATATGTGCAGTCACTACACGCCGCTACATAGCAGTCTGTATATCTGTACGACTTTTCATCACAAGTACAGCCTTCTGCGCATGCATTGCAGCTTTAAATAACCTACACAATTTCTGAGCGTCCCCCTCCCTGTTTGCTCTTTCCTCAACTCCCTTCCCCAATCCATCTTCTTCCCACATATAAGTGCTTATAGGTGAAATATTGACTAATGCTTAATAGTGTCTGTTATAGGTTATACATAATGAATGTCTGGTTTGAAATCAACAATACCTGCTAAGCCTGCTCTTGCAAAACTAAAATAAAACACCAGTACAGGACAGAGCTGAAAAAAGAAAAGCAAAATAGAGCTAGATTGTGAGACGTAAAATGAGGACAAGGGCGTTTGTCATGCAGACATTCACAGCATAAAACTTTTCCTTTTTTTCTGTGTGTGCCTGTAAATGTCTTGGAGTTCAAGTATCGCACAAAATGTGAATGGTTTGTAAAATTAATCACAAGTGCAGAAATATCACCGCATATCCTTGTTTAGAAGATTCCACTGCAAGTTTCTGATCGTTTTGGTTTTCTCATTCATAAGTTTGCCCTTAAGATAAATTTATTACAATCAGTATTAATTTCTTTGGATCAGTCACGATAACACATCTCGAAGTAGGACATATTGCTGAAGGAAATATAGACATTAAATGATAATACTGAAACAAATTTATACCTCTGAAACCACAACTTGAGCAGATTTTAGTACAAAAATTATTCTAAATCTTCAATATTGTTAAAAAAAACAAAAAAAACATGAGCTGCAACAAATAAATCACTGAATGGAACACTTAGACTTAGACAAACTTTATTGATCCACAAAGGAAACTATTTGGACAAGGGAAATTACTACTTATTACTTTTTGTTTAGTTTTCATCTGTAATGTGTCATAGAAGTTATTACATCGACCTTCTACAGCTCAAATCTTATTGTATAGGCAAAAAATAAAAAAAAATTGCTAAGAAAACATACACATGATAAAAATTGACCCCAAAAATATTGTTCCAGCTTTCATATATTGAACAGTAAGTCAATAGAGTAATTATCGTGACTAGATTAGTGAATTCTTTGTTTATTCCTGTAAGCCTTTTGAGAAGTTTGTTTTAGACAGCTAGTATCTCACCTGTTTGTCCTGATTTATCTGACTTGCCAAACTTGTGTCTGTTATTATCAGATTGCCTCACGCCTTTCCCACTTGGCCATAGCTTGTCTTTGCTGATCATCGCTTTGGATTTGTACTTTGTTATGAAATGTAATGGATTGTCACATTGTTTTAGCATACAGCAATTTGAGCAATTACAGTTTCGGGCTTTGCTTGGGCTCCTCTTGCTATTTGTTCCCCGTAAACATTGCACTATTATGATTTACAAATGCCATGCCATGTTACACCACCCTCTTACTACATTTTGCAGTGTTTTTCCTTCACTACACACTCCCACCTCCCCTTCTTGCAGCCTGGCAAAGATGCTGAGCCTTAACTGTGGCTATATTTAGCTTTTGGTTCAATCAATGGAGGTAGAGCCATAGCGCCATGACTGTGCATACTGATAGTGGTAGAGCCCATTGCCACCGACTGTCAATTCAGGAGAAAGAGATAAAGAAAAATGTGAAAAGAAAGCGATCATGAGTGTAAAAAGAAAGCGAAAAGCACCAGAAACATCAAAAATTCAACAAGAGAGACAGACAGATGGGGCCCTATTCCTATCACACGACTGGAGAAAGACAGGAGAAGTGGTAAAAATGGGGGGGGGAAAAGCAGGTATCGAGGTGCAAAGCGTGCAGGTGAGGTAGAAGGATGGAAAGAACAAGACATGTGCAACCACTAAGGCACAGGAAACAAGGGATGACAACAGATGGAAAGGTTAAACAGAGAGGTGGATTTGAAGATGAAGACAGCTGACAGAGGAGAGAGAAGCAAAGAAGTCTACCAAAGAGAAATGGAGAGTGAGTTCACACACAAGAGCAAGAATGGGAATACTGCAACCTTTAGATTCATGTTGGAATACCATGTGGCTGTGTGGATTTGTAGGGAAATTATAGTTGAGAGGCGTTAGGAGGAGAGAGGAGAAGCTGGCACGGAAAGTGGTGGTAGACTCTACAGGGACTCCATGACATTATAAAAAAAGACATACAATATTTTCACTGCTGTTGTAAATTAGGAATAAAATTAGGGGATAATAATGGCCGAAAAGAGCCAGTGGAGTAACGAATTATGCTATTATTTATACACTCACTCTATTCAATGTGTATGTAGATTTTAGATCATACTAGTCATACATTATTTTGAGTACCAAGTTCACTCGTTTTGATGCAGTTTAGATCTGCATTCTGTGGCAAGGCTTGTCTTTTTCAGCTCTACATCATGTATTTTATAAATCACTAGCTGAGTCCAAGATTCAGAGATTTGCGGCTCTGTTTGAGTGAGCCTCATTATCACAGCTCCATCTTGCCGCATTTGTTTATTAAAGGTTGCTATGTAACAGTGAGCCCCCCTTATCATCTGATTTAGGCAGCTATGTTATAATTATATATTTGGTTTAGTTTTAGCAGATATAGGATAGGAAATCATGGTCAAATTTGTCCTAATATGGTAAAGGTCCAAATGACCCCCCCAAATAATAAAAGATGCATACAAATAATGGGTTTATTTTGTTAATTAGGAAGAATTATATTATTAGAGTGTTGAGTGTTGGGTTTTTGTAATCTGCACAAGTCCATCTTTGATAAGGTGCTGTTCTAATAGTGCTCCTTCCATTAGTGTGTGATTGTGAATGGCATAGTTTGATTTAGTGCAGACCTTTATGGCAGTGTTGAATGAAATGGTCCCTGTGGAGTGTTTCCACACATGAGTGAGCTCCTCTCCTGTCTGTCTACACCAGTCCTCTGAGGTCTCCTCAGGGAGCATCATCAGAGCTACTGTTAGCTACTCCTCCATGATCGCTGTACCTCTGAAGAGATTATGGAAATGATACGATGGTTTATAAAATTGTTGCCAATCCCTCTGGTGTGCCTCTCTGGTGTTAGTATGATACGGGCTTGTGTCCAGGCTGGAGGGAACATGCAGTTCACCAACACTTACAGGGAAAATAAAATAATGATAAGAAAACACAAAAGCTGTGTTGATAGAAAAATAATAAATCAAATAAATAATAGTAATGACTATAGTTTTGAGGCAGACATATTGATAGTTGTGAAAAGGCTTCATTAAATACAAATAAGATGATCTTTTCAGCTAGAGATGGAAGGGTTGCTGTGAAAGGTCAGCAGAGCCCCTCCTCTCTCTCTTTTACTCTTCATTCTCTCCCTCCTTTCTACTTTTCTCTAACAGTCTCTCCTCTTTATCCTCTCTGTCCTTTATTACAACACAAACCCTTTTTTCTGCCTCTCCAGTCAGTGGTCTCCTGCATTTGTCTTCTTCCATCTCTTTCCATCAGCTTCAAAGAGCTGTCTCTGTGCCGGACCTCGGGGGCACCTGCCTCTTGACATGGAATAAAATCATCCAAGCCCTTGTGTGTTGTATATGGAGCTGGTTCAGCACAAAGGCCCAAGGCAACTTTACACCAAGCAAACAAAGCTAATAAACAAACCGTAGAACCTGGCAGCTAGGTCAATTCTGCTTCTAGGTTTACTCTATAAATTAGATTTCCTTACTGTAGTTGGTAACCCTCACAGGCCAAATGACATTATGTGGCCTGAATCTGAAACAAAGTGTTGTAAATTTGTCACCTTTAGGGTGTGTTCTGGCACAAACACAACACTCAAGAGATTGGATTGGATTAAGAATTGGCCATGTTTGTGTACAAAAGATAGGAGCAGCTGACTAAATAGATGTTTTGTCTCCAGCACCATATTTCTGGTATAAAATTTGATTGTGCCTGTCATTTTGCCAGAACTTTAAAAAATACCTAATCCATATTCAGATCAGTGGACCTGAAGAATGACTACCTCACTGTGAAAGGAATCATTTATAGGAGGACTTGTGAAGTGTTAACAAGTCATGCACTTTTAATTTCACTTTGTCTTTAAGGTAAACAGTTAACAATTTAGATTAACTGTTGTGGAATGTGATAGACACATAAAATACACAAATAATACATCAAAAGACAAAAGACAGCTAGGTGGTTTAAGTGTTTTTGCCACTACTCCCAAGAGCAGCAGCAGCTTTGAATAATGATGACTTCAGGTGCTGGGGTTTAGATAGAGAGGATTCAGATCCTTTTAGGTTTAAACCTACGTGCAACTCATCAAATGTGTCTCATTCTGCTTTCTGATTGAGATAGATCAGAGATTTAGTGCTCGCCAAGCCATGGCTTTGGGCAGTCTTGCAAATTGAAAAATCCACAGCCAAATTTCAAGTGAGCTTTTCTAATTGTTACTAAAACTGTTCCATAGTCTGCAGTCTTCTTAGCAATCTGAAGATCCCAGCACCACCCCAATAACGATTTGTACTTTATTTTAGCCTATTATAGTCAGGACACATTAGAACTACAACAAAGTGTACTATATGCACCCAAGTTGCTAAATATCTCTGGTCTTATGGGTAAAAGGACAAAATATTTGATTAGTTTATAAGCTGTGTCTTATGAATCTACTATTGATTATTATAATCATTATTATTTTAGGGTGAGAAATGTCACGAAGGAAAGGTGATTGAGCCTGCTTCATATGCTGCCACCTGGTGGACAGATGTGATCTTCCCTCCCATAATGCTTTCGTCGTTTTCCCATCGTCCCTTGCTTTCAGCTCTCTGAACTAGTCAAGATGGCGGACAGACCAGGTAATTTAGCGTGCCCTTTGTAGAAATATGTAATATTTTTGTTTTTATGTGGCCCTTTGTTTGTGATGTTTGCTTAAACATTGTTTAATGTTTCCCATCCGAGATACTGTCGTGTCGTATTTTATCTAAAGACTAAATCAACCTTTTGATGAACAAGTCCCGTCAAGGACTTCGAGTGTCATTGGCAGGTTTGCAAAAATCTGTCAATGTCAACATTCATTTTCTATTTTATAAAACGTGTTGAGTTTATCATTAATTTGCACAATTTTGGTATGACACCCTCCTCCCATGTTGTACTTATTGGCATATTTGACTGTCTTGCATTAGCTAGCGTAGCATAGTTAGCATAACTCTTGGATGAATGATAGAGTTCCGAGTTCCGATTTGCACATTGTAAATAACGCAACATTTTCTTCTTTCATTGGCGTGATGAAGTTATTTTCTTTGCCTGTTAACGTGTTTAGTGAGATTGCAGTTTGCTGTAGTTGCGGAAAGCACATTAGAATCAAAACTATTGTTTGGTTTATGTAATACTTGTCAGGGCCATACACAAGTCATTGAATTGTGTTCGTCGCCTGAAGTCGTCAAAGCTGCTACAATTTTTGGCTGATGTTTGTTTCCTTGACAGTTCCCATTGTTGAGAAGCGACTGATGGACGTGAAGCTTGGTGAACTGGGGACCTGGCTTGGAGGCCGAGACTTCACTCCTAATGGAATTATTGCATCCCTCCGAAGAGGTTAGTAAATATATATATATATAATTTATATTTTTTTTGTTAAAGCACGTTTCTTATTCATGGTGCATACATTTATTTAACCTTTTTTTCTTTAGGCCACGACAGATACTACAACAAGTACATCAATGTAAAGAAAGGAGGCATTGGTGGCGTGGCGATTCTGCTTGTTGGATATATAGCCCTCAGCTATACGTGGGAATATGATCACCTCAGTAAGAATAATGATGTTTTGTGTTGATGGAAATGTTGATTGATTCAATTCTGTAAAAAAAATCCAATTATTTCATTCCAGAACATGACCGCTGGAGAAAGTACCATTGATCTGCCAATAGATTCTCAAGGGTTGCAGAATCGTCACCTGCTTTCACCTCTGTTCTGATTAATCTGTAATTGTTGTGACCAATAAATATTAAATGATATGGAATGCCTTTTATTTTAACACTATAAAATTAGTTTGGGCTCTATACATCAATGGAATTTGACCACAGTGAAATAAAATTTGAGTATTGTGTTCTTGTTTGGTTCTAATGCTGGGGTTTTAGTTTTTGGTCATCACTGAATTGTATTTGCCTTTGAAGCAAGAGTTTCATTGTCAAAGCCCTTTTGTAATTGAACCTATTGCTACTATAATTTCCTATCTTGTATAATGCGTTTGAGTAATGTCTATACATTTAAATATATCAATTTAAAATGTAATTTTAAGTACTGAATTAAGGACATGGCATAACAAATCAAAGTAACAGTTTCAAAAGGATTTTTGAAGTAGAATAATCTGTACAAGACTGAGAATGCACTCCATTGCCCTAAAAAGGTCCCAGTTTGTTTATTTGTACTTCTCACAAAATAACAGCTAATACACAATGTCTGAATTTTTCAGTTGAAAAATCAAGTAAAACGAAATTCTGAAAGCATTAAATAGAAAATCGGTTAACACAAATGGTTAACCAGGACTCTGCAATTAATTTCAGATTTACATTGGTTAGACCCAAACTATCAGTGCTGATGGAGAGAGACATCCGGTTTTAAAAACTGGCACACTGTTAACACATAACATAGACCATGCTGCCCCCTGGTTATGTATTCAGTCTTTCAAACATGCCAGTTTGTTGCCACTTAGTTGTTGCCATCAGCCTTGCACTGATGTCGTAGATCTGAATTGAGGTTGATTCTACTGCCCGCTCAGGAAGGCAAGATGACCTTTAGTGCACTTGTTGGCATAGTGTCCCTTCTCACCACACTGCAACAAATAAAAGTGTAGAAACATGTTGGAACAGTTGCATCAACAAGGGTGAACAGCATAAAACGTGACAAACCTTGTAGCAAGTGACCTGGTCCAGTGGCCGAGGGCCCCTGGCCAGCATGTTACTCTGCTGTGCCACAGATGTTATGTTGTTTTGTGTGCGTGGACCTGGACTGGAGTTGGTCAACTGAATTAAAGAAAGTGACGAGCGACCCGCATTGGAAACAACCTGTGGAAACAAATGGAGATTTGACAGATGAACTATTTCTGTAATGTGTGCAATAAAGTTAATAAGTAAGCTTACTTTAGTCAGGTTTTGGCCTTGCTGAGGGAGAGGTGGCTGTTCTGAAGCTCCCATTGGCAACTCAAAACGAGGACTATATGAGAAAGAAAATATAATTGCAATTGGATGATGATTTTAAAAGAAGACTTATTAATAGTATGGACAATTAAAATGTGTTAAGTTTAGGTTAAAGTTTAATATGACAAAAATTAAACTCTGCTGTGTTTTTTTTTTTTTTTTTTTTTTTTAACCAAGCTTTCAAACAAAGTCCTAACATTTAACCACATACGGTTTATATTTTGAAAACAACTTACTGCATAAATTTACATGACTTTCCTTCTGGGCAGAATCCCACAAGATAATTTACACATATAACTCTTCTTGTATGTCTGTGTCTGCAGTCAGGCCCTGTGTCAGAAATATGCTTATTAAAATGTTAAAAGAAGAAAAAGATAAAAACATAAAAGGAGGTGGGGGCTCACCATGTTTGCAGAAGCCTCTGTCATACCAAGGACAATCTTTAATTTTGGACTCTGGATCAATGTGTAAGAAAGGACATTCTTTGTTGCTGCATTCACCTGATAAAAAATATGAAAATGAAATACTACAACAGAAGTATAGGAGTGGATAAATAAATTCTAAAAAGTCCTACCAAATTTGGAATAGAAATAGCATTCAGGCATTTTAGTCATGTCATATTCATGAAGAAACTCGCACTGATCACCCTTCTTGCACAGTCCTCTAAGCCAGTGTTTACAAACAACAGTCTTCTCTCCGCTGATGTGACGAAAGGGGCACATTCCACCTGTGGATTAAAACACTGATTTTCTATGATTCTGTTACTAACCTTATATAATTGTAGATCATATTATGTTCATACCTTTTTGACAAGCTGCTCGCATGAAAAACTCACAAACAGCAGATCCAGACTCTAGAGACACATTTAGGTGAAAAATACAATATAAACAAAAACAAGTGCTGCAGCATGCACCAAGCTTCCAAATGAGCAGGTGGATGGTAGAGTTTAAGTTGTAATTTATTAATTACATCAATCTGTTACTTGTAGATGAGTTACAATATTGAATATTGTCACATTACTCTTGAGTGATATTTGGGGCATCAATACTTTTGAGTCAAACTATCTTTTCCTTCTTGAAACTTTCTTTCTTAACTACATCCTTACACTTAATAATACATCAACATTTAAAACAATTCTACAACACACAGGTTCTACTCGAGTGATGTTATTATTTTAAAGTTAGTAGGCAAAAAATAATAATTTCATAAATAAAAAAATACAGCGGTCTCTGCAAGGTCCCAGTGGTCTGATTGAAGCCAATACAGCTCCTAACTGGAGGAACTTACTGTCCATGCCGGGGAAAGGAAGGGGCTGAGCGCCCAACTGCTGTCTCACGGCGATCTCCAGATCAAACTTGATGTGGTCCACGTTAGCCAATAAGTCCTGCATATTGGCTTGATTTAGTCCGAGGTTACACAGGAATGGACGGGTTAGCTGGTGGTTTTGTTCATCAACGGTAGCCAAACGGGCTAACGGAGTTAGCCTGGCTCTCCACTAGCGCTAAAACGGGACCGTTTGTCCAAGAAACTGCACAGATGTCTCGTTTGTAAATGTCCTATTACGAATGTGCAAGTATAAGTAACATTACAGATCGTCGCCCGTCTTCAGAAGTTGTTCTCTTGAGACCATAAATTCAGATCCATGACTGAGACACGAACATAAGCAGCACAAACCGCGCACTCTCCTCCGCTCAAAGCAAAACAGACTTGACCAATCGATCCACGAAAGCCGAACACCGATCACCAAAATCCTGATCAGATTCAGGTTTCTTCAGCAATGGTTCTTTAACTTTTTCAGTCGTGACCTCATTACCTTTGGCATTCGCAATCTCCAAACAAGGCAACAGGCTACCAGCAAAATGATTTAATTTATGCCTAGACGCATTTATTTGATATACAGCACAGCACATATACAGCTGATTATAGCAGTGTACACCTCCTATGTGTTAATTAATAACCAGCAATTCTCACTTCATAAATGACATTTGAAAGCTATAATTGAAGTTTTAAAGAACAATCAAAATCAGATCTTTTATTACAATCATTCTTTGTAGGAAGTTTGAAAACAGGATACATACAGCACAAATCCATATAAATTTTTTTTTAGAAGAAAAAAAATAAAGCATGACTTTTTTATGAGTTATTATACTCTTTGTATGATGTCAAATGCTTACAGTACAAAATAATTTATAGCATATCTTTGTGATTAAAGCTCATAAGAGGATATACAAGACAAATACAAAATTCGAAAAGTACATATAACCATTCAATCACTGGATTTTCTTTCTCTGAAGCAAACACTACAGCTCAGGTAGGCCAGGCATTGGGAACTGACCAGCAAAGGCCTCCACCTCAGCCCGGATCCCAGCTATCTGCTGCTGAAACTTTTCTCCCTGGGACAAGGCTTGAACAAATTCCTTGAGGGTTGCCTTGGGCTCCATGCTTTTCTGCACCTCCAACGTCAACACAATTCCTGCTCAAAACAGACATTAGCATTATTGAGGATTAAGAATTCAAAATGCATGTGAAATTTCTGAGTTACCTTTGTGGATGAACTCTGCGACTTTCTTAAAATCTTCCTCAATTAAACCTCTTGAGGTTAAAGCTGGAGAGCCAAACCTCAGGCCACTGGGACGTAGAGCACTTTTATCTCCTTGAGTGAACACACAGGGAGAAAATTACATTTGATTACTGCAGTTCCATGCAGATTATTAGATCATTAGTTGTGCGTACCTGGACAGGTGTTCTTGTTACAAGCAATAGCACAGGCCTCCAAAACTTTTTCAGCCCTCCCTCCATCAGTACCTTTGGTACGTAGGTCCAACAGGATGAGATGGTTGTCAGAACCACCTAAACAACAAATGCCACATCACCACAAAAAATAAATTGTATGGACACATAATTTCTTAAATTTTAGGGCTTTAGGGCTCACCAGTCACAATCTTGTAGCCACGATCAATAAGGGCATTGGAAAGGGCTTTACAGTTGGCCAAAACCTGCATTTGGTAGGCCTTGAATTCTGGTGTCATGGCTTGTTTCAAAGCTACAGCAACACCTAAAACAACAAAAAATAATTAAGAGGTTCAAAATGAAATTGGCAAAGACCTCTGTTAAATGATCAGGGTCAGAGCTGCAACTCCACTACACCATCTGTGAACATGAGTATGAGTATATTTTAGACACAAGAATGTGTCAATGAATATACAATATACCTGCAATGGCATGATTGTGTGGTCCTCCCTGCAGGCCAGGAAACACAGCTTGATTAATAAGAGACTCCAAATTGTACATTGTCTCCTTGCCTTTTGCATCAATACTTCTTACACCTGTTGCAAACCAAAACCAGATATAAGAAAAGTTGTTTTCAGCTTAAGCTTTTTTAATGAGGTATATATGGCTCCACACCTTTTCTGAAGAAGATAAGACCTGCACGACAGCCCCTCAGTGTCTTGTGTGTAGTTGTTGAAACAATGTCACAGTGTTCAAATGGTGAGGGAACAACTCCAGCTGCAATTAATCCACTAATATGTGCCATATCAGCCATCAGATATGCTCCATTCTCATTTGCAATTTGCTTCATTCGAGCGTAATCAAGGTTACGAGAATAGCAGCTTGTACCTTGTAAAACGAGAAGCGAAGAATCACATGACTTTATATTACTTGAAACTTGTATCTTTATATTACTTGAAACTCGTATATCTCTAGGAGAGATATAAAATATGGAGAACTAACCTGCAATAATGAGTTTGGGATGAAAAAGTTTAGCATTTTCTTGAAGTCTGTCATAGTCAATGTATCCTGTATCGGGATTTACCTTAAGATAAGATGATGCATCTGCATCAGTTATTTTAGCAGTGAAAAAAATAATATTCAAGATCAAAATGTTTACCTTGTAGGGCATTGATTCAAAAAATATAGAGGTTGCTGAGATTTTCTTCTTTTCAGTCATAAAACCATGAGTCAAGTGACCTCCATCAGGGAGATCCAGTCCCATGATTCGTCCATGGGGCTCCACAACAGCAGTGTAAATAGCAAAGTTTGCGGGAGAACCTAAAAAAAAAAAAAGCATAGCGTGTCACAAAAGCTACACTGTCAAAAAAAATATTCCTAATATAAACTTGTCTACTACCAGAGTATGGTTGCACATTGACACCCCATTTTTCAGAATTTAGTCCAAAGGCCTCCAGTGCTCTTTGCTGACAGAGTCTTTCCAGTTCATCCACATGTTCTGTACCGCCGTAGTACCTGATCGAAGCCCATTATATAAATTAAGTATTCTTCAAGCAAATATCTAACGTGATAAATGTCCACATACCTCTGACCAGGATACCCTTCAGAATACTTGTTGTTCATACAAGAACCCAGAGCTTCCAGAACAGCTCTGCTTGCAAAGTTTTCTGATGCAATTAGTTCCAGACCATAAGTTTGCCTCTGCTTCTCCTTTTTTATGATAGAGAATACCTGAAACACATAATATAGTAGAAGAATTAGAATCACATTATAAATCAATATCACAAAAATTTATTTACAAAAAAAGACATGGAAAATAGTTCAAGCAACCTCAACATTTTTTTTGTGTTGTGGCTTTTAAAATGCAGCGAATGACACAAAATGTAAAATGCACAAACCTCAGAGTCATTGACAGCGAGAGGTTCCAACATCATCTTGTTATGACTGTCCCATGTTTCTTTGCTCACACAATGGCCATTTGTCAGAGACATTTTGTGGTAGTTTTATTCTGCTCACAGGGAAATCTGAAGAGAAAAACGTCTCATCAACCCAGTGCTGAAAAGAAATGTGTTTATAACTTAACTAAGAAGCCAAAATTGTTAGTGGCACTAGCTTAATTTCTTATACGATACGAGAATATGGGCACCAGCTTTGCTTTGCATCATGTAGCAATGGCGTGACAAACAGATCCATTGAACATTGAACGGTACACTGACATGACCTGGAGGGGATGGTCATCGCATCCTCACTTACAAAATTGAAGATAAGATATGGCTCTGTTGTTGAGGTTACATGCAGCCATACGTCTAAGTTTGAGTGAACGAGGTCTCCATGTGATCTCTGTCCCCAAAACGTCCTATGACTTTTATTACCGCTGTTTCGCCCCGACCCACTGACCCACAAATGAGCCAAGAAAACAAAACATGAGAAATGTGAAGTTATTTGAAGAGTAGAAGCTAGTTTTGATTTGGCTCAACACGATTATATGACAGTTCCTTAACTAGTAGTGGGATTATGTGAAAACTGGAGATCGGTTGTCATTTCTATTAATAAATTACAAAGAGGAATTTGGTTTGAAGGTTTGAAATACTTTGACACTGACGAAAAACCGTGCATAGTAAAACAACTTTTGTTTTAAGCATGCATAGGCATTTACATGAGCCTTTCTTTACTCACCAAGTGCTAGGTCCAAGGATAGATCCTGCTGTGGTCAGCGGTAAAGTGGTCAGGCGACAGACCATGAGGCAGACACAAAAAAGCACGGTCCGGTCTGAGCAGACGAGGATAAAGTCCGCGAAACTTTACACCAATAAGCGCCAACCGGTCTTCTTCTGTCGCAGTGAGGAGACACGCCTGTGCCGCCCCCTGCCGGAGGAACTGCTTCACTATGGGTCATATGGAAGATTATAATTTTGGTTTTGATTTCATAAGTATGAAATTATCTAAAGTAAATAGATTTAGCATTTATTTCAGTTGTCTACTTTTATAGTTTATCGTATGAAATAGGATAACATTATATACTATTACTACTACTATTCACACAATTTAACTGGAGTAATTTATATAAATATTAGAACAAATGACATGCGTTACATATGTTTTAGGTATACATACAGCTCCAATTAGGGGGAATAATGTTGCCATTTGTTGAGTTAAAAATAAAAACATCTGTTTTTTGGTAGACTGACATTTTATATTTACACTCTATTTGACCACACATTCCAAAATTAGATGTAATTTTATTTGTACATTCTGTATCTCCAGTCATACCTTATACACAGCTGTGAATTCAAAAGCCAGGTCACTGGTAAATAAAACCAAAAATAAATATTGAGACAATTCTGACAAATCAGAATTTTCTCATTAATAAAATAGTTATTGATACTTCAAAAACATGGTAAAATAAGCAAATTAGTTAAGATATACAGGTAAAGAGCAGTATACCATTATTGATACAATCATGTACATTTTCATTGTGTTTCCAAGTGAACAGGAAAAACAACATGTTCTCAGTATTGATGTTGAAAACCATGATGTGGCCAATATTACAATATGTATAATTGTGTTGCACACAGTTCACAAATCACAATATACTGTATTGTGAAATACTCTTCATCGTTAACTTTTGTTTTAAATGCTAATGTGTTATTTTAGACCAGTCCTTTATACTTTGAATGCACCTCTTATTTCAGTGAAAGTGAGTCAATTCCTCTTGCTGCTGCTGCTGCCTCTTTGGCTGAAAGTAAGAGTCAAAAAGTCAGACTTAAATATTTTGGTAAATGTACACAGCGTAATTTCCAAAGCTTCAGTGCTTACCTTTTTTCTCCTGTTCTTTTTTTCTTGCTGCCTCCTCTCTTTGTTTTCTAATAATTGCAAGACGAGCAAGGTCTGCCTTTGCCTGGTCTGTTTTACCAGCCAAGTGCATCTTCATGTAGCGTTCTTTTGCTTTCTGCTTTTCAATCTCTTCTCTGAAACATATAAAATAGCATAGTTAAAATAACTCATTACTGAAGAGAACGTCAAGTTTTTAATGTCCCACAACAATGTCTGGGATTGGTTGGTATAGTGGAAAAGACCTTGTAAAAACAGTGCTCTGAGTGGAGTTGGTTTGAGACCACTGTGTTGACATGGTGAACACTTTTAAAGTAAGACATGTCTGTTTAGGGACGATCCCCTGTCCATGGTGTACACCACTGAGTGCCTACAATTGCGGCAGAAGTCTTCTGCTTAGCAAAACCCTTTACAATTTGGAAAAAAATATCAAATTGTAATTTTTCTAACAAGCATTGTAATTACAAATAGCTTTACAATTTATGTTTTAATAATGGGATTCTGCTCAACATTCACATTTTAAACACAAAAAATTTACCAAAAAAATAAGTGAAATACAGTTATGAGCTAACAAACTAATAGAAGTAATAGAACTAACATAAAAGAATCACATGTTTTATGTAGAAAAGCCTATGCAATTCACTAATTACATCCTTTCCAATGGATTTTAGGATGATTAATCTAGCACTTTTAAAGTCATACAACCTCAGCAAGAACGATTTGATCTAGGAAGTCTGGGAAGCTAAGCAGGGTTGGGTGTGGTTAGTACTTGGATGAGCGACTGCTGAGAAAACCAGGTGGATAACAGTGGCTTGTCTCTGTGTCCTTTGGCAATGTACTTTAGGAAGTGTGATTGGTGGTCAGAAGGGCTGAAGGTGCAGATTGGCAGCATCACTTCCACAAGTCTACCCTAGGGTAGCTGTGGCTAAAACAGTAGCTAACCACCACTGAGAATGGAATGAATAAATAATGTATGAAATAGTAAAGCGACTAAGTGTTTGGAAAATCTTTATTCAGTTGTTTTAATGCTTTATAACACTTATTAAGCAAACTTTGTTTTAAGCAACATTTTAGTGTTGCAGCATTTCAGCAATAGTAAAATACTGGAGGCAAGTTTGTGAAATGGGTATTAGTCATATTTTTTTATAAAACAATTCCTTTTTTAAAATAAACAACTGCCTACCTTTCTCTTCTAGATAACTGCTTTGGTTCCTCCAGTTCAATCTGTGTCACCTTCTTGGATTTCTGAGACACTCTGTTGGGGTTCTCAATCTCTATCAAGCCCTCTACACCAGCTCTTTTTCTCTGCACACAATGCATCAACAAAAGGCATAAAAATATCAATTGAAATGTAAAAGTACATGTTTAAAGGGGCACTATGTCACTTTTTAGGTGGGGGTCCATCAAATGTCCATTCATCATTCTTTGGAAAGTGAAGCTAACTGAAGGCACTGCTCTGTCTGAAAGTCTGTCAGTCAAGTTAGACTTTTGAGCTTTGCTTTAATGCATGTGACCTGAAAAAACTTAGTTGGAACTACAACAGAGAGCTGACTTTGTACTATTAAACAAATCCCTCTCAAATTTTGTCACAATCTAGCTAGCACTCTCACTTTTTTATTGAAAATGAAACATATAAACAGGACCATGAATGCTCATATTGATCACAAAATGTGTAGTTTTAAAACCATTTAGTATTTTTTTTCCAACAAATATATTATTTATTTGGCAGTGTTTACTAATGTGTGCATTATATATATATATATATATATATATATATATATATATATATATATATATATATATATATATATATATATATATAAATAAACATTCCTATTCCTATGCAGTACACCCCCAGTGATCACTACAAAGTATTAGCTGCTTTGCTTAGAATGTTTTACAGTATTGCATTAAATATACATATTTTGCATTTATTCACTTACTTCTGTTTTTGCAGAAAAAAATCTTGAAGATAAAAATGTAATAACATATCTATGGAGATAAGCAGATGGTGGACATTCTCTCTCTCAAAATAGTTCCATAGTGCAGATTTAAGAAACTTTCATGAGGCAAATTGAGCTCTTGACTCACAAGCAAAGCAATTAAAGGGCCTTATTTTATGCATCACAAACTGAAGGTATTTTTTTCATTCACACATGTTTAACACAGAAACCCTGCATATTTAGGCTTTGAGTTCTCTCAAACTTTAGAACTGTATCCCAGGTGTGAGAAGGCTGGTACTCCCCCTCACCCCAATTTACAGTCAGGTGGGTGCGTTTCCAGAGATCGATGGATTCTCTGATTCAAAGATGGTGCTTGTTATCTGTGCCTATGACGTAAAGTTGTCCCAATCCATTAGATAATTTTCCCTTTTGGACTGGTCTGATATTGCAGACTTAACTTGTTCTTGGTTCTTGGCAATATCAGATCACTGCAAGAGGAAGAACCAACTATGGATTGCTAAACACCAAAATCTGTCAAAAAACTGACAGATATGTCACAGCAACACCATGTAACACTTCTGAGGAAGGTGGCAGAGTGCATCAGAAACTGTTGAAGTATGAAGCAAATAGAGATCTGTACACAAGAATCTAAAGTATAATCTTCACTAGTATCATTTTGAAATTTTCACCCATGGAATTTCCAAATTCTAATAAATAAAGGTAAAAGAGAGTTATTAACGTCATAATGTGTTTTAATTAGAAAACTACCACACCATGACCTCACAGGGTGTAACGGAGCTTTTTGAGCTATAGAGAGACAGACTGAAGGATTACGCAGACATGTGTGAATAAACCAAAACACAACTCCAAGTATGTTTTTGATGAGGTAGCAACATTTTAACATGGCTTAAAGCTCAAAGGAATAAATTTTGTGTAATATAGAACCTTTTCAGAGAAGCAAATGAAGTGTATTGTGTAACGTTTGATAAACTTAACATAAAAACATATAAACTATATAAAAAAATAAATAATCGATTTTATCTAATGAGAAATGATTGCTGGATTGGCAGATACTACACACTTCAAGACATGAAGTCATCTTGATCATGTACTGTAGACAGCCAGCAATAAAATCAATCAATATATCAATCAATATACTACAAAAAAGACATCAAAACTACAGGTGCTTTGTAATGAGCAGCTGCTTTTACTGTGTAGTTCCCTGGAGAAATGCATGCAGTAAACAGGCCTGACCTACTCTGGGACCAGAATGTCCAATGTGTATGTCTCCGATAAAGCTAAAAGCTCAGTGAACAGTTTGGGAAAAACACATACAAATAGGCTCAAGGTGGAATTTCACACAAATAAAGCTAAATTAGTAGCACATTAGTTATTCTAAATGTTCAGACACAAAAGAGATTAACCTCAGAAGATTCATCGTCACTGTCTTCTGATCCCGATCCTGGAAGCTTGTCTTCTGCCAAGTCATTCTGAGCTGCCCCGTCACCTTCCTCCTGCTCTTGCTAAAATACACAACAAAAAGGCTCAGGTGAGCTGAGTTATTTCACACTGGGCTGTAAGGAGTAAACTACTCTACCTGTTTCCTTTCCTTCTCTGCCTTCATCTGAGCATCTATCTCCTCAGGGCTGGTGTACATTCGTGCACGGCCCTTGTGACCACCTTTTTTACCTGTTAACAACAATCAACACAACTGTCAGTCAGTTCATGCATATGCTTACAAACTCTTACCTTTCTGCATACTAAGAGTAATACAACACTGGAAAATTAGATCAAACTAGCCCAGACAAACCACAGCCTCATATATTACAAATTCAAATATAAATCCCTAGCAGATCAACAGTTTACAAGTAAATCATAGTAATTAATATTAGTAAGTATTTGTTAGCTATAAAAGATAACCATGAAAGAAGAAAAGACACATAACAGACTGGCTAACAAGCAAACAGACAACCCTCCAGATACATTTACTATCGTTCTTACCTCCTTTGGGCATGTTAAAATATTTTTTCTCCGATTTTTATTAACTGAAAGGTCAAGAATACATTTGAAACATTAATAGTAAAACAGAGAGCACAAATGACAGCTGGCTAAACTCGACACGAAAAACAGTTTTCAGTAGCCAGGTGATTTTCCTGCTGGAAAATATTTACAAATCAGGTTTTAGGGTTTTGGCACAGGCACATCTCATTGGCTAGAATACGCTACACATATGGACATATGCTCCGTCTAATAGTTATAATTCATCAAATAAAAGTCTGTAAACGTGTAGTTTGATAGTTAAGGCATTAGTTTAGCCAACTAAAGTGATGCAATACGACAGTAAATGTCACCGAAGCAAAGTGTGAGAAAGTTTGAATTTAAATTACAAGTACAGTTACTTAAATGTCTTTCACCAAAATAAAAATGCACATCAACAAAAAATAAAATATTTTTGATTCATTTGTTGTTTTTACGCTATGACGTCATCCTCGAGACCCCAAAAAGGACCCCACAGTGACGTCACTTTTACTCGCCGAAGATAAGTCCTAGCATCGACTGAGGTTGACTGTAAACACAGAAATCTTTTGTTTTACTGTGTGTTTAAGACTATGCCTAAAGTGAAAAGAAGTCGAAAACCACCTCCAGATGGATGGGAGCTTATCGAGCCTACTTTGGACGAGTTGGATCAGAAAATGAGAGAAGGTACGTCTAAAAGGGAACAGTCGTCCAGCGCGTCTTTTTAGTTTCTGTGGAGGGATGTTTCTAGAATTGGGGGAATTGAATTACAAATCTTCTTCAATTCTGGTCAAACATACTCCAAATAATAATAATAAAATAAAAGAAAAATGTCAATATTCATTGTTAAAAAATTGTATTGTGTGTGTACAGCTGAGACGGACCCACACGAAGGTAAACGAAAAGTGGAGGCGCTTTGGCCAATCTTCAGACTGCATCATCAGAGAAGTCGGTACATCTACGACCTTTTCTACAAAAGAAAAGCTATTAGCAGAGGTATATCTAATCAATTTATTATGTTTTAACATTTCACTAAACTTTTGTTAAGCATCAGTTTTTGACAATTGTATTTTTTTGTGCAGAGCTTTATGATTACTGTATTAAAGAAGGTTATGCCGATAAAAACCTGATTGCAAAGTGGAAGAAGCAGGGGTATGAGAACCTCTGTTGCCTGCGCTGCATTCAGACAAGAGACACCAACTTTGGAACCAACTGCATTTGTCGTGTTCCCAAGAGCAAATTAGAAGTTGTAAGTCTTGTTTCTGACTGAGTAAATGCTATTCATTTTAGTTTGTGGTGTAACTATTTTTTCTTTTTCGTCTCCAGGGAAGGATCATTGAATGCACTCACTGTGGTTGCAGAGGATGTTCTGGTTAAATACATTGTTTCTTTCCTTTAACATCTCCATAATTTACAATCTACAAACATCATTAGAAGAACATTAGTGATCACATCAAAGAAAATGGGGACCTTTTATGGGGCCATTTGTCATTTCATTCATGATTTTATGTGGTAGGTTCTAAACACCCCATGCTGCCATTCCTGTTTGTAATATTCACATGCATACTTTGCAATGTTAATGTCCTTTTGTGACCATTTTATTTTTCCAAGGTTTTTAATAAACCAATTTTGTTTTATCAGTTACATCTTTGTTTGTTTTTTTTCTTTTTGAAAGAAAAGGCCCATAGAATTTGACAGATCAGATTTAAGACTAAAATGACAGTGAATAGTTAAGATATTCAGCAAATTGCTGATACCAAACATCAGTTACATGACAGCCAGCACAGAGCTTGGCATAGGTGCTACACACAGTTTCTTTAACAAAGAATTGTTTTATACTCATGAGTAGTCGGAGTCATAAAAGGCAAAGACCTTTATTAAACCAAAAGTATTATAGCATTTTAAGTATGTTTTAGTGTTATTTGTCCACCTATAACTTTTCTTTCCTTCTGCTGGACCACCTGGACAACTTTGATGTTTTCCCAGATGAAATGTACCTCAACATACAGTATGTCCTGCTGTGCTTAGTGCTGTTTTAAAAGGAATTGCAGTTGCCATACACAAGGTTCTTCGAAATAATTTAATCGAAAAAATATCTTAAAATGTTACAATGAGCACACGACAATTTTGATACACTATTTAAATTAAAATACAATGATGCCCCTTATTATAAGATATTACACAATACATGAACTGGCATGAAATATTAATATAAGGACACAGTGAGACTTGTTTAAGCACTCTGTGGTATGGCTTATTTGGATTACAATCACCTTTTTGCAATAGGTTATAAATAAAGTTCAGTACAAAAAAAAAAGTTTCACAGTATTAACATGTTAACACAAAAAGAGAGTGACGAATAAGTAGAGTGAAAATGTAATACATTTTAAACAGCCATTATCCTACATGTTTGACCTTACTCCATGACCTTGGTGTCCTAAATACAGCTGATAAAAAATTACAGCTCTTCCATGGAGACGTACAGCAAAATGTATAAGAAAAACAACAAAATGCACTTCTTCAGTAGCACAATGGCCAAAGTGACTGGGCTCCAGTTTTCCATTGTCTATACAGCCAACAAACAATTATCTTTTGGAATTTATATCAATAACTAATAGAAACAGCAATGTGATCATAACACCGACTCACCCTGTCACAACACAGGCTCATGCTGACACCACATTCTTGCACAAATTTAAGACAACACAGCATCTGATACATTTGGGCCATATACCACTTTAAACTTCCCTGGAACATCTTGATTAATAGTAATGAAATGCGTGCCAACATAAATCTTTGGCTGCTGCTTGCTCTACACTTAGACATGCTAAAGGACATGTGTCTGAGTTTACACTGTGGATACACATTCTCATGCAACCAAAAGAAGTCTCGGTGAAAGTTTACTTCATGCTCTTAAAGCACTTTTAATATACAGTCATCCTATGTTTTCTGTAAAAATTCACTAGAATGAAAATGTTTTCTCTTGTACTATGGAATTCACAAAACCAGCTATAACAATTAGATAATGCCAGTATATGCAAGTAATCCAACAGTAATCCAGTAAATTATATACAGTACATTTCATACTATGTCACACTCACAGCAATCATAGCAAGTGTTAGAAAGCCGTGAACAGTTGGCAATCTGGATGAGATGGAGCCTGAGTAATCCAATTTAACACTTGTGGATGTATGAAATTAAATAGAATCAAGCTTCTTAAATCAGCAGAATAGCATTTTCAATCTGGCAATCACATGTCTCTGTGACAACAAAGACTCTGATGATGTGTGATTCAGAGACCAAGCTGCAAACAAACATTTATAGAACAACTGTTAAAACAATCAGACACATTTGTTCTAAAAGATACATGACTTGGTCCTTGAACTCAGTTGGCTCCTGCTAAAAACAGTGAATTTAGATCTTGTATAAAACGCTGGTGGTATATTTAAAAGAAAAACATGGTGGGGCGGTGCGGCTTTCGGTGGGGGGTTGCAGGTAGAACTGGGTGATAAGCTGGCTGAGATAGAGTAAAATCTGACTATCCTCTTCACTGAGGCCCAGCTGTTCCTGAAGGAAGCAGTTACGCCGTCCCTGCACCACCTCTGGGCCCTCCTCAGAGCTGACAGGCAGGTGAAGGTGGTGGGTGAACGTCAACAGGAATGCCTTGGCTGCCAGCCGACACAGCATGCTCTGGAGGTGCAGAAAATAGGTGGACCCACGGCGGATGTACGTACGGTGGTCAGCCATGTTTGAAAGTAACTGGCCACGGTATGGAGGGCAATGCAAGGTCTTCTGATCGATGTCCAGGATAGAGATGTAGCGATTGTAGCGTGACAGTGAATGAAGCGTGCTGGAACCCACTGGAGAGTTTACTCTGGGGGATTCAAAGAGTATCATTAGTGAACTTTTTGATATGTCAAAACTTAAGAGTAAAGCAAAAAAGGCAACAGTAAGGACATCTTCTCAAAAAACAAAACAAAACAAAACATAAAAACAATAATGATAACATTATTGATTAAATTACTCAAACAAAGAAAATGTAAATTATATGTGTATTAACATCCAGACAGCAAGTTACTCTAAAATCAATACAAATTACTTATGTTGTAGAAAATGTTTAACTTTATTAATTTTATTTTCTTTGTATAGACAGAGAGCTGCCTTACTCCACATAATTAAAATAAACTTCAGTTTCACATACCTTTGCAGTCCAATTAGTTTCCAGCGGTATATGTCACTTAGGCTGAAGGGGCCAGACATCCAGGCCTGAACTCTTTCTGCACATTTCCCAGGACCAGGCACAAAGAGGGCGAGTGCTGACACCAATTTGCGGACTCTCCCCTCATCTTCCCCAAACACCACCAGTGTTCGTCCACTCAGCAGACACCACAGTGCCTGCATGGCAAATGGATACTGCCGCACAAACCGCAGAGCTCCCTGTCCAGCCTTTTTCTTCTGCCGCAAAGTCACCACTCCAGCATATCCAATGGGCGAGACTGCTCGATCTGACCCAGTAGAAGCACTCATGGTGCAGTCCGAGCCGTCCTCCACTGACATACGAGAAACTGAGTCTGCATGCTGACCCATAGGCAGATCTAGTCCAGGGCTCTTTGAGGGAGAGCCCACAGTGTAGTGGTCCTGCAGCAGATGCAATGCCTGTGGTTCCTGATTCACCACCAGTGTTTGTGGCGGCTGTGCTCTAGTGTTACGGTGTGATTCAGCTGCTATATCTACAGATAAGTCCTCATAAATAAACCCATCTTGGGCCAAGCAACATGTTGTGTCAATTGGTAACAGCAGGTCTGACTCACAGACCTCCACAGGAGTCTCTTCACATTCTCCATTTGGCTCCAGTAAAGACACAGGTGTGTGGTCGCCATTGTCCCCATCATCATCGCCAACAGTGGTCTCCATGTCCTCACTGCTGCTCTCTCTTTCATGGTCAGGAGTCAAGTCTGAATCCAGATCCGGAGGCCCAGTTTTGACAGTGTCTAGATAATGTTGTTGTTTGGTCCTACTTCTCCCACTACTGTAGCTGCCTTTAGTCTCCTCAGAGCTATCCTGAGTTTCTAGAGTCTGGTCTGAGGGTGAGGACTCCAGCTGGCTTTCCCCGAGTCCCAGCTCACTTTCCAGAGTGTGACTGGTCTCAGAGAATGGTTCAGGAGTGCCATCTAAAGGCTCTGGGGCCAGTACTATATGAGGTGGTTTTAAAATATTGGAAGATTCTACAGAATGATTCACAGGACAAAATGGGCGTATTATCACTTCATCCTCATTGTTATCACAGACTTCTTCCTCAAATAAAAAGTTAGTAAGTGTCTGTTTCCTGCGTAGTGCTCTGTCCAGACGACATGTGTACAGGTAACACAGGTCACCTCGAAAACTCCTCTCAGTCTCTTTGAGGAGTTCCATTGACGCCTCATAAAACCTCTCATCGCAAAGCTCTTGGAGGGTTTTCAGACGTTTGTCAAAGCATTTGGCAGACTTGGCTCTAATCAATTGTGGTGTGTATGACGGCCTGCGCCTTACACCCTCCTCATCCTCCTCCATTTCATCTTCACCTGCCTCACTATCTGTTTGGCCTTCTTCACCACTTTCCCTTCTACTTGTGCAACCTAATGGGCCGGCAAGTTTGGAGAATTTCTCCAGCAAATCTTCACACTCAGCCAAACACTCACTCATGCATTTATGACATGTGGCGGCATGTGGGTCTCGACGTGGACGTCGATGGTACGAGGTGATCTGTTTCAGCAGGTCTCTGTGTTCATAGATACTCTTTTCTACATTTGCCAGCTCATTGGCCTTCTCCACAGCATGTGCGGAATACCTCGTCTGAGGATCTGCCTCTCTCTGGAGACCCTCTTCCCGCTGAAGCACTGAGTGAGTGTACCTGTTAGCACAAGAGCAATTAAAAAATAAACAAAATTTAAAGACACTTATGATGTACTCGTTCCTTTAACATTTTAAAGTTACAGTTATTTCCAATGCCTGATTATTATAAAGGGTCTAATTTAAATACACAGTTTATAGTTAAGACAAATATTCACTTTAGAAAATGACTGAAAAATAAGATAAATTGATGTCTGGAGATAAAAACTCCAGACTCTACAACACAGTACAACAGTAGCTTCTGTTACCTATTAGGTCAGTGACACAATACAAGATTATTAATAAATGTCTTACTCTAAATCCTGAAGCTTCCTCTGTAGTTCCTTGGCGAAGGCCCTCCTGTTTCCAGCTTTCAAACACTCAGAGGCCTGTGAGAAGCGGAGTGACAGCTCCTGAAATTGCAACATGATTTTCCTTTCATCAGCTGAGACGTATGCCATGCAAAAAGGTCGCACAAAGCCCCTGGCTTCCAGGTCATAAAGTGTGAGGTGATGGACATAGGCAAATGCCCCCTCCTTAGAGTCACCCAGCACCACTCGAGAGTCCTCCACAAAACTGAGTCTTGGGTATCCACTGCCAGGTGGGTGTCCCACAAATGAGGCTTGGTAGTCCACAGACATGATACGCAGCGAAAAGTAGTTGAGGTCAAAGGTACCACATACTTTGGGCTCATCTGGAATAGTGAGAAGAGGCTGAGGTCCCACTTGCTCAGAGAACTCAGAAATGAGTATAAAGTCTTTCGTGAATTTGGCATAGGACGTTTTGGACCATGGGTTTGAGTCAACCGGTGGATAAAGGGGTATGGAAAACTCTTCTGGGAGGGTGGGCCAGGGCTCTGGATTTGACTGGCCATATTCATCCTCTTTAGTAAACGCCACCACGTCAGGTGAACCTATCATAGTGGCATTCACCACATCAGATTCTGCATAATAACAAGGTTTACTTTGAAAGATGGCTGAACAAACAGCCGAGACACATTTTTAAGGCTTGTAGCCCGGCTGCACTGAACGACATAATTTTACCAGCAGCCAAGCAATCCATTATTCTACTCAAAACATGTACTTAACTTTTTTTCAGTCAGGTACTAACCAAGCTGGCACATCACATAACCTACGTTGTCTGTAACAAAGACAATTATCTTGCGCAAATCAATGTCCTCGACAGACAGCTCCATTTATGTGTAGAAGAAAATGTAAGCAGCCTCACAAAAACGCGCCTCTCCTGCCCCGTTCGACGTTTCCACGAATTGTGTCTTTGTAGTTCAGCATTTCTAAACCTTAAATTGCATTTGATATTGCAAGGCAAATGCTACAAACACTAAAAAGTATGAAAAGTACATTTTTCACGTCGAGACAGACGCCATGTTTACCCAGCTGGTTGAAAGCACGTCATGTGACCTATCTACCCACATCCACACAAAAAAAAAAAAAAAATCTCAAGAATCACTTTGATTTAAAAAAAAAAAAATGTTTTCATGCTATTAAAGACTTAAATTTGTAGCACTTTCAACATTATAAGACAAATAGCGTTTTTATTTTTGTATTTTTTATTTTCATTTTTTTTTGCGACATACCCTCAAACGGCATTGCACGACAACGAGTCTTTTTACGGCACTATTTGACAAGCAGGCGCGGGTTTTGTAAACAAAGTCAAACCGAGGCAAATAATTCGATTGAAGTAGCTTTGAAAATATTTGTTCTTTATTTTTATATGTTATGTCAGTGGTTAGAAGTAAAGGCATCTGGATTAGATTCGTTAAAATATGTTAGGGTTGTTGTGAGACAGAGTACAGGAAGCTCATTCAGCTAACATGCTAAAGCTGTTATGGGGAGAAAGTGGTGGCACTCAACTTTGTGCGTTTAGACAGGTATGGTAGTTGTGCATCTATTGGGTAGACATCTATTGAAACGAGCTGGAGTACAGGGCATAGTACTCCAAAGGTGTCGCCTTGCCACTCAGACTGGACTGGCTGTGGAGACACATCAGCTTGCAAAAATGAATCGAAATCGGACTCAGATCAAACGGGTCCTGTGTGTTGCAGAGAAGAATGATGCAGCTAAAGGCATCGCAGAAATCATGTCCAGTGGTAGATCTCGGAGGGTAAATAAATTATTTTAAATGAACTATCAACATATGAAACAAATTCTAACCTGCATTTTTATTTCAGAGGGAAGGGCTGTCAAAGTTTAACAAAATATACGAGTTTGAATATCACCTCTTTGGACAGGTAAATTATTCATTTATTTTATGTATTTGTTGGTGTCGTCTGATTAGCTCCTGACAACATTTACTTATTTTGCCAGAATGTTACAGTAACAATGACTTCTGTGTCCGGTCATTTGTTGGGTTTAGAATTTAAGGCACCATTTCAGAAATGGTAAGTTAAATGGCTACAGTGGATTTATAGTGTATGATATATAACCTGTTAAACCCAAAATTGGAATTCTCAATAGGCACAGTTGCAACCCAGTACTGCTGTTTGATGCTGAGGTAGAGAAATACTGCCCTGACAACATGATTCAAATAAAGGTATTGTATATCTATTTTCATATCATTTAATTCACAGTTATCATAGTAAAATAATCAATATTTAAAGTAGACATTTATTTTCAGAGATTTTATTTTGTAATTTATACATTTTAATTAAGTTAACAAATCTCTCAGCTATCTTTTTAACATATGAGGTGAGATAAAACTGTGGCAGTGTTCTACTCATGCCTTTGTTTTGTCAACATTTACCTACATGTCCAGCGAACATTGGAGAAAGAAGCAAGGCAATGCCAGGCCCTGATTATCTGGACAGATTGTGATCGTGAAGGAGAAAACATTGGTTTTGAAGTAATTGATGTTTGCAAAACAGGTAAAATACTGTAAATGTTCATAAACTTATTTCTACAAGAAAAATTGTACCTGATGAAGATGTGATATATTTTTGTTTTAGTGAAAGCTAATATTCAAGTTTTTCGAGCTAAATTCTCTGAAATTACACCCAATTCAATCAGAAGAGCTTGTGAGACTCTGACTGAGCCAGATGTGAATGTCAGTGATGCTGTGGATGTGCGCCAGGAACTGGACCTACGGATAGGTAAAATGATACTCCTTAAAGCTGAAGTTTCCAACATGTATTCAAATTAGTACAATTTGTTTATGTATACTGTTAAAGCAGAATGTTAGGTACTGTAAAAATCTAATCAGACGACTACACACTGTCTTAATCTAATTAGAAAACATTTCATAGATGTAAGAAAAAGCCACATGAGTCACTATGATACTTTGGGATGAGAGCTGAGCAAATGTGGCTTCTCTTTTCCATTTGAAAAAGCTGTTGTAAAGCTGTGCTAGTGGCCACAAAAATACTAGTGATGTGCCAAACGGTTTGTGAGAACTAGAAATCAAAATTTAAATAACTTTTCTCCTCACTTGGTTAAAAATAAAGTACTCTAGCTTTAACTAATTTACATTTGAAAAAGTACTAAAGTGTATAATACATGCTTTTCTTCAGGGGCATCTTTCACACGTTTCCAGACACTGCGACTACAGAAGATCTTCCCAGCGTCTCTGGCAAATCAGTTAATCTCATATGGAAGTTGTCAGTTTCCCACTTTGGGTTTTGTGGTAGAGCGGTTTAAAGCAATTCAAGCATTTATTCCAGAGACCTTTTTCAAGATTAAAGGTACTGTATAGAAAAGTAGAAAAGTAGTGTATAAATGCATCCTCATGGTTTTAAACAAATGTACTTTCTGTCATTTTGTGCAGTGATCCATGAGGTTAAAGAAGATACAGTGGAGTTTAGCTGGAAAAGAAATCGTCTGTTCAACCACACTGCATGCTTAGTTCTCTACCAAATCTGTATGGAGGTGAGAGTTTCACAAATCTAGATGTTTGGTTTAAAGTATCATAAGTAATTATGTCAGATTTTTTATATCTCCCTAAATTTGTTTTTACATGCTGCATCTATTTGTGTTACAGTCTAGCATTGTTATGTGTCCAGATGCTAAGCTACATACAAACCTAAAAATATTATGGTTTCAAACTAATTTCTGATAAATCAAGCTCATAAAGTTTATAACTGCACAGCATGCTGTTAGCCCTACCCTGTGTGTGTACCATCTAATATGCAAACAATAACAATCTACAATCATATCAAGGGCACAGCCATTTAGAGATTTAAAATAACACAAAACCAAATAAAATAAAGTTGCATGCAAAAATATTTCTTTCTGCAATGCTCTAAAGGACTCAAGCTGAAATGTATTTCTGTGATTAAAAAAAAGAATCCAATGCAAGTTTTCCCTGTCCTAAACGTTTAAGTCTTTACTATACTTTATCGTATCTTCATAAAAATGTATTCATGATTATAATTAATTAAAGCCCCAATTCAGCTTTTCCACTTTAGTGATCAGGACTACAGTGTAGGTTGGAATATAGATTAAAAATTGATCTTATGTACAGTAACAAAAGAACATGTGCGCAAATGTTAGTCCTGGTGTTATTTTATGCAGTGATGTTGTCCACTTACGAGCAGAGTTGCAGAGTTTGCATGGACCTATTCCAAGTATGTGTTTCTCAAATCCCAGGTGTAATAGCATCCACATTCATAAGCTCTCCTCCTCCCAGCAGCTGTTACCTCAAGAGAACGCAGAACCACGCTCTGTCAAATTGACTAAAGTTCCAGATATAAATAAATAGGTCCCAAAATATACTTGTACATCTTTGAAAATAATTGTATTCATTTCTAGGATCCCATGGCAACAGTCACCTCAGTAACCAGCAAACCAAAGAGTAAATGGAGACCCCTGCCTTTGGACACTGTGGTAAGAAAATGAAACAACTCGTGATGCATTTACATACATTGTTCTGCGTAGACTGGATTACGGCAGAATAACTTTAGTTCACTATGTCCCAATGTCATATTTTCTTTCATCCTTAGGAACTTGAGAAACTTGCTTCACGAAAGTTAAAAATAAATGCAAAAGAAACTATGAAAATTGCTGAGAAGCTTTATACTCAGGGGTAAGTTTAACTATTTTCATTCAATTGTTTTTTTTTTTGTTTTGTTTTTTCAGAAGAAAGTTTACCATATATTTTTAGGCTGTCCATACAGCCAAAAAAAATAATTAACAAACAAAATATGCACACACTTTTCAATGATATGCTGGCATAAATGGCATTTGTGCCATTGTGAGATTGAAATGGTCTTTTACAGTTTGATGAATTAGAGAATACTAATGTAAAATGCTACGAAAGAGTCAGTTTTTTTTTTTTTTTATGTGCACAGGTTCATCAGTTACCCCAGAACGGAGACCAACATTTTTCCTGCAACTTTAGCCCTGGCTCCCTTGGTTGAACTGCAGACTCAAAGTCAAGCATGGGGAACATTTGCACAGCGTGTCCTTGATCAACCTGGGGGTCCCAATCCACGACAGGGCAAGAACTCTGACCAGGCCCACCCTCCCATCCATCCCACTAAGTTCACAAACAGTCTCCAGGTTATATTAATACATGACAACAAATTAGACTCAATGGTATCTTTTTGTACTACTTAACATTAGTTTTTTTGTTAACTTGATGTGTGCAGGGAAATGAAGGTCGTGTGTATGAGTTTATTGTACGACACTTCCTGGCCTGTGTGTCCCTGGATGCTTTGGGACAGGAGACAGTGGTGGACATTGACATTGCTCAGGAGAAGTTCACAGCTTCTGGACTTATGATTATTGCGAGAAACTATCTGGATGTTTACCCCTATGACAAATGGAGTGCCAAGGTAGTTTTAAACAAAAAATATTTTCTATATAGTTCTATATAATTACCTATAGCTTAAATTTTAGTTTGAGGGCAGGTCATAATTCTGTGGTAGAATTTGCATTTTAACTCAAAATGGAGATGTTTGGAACTGGTTTATGGTTAATATTTCCACCATACTGTCTCTGCTTAAATGAAACCAAAACTGTTACAGTTCAGTGGTGTCTCTGTCAGCACAAATGGCCTATTATGATTAATGTTTTACTTTAGTATTAATTTCAAAGAAAAAAATCCTTTATATAGTGCCTTATACACCCAAAGCACTTTACATTGCATTAATCACTTACTCCACAGTCTGTAGAGGTAGAGGCTGCCCTGAGGTAGACTAGCTCAAGCAATTACTGCCAATCTGTGCCATCGGCTCCTCTGACCAACGCTCATGCACACCACAGTCATATTAAGCTTTGTGAGCAAAGTGCCTTGCCTAAGAACACAACAACAGTTTCCACAAAAGCAACTGTTGGCACTTAGCATTCCCAGCAACCTCTCAGCCAAGTACTAACCTGACCCAACCTCGCGTAGCTTCTGCGATCTCGCAAGATCAGAGACAAGCAGGTATAGCACTATAAAGGTTTTCTGGTGGAGGGTCGATCAACTGATTGTCTTATGAAAATGTTTTGGCCCATAATGTATACATACAATATAATATACATTATGGTATAAACGTTTCTATTCACATTTTTCAATAGAAGATCTGCCAACTGTTTCTCTTTCATTTCATATTATTGCTTTGTTCCACAGAGCAGCATTCAACTTGGCAATCTCTAGTAATTCTTGTTTTTCATTGTATTTTAATGAATACAAGATGCATAAGTCTACAGGTCAGATCTGTGGCAAGGTGAGGCCATTCACAGAAAGAATGTATTATACTGTATTAATAAAACAGTTGTAATGTAATAAATGTGAGATAGATAAATTTAGTGAGATGGATCATTATTATCATATCTCCATAGAGACAAGCAAGTTGGAGACCCTTCCACCAGAAATCAGATAATTAAACAGTGCACCTTAAAGCAAACCAAAATGTGATGTAGTGAGGGAACAGACATAAAGCAGTTGAACAATACCAGGTTACCAAACTACTCTTTTTCACCATGCCTACAGTTATGTGAGACTGTGCGTTACTAATACTTGGTTCTTTCTGTGTCATTGATTTGTATGTAAGAGCATCTCATAATTTTTTATTTAATGTTCAAGATTATTCCAGTTTATGAGCAAGGATCTCAGTTTCAGCCGACCGCTATTGAGATGTTGGACGGTCAGACAAGTCCTCCACAGCTACTCACTGAAGCTGACCTGATATCCCTGATGGAGAAACATGGCATTGGTATTCACAACAGTAATCCATTCTGTACTTATATCCCCAAAGCCACATATTTTTGACTTGTCAGACTGTGGAATGTTGATTTACAGGCACAGATGCAACCCACGCTGACCACATAGAGACCATAAAGAGCAGGATGTATGTGGGACTTACAGCAGACCAGAGGTTCCTACCTGGAGAACTGGGAATGGGACTGGTAGAAGGTATGAATCCGTTTTTACACTTTGATATTACGGTCAAAAAAAAAATCCACTTATTTATTGAAATCTTTTATTTAAAAATGCTAAATATTACTGTAATATGTACTGTAATAGTAACAATACTGTCTTGCTGCATTATATTTTAGGGTATAACTCCATGGGTTATGAGATGTCCAAACCGAACCTGCGTGCTGAACTGGAAGCAGATCTCAAACTGGTGTCTGAAGGGAGGAAGGATAAACAAACTGTACTGCAGCATTATATTCAAAAATACAAAACCGTGTTCATCGAGTCTGTTAGAAAAGCTAAGAAGTTAGTTGGTTGAGCTTCTGATGGTCATATATGGACAAAGTGAGTCCAGGTATATTAATAGGCTTTTGACTCATTTCAGATTAGATGAAGCCCTGTCCCCTTATTTGGGGGCAGCTCAAGTAATCACAGAAGAGGAGCAGCAGGATATGGAGATGCCTCTGCCAGTTAGGAAATGTCCCAACTGTGGCCGTGACATGGTTCTTAAGAAGAAGCGTGAAGGAAGAAAGTAAAATAGTTGTTTTTCCCTAAATACCAAACAGCAAAAAATACTATTGGCAATTTGCAGTTGTCAATGCCTGCCTCTTTCTTTCTCTGTAGTAAGTACCTCTCCTGCACGGGTTATCCAGCCTGTAAGACAGCTGTGTGGTTCCCTGATATGGTTTTGGAGGTCAACAGAGACGACAGCATCTGCCCAACATGTCGGCCCCATCCTGTTCACATGTTAGTATTCAGTGTGTTAGTCGTTATGGTTTGTGCATAAAGATGAGACAACATAAGCTAAAATAGACAACATCAGCAATATTAAAGTCTTGTTCAGTTGTTCTCAGGGACACTGGCTCTTGTCACTGTTCCCACTTTAGGGGCAGCAGCAGAGCAGGTTCATATATGGGTACACATGAACAGCCCTTATGGAGTCATCATAAATGCCCTTTTCTGCATATGTTTATGCTAATACCAGTTGCGAAATAGAGCACATAGCAAATTTTATTTATGTATTTATTTTATTTTGGTATTGGACCAACTACAGCATTCAAAGTGTCTGCCGGTTATGAAAATACTCATTACTACTTGCATTTGTAGTTTGTTTCATTATGTGTGTCATGTCAAGTGTGATGGCAGCAGGAAGTAGTTTTAAGATTTAACTTCATCATTTAAATTGACCTTTATGGCCTCCATATGAGGACCTTTGCATTTAAAAAAAAATCACATAACAATTGACTATGACACTCCAAAGAGATACACCAACTGCTTCTTTAGATTTATATCTTATTTTTGGTTCCCATCTTAAGATTAGTTTGAGAACATGTCATACATCTGATGATTCAATTAGCATTTTTTTCCTATTTTCTGTGCCCCAGTGAAGTGAATTGCATGATTTTGACTTGCTGTTGAGAAAATCTTGTTTACGTAATTGGGCGCTAACTTCTTGAGCACGTGCCTCAGCTCAGTCCAAATATAGGGCATGCTCACTCACACTGCACCTAAATGCTACACACCAGCATTTGTTACCACAGCAACCAGGCTGCTCCAGAGGACAGTTGAACCACAGTTTGAATAGTATGTGTTTTTCCTTTAATGTGGTTTGATTCATACTTCATTCTTTTTAGTAACTTCATTTGCTGATATCACATATCTGCAGAGGTGTATGATTCATACTGCAGCAACCTCAAAGATCACAATGGCAATATTATGTTACTAATCACAAAGAAATCATTTCAGATTTTTGGCTTTTTATCACACAGATCATTTTCAATTGACCATAACCAAGATCCGCTTTGTGTTTCCACTTGTTTGACCCATTGCATTTTGTTAATTGTATAAAAATGTGTACTGCACAAAAAGCTGCAGTCACCTCCCACTTTGTTTGCTCAAGGCAAACAGCAGAATTTACAATTTCAAGCAAGATATTACTCTTGTATAATAGACCTTTTACTCTTCAAATGCCTGACATATCCATCAGTGAAGATGCTTTACTGCCAGTGTTAAAGAGAAAAATAAGCTCAACAAGTTTAATTTGTTTTGACTTCTGTGACATTTCCTCTTTTTTTTAGGCTGAAGTTTAAGTTCCGCAGGGGCAGCCTTCCGCCTATGATGCCTTTGGAGTTTGTGGGTTGCATTGGAGGTTGTGATGAGACACTGAGAGAAGTACTGGACCTGAAGTACCTCAAATCGGTTGGAGGTGGAGGGGGCAATGGAGGAGCAGACTCCCATCCAGCTGCGCCCACAAAAACAGCACCCACCAGAGCGGCACCCTCAGGCCCAGCATCCACCAGAAACTCAAACTCTCGTCCTTTACCCCCTGTGGCGGTGTCCTCTTGGACTCCTCCACCTCAACCTCCACCGGGTGGCATTGTTAATGGTAGAATCAACAGTAATGACGCTATTGTTTGTAATTGTGGACAAAACGCAGTCCTTTTAACAGTTCGCAAAGATGGTCCCAACCAAGGACGCCAGTTTTACAAATGCAATGCTGGCAGCTGTAACTTCTTCTTATGGGCCAATGAATGTGCTCAGCAGGGATCGTCAGCACTGCCCCCTCCCAGGAACAGCCAGCCCAGGCCTTCTCTTGGTTTCAAGAATGCCTCTGGGGATGGCAGGTCTAGAGGCTCAGGGGACCATGGAGGACAGATCATGTGTAACTGTAACGAAGCAGCGGTCACACGGACAGTACAGAAGGATGGTCCCAACAAGGGCAGGATGTTCCACACGTGTGGGAAGCCAAGGGAGCAGCAATGTGGCTTCTTCCAGTGGGCTGATGAAAATGTACCTCCATCAGGTAAAGAATTCAGCACATACAAATGCACTACATGCTGTTGTAATGCTATACTAAATGTATAGTAGAATAATGTTGTCCAAACGGCATATCCACAGTAGCTCGTCAATCTCTTATGATTTATAACGCGTTGCAATGCAAGAGATCCTTCTTGTTCATATCTTTATTCAATAATAAGAGTATGACTCACAACTGCATTAAGACTTCCAGTTAAGAGGCTGATGATCTCAGCCTCAGTTCGATCTAAAAGCATCTCTTCTGTGTTTGATATGTGGATTGTGACTTTGTTTCACCTCTGTTCCTCTGTCAGGTGCTTTTGGCAGTGGCTACAACAGCAGTGGGTTTAACAGCGGTGCAGGCAACAATAACAAAGGTGGAAATGGAAGAAAGAAATCGGGAGATGCTGGCGGAAACAGCGCTCCCGCTGCTAAGAAGCCACGTAACTGTGGTATCTGCCACTTGCCTGGACACACCCGTGTTACCTGCCCACAGCGGTGACACAAACTGAGTGTTTCTCATTTCTCATCTCATTTTACCACACATGCAGTAGTGCCTTCACTATGTCTATCATTCAACACTCTAATTAAGTTCTTAATTCATAACTGTAGTCAGTATCACAGTATAAACACCAGTGCTCTTGCAGATGTGGCAAAATAAGCCTTTGCATCTCTGTATGGCAATACAGGCATACACCTACCTTCAGAACTGTACCAATGCTTGTTTTAAAGGATTACAAACTTTTTAAACAGCTGCTTTATATGGGGCTCGTGTGGTGTAGTCAAACCAATATATGAGAAACATACAATTTTATGCCATTGCTAATAAACTTTTAAACGTTTAAATTCTGATTTTAAGCTGTTATATTTTGGCAGTGACCTGTCATTACTTGCCCGTTTTGCTTTTGTTTTTTACATTTCTGGCGTTTACTTTCGTTTTCGTTCGTGTTGTCACTTGTTCCTCCAACAGTCGGTTTCAGCCACACTTCTTTTCAGCTTCTCTTCTTTTGCTTATGTTTTCTTGACGGATTAAAAGAAAGGGCATAAAATTATCCAAACTCTTGGGGCACAAAACTACCATTGTCACAGTAAAAAGCCGCAAAATAACAGTCCTTTTCTGTTATTACTAGTAGTAATTTAAGCTTTTGCAAAGCATGTTTTGTATAATTATATTATTTTAATGTATTTACTTTATTAGCTTTTCAATAGTAACATCCTGTCGAACTGAAGTTATTATAAATTCCCTCTGTGATTTGCTTCCTTCTGAAAAGTGGAACCTCTTGCGTTTATTACCCCATTATTTCTTGGCGTCTCCTTTCTTATAACCTCGTGTGTTCCCGGTATTTTGCTGCAAGTTTTCCCGTTTATTTTCTTTGCGATTGAGATTCCAAGGAAGTAGCGGTGATCTGCTTACTGGCACGTTCAGTGACTCATGTGTGAGTCATAACACGTGGGAGGGAGCGAGCGCTTTGGAGCTGTCCTGTGTGTTGTTTTTTTTGCTTCTACATCCCTCCATCCTCGGCTCCTAACTTTGCCACAGTAGTATCCGGGCAGATAATAAGTCATGTGACGGTCGGCTCGCTTTCTGAACCCCCGGCTTACGGGAAGAGCGCGGCTGGTTTGTTCTGTTACGGTTCAGGCGAGCGCGCTCCCAGCAGGGTTCAGATAAAGCCGCTGTAAAACACGAAAACATTATAAAGAGCTAGGCTACGTAACTGCTATTCAGCTTGCAAATTGATAACCAATTCAAACAAGTTGAGGATATTTTATTGGATTTGAAAGACATCCAAAGTACTTAACATTATTCGTTCACCCTATAGGCGTCTGCTCTGCGGTGGTGAGGTAGGATAGACTGACAGAGGCGAAGCTGCCAATCTGCACCATCGGCCCCTGACCACCACCACCAATCACCTAAGGCATTTACACAAGTTATACAAGGAAAGATGGGTTAAGTTGCCCAAGGACACTATGCACTAGAGCTACTGTTTCTCACATGCACTGTGACACATATGTACAGTGGTTGGTGGCACCTGGTATTCCCAGCAGTCTCTCATCCAGTACTAACTTGGTCTAACCAGCTTCCGAGATTAAACACGATCAGCCATTTGCAAGGTTGTATTGGGCTTGCCTCTAATATTGGAAGCCATCACGTTCCTCCATATAAAAACCTTCTCTCCTGCAAATGCAGATTGCTCCAGTTTGTAATTTCACATTGAGGCATATGTTACCTGAACCTAATTTACAGAGGGTTTAAGGTTTATTCCACTTATCTTAATTTTTTGCACCCATCAGTCTTTGATATCTTAAACCAAAGGCATCCAAACTTCTTTTCACAGATGGCTGCATATTGAAGTATATTTTATAGAGTGAGTCATTCACATCGGTGCATTTTGCACCGCTTGAACAGAGCACCCATACCTTTTAATAAGGCTTAATAAATATTGAGGTCTGTGTCACAATACAGTATGATGCTCTTGAGGTAATAATATTACAATTACTTAAATTTCTAGTTCAAAGTTCTGCTTAAAAACAGTTGAGCCTCATTTGACCCCTGGGCCATAGTTTGGACACCCCTGTCTTATACACTTTTTATAGGAAGCCAAAAGGAAATTGAACCCAGAATTGTGGTATGAGGATGTGGTCTGGGAATCACACAGTCCCTCAAGATTTGGTACGATACATGATTTACAACACAATAACATCACAATTTAGTGATAAAGGCAATAATCAATGTATATTGCACATGATATGGTATATCACTGTTTTTAAGAACCAAATACATTTTAAAAGTATTTCTTTGTTGAAACACTTCCTGCATAAACTTAATATGAAACACATCAAATATTTTGCTTAAGCAAGTTTCTTTTCTCTAAAAAGGCAACAAAATTGTAGGGCTGTCACAAAATATATTTATTTTTAAATATACAAAAAATAACTGTCAATATGGTATCACCAAATTTAGTAACACAATATGTCAATATTTTAGCACACCCCTAAGGAGAAGTGTTAACAATGGATCGGATATCAAAATTACATAACATTGTGAATATCCTCTGTATTTGTGATTTAAACATTGATAACTGAAGAAAATTAAGTCATGGAGGTCAAAGTTCATAGTACGGGCAGTGAGTGCATTACTGTGTTTAGCCATTTGCTGGTTATCAGTTTGTCCTGCTGTCTCATCAGCATCATTGGCCTGCTTTTTCAGTAGTTGCTGTAGAAACGGTTGCCATGGCACCCAGTGCCCGTAAGTGATGCGAGTGTTCCAGGTGCTGAAAGACACTGGAACATGGACAAAGTGTGCAGTTTTACTTAACTGGATCCCTGACCTGAGAGAATAGGAAGTTACCTCTGGGCCATTTGGTAAAGTGTGTGTTCATATCTGGAGATGTGAACATGTGTTACATACAAGAATAGAGTTGCATGTGTTTGGAGCTTACACTCTCAGCATGGAAAAGGGTTAAAAGAAGAAAAGTTTACTGCTACAACATGTCAGTTATCACATTTTTATGTCACAACATGACAAACAAACTGGACATGTTGCTTTCAGCTGTGGAAAAGTTAGGATTTTCAAAAATATGATGCCATAGCTGAAGGGCAAGAATACAGGCTTTTATTTACATTGTAGTTGTAGATTATCTGGGCTTTGTTTTATAAAGTATTATATTATATTTTTTTTTACTTGGTTTAGGAAGAAAAACACTCCAAATTTACTAAATTAATGGTGTAGTGTGTAACTTTTCAGGTGGAGGGGGCACCTGGTTTTCTCAATAGATCTGTTTATTGCTTTGGTGTTTTTATTGTGGAGGGTGAAAAAAACAAACTGTCCACAGATCTGACTCGTGTCCTGTCTTAGTGGCATCACCTTGTCTCCATGGAAATTTAAAACCATTATATTTGTGTTACTGTTCCAGGATTATAATTTCAGATGTAGGGCGAGGGCCTGTATAACTATTGGAGACTCACTATTTTGAAGGAATGTATGATGCACAAAAGCTGAACTCTTACTTGACAGGGGATTTCTTCACAAACTTGCCATTTTAAACTTAAAGTACTTTCAATTGACAACCATCACTTTTTTGGTGTGTTTCTTTAGAATTATTTATTTATTTAGAAGACATGAAACTTTTGTTCTCTGTGATAGGCCCATGTAATTACAGAGTTATTAACCATAAACCAGGTCAACAAATCTGCAGTCTGAAAGTTAAACCATACTTGTCTCCCGGCTCCAATTTAAACTATATTTTATGTTTAATATATAGTTTACAATAATACAATTGCGCTGTACTGATACAAAGTAGGAATAGTTCGAGGCTTACAGCAGGGTGTCCCACATACACTACAGTTTCCCCTCAGTGCACAGTAACCTTGTACCCCTTCCACAACCCTCTCTGAATTGAGTGCGCGCGCTCGTCAGCACAGCACAGGCGCGCTCATTGGGGGCTCGGCACTACGCAATGGAAAGGGGGCGCGCCCAGCTTAAAGCAGCGCGTTGTCCCGTGTTGTTGTGTCGCAGATTTCCAAAGTGAGAGAGCGAGGGCAGCTGGAGTTTAGTGCGCGGTGCTGTGGACAAAACAAATGCATTTTACAAACGAGGCCACGGCGCAGGCTTGAAGTGAGTTTTTTTGAGTCCTCCTCGGTTGCTGTTATTTTGGCTCTTGTGGAAAACAACAAGGACCCAGTTCCGTTCGTGTCCCGTGGACAGCGGTAGCCATGGAGCTGTCATCAATAGGAGACCAAGTGTTTGCAGTTGAGTCCATTACAAAAAAGAGAATCCGAAAGGTAAGGGCAAACTAATCCGGCACTACTCTAAACATGCATGCACAAAAACAGGCTACGCATTACGCAGTTCAGTACTTTACGTGCCACAGTTCAATGCGACAGAGTTTAATGTTTTGAACATCCTCATGTCTCCGTAGAGCAAATATGGATGTGTTTTGGCGGAGCCTACGCAGATAGTAAAAATTAAAGGGGGTGTGTTTCCTAAAAGCAGCTGCGCACCTTCCCGTGTCACAGCAGCGCGCGTTGTCAAAGTGCTGCGTAATGTCACGCAGCGCTGCGTGGTGGTGAGCCATGGTTTGTTCAGAGGGCACGTTGTGAACTTAAGCGCTGCAACGAGAGATTACAGTGTGTTGTTGTGAACATATCGCAACGTTGCGAATGCATGTGTTCCGTTTGACAGCTGCCATGTCCAACATATTGCATTATAGCCTGACACTGGGGCCATGTTGACATTGCACAATAGCCCACTTTTAGTGACTTAACAAAGTTTAATGATTTGACATTTTATTGAGATGTCCTAATAGGTTTTTCACCGCATACTATAGTTGTACACCTTTAGGAAAGTGCTGTTGTTTTTTCTTGTTGCGCAACGCCACGTTGTTTACATGTGGCGTGGCCCCACCTATCATCGGTGTGGTGATCTAAAAAGCGTTCGTGTTTTGTAGAATACGCCGCTCGAACAACCATGTGCGCTCACGTCAGTGCGTGAGAGGCTGCTGTTTGGAGGCCACCCAACCCCTCTGTCATTGACGTCACCCTCCATAAAAACATCGCTTGAAACGAGAAAAATGCCTGTGACTTCCTCCGTCCCCACTTTAAAGTGACAGTCATCCTATTTTCACTCATTTGTTCTGCGTCGCACTGGACATCGTGTGCCCTGCTCTGAGCGCACTAACCCCGCCCCCTCTCTGTTTATTCTCAGGGGAATGTGGAGTACCTACTGAAATGGCAGGGCTGGCCCCAAAAGTGAGTAAGCCTTGAGTCATCGTGTGGTGACCTCACCCCCATGAAACACTTCACTCACACTAAGTCAAGGTTACTTCTACATTGCAGGAGTATAATCCTGCATTGTGGAAGCAACCTTGAGTTACAGAAAGTGTAAAACATTTTTATTCCCTTGTGGTAGGTACAGTACATGGGAGCCAGAGGACAATATTCTGGACCCTCGCTTGGTCCTGGCCTATGAAGAGAGGTGAGTACGGACCTTTTCCATTTAATTAGTTTCTAAATAAATTTAATTAAACATTACTTGTTTATTTCCTTCTGTTGCCTCAGTCAGGAAAGGAGCAGAGCTCTGGCTTATCGCAAAAAAGGTCTCAGACCAAGGAGGCTAGTGCTGCGGGTAACAGCTTCTCTAATTTCTACAATAGCTTTAAAGCTAATTTTTTATCATGTGAACAGTCCACTCTAATCACTAACTTTTACAGAACATCTTTGCTATGGACCTGCGCAGCGCCCACAAGATTCCAGAGAAAGCCCCTCGTCTACGGCTGTCCCTCACACGCTCCTCCAGCACTGATGTGGAGCACCATCCCATCCGCAGGCGGAGGCTCAGGGTGTCACGTCGAAGGGCAGAGCGGCCTCATAAACGGCTCCAGCCTGTAAGGACGGACCAGGAGCTTGACGCTGACTGGGAGGGCATTAGTGAGGATGACAAACAAGAATCTGAAAGCAACGCAGAAGACCGATGTGGTGACAGTGTTTACGGTTGGTTTCTTAGGTTTTTGCAGTTATCCTTCTTTCCATTTATTTTATTAAATGTATTGTCCTTTTTCCCAGGTCAGTCTGAGTGCAGCTCTCCCCCCACACTACAGCAACATGACCTGGAAATGGATCAGGTGGACAGCGCGCACGAAACACTCATATGGGAAACAGCAGAGAGCAAGGCACAAAATGACCCAGCAGAAATAAAAAATCCCCCAACTTTAGCGTGCAACCAATCTAAGAACACTTTGTGTACGCCTGAGGTGGTAACAGGAGACACTGTGACTGTGTGCTCCGCAGCTGAAGAGGAGGTGGTGGCTGTGGAGCAGGTGTCAGAGTGTCCCAGATTCCAGAACAACAACTTACAGAGGAGAAACACCACCTCTGTCATCGTGAGCACCCATGGGAGGCAAACAGAAGACCCAGGTGCTGCACAGATGAAGGAGGATGAAGTGACAAGTGACAATCGGCATAATACATCATCAACACAGCATTCCATTAATCCAACCACACCAAACCCCAAGAAGGTGATAGTTACTGAGGTGACCATCAACTCCATTACAGTCATCTTTAAGGAAGCTACAGTGGCGGAGGGCTTCTTTAAGGACTGCTGAATTGGTATTCAGATTGACTATACTAGACTTGTCACTCATTTTTACATAGAAGTATCCGTAACGTGAAATGACACCAGATGTTTACACATTTGCCTGTAAGTAGGCCTGATGGTTTTTTCATTGTGGCATTTTAATTATACATAGACGTGAATGTCTAACTCTTTGTAGACCTCAACTGCTGTGTGAATGAATTTCAGTCACTGGGTTTAAAAGCAGTTAACAACAAACTAATACTACTTCCATGCAGCTGTACTTTTAGCTCTGGTCTGAGAACTTGGAGTTAGTTTGAGAAACTCCTTTTTGTTACCAATACTTGTTTTTCCTTTTGTAAATATGACTGTGCGCATGCCCCAGCAATCTGTGTCTCATCTTCTGCTTCAGTGAGTTTATTTCTGTCACAAAAAGAAATAAAACAAAGGAAATAATGAATGCTTAAGATGAGGCTTTGCATATTAGGAGGGTAGATGTACTAAGAGAGCAGGTGTTTGCTGCCTGCCTGAAATAAATCTAGATGTTACATTGTTCTATTTTTGTAATATCAGTCGAGCTCACTCTATCCTTTTAGCATTTTAAAACACTGTTGATGCCGTCCATGGCTATGTACAAAAAAGCTGACTGTATATACATGTATGTTACTCAGTAGAGGTATTATTTATTGCATGTCTTGTTGAAAGCTAAATGTCACATTTTCTGTACATGATGTCTTTCCCTCGTAATGAAATGTTTTCTTATGATGAATGAAGAAATATTTTTTATTTTCACTGCATTTTCAAATAAATATTTAGTAAAATGTTTTTGGTTAGCAAACATGATTGTTTATATCTGAGACACTGTTGGTCAGGACATGGTTTAATTCTGACCATATTTGTGATCACAAACTTTCAAACAGTCTAGAGATACTGGAGACAATGCAGGTGAAGTATCATGTCCAAGGAAAGCCAGTATGCACTGGCTGGACTCTGAACTTTTCCACTGAGCCACCGGCAATCAAGATATAACATGTTTTTTTTTTTTAAACAATGAGAACTCAAAAGATGTTTTTAAGCAGTATCATATAATGACCACTAGAGGGCCACCAATGACTTCAACATGGGAACGCAAAGGGGTCTGTTTAGAAGTATGTTGATTGCAATGCTTTAAAATATAACCACTGATTCCACCATATCTGCATCCATCAGGTAAGCCCTTTGTAAAAATGACCCATTCAAACCTACTGACATAGTTTTGCAGCGCACTTACCATCATCTTTCAAATTTTTGTCAGAACACACAAGTATTGTACATTTTACTTTTATTATAAAAACATTACTTAAATCCACAGTTTACTTTTTACAGTAAAAAAATTAAAAGTTAAATTAAACTCATAGCAGACGCAAATGAGGTGGGGATAGAGGAGGATGAGGGGCTGGAGGGAGGTTCAGAGTCCAAAAGGAAGCAGCAAGTATCAAGGCAGAAAGTGAGTTCTTCACCAACACCTCATCTTTCCCCTCAGTTCTGTGCAACACAGTTAATTTGGATCAAACTCTGCAGTTTACTGGAAACAGCAGAATAGTTTAAAACACTAAAAGATTCTAATCCACATCCCAGCCCATGTTCTGAAAACGGTACAGGCACACAGGTTTGCATCCCCCCTCCCCAGGGCTCCATTGCTCCACGTTAAGTGTCCATAAGGAAAGAGTGCACACATTCGGGGGAGAGGGCTCTGCATGTAGGCATGACAGAAAACTTGGCATCCTGATAGATCTGAGAATTCACAGCAGACCAACTGCTGCAGTAAAACACTGACAGGTAATTTATTCTCAACTCATCTAAATATATCTTAAGTGTAAAGAAATATCCACTAACCCCCACCTCAGCAACAGTAACAAAAATATATTTCTATACAAAGTGTAGCAGTCGCAAGGTACATTAACACTTGTGACACCAAATAAAAAAAAAAATAATAAAATAAATAAAGCTAACAAAAACAAGTTTAAAAAGATATGCATCATGTTTCAAATTACATTGATAATCTCACCTCACTCTGTCAAATAAAAACAGACCAGGAGAAAAAAATAAAGGTTATTTGCAATAAATCAATACTTAAATTCTTGTCCAAGTTTAATATCTTAAAAATACTTGCTTAAAAAGTCAAGTAATCATTAACTACCCGCTCCCCAAAAATAACTCCTTTTGTAATCTGTAGATGTGCAGGTGGAGGGTGCTACACAAACCACTGTCCACTTTGTTCATAATATATAACAAAAATATATTAACAATAACTTACGTTTCATTTATTTTAACCTACTTAAAGACTGGTTTCTTTATTGTTCATCTCCCATAGGAAGTTCTGATCAATGCATCTTTATTGAAAACATCTTAAATAACATTTAATAGTATAAAAAGGCTAAGTTAAACAATAACACTGTCCCGGTGAGTGCAGTTTTGTGCGCAGAGCTCCTAGTTCAGTAGAGTTCCTACATGATGTCTAAAGGGTTATGGTTCATGTTCTGTCCCAGAGGGTCCTGACCAGCGGCCCCTGTCCCATGAAGACCAGCCATGCTATTCAACTGGGACATCATGGCGTTCTGGTCTATGCCAAACTGATCCATGGAGTTCTGCGGATGCTGGTTTGCCTGCTGCTGTGGAGGGGGGCCCATCCCAGGGTGATGGTTCAGGTGGGAGGGGTGTGGAGACCCCGTTTGTACCTGAGGTGAGATGTGATGAGGAGAGGGTTGGGGCTGCAGGCGCGGGGATGGGCTTGAGTGCGGGGGCTGTGACTGAGGTCTCGGAGAGGGCTGAGGGGAGCGGACTTGGTTTGCCAGAGATGTGGGCAGTGCCTGTCCCTGCAAATGGGGATGTGGAGATGGCTGCTGGGGGCTCATAGGGCCACTGTGCGGGGCTGGGGACCCTCCAGGGCCAAGGGTCTGCTGCTGTTGGAGAAGTCTCTGGTGAAGGGCCTGCTGGAGCAGTGCCTGAGATGGTGGTAGGCCACTCTGAGGAGGCTGTGGCTGCTGTGGGACACCCATTGGGACACCCATTGGCCCCCCACCTGGCCCCCCACCTGGCCCCCCATCACCCATGCCACTCTGCTGTTGCATCTGCAGCTGGTGCTGTAGCCTGTGCTGTAGGGCTGCTGTTGCCTGCTGCTGAGAAGGGTTTGGGTATGTCTGACCAGAGGGTCCAGTGGACTGCTGCATGCTCACTTGGTTCTGCCCCATGTGAGACTGCATCCCCGGTTGGTTCATGTAGCCCTGTGGCTGTGGAGGCTGATGAAACTGACTGTGGTTCATTCCCATCTGTTGTTGATTATGCTGCTGCTGCTGCTGTTGTTGCTGTTGCTGTTGCTGCTGCTGTTGCTGCTGCTGCTGCTGTTGCTGCTGCTGCTGTTGCTGCTGCTGCTGTTGCTGCTGCTGCTGTTGCTGCTGCTGCTGTTGTAACTGTCGCCTCATGAGCATCTCTCTGAATTGGGGATTGTTGAGGTTGGCGATCTGTGGACCCGGACCCGGAATTCCCTTTGCTCCCACCGGCTGCGGTTGCAAGTTGCTGAGCATTGGTCTTGGTTGATGCATCTGTTGCTGTTGTTGCTGGAGCTGTGCCACGGCAGCCATGTTCTGACCTCCTCCCATGTGCATGCCTGGCTGACTTCCACTTGCAGCATTCATGTTCAGCTGGGAGCCACCTCCTGTTATACTGTTTCCAACTGGCCCCCCTGGTTGGTTTGGTAGTCCTGGAAGGCCTCCTGGCCCACCTTTGTATTTGGATGCCCTTTGCTTGATAAAGGCAGCCATGAGCTGAGGGTTGGATCGAAGAATGTTGAGAACCTGCTGCTGCTGGAGAGGAGAGCTTGGAGAGCGCAGTGTGCGGAGCAGGTCCTGCAGAGCACCCTGTGGAATGTTTCCTCCAGCAGCTCCTGGGATGGCCCCTCCAGTGCCTTGCTGCTGTGGGGCCATGTTCATGAGAGGCTGCTGCATTGGTTGTTGCGGCATTGGTTGCTGCGGCATTGGTTGCTGCGGCATTGGTTGCTGCGGCATTGGTTGCTGCGGCATTGGTTGCTGCGGCATTGGTTGCTGCGGCATTGGCTGCTGCTGTGACATTTGTTGCTGCTGCGGCATTGGCTGCTGCTGCTGCATTTGCTGCTGCTGCTGCATTTGCTGCTGCTGCTGCATTTGCTGCTGCTGCTGCATTTGCTGCTGCATTTGCTGCTGCTGCATTTGCTGCTGCTGCTGCTGCATTGGGGCCTGCTGCATTGGGGCCTGCTGCACAGCCATCATGCTAGGATGACCCATCTGATTCATCATCGGCCTTTGGGGAGCCATACCTTGTCCTGCCCACACCTGCTGCTGGGAGGGGTTTTGGAGTGGAGCAGTCATTCTTTGTTGTTGTAGCTGAGTGGGCATATTACCCTGCTGAAAGTGCTGCTGCATTTGACCTCCCACCATCCCCGCTTGGGCCCGCTGTGGATCCATGTGTGCGCGGGCTGCAACTGCTGCCGGGTTTTGAGGGGGTGCGCCCATCCCAGGAACAGAGGCATTTCCCATGTTCATTTGCTGGTTTTGTGCCTGTTGATGGTGTCCAGGTGAGGGCATCATGCTGGTGGCCGCTTGTGCCTGTCTCTGTAGTGCCATTTTTCTTTGAGCATCTGCTACTTGCTGGATCTTCATAGCGATCTCTACTGCAGCTGGTGGTGGTCCTGAAGAGGGCTGATTCTGTGGCTGACCAATACTACCTGTCACAGCTCCCACTTGCTGCTTTTGTTGGGGTGGTGTAGCAGTACCAAGGCCAGGTTTGCCCTGGGACTGGTGCATGGGGGATGAGCCTGGAGGTCTGCCAGCATAAGTGTTGAGTTGCTGCTGGGGCGAGTTCACAGCCCCATTCTGATGCTGAGGGGAGTTGATGATGCCCCCAGACCCACCACTCATCTGAGGGAACTGATGTTGCACATGGTGCTGCTGTGGTGTGATGTTGCCCTGAGGGGCCAGTCCCCCAGGCTGTTGCACTCCAGGTGCTGAGCCCACACCCTGCTGCATGTGGTGTGTGGGCGTCTGAGGAGTAGGAGGCTGAGTGCCGCCAGATGTGGGAGTGCTGGGTGCTGTGCTATTGTTTCCTGGTGATGGGAGACCTAAAGGGGCACCAGGTGGTCCTCCTGTGGGCTGTCCCACTCGCTGCATGCTGGCCATCCGTCTTCTGAGCATCTGTGCCTGCTGCAGTCTGTGCTGCAACTGTTGCTGCCGGAGCTTTTGTTTGATGTTTAAGCAAAATGGGACTGGACATTTGTTCTCTTGGCAATGTTTGGCATGGTAGCAGCAAAGAGCAATGAGCTGCTTGCATATAGGACAACCCCCGTTGGTTTTTCGCTTGCATCCCTTTGTGTGCTGAACTACACGCTTCATCTTCTGACAGGACGGCAGAGAACAATTAGCATTTCGACACTGGCAGGCATGGACTAGAGACTGGATGCAGCGCTGGATGCTGAGTCTTCGGGAGTCTCCAGGGTTTTGGGTGGTGGCAGCTGCCTGGTTGTTACTGTCATCATCTAGGCCAAGCCCCAATTTGTCCATCTTGTGCTCATGGCCTTTAGTGTGGTAGCAGCTGATGCACAGGTCATAGTCCTAAGAGAACACAAAAGTGATTTAAACAGTTGTGGCTTGATGAAAGAAAAATCTAGCAAATAAGAGTAAAATGGATTGGCATCTCTGACCTCACAGACAGTGCAGTGGAATCGAGTCTCCACGTGGTGTTTGCATTCATTGCAGGTGTAGACAAAGCGGTCCTGACTCTGGTTGTGCAGCTCCACCAGCATACACATAGAGCTCCACTTGGATCGTCGAAGAGAGCTAAACTCCAGGTGTTTGTCCCTGGCCAGTGTGAGAAAAGCATCCCGCCCATCCATCAAGTCACATGCCATCAGGGGGTCTGGGTCGGTGATTGGTGGCAAAGAATTGGCAGTGGGTCCAGCAATTAGACGGATGACAAAAAATACCTATAAGAAAAAGTCCATGTTATCCCAGAGACATCCAGAAGTATTCCATAAAAACATGAAAAGAGAGGGTAACCTCAATCACACAATGACACAAAGCAACATATGGAGAAAAATAAATAATATTTTTTGTTTTCTGAGATGATAAAATGTTTAATTCATTGTCATCCTAATGTTGTCAAGATAATTTATAACAAATTTCACCATTTTGTCAAAGTATGTGCACATGTGACCTCCTAATATCTGGCTTTGGAACCTCTAGGATTTTAGGGTCTTGGATAGTTAATGCAGCTTAAAAATAAGTACTCAAATAATAATTAAAAAAGGAAACATCTTTTGGAGAAGTGCACAGTGGCTAACAGTTTAAAACAGATATGTAACAAATTCTAACAACATTATATCATAGGAAGGACTTGTTGCAGTTATATGCTCCTTTATAGATTAAAATTAGTTGAACAGAGTGGTACCTCTTTGTGCTTCTCCATAGTGGCATACAGTTTCTGGGAGAGGTCATTGGAAACACTGGGCATTCCTGCTTTCTTCTTGTTTGCTCTGCTCAGGCTGCTTTTGTTCTTGCTCGTCTTTTTATTGTTTTTCTTTTTGGCATTCTTACTGTCACCAGTTGCAGCCTGAAAATGTGAGATATTAACAGGTTAAGATTTCCTCATTTCAAAATTAACAAGCTTTAATCTATTGTTGATTTCATCTTACATCTGTAGTCTCATTAGAGGTACTATTCTCTTCCCTTTTTCGCTCTTCCTCCTCTTGTTCCAGCTCTTTGATACTTTCCTCAAGAACATTGGGCCAGAAATCCCCTTCAAAGTATGGCAGTTCTTTAGCACTAGTCAGTCGGTCTTCTGTCGCCTGCTTGAAAATATCCTAGAGGATACAAAAGCAGAACCTCAAGTATGCAAGTATAACAATGAAATCTATGCAGTTTTAATTTCAGAAAACTATGTGCAAGATGTGCTCCCTTTACAATACATAAATGAGATCACATCAAACAGAAAGCCATTAATTACATCTCACCTTGTAATCGTGGACAATGCGTTCTGCAACAGCCTTGTCCAGCATCTTCTTGTACCATTCCTGAAGACGTTTTGGCTTAGGGATCTTTTGGTCAGCCGGATGACAGTGAAAAATGTAATCATCACCTTCACTGGGAGGACAAGCCCAAATATGCCCCGTTGTATACCTAACATTCATCAAGGACAAAGAGTGAAACATGGACATTTACTATGAACCTCAGTTATGCACAGTGGCATTCTCTTACCCCATTCTCTTGACATACTCCAGGTAGCCTATAAGAATCTCGTAGTATACAGCAGTCCTGAGGTGACGAGGTTTAAAGAAGTGCACACTGTCCAGATATGAGATGTAAACCCTTCTTTGATTTGGAGGGGGGCAGTCTGATCCATACTCCTGGACATGCATGCCAAAAAAGCACACCTCTGCTCCATCAATCTCCTCGAAGGCAAACAGAGCTTTTGTTCTGTAGGGGAAGGACTCTGCCATCTCTCCACTATCAACAAACCTTTAGAGAAAACAAACCAGGCTCAAAATGTTAATAACAAAATATAACAAATGTATAGGAATTACAAATAATGACAAAGATTGCTCATACCTGGACTTCATGCCAGGTTTGACCTCCACCATCTTGTCAGAGACATGCACCACTCGAATGGTGACCTCTCCGGATTCAGGGTGATTCTGTCTTTTGAGGTAGTCGTTCACTTTTGTCTCCAAAAAATTCCCCAATTTAGTCTGAGGAAGTCCTATGAAAGGAAGAGAGCTTTCAATGGGAGATACAATGAAAAAAATGATCCTCTAATATTTACAAGACTTACTTTTGGCTGCATATTTGTTTTCTTTCCTTGTCTTATTAACCTTTTTAAGGCACTCATCACAAACAAAACTGTTGGAGAAAAAAAAAAACAAGACCTACATCAACATTGTTATGTCAACAGGTCATCCTCAAGATATGCTAAATTGTTTCTATTGAAATGTTACTGTAACTGCACTCAGCAGTACACATTTGAGTCAAATGGACTCACCCTGTTGGCCAAATGGTTTCATTGTGCAAGACACAGATCTGGTGCATTTTTCGTCCACAATCCATACATTCTACAAACCTGGATGAGGAATATTTACAAAAGTGATTCAAAAAGTGTAATGTCTACACAGGAAAAAAATTGCAATTTAACAAATCTATTACAGAAGTAGTTTTTAAAAATAACTTACAACTCTGGGTCAAGGGTGTCATTCTTTTTGCGTTGAAACTGGTCTTTGTTTATAGACCTACAAAAAGAATTAGATGAATTCAGCAACTTAATACAGACACATTACACCTTCTGAGCAAACTTTAATAATATTTTTGAAGAAAAAATAATGGTAACATGGTAATTGTAAAGGATCTACTACCAATAGAGTTGTGTGTATTGGTGGTGTGGGCTAGTACTTACGTCTGTGGCTGAGAGGGATCGTCCCCCAGGGAAACACTTTCACCCTGGATTTCGTTGAAACACTTCTCACAGAAGTGGTACCTGTCAGCAAGAAGCCCATATTTTGGTGAGCTACACCGTTGTCATCAGCACAGCCAATCACAAAGAGGGCGTGGAGAAGCAGTTGCCAATCAGGGCAGGGCAGGCCGGGGGAGCGGGCACAGAAGTGGAGACAGAGGGCAAGGAAGGTCGTCGCCAGGAGGCAGCAGCAGCCAGTCATGATGCAGATTTTTTTTTGTGGGCAGGTGTTTTGATTTTATGCATAAATTTTCGGAGCGGATGATTGGTCACACCAAAGCAGGCCAATGCAGACATCACAAGCGTTAAAAAAGGAGGGAGAGAAGGGAGGGGAAGGGTCAAAATGAGAATACATAAAAAGCGTGAAATAAATTGTTACAGATTTGATCAAGACAATGAAGGCAAGTGAGAATGAAGGGACATAATGTACACAACAACCAACAGGGACAGAGAGCCAAGGCATGGCAAGGCAATATTAGCGTCATAGACATTCAGTGGTAAACAATACAACATTACAGGAACACACAAGACTAAAGAGCTGTGGAAGAAGGAGCTGATAATATTCTCAGGATATGAAAAGGTAAATGAGGATTAATAACCACAACACTAAAGCAGCAAAGACCCATCATCCTTTTTCATAATTTATAAAAGAAGATAATGCCCAAATTCATCTGGGACTGGATTTGCTAAAGGTTGTGCTGTACAGATTAATTTAAGGTCATAGACAGTTCAGTGACTGCATGTTCTCAAATTAAAGTGGGTGAACTTTGATAGTAGGTGTAAAGTCTTCTTTCCAATATCGACAGTCCTTACCTGTTCTGGTAGCTAAAGTAAGCAGCACGTTGAATGGTGCATAATTGCTTTCCATAGCAGCATAGTGTTTGGGGAGAAAACTCAAACTGCAACAATAAATACAAATGCCTTGTTAGTATATGCAAAATACGGTCAAGCTTTGTCATAAAAAATATTTAAAACTTGTCAAAATGGAAAAAGGTACTATTTTTGTCTACAGCCACTTAAAATGTACTACTTCATGGTTCAAGTCAATGGGATTTTAGCAATACTGCCAAACCAAAACCATGCTAAATGTGACAAATGAAATCATTATTCAAAAACTACCCTATATATGAATTCTTCTGTTATCAAAAACAGAAGGATTTCCAGTTCTACAAACAAAAGGGTTCATCATTACCTTCCTCCCACAACAGTATCCAAGACCCTGCATGACAGGATCTATCTCCATCTCAAACACTTCGGCGAGCTTGGAGCAGTACTTGTAAACACGGGATGTCTTGCGGTTATAAAGCCAAGCGTTATTGAACATCAGCCAGATATCCTCCACATATTGCCACGGCTCTTGGTATTGTCCTGTATCCAGTTTCCGCTTGATAGTTGACAAGTCCATAGGGTTCTTCACTATGTCAAAGTAGTCCTTTTGCGAAAGGGTCCCAAGGCAAATGGTCAATGGGAAAAAAAGGTAAGGTCGTCATCGTGAAGGAGTCGCAGGCAACCGGGCAGGACCAGAGGGAGAGAAGAGGGTGCAGGGAGGACAATGATGTTGAGCACTGCAGAAAAGAGGTTCACGTGCAAACAGAAAGACATGACAACTTCTGCCCTTCAGCTCTGTGTTTTGCACCCAACATGTAAAGCAAATTACACATTCATAGAATGTAATGATGCCTGATCTTGGCAATCACAGAATTATGGTTTGTGTGGTTGATAATGAATGCTTGAATTGGACATGAAGCTCTGAAAGGCTGTAAGAGCTGTTCAGAGACAATGAGGGTGCAAAACTAAGAAAAACGGGGCAATGGCAACAAGCAAACCAAAGTGAATTGGTAAGCAGTCATCATCAATATAGCAGCTCTAAGCTAACCATGGTGAGGTGGGGAAATGTACCATACATTTAATTAATTAATTTGATGTGATGAGCAGTAATGTACCCAAACATTTGCTTTATAAAAAGAAAATATTTCATGTGCCAAAATACTAATTTTTCCATCCACAGTCTCTGGACGGATTAATGTTAAAATACATTTAATGTAGGGTGACCAAACGTCTGTTTTTCCCCGGTCTGTTTTTTGCATCCTGTCCTGGGCTCCGGGTTTTTTTTTGTTTTTTTTTAAAGTGATGGAAATGTCTTGGTTTTCATTACCGTTCATTGGTTCCATTAAACTGAGCGGCTCTCATAGCTTTCTGTGCACTCAGAAGGACAGTCGGTCAGCCTGCAACATGCCGAAGCGCAAATGTGCATTTAACAATGACTTATACAAGAAGTTCTCCTCTTTCCGTTCCGGTCGGGACACGTGAGAGGCCAAGTGCACAGGTTGAGAGGTGAGAGTAGCTCAATGTCGAGGCCCCACCCCCCACCCCCGGTAAGGTGTCCAGGTTTTCACAAACGGAAATATGGTCACCCTAATTTAATGGGTAAAAAAAGGCCTGTTTCCATGTCACCAGAGCAACAGGGATTACAACAATTTGTTGCATTTAACTATACATAACCAATAAGGTTTTAGAATGTGAAATAAAAAGGGTTTAGTATTTGTTGAATATTGCCCCACCTCAACACACAGCCATTTAAGCAAACACACTAGTACTAGCACTACTAATACCAAGACGGGAGAGAACGCAATAGAGCACTAACAAAATGCAAATATAGTAATAATGGAAACTAAGCAAGATGAAGTGAAAAATAAAAGCAAGACTGGTGAACATAGGACTAGCAATATGCAAAGTACAGATACCATATCAGCAAATATAAATATAGTTATTTTAAGATGATTAAATGTTCAAGGTCATTGCTTTAATTTTCCAAGCTGGCATTAAGCTTAAGAAATGACAACAATGATTGCATTTCTTAGCTTAGAACATGCAGTAAATTAATAATGCAGCACTGACAACAGACATAAACAAATGTTTAACTATATTTATGAATAAATTATAGTATTAAAGAATAAAAATAAAGCTCTAATTTTACATAAATTGAAGCAAAATGGCAGCCAGTGCAATCCCTTACCAGGTTAGTTTTGTTACTAGTTCGAATACGTACGGGTATTCCCAGTAACTGGGGGTCCACCGGCTGACGAAAGGGTAGGGACTCAGGGTCCTGCCGGTACAGAGCCTCAAGAGTGGGCATCAGAGCCTGACGCAACTCTTCTGGCTTAAAAACTGCCAAGATAAAACACAGGTTTAACACAAGATTAGACTATTTTGTAGATATCCTTATTTCTTGATGGTGAAACTGCAAAAGATGAACTCTTAACTTTAGGGGCAATGTAACAGATTCAATATTCACAAGGCCGAGTGACTCCAAGCTCAGCATTTCTAACCACAAAAATTTCCCAAGTGCCAGGACTTCACAAAAACCTATTTAATCATTGCAAGTTTCCCCAAAAATTAAGACTTACCTTTCTTTTTGCTTTGCGCACTGGCTGGAGAGCTACTGTTAGCCATTGACCCTGAACATTCCTCTTCCTGTTTTGGCTCCTTCTTAATCTCTGGCTTCTTGTCCTCACTTTCGGCTCCCGTAGAAGACACAGATGAAGTTGTTTCCATTGACTCATCTTTACATTCATCTCCAGATGTCTTCTCTGTCTTTATCTACAAGACAGAGGCATGTTTATAAACAGATAAAAGAAAAAAACACAACCAAATATTAAGTTAACTACACCAACTATATCGCTTTTCATGAACATTATACATGATTTTCTGTATTTAACAACATAATAATGGTGGTTTAATGCTCTGCTGTGTGAACAGCAGATCTCCTTGATCTCCTATTCCAGTATTCTGGCACTAAAAAACTAAAAAGATTTGAGTTTTTTATTATTCAAAACAATCACAATATCATCCAGAGATACAGAAGGTTTGATAAACTCATCACTAAATTGTGTTTAAAAGGATTAAAAAGACCCCATTAGGTCTATAAAAAGACCTTTAATAAATAATTCTTACATCTGGTTTGTCTTCCGTCTTCAAATCAGGCTGTCCTTTGTCCGTGTCCATTTTGTCCTCATCTTCAGTTTCTGCCTCTTCCTTGTCTGGATCTTCCTTTTTGGAAACTTCCAATTTAGCATCTTCATGGTTGGGGCCTTGGTCATCTGTGGTAGGAGGCTGAGAGAATGATTCGGTGTTGATGCCATCTAAAGCGGTTGAGGATTCTTGATCTTCTGTGGTCTGCGCAGCCTTAGGTGAAAGCTTCAGGGAATAAGAACAATGTCGGTACGCTTTAAAAAGTAACTTTTTTTTTTGGCAAACATACTTACAGGGGTTTTTGGTGGTTGCAAAGAGACTAGAGCATTCTCTGTTGGCGCTGCAGCCGTCAGACTGTCCTGGAGGCTGGGTGTTGGAGGAGCCATACCTCCCAGTAGCTGTGGCTGAGAGGTTTTGTCAGCATTCAATCCTTGTTCTGATGTAGACTGTAAAACTTGCTGCAGCTGCTGTGTTTGAGGCATCTGAGGTGTGTGAGGGGAGTGAGGCGTAGGTGTCTGAGAACCAGGCAACATCGGGGGAGTTTGGTGAGGCTGAGGCGTTAGGCTTTGTGCTGGTGAGGGCGAGTTGGTGGACATGGCTGCACAGTGAGGGTTGGCGTTGGCCTGGTTTGGAGTAGACAATGGAGGGAGGTTGGGGTGAGGCACAGCGTTGTTAACACCAGCAGACGCTAAGGGGCAAGGGGGAGTAGGTTGTGCTACAGGGCTGCTGGCAGGGAGTGAAGGTGTTGTTGACATTTGGCTTTGCTGAAATAAAACATAAGAAAATGGAAAAATTTAAACAAAAACTGAACACGATTGTACTCACTACATCCAATTATTGTTACCATTGACATTTGCACCCCAGACTGGCTCAATCCAGCAGAACCAAGGCCTGGACTTGATCCAGGGAACTGAGGTGAAGAGAGGTACTGGTTTTGTAACTGTGTGGTATTGGGCTGACCCATTCTGATTTGTGGCATGCTCATCTGTAAAATTCAATATTCATTCATTAGTAATGGATGTAAAGAATTGTGTATCAAGGATTATTGTGTGTGTGTGCATTTGTACCTGGTTCATTGGTGGCGTATGAGAAAGGGGAGGTGTAGACCTTTGACCCATTGTTTGCATCCCCATTTGACTGAATTGGTTCATTGCTAGAGAGAAATAGGGTTCTTTTAAAAAAGAAAAATACACTTATGCGTCCACATAAACCTGTACATGATATAAATTAATTACGTACCTGCTGGGTTTTGCATTCTATTTATAATCTGATTGGGTCCAGGTGGTCTGACCATAGAGTGATCGGCATGAGGACCATCTGAGGGAAAAGAGATATAAATAAACTTGTGTTTATAAAGGAAGATGAAGAAAAGTAATGTTTCCTTACTGGGAGATTGTCCCTGAGCCACAGGTGGATGGCCCATGTTTGGTGGACCCTGTGGCATCCCTGGTTGACCAGGCATCATGCCCTGTTTCTGAAGTCGTGTCCGTCTCTTTTCTTCAAGTTCCTTTTGAATCTTATAAATCTTCTCTGCCAGAAGGTGATAGTACTCAGCCTGAGTTCATGGAAAAACATGATTTTAACTCAAGGTACATAGCTGAATTACATGTTCACATGTTTTTTTATGTGTGTGTGAAAAAAGACATCAAATATATGACATAAGATATATGGAATTTAAATAAGTTAAAAAGACGTTTTTCTTTTCTAGATAATTCCATATGTCTTGCTTCATATGTTTGAGGTCTTCCGTAAGTATATAAAATGTAGAAAGAAGTAAAAGTAAGAAAAAAAAAATTCACTGAATGAGACACTTGTAGACCTTACCCTTGTGTTTGCAGATTCATACATATCACCCTCAACTTTACGAGCATAGGCCACTAAATTTTCCATTCTGCGGTCCTTCAATGCAGCCGGGTCAGGGGTTGGGAAGATAGCTTGCACACTGCTCCCAAAACAATGGACAAAGCAGAAGTTAGACAACACTCCCAACAACATTTTTTAGAAGACATAGACTTACAGCTTATGAACAAGATGATTGCGTAGATCTTGGGTGATGTCTTCATGCCAAGGCTTGGTTATACTGGTTGAAGATGGGTTAGCTGCTGTTGGCATGGAACCCAGGTTTCCCACACCATCATTCATTAAACTAAAAGAAATCCTTTTTTAGTCTTTACATTTATTTTACTGCGATAAATGAAAGTAAAACTGTAGTCCTACCTTTGTGCAATCAGACTATTTTGCAACATGTTTGGTAAGACACTGGCCTGTTGTATTGGATTCGATTGCTGTAGCCCCATACCCCCATTCATTCCAGGAGAGTTTCCTCCTGAAACATAAAACCTATGTTTGAGATCTAAAATTCAATAGGGTAAATTGTCAACATCATTTGAACTTCTGCTTAACTCACCCATTGAATTCAGAGGTCTTATGCCAGGCTGGCTCTGTGGCCCCTGGTTTGGCATGTTGGCTTGTGGTATCTGTTGTGGCATCTGATTGCCCTGGTACGGGAGACCAAGGGCAGCATAAGCTCGCTCAATGGAACTGGGGTCTATTTGGCTAGTAGGATTGATGTTTGGAGAGCTGGCCTGTCCAGCTTGGACACCTGGACCTAAGGAGTTCACCAAACTCACCCCAGCACTGTTAAGGGCAGCTGTAAAGATTTTTAAATATAAACAGATAAAAATGGGTAAGACATCATCTTTTACTGTTTATATCAAGATTGCTTGTGAATATGCCAAATACTCACACTGCTGACTCCGTTTATCACCAGCATTTTTCAGTGGAAGGCACACAGGACAGTCATGGCGAGTGCAATTCTTCCAGTGAGAGATAATTTGTCTGGACGAGGCACAGTGGGCCACTGGCAGAAGAAAGCACATGGAAAGATGTACTTTTAATGCATTATCATATGACAGATTTTTATGTCTTTCTGATTATTACTTGGTTATTTAATAATTTTACATCAGTTAAGTGGCAGTTTGTCGAAACAAGTAAAAAAAATAAAAATAAATACAAAAAGCAGCGCAAAGTTAAAAAACAAAATACCTCTACCTAATGTCATCAACACAGAAAATTCCATCCAAATCGCTGAGACAAATTATGTTCAAGCAAGGCATTTTGCTGGCAGTTTAAACCTTTATTTGACAAAATAAAAATGTTGTTGCTTATTTTATTAGTCTAATCATAATGATCGTATCTGCTGCTTGTATCCAACCAGGAAGTCAAATTAATAAATGTCACCTAAAAAAAACAAAAACAAAACAAAACACTAAGCAAGATTTTTAGTAAGGTCCTAAATATAATATGTTTTAGTAAAGTCTCAGTGCACACCAGGACATTTTGATGCACAGCAAAACTGCTGGAACCTCGATTGGGATTTGTTGAATCGTGATGTGGCGGCGCATCTGAAAACACATGTATTTTGCACTTCTGTGGTGAGGAGAGGCACATGAGCTACAGCAGAGGAAGGGAAAGCCCCAGTGTTTAGCACAGCAGAACACTGGCTCCTCTTCCACTTCTCTCCATAGGAAAACAATCACTAAACTCACTAATCTCCTCTGCTCTCACAGCCTTTCGCTGTGTCTCTAATTTTATAAGTAATCTGCAGATAAAACACAAATTTATGTGTTGTGTTAAAGCCTTTTTAAAGCCATGACACGTGGTTGTCACTGTGTTTTGACATGTGACTGTCATTGTGTGTTGACGCGTGGCTTGAATGATGTACGGCAGCGCGTGCGCTCTGGACAATATTAGCTTTAACCGGTCAAATGAATCTCATCTCATCTCTCCTCCATCTCAATGCAAAAATTGCCAACAAATGCAGCAATTTGATTGGCTGATGTATGTTAAAAGCAAAAACCCTTTCCACCAATATGACCTTAGTAACTAAAGATTGATATTACAGTATTCTTAAGCTTCACACATAACATCAAATCTAATACTTACCTTGGCAAGATTTGCCCGCCTGGCAATGGGTCATGTGGTTCAACACATTCTTCATGGTGCGACAGTGGGGTAAGTTACAATGCCGTACTTCTCCATTGGCTTGTTCCCTTCTCTGGCACTTGTGTGCATGAAGTAAAAGGACCAGTTGCTGTTGTATTAGCTTTCGCTTCTCAGGGTCTGCTGTGGGGGCTCCAACACCAGGGCCTGAACCTCCTGCACCAAGACCAACCTGTAGGGCTCCAGTCACTCCTGGCCCAAGAGGCACACCTCCAACTGTGGCGGACTGCTGATGGGAAACCTGCAACCAGCAAAAGCAAGATCATCAGCTTGTTTCAAATCAATGCCTCTAGAAGTAATGGTTCATAAAACAAAAACATGCATGAATGCATTTAATAAATACATTTTCTGTTTTACACAAATACAGCAAAATTACACATAAAACACATGAAAGGCATTCCTATGCATTGCTGTTATTTAAAGATCTAGAAATAAAAAATATACACCTCAACACAATCACAATACTCCATAAAATGTGAAATGTCCTTTCTTCATACGTATGCCTCCATGATTTTGAGACTAATAATAATTTGTGCAGTTGACTAGTAATTGGCCATCTCTTTTGTTTAGTCAAAATAAAAAGTTCTTCTGCAGAAACAATATTATTATAAAAGATTGATTACAAGGTATTTTTAAATACAAATCTCAAAACATATGTTTTCTGGTCCGAAAATAGCATGTGTTAAGAGACTTTATTTAATTAGTCATAATTATTTAAATTCAGCATTGCAACTCAAGTGCAGCATTAAATAGAAATTACAGTTCTCATCAATAAAACTGATAAATTTCACAATATAGCCTCAAGTGCATTAGACTGATAATTAGCACTTCTGAATACAGCAGCTGTTCTGTGTAATCTAGCCAAAATACTGTCCATATGCAAAGACAATACGAACAACAGAAAGAAGGTAAACTGTTAAATCCTACCATCCCAGGCATGCCTGCTCCTACCGGCTTTTTGTCGATGCACTGTGCAGGCATACTGTTGGGCAGTCCTGCCTTGGCCTGAAGCTGTGAACTCAGTCCTCCCCCAGCCAGCCCTTGGCCCGCTGACTGGTCATACGGCCCACTATAGGGGGCAGAATTGGTCATCATATTCATCTGTGCAGTGGATAATGAAAAAAATTGATTACACATTACAATTAAATAAATACAAGAAAAAAACACAATTTTATAATTTATCTTAATTTTTTCTGTCAGTTAACATAATAATTAATTATATTACAATGATTTAACACAGAAATTATGCATAGTGCTGAAGTTATTCTACATACCAGGGTTTAGGCTGACATTTTAATACTAAGTTTGCCTAACCCTATTAACATATAGAGCGGGATACAAGACGGCAGAACTATTTACAGAAAAAAAATATATATATCATTTTTCATGAGTGCAGGAAATAATATCTACTTAATTCTTTTGGTATACACACATACACATATACATATATAGACACGTCGATGTTCATGTAACCGTAATTGGAACAATCTACAAAAAAAAAAAAGAAAGAAAGAAAAAATATATCTATTATGGTGAAACTGTAACTGGTTAAAGCCATCAGCCAGCCCTTCACAGAGCATTACAGATGTTGACCAACAGGAGGCTGGGGCAAAGTGTGTTTGAGTATAGAGCTGTTAAAAAAACTGAAGAAAAAAAAAAAAAAGAAAAATAACAATTTGACAATATGACACCAAAGAGATGACAATTCACTTTTTTATCTGCATAAGTCCCTATATACCTTCTAAAACAATAGAAGCCCATAATGTGGAAAAACAATCTTCATAATTGTAATAATTGAGATAGTTATTTAAACATTGAACTTATCCACCATATTCTATACTGATTGTGTGGATGTGACCTTCAGCACTATGAACCCAAGACAAATTTCCCTCTGGGGACAAAAAAAAATTAAACCTTAACCAAAAACCCGATGTTCAAATTATAAATATCAGTATTTATACAATTTTCCTGCTGTTAGACATTTTAAGAATTATTGTGATTGTTAATGAAAACTATTCTGAATGTGATAATCATGCCACAAAATTCTAATAAGTTCAAGTTTGCTGTTCTACTTTCTTCTTGCAGTTCTTTTTTGAACCCAAAAGGATCACTTATCTTGCATGTGCACATCATATCCATGATTAGAAGTGGGAGACATTTATCTGTAATTGGATAATATAGTAATTGTTGTTTTGGAGATATACAAAATTAGAATATTGTTTTATTGTCTATAACTTTTTTAAAGACTACAAAAAGGTTACACAGCCATTTATAAGTAGAAAGGATGCAGTGTATAAGGTGACAATTTATCACTTTTTTTGATGCATTATGGCAGCAAGTCAATTTTTGGCACATTTCCCATACTATTAATTTTATCCCCTTGACCATTTTTTTGCTCCAAAAGATAATCAAAACAGAAGGTACTGCATGTGCAACATTTGTCTGAAATAATGTACAGAAATACAGCACATTAAAGTATTTTCTGATCTTTCTCATAATGCCGTTTCCTCATCACAAACATACCCAGAGTTGTGTTTTGTTTTATTTACACATTTAACACACAAATCCTGCATTTTTAAGGCTGAGTTGTTCTCTCAAACACAAAATGCTCTGTTATGTCACATGGTAATACAGAATGTGCTCCACTGTATTTTTAAACATTATACACCATTATCATAATCATTTAGATAATTTCAGCTTTGGAACTGGAAGTTTTCAGATTCTAGGATGTGTTTATGTCATACACTCAGACTGGGAGCAAGAGACAGTTTTCAATATTGATTACATTATATTGTAATTTTATCTGCCCCTCCTTCTGTATTAAATATCACTGACCTATACAATGCCTATAAAAATAAAAAAAAACAGCAATTGCCAATCTCCACTAAACAAGAATTAAATGGTAGCTGAAAACTACAGCTTCATGACTGACTAATAATAAACATGTGTGGATGAAACAAAACACAACTCCACGTACATTTTTTGTAACACTGTTCTAACATGACTTAAATGCCACAGGAGTAAATTATGCATAATATAGAACCTTTAAAGACATGAAAGACAATCTGTAACAAAGGATACAGATTGCACTCACCTTTTTCAGTGCTTCAGGTTGCTGTTGTCTAATTCCTGGTTGAGACACATTGCCCATTTGTTGTCCCCCTTGCTGCATTTGAAGGGTTTCAGCCAACAGATTACCATTACTACCCATACCAGCAGGGCCCAGATAACTCATCCGTGGTGACCCATTCATCAGATGTCCCCCCACCAATCCTTGTTGCTGCTGTACAGCATGGACCTTTTGTGCTCCCATCATGGTAGGTCTATTATGAGCTCCCATACCACCAGCCACATTAACCTGCTGCATTAGTCCTGGCTGCTGCTGGGCTTGGGATCCTACTGAGGAGACACCAACTCCTCCAATACCCATGGAAGTTCCTGGTCCGATGCTGTTGGGTGCAGCACCACTCTGCTGTGCTGACGCACCAGTGCGCAACAGTTTAGCAGCAGTCTCCTGGCCTGCAGCAAGACCAAGTCCAGTTCCATGTCCCCCAAGGCTATTATGAAGCTGGATGGAGTCTCCGCCATTGGTTATTCCCAGATCTGAGGAGTTGATCAGCTCGTCTGGGAGGTCATGCTCCAGGTCAGAGGGTGAGCCAAAATCTAATTATGAAGGACAAAAACTGGTTTTAAGGAAAATAACTACTTGCAAACATGGTTAAAGAAATAACAGCCTCTTTAATCCTGAACCTCTCTCCTGGGCATAGGTTTGTGGTTTGATGGGATGCCAGACATGAGGAGGAAACGTGGCAAGGTCCAAGTGAAAAGCCACAGAGGAGTATGTAAACATACTACAGCACCAGGTAGGATGTTTGCACTGGATCTGTGGTTGGCGAAGCAGGGGTCCTGAGAAGGTAACTTATCTTGAGATAACCCCATTTTATCTACATTTAAGATATATAAATTATTTGTTTTCAGAAAAAGTTAAATGATACCATTTTGAACAATTTAAAATATTTAATATACGATAATTGTGGGAGAGGTTCTTGCAGCACCTTAATTGTATAAAATCAATATATTAGAACAACTTAGAGATAAAGATATGTGCTTGTCATAGTCTTTAAGTCAAAGGCAAAAGCAATTTGTTGATGTTGGAAGCAGACAATGGACGGTGGACAAGAATGGGCTTTGTCGATGAGAATACTAAAAGATGGACATATGCTTATAAAACAGCAGAACGTGCCTTTTGGAGACGCCACATTGTCCTTTAATTTTCAATGCGATTTCCATCATTTATACTACCACACCGCATCTTCTGCTGAACGAGCCTTTGCGCAACTTTATCCTAGTGTCGAACAATGGCCAATGAAACACAATGGTGCCTTAACGAAGTGCGTCTTTACTGCTAACATTAAGGGCACGACGCACATGCTGCCCCATGCTTTATGAATACAAGTTTATGCATATTTTAGTACATAAGAAAAGTTGCTCTATGACAAGTTGCATTAGTCAAATATTTGTCTTTGCTAGTCATTCAGCACAGAGCTATGCCGGTGGAGGGGATACCTTATGTGCAGCTAGTTAGCGCTAGCTCAATTCCCGTTACTTTCCCCTAAATGTTTTTAGACATACATTTTACATGGTTTTGTTGACTATAGCTTCAGTCAATCTGGGAATGACTGCATTCATTTTCTTTGTGTGGTGAAATGACTACCGCGGTGTCTAAATAACTTGAAGAAAACTGGGGTCACTCGATTCTTCCATTGTTTGGAGATTGATCTTTTACTCGGAGGCTAGTTAGCCTTTCGATGCTAACACATCAAAACATCACAGCTTCAAGCGAATACACAAACCACAAGTTATGACATTGCCACAGTAACATAACTGTGGTATATTACAGAATGCTGAATCGCGTAATCGACACCTTAATAGTTTGAAAACTGTGTTAAACAAACTTTCTTAATAACTCTACAACCCCGTAGACCAGAACGGTAATTAGCGCACCCATTTCAGTTTTATGTTTTATCACCTCAGAAGTAAAGCATGCCGTATATTTACCATTTCCATCACTGGTCGACAGCGACAGAGCTGGAGAAGACAGCTTTGGCCTCTTGGCTGAAGGCGGACCCGACTCCAAGACATTATCGGCCATATTTTACGAATTAAAATTAGTGATGATCTTTTCTGGGGACTCGATTTCCCCTTAAGCGCGTCTCCTTTTCTTTTCTGTAATGTTGTGAGCATTCCCCCACCGCTTGGGGGACGGTAGGGGAGAAGACAGCAGCGGTAACCTCTGTCTCACAGCCTCTCGGTTTATTCTTCTGCAGATATCACCCCCTCCCAGTTGCAGATTTTGTTTCTTCGCAGATTTGAACAAGAGGAGGTGGGAAGGTGGAGCAAGCGGCCCTCTATCAACCTCATGTAGATCAACCTCATGTAGCCTCTTGTGCGACGCTCAGATTGTCCCAAGACCAGTCAGCCAACGCGTACCAACTTGTGTTCGCCATACTCCAAATCTTGTAGGTTAGAACAGCGCACAAAACTTTTTTGCACCAAAAAACACGAACGAGAATATGCATACTTTGCAGAACTTATTGCATCCAAAACTTCCTCACACCATTATGCATTGCAGGATACCCTCACGCATAAAACAATGTAAATCCTGTTTAACTGCGTGTTTGGCCATGCGGTTATTTAATTAAAACAAATAGTGTCTTCTCTTTTGCTGTTGTTGTTGCAGCCTTTTGTGGATACTTTTTAGCAATAAGCAAAAGTTTTTTGTAAAGTCACAGTGCAATCGATGCAGTTTTCAGCTAGATTCTTGTTTGACAGTATGAATGTGAATAAGATTCACAGCGCCAATAGCCAATAAGTCAGATTTATCCAATTAGTGTGTTTGCCGAATCCAACGATGGGAAAACTGCACCTCTGAGGTTTTGGCTGTTGATCATTCAATATACTGGCTAGGAAACATTTATCAAAAGCTAGACCAACAAAGACAACAACGTCTTGATTAAAAAACCCAAAAAGAATTACTCGTGTCCCATGTTTCGGTGTACCATTAACATGGGACAGAAAAATCCGTGAGTCCTAATGATGAAGTGCCGTGCACCCTTTCGCGTCGATCCGGACAGTTTTCCTTCCCTTTATACGCGCTTTTCTTTCCACCTTCCCCTTCTGCCCAGAAGCAATTTATTTACACAATTTTCTCTGCGGGCTCTTTGCTTCCTCCTCTTCAGACACATAATGATCTTTCATGTTGATGTATCCCACTTATCGCAGGGTTTCCTTCGTAGAGTATGAAGCCCTCTTCCGCCTCTCCTCTCCGTCTGCGCAAACACCCCTTGCTTGGATTTTTTTGAGTAATTTCCTTTTCATGCATACAGACATCTACATATAAACAGATAACCCACTGGACCCTTCCCTTCCACGCCTGTCTTGTCTTTCTTTGGAGGCATTCAGAAAGTGCGGACAGTCTCTTCCCCCGGAGGTGCCCGGAGCGGCTGCTCTACGTTCACCGGAGTCGCTCCTGCTTTCGGTTATCTCTCCCGTTTTTGTCGGTCTGTCCGCACAAACAAAATGGCGGCTTGTTGTTTCTACTCCTGACGGGGGAGGGTTGGAGGTACAGCAACGTTAGGCGTGAAGGGGGAGGAGAAAAGGGTAAGATAGGGGAGATTGTCTTCGTAGGTGTTGCTGGTTCAGTGTGTAGGTGCGTGCCACACATGGATGGTGCCACTGCACAACCCAGAACAAGGGTTAATTTTTATGTCATTCTGTCAAACACCAGTAGTAATCATGTGAAAGCAGGCTATTCTTTCAGTTCTTGCCCCTGGCTTTAAGGTTACTTTTAAAAATATTGCATCAGTGCAACTGCAAGTAATGCTTGTTAAGCCGATACATATAGGCCCGTAGGGTATAATCTAATGGGAAAAGCAAAGCCACTTAATAATAATAATAATAAAAAATAAAAACAAAACAAACAAAAAAACTACCCTCTACTTTTGTGGATTTATGGGATCACTAAATTGCCATTACAAGCCCTTCCTAAGAGGAAAAAAACAAATGAATGATTAAAGATATATTTAATAAGAAAAAACAAAAAGATTGAGATGTTTGTGTGATAAACTGCACATCAGGATCATTGCCATCTTAATAAAATATAGATTTTATTATATATACACTCAAACTATACCGTCATGGTACACACAGAAACAAGGGCTACATAATCTCTTAAAGGTACACTATGTAACTTTACTGGTAGAGTCTCCCCAACCTCCTTGAGTAGTAATTGCTTTGCCTGGCATTACACTTGTCCATCTCCATGGAGACAAGCGGGTAGAGGCACCAGGCCAGTAAGAATGTTCAAGGTGTTTTTGAGAAATAAAAACACCCACAGTGAAATAAATCCTAAATCAGTCTGTTAAATGCTGTAATGTCCCATGTCGATGGGAACAGACAAAGGTACACAGACCACCTTTAATGTCTCCTAAATTTAAGACAATTGTCTGGTACTTTTTAATCAGCTTTCCATTTATTACATTGCACTACATTGTTTTATATCAAGTGTGTGTGCCACTTCTATTCTATACTATTCATTCTGCACTCTTCTCTCTTTTTTAATTTTAATCTTCATGATTATTTATGTTTTGATTTGTTTTTATTATGATTTTAATGTATTTCTTATTCTGTAAAGCACTTTGAATTACTTTGTGTACGAATTGTGCTATACAAATAAACTTGCCTTGCCTTGCCTTGCCTTCTATTAGCAGTGTACATGCACAAAAACATCCATGATGCTAAGAGCAGCACTAAACAGATAATTAACCATTTGGTTCACTTAATCTTGTCATTGTCCTATCTCTGGGCACAGGCGTGCTCTACCTCAGCAATGGTCTTTGGTGCTTCTAAGGACAAGATGAGAGGGCCTCCATTGTTTTGAATCACAACATCATCCTCAATCCTTATGCCCAACCCTCGGAAGCGCTGTGGGGCCTCATCATTGTCCTCGCAGATGTACAAACCTAGCATGAAAAAAGGTAGAAACTTAGTGACATGATTCAAATAGAAAAAGGGGGAATGTTTTTTGGGACATTACTAATTATTTATACCTGGTTCAATGGTGATAGCCATCCCTGGCTGCAAAGGCTGGGAGCGAGACAGTTCAGGGGTGTCATGTACATCCATTCCTAAATAATGTCCAACATGATGTGGACAATATCGACGTGCTGCCTGAAATGCAGTATGAAACTAATTTTATACCACCATTATAAAGGAACCACTCAGCCTTTCATACCCACATTCATAAACGTGTATGCAGGCCCTGGAGGCATGGTGGGTTAAGTGCCTTGCACAAAGACACAATGACAGTATGCACCTGTAGGAGCTGGGATCAAACAGTTATTATTTGGCTCAACAACTGCTTTACCAACTTTGCTACTGCAGAGTGTGGGATTAGAACAGTCAAACTTATTATCAGTGGACAAACACTGAGCCACTGTTTTGACTGTGGTACCTTTTTTATAACCAAAAAGTGTGCTTATGTTTATGAGTTTCACATTCAAACTTTTAAACCCACTGTAGAGCTCAAGAGCAATTACAATATCATATTACCTTGAGAACTTCAGTCTCACTTGTACTGCTCTTGATGATGCCCAACCGCTTGAGCTGTCGTCCCAATAGTGCAAGCATGGTACTGTAGATGTGATCCAGACTGATCCCCGTGGAACACAGGGTTAAACATGATCGCTGCACTTCAAGAACCGCCTCATAAATTTCAGCCTGTGCTGAGCTGAATCTAAAGAAAAATACATGCATTAAAAATTTAAAATTACTTTTTATTAACATAGAATTTAAAAAACATGCACTATGCATTTGAGATACTGTACACATGATAAGAATTAGTAGTTGTGGTTGTAATCGTATCAAATTAGGATGGAGGAATTTCACCCTCTATTGTCCCATCTTGGATTTGAACAGAATGCAGAAGGGACTGGCTAGTGAATGATGCCAGACCAAGCCTTAAATTGGTATAGCAAATCATGAACATTATTTCTAGAAATGCTCTTGGGACCTTTGGTTCTTCAACCTGAATTTTTCATATTTTTTATTTATTTAGCATGACAACGTATCATCACATTTTAAATACTATTCACCATTTCGTTTTTTGTGAGAATATAAACGTTGGAGGATTTAGTAATGACTGCATTTAGTAATTGTGATCTAATTAACGACCTATTATTGTTATCATTATATTCAATGCAACTGTCTGCTGAAACACTTTCTCCAACCCACTTTTCCTATTGGTCTCTATAAGAGTCTGTGACAGGTGGATTTAACGAATCATAGTGAAATGTGAACATTTAAAAGAAACAGATGATTAAATTTACCTCTTAAAAGTATTAGTAAAATAAGTGTACCTAATTGTGATCAAATCAAAATATCTGGCTTCAAGAAAATCTGAGTACATCCAAGATTCAAAGGGGCACAAATCAAATGGATAAACTTACTTTCCATTTACAGGCCATGTCCGAGTAATGTCGCTGACATAACCAAAGTATTCACAACCACCATCAAGAAGAACCAATTCACCATCCTGAAAAAAAGAGTGATCGTTATTACAAGAATAACAAGAAGACTTGTTTGTAAGGTGTTCATTCAACTCAAAACATGCTACATAGGTCTCCAGAACAGTTGATAGCTTAGGTCAATTAAACACAATCAATCAGTAAATCTGCCCACGTGGAAATTAGCATTGGTGCTATCCCTGTCTCATTAAATCAATCAATCAATCAATCAATCATGCCCATCAGTGAAGTATGGAGATATTGCATAATATTACTACATATCACTAATAACCACAATTACTTAAATCATTATTTAAATCACAATTATTCAAAAATTATTTGTTTAGAGGAAAGATGTGGCATCAGCAAACAAACTGAAGAAATTAAAAGTTGGTTGGTCAAAGAGGCCTCACTTTGGTCACAAAGGTTTTTTCTGAACTAGTTTTTGGGTAGACTCTGCACATCTGACAGTGCGAAAGGTGCACTGAAGGAATGTCAGAGGGATTGAAAAATTGTACCAATAAAAGTAAATGAAGAGTGAGACAGTCTGCAGGAGTATTTTTACATGAGTTTTTTCTTAAACTTACCTTATTTTTAAAAGGTCTGAAAAAGTTATATATTTTAATAAAGATCTTACTTTGATTATCTGGTTGTTGTTTATATAGTGAAGGGTATTCGCTCTGTTTCCTCCAGCCACTACAGGAGGGTAAGCCAAGAAGTTTGCACCATGTAATCTGTTTTCAAAATCAAACTAGAATAAAAGTGACAAATTAATTGAAATGTTTCATTGGAAGAGGTCAAAGTGAAAACAATTATATATAAATATATAATATATATATATATATATATATATATATATATATATATATATATACACACACACACACACACACATATATATATATATATATATATATATACACACACACATATATATACACACACACATATATATATATTATATATTATATATATTAGAGCCCGACCGATATTATCGGCCAATATGGGCACCTGGAGACATATCGGCTATCGGCCGATATGCTTGCTGATATGGGCCGATATTTCACGTGGGGATGTTATACCTCGTTATAAAGCTTAGACTCTCTACATTATGTTCATTTAATCCAATTTACAGACAGATAAATGTCCTAATATGTGGCTCCGCATCAGTATTTATCTACGGTGTACTTTGTCTGTGTCTGTGTCCGTACTGTCCCTGAACACACCACCAGAGTGACGTCACTTCACTCGCGTGTGTTTGTTTACACCCGCAGCCGTGCGCAACACTGAGATTATATTCTTTTTCGGACAATCGGTTTGAGTCTGGATTAAAAGGACATTTATTAGTGCAGATTTGTGATGTGAGGAGGAGCCTGTGTGAGCGGTGAGTGTTGGAAATACATCGACTTTGAAGCTAGTTTAGGTTTTGTTAGCGATTAGCTGCTGTAGCTCCCACACATAAACAGGCTGTTTTCTATTGGTCTATTGTAAAGTGACTACATTGACCGTATATTTGTTACTGGACCAGCATTGATATGTAAATGAGCTGTGAATAGACGTGTGAATGATCCACATTTATGCATATAATTAATTACCGCGGTGCGCACGTTTTTACGGCTAAAGGCTAATAGCGATAGTTTACTAGCTAGGAGTTATGGGTCGGTCGCGATCGAAACGGCTCTTAGTGCCGACTCTTTGAAGCGAACAACGGGAGCGTGCTTCTTATTGGGAGCCGTGTTTTCTCTTTTTCTCACTTTTTCTCTTCATGCCGCATGTAGACCCGTAGTTTGACAGCAGCAGCGGCTGAAAACGAAACTTTCAGAAATCTGCGTGTGCATATTTGGCTGCAGTTCAGCATAAAATGAATAAACCAGGACTGAACTTGGGCTTAAGTGAAGGAGAGAGATAGAAACCGAGTCCCGACACTCAGTCCTGGTTCAGTTCTGGTTTAGTCCTGCGTGCAACAAAACCATCTCAAGAGTCGCTTGGGAGCCGAAAGAGCCAGTTGCTTTAGTGAGCCGAGCCGGTTCTCCAAAAAAACAAAAACTGGAATACCCATCACTAGCAGTGACAGTAACAGCTAGAATGTGATGCAAAAATGCCATTAGGCCAATCTACTGTATGTAAATATGATGTAATGAGTCAAAATAACAATAAATGTTGCCTAAATAAACCCAATTTAGAATCCACTAGAGCCAAACCTAAGTTTTTTAATCAATTCAAGATTTACACAGTGAATTTTTACATCACTAAATATATCGGCGATTATATCGGCTATCGGCAGCGACAACTCCCATTATATCGGTTTCATATCGGTCACAACAAAATCCATATCGGTCGGGCTCTAATATATATATATATATATATATATATATATATATATATATATATATATATATATATATATATAAGCTAGGACTTACCTTAGCAAAAAGTAGAGCTTCATCTATGTCTCCTTTGGACAATGCCATGGTTCTTTTAAATGCCTAAAAGAAGAGGCGTGAAGTAATAATTACTTTAAAATTTAACCAGTGGCTTGATTTCACCGACCTGTGCTGTGATGCGACCTGCTTCTTGCATGAGTGCCACTTCTGCAGAACTTTTAAGGGCTCTGAGAGAGTGCAAAAGAGGTCTGAGGGAGCGTGGCATAGACCCTGTCTCTATTAAGGGAGACACATATGTCTGATGCAGCTTAGGGTGGGCTGGCTGAGAACTATCATACCACATTAAAGTGCCTAGTATTTTTCACATTAAGAAAAGAAAATATTTCGGTTAGATACTGCTATAAAACAACAACTGTGGATACAGCATATTATATTAACCATTACCTTTAAGACTCTTTAGTACAACACCCAGTTCTTCAGTGCAATGAACTCTCTCAATGCCGGTCAGTGTTGCTGCCCCATCTCTTCCTGACCTTGGGCCATCCCATAGTTCCCTAGATGGGTCTCTACGTGGGACAAATAAAATGGCCTGGTCTGGTCTTCCTCTTCCATGGAGAATCAAGGCACTGTCAGGTTCTAAAATGCCAGTCAAATAAAGAAAGTCCTGCAGGGCATCATTTAATAATTTAATGAGTTTCTTAAGAAATCAATACTTTTACATAAACATAAGATGAATCTGAAAGTAAAATAGATAACCTGGTTTTGATGGAAGGGATACGGGATGTCATTTGTCATGTAGCGAGTTGGATGAGACAACACAAGAACTACATGGTGACTGGAGGAGGTAGAAGGTCCCATTCTCTCTGCTTGGGCCTCAATAAGTGAGGCCAGTTTGTATCTGCGGAGTTCATACTCAGATTGGCTCAAGCCTGGTGTCACTTCCCCTAGGAATACAAACTAATTGTATTAAAAGGAAAAATTATGCATGCTGTAGTGTTCTATAACAGAACTTTTGTGACATCCGTCTGCAGATACTACAGATTAGACATTAAAAGTTAATTGACTGTATTTTCACATCATTTCTTTAGATACAGTAGAGATAGACCAATATAGAGGCTGACTGATATAACACTAAGCCTGTTTGCGCTAAGCAGTATAAGCTTCATTCAATCCGAAGGGGGCACTGCCTTTGGAACATAAAGGTTTGGAGGAAACAAAGATTTCTGCAATGGCCATGAAAATAAAATATATTGGTTGATCGCTATAATACTGCATGGAATGTATTGTTTCTGTAAAAAGTTAGTTCAGTTATCTACACAGAATTTGCATTATTTCTAAACTATTTCAGAACTCACCATTCTTGATAAGATGAGGATGTGTGAATGGGCTGGGTTGACCAAGATACCTTTGTGGAACAGTTTTTGGTTTTATACTTCCAGGTTTCACAGAAATCTTTCTACATGGACACAAGAGTCCTCCTGTGCAGACATTACAGATAACTTAACTTTAACACAACATTGTCATAATATACCTTTAATCTTACTCATTTAATTGTATGATAGCCATGTTCTGTGACATTTTCAAGTTATACCACATGGTAGGAACACATTTCTGAACAAATGCCAAAGCATGTGGTAGTATTAACTCCTACTTTGGGTCTCCATATCGTTGTATTATTATTATTATTGACAATAAGAATAATAATAACTACTTTTCTATTATCTATGAGATTAGCAAAGAATTATTAGAAATCATGTGCTATTGCAAAAGATAGAAATCTTAGTACTGTACAGATTCCTATTGCACATAATGTGTCTAGCAGCTTGCTAGCATCACAAGTGAAGGTTTGTTTAGAGCTGCTCCTGTAGCTCAACAATCCTGCCAGCAGCAGTAGGATAGCACTGGGCCATATTATATTATTGATGATGTCTGTATATCATGAATACAAATGTTTCAAATAATCTTAAGGTTTTGATAAGGCGACGGGTATTATTTTACAAATGAAAACTACTCTGAAAACACACATGGTAGGTGTACATGCTTTGTGGGAACATTACATGGCCTTACATTCATTACAGTCAGTTATAAGCAGGTCACTACTGCTCGCCTTATCTTAACCAAACTCTAACCTAAATTTGACAATATCTTTTATCACCTTTTATCGGACAGTAAAGTATTTACCTCATGGGGGCTGATTTTTGTCTCCATAAAGCTAGCAACAGTGACTGTGTAATAGATTTCAGTCCCACAATGATAAATACTTGCCAACACATACACACACATTTAGATAACCACAATGGGCTTTTTCTCACCTTGAGCCCAGTTTTGCCGTGACAGTATCCTGACAGCAGATCTGATCAGAGCGCTAGCTTTACTAGATGGAGGCGACATAGCATAGCATGCTACTAAAGCCGAGGTCATTGCCACAGCAAGACCACAAAGCCCTCCTCTTAATAATAATGTACAGTGAAGCACCAGATATCATAAGTTGCAAAAGCGTAAAGCATTTACGTTTCCAGAAAATGATACATTTTGGTCACGCACAGTGGCAGTTCATGCAGTTTCGTTAGCTCTTATACTTCCATGACTGTTTCCCACTGTAAATTGAGAGTCTACGCCCTGTAATTTGTTTTAGAGGCACATTGTTTTTTCAGACAGAAAAAAATTGCATGGCTGTCCTTGTAAATGTGAGAAAAGACAGCTGTGTTATCACATTTATTTTCTGTTATTTTATAATTATTTTATTTCAATGAGAAAATATTCCCAAAAACATGCAAGGTAAAGTTTAATAAAGAGCATTAGCATGTAATAATTTTGAAGTTTAGTTATAATTTGTTTATGTAACAAGAGATGACAAAATTCAAACTCTTTTAAAGCCTTATCTGTTGCTATACTTTTTGTATATATTTCACTCCAAATATTTCAATTATAAATAATATATTCACAACAGTCCCTTCTGAACATAATTTTAACTCATTTTTTAATCTAGCCTTCCTGTAATATCAAAATAAATTGTACTTCTGAAGCGCTGTGGAAATATGCTTGACCTACACTGGAAATGAGTTTGAAGTTTTAGCTTTTAGGTTATGTAACAAAATGTTCTGAGAATGATAAATACATGTTTCTGTATTTGTAGTTATTGTTTGCAATAATTAACGTTGTACTCTTAGTCCATCGTAGTATTTATTTTTTTATTTTTACTTTCGTTTCGTTTAAAATATTTCTCTGTTCTTTTCTTGAGCCGTTCATTCTAAACTCAGGGAATAATTTTAAATTCCTCAGTGGTCTTCCTCCACTACTCGCTTGAATGAAACCAGCAGCGACATCGTCGAAAGCTGCAGGAAGAATCAAAACATTGCTGATTTGTTCTACAGTTTGAGTATTCCCCTCATTTATCCCCTTCAAGGTGCGTGGAGATTTAACTCTGGACCTGAGCTTTTAGCGTGGACTTTATTGAGTAGGGGCCGCGAGCAGCTAATGTTAACTTAAAGCTAAACGCTATCATGCGTCACTGAAAACACACGTTGGCTTTGACAGAAAGTTTTGTCAAAAACAAAAATATTTATATCATATCGTTAGGTATTGAGGCTGGAATACTTTTAATGTGCAGAGTAAGGTGGCCAAATAAAATTCTGAAGCTTCTTCAGCTGATCTAGTTAACGCTAGCTAAACGAAATTGCTAAGCATTGGATGTACCCATTAGCTAGCCTTATTAGCTAGCCTGGTGCTGGTGCGTAAACAAGGCTTCACGTTATCTGCTTCTTTGCTTTGACTCTCGTACGCAGCGCGTGGTGTCCCGACCGTGACAGCCCATCATGGACCCACGGAAAGTCAGCGAGCTTAAGGCTTTCGTGCAGATGTGCCAGTCCAATCCTGGGATCCTGCACCTGCCTGAGATGAGCTTCTTCAGGACCTGGATGCAGAGGTACACGCTTTTGCTTGTCCTCAACTCTAGATAGATTGAAGTGATTAATTTACCTTAAGACGTCTTGAATGAAACAAAGACACTCTGGTGTGTTTTTTTTGTTTTGTTTTTTTGTTTCACTGATAGCAATCAATCAATATTGATATCGTTATTTTCTAAAACTTGGTCCGGGTTGAAGTCTTCAGTCGTTGACTGAACATCACCAACCTTCTTAGCGTTTGGGGTGGTCGGGTAGGATTTGGTATTACTTTTCACATCTGTCACATTTTTTAACTATTAATAAAAATACGTATTAAACACTGACTTCAATAAACAATAGCACCATCTATGGGACACCATGTTATAGGTAATATAAGCAGCATCTGCATAACTTACTCCTTTAACTGTTAAACTTCTGTAACCTTTTCTACTATATTTCATTACATTAAAAATATTTTAACTACAACTTTTCCACAACGTTCACAAAGAAAACAGCAGGTGTCACCAAACCCAAAATCAGGTTTATGGGTAGGGCATTGAAATTTCACACTGAAGACTGGAGTTCAAAGCCTGCTCTGGGCATGCTCTTTGCTGAGGTTGTTGCATGACGTTCTTCAGTTGACACCGCTTCAATTTATTGGGGGAGGAGAGAAATCACCAGTCTGTAATATCCTTTTACATTTTAATTTCTTTCTTTTTTTTCATGTCACAGTGGTATTTGCTGTTCCCATTACAAACTAGCAATTTGTATACATTACATTTTTAGTTTTTCTTGTTTATCTTAACAATTTAACCCTTCATTTTCAGCATGGGTGCAACAATCCCTCCAGCACCCAAGATGGGAGGTTCTTGCAAGGTCAAAGTAACTTTTATATAATTTTGTACATAACTTATTTGGACTATCTTATTCATTTCACATCGGTCTAATCTGTAGGGCGGTTGCCCGTGTGATGCTCCACCTACAGCATCTGCTGCTGCCCCTGAACCAGAGCCACCCATAGAGTCTGAGAGTGAAGAGAGTGAAATAGGTATTGTATTAGTCATTAATTGGTTAATGCTGCTTTTTCAATATTTTCTTAAAAGGACAGTCTAGAATTTTGGACCTAAGACCTCATTTCCTAATGAGCCAGAGTATTGGAGATGTTAGGAGACATGTGGAGACACATTTAAAAATATTCCATCCAGTCCTTGTATTTGCAGAGGTCGCTGGTGCTAGGCTAGTGCATGTCAATGGCCATAGTTAGCCTGCCACTAAAAACAGTCTTACCCACTCCACAAAGCACCTAAGGCAAAACAATGATAATGCCAGACTGCTGATGTGGATGCCTGTGTCAATAGAATAATTTTAGAAGTAAAACCAACCTTGCATTTGAAGGATTTATGTCTGAGCAGCAGCAGCAAGTTGTACTTCCTGACAGAAAGCTTGGCAGTGGCGGACTGATATGGCCTAGCACCTATCTTACCGGCAAAATAAAATTTCGCTGCTGCTAAGAAAATAGTTCCTTAACATATGACGATTCATGCGATGTAAGGTTAGTTTTATTTCAAACATTATTCTATCAACACAGATATTTACATTGACAGTCTGGCGTAATAATGGATTTGCTTTGGGTGTTTTGTGGAGTGAGTAAGACTGTTTTTAGTGGCAGGATAACTATGGCCATTGACATGCACTAGCCTAGCACCAGCGACCTCTGCAAATACAAGGACTGGATTGAATATTTTAAAAAGTGTCTCCACACGTCTCCAACACTCAGGACCTCACTTCCTAGTTACCCAATGTCCAGAATTCTGGACTGTCCCTTTAAAGCACATATGACAGGTTTGATTACTCTTTTCAATATAACAGAGGTAACAATTATTTTAAAGATTTTTTATGAAAAATGGGCAGCCAAATACATAGCCTAGAGGTAATTCCATACCTGTGTTATCAAACAATCACAAAAGCCAAATACATTATATACCTAATTTGCATAATAGGAATGATTAAACAAATAATAAAATAAATTACATCTTTTATTATTTTGTTAAATCAATGTTTAGTCTGTCAGAAAAAAAATATTATTGTGTGTATATTGTCCCTGTATTGTTGTCCTTTTCTTCGCTTTTTCTCCACAACTTCCACTGATGTCGTAAATATTCATCATGCTTTTACAGTATTTCCTTCCTAAGAAAGAAATAACAAGAAAACCTGTCATATGCACTTTAATCTCACAAAACACAAACTTTTATCTCTGATGTAAGGCTGAATGTGGTTTAATTGTACTTTTCTTTTTGCTGCATAAGAGATTGACAATGATGGAGTTATTGAGCCAGACACTGATATACCACAGGACACGGAAGACTTTCAGGATGTAGAGGTATTGCTGCTTAAATATTTACATATTTATATTGATACTTTGCAGCTGATGTCATTACTGTCAATGGACAAAATACCTAATATGCATATTTTATTTGTATTTCCGCCACTGTAGGCTGTTGACATGTTGACAGATAAATATGTTAATTTTTATTTTCCTATGCCAGAAAAGACGCAACACAAAGCCAATTTAAAACTGGAAAACTTATGCTTCTGGATATTAGTCTGGTCCTCAAGCCCAAGTCTCAAACACGACACTGATTTCAGTGACGAATGTGAAACTAATGAGCTCATTGGTCACCTATGATTTACAAAATTAGATTTCTCTCACCTCAGATTAAGTTTAGTGCTTCACTAATACACTCTGCAGAAATTTGCAATGTCTTTCAGGTCCTTGTGATATTTTTTCCCCTTTCTTTTTGCCTTGTGAGCATCCATATTGGCTAATCCACCTGTCAGTCATGCCCATCTGAAAACAGGGAGATTCAAGAGTGACAAGACTTGCATTTTCATAAAGGTCTGCATCCAGGCTGTTTCCACCATGCAATCCCACCCAGCATGATGTCACTGCAAAGTATCAATACCAAAAAAATGCTTATAATGGGGATTCTGAACTCACCAGTTTTTAGTAAGTTTGTACTGTAAATAGTTTATGTAATTCTCAGGTCACAGATGAGATGATGGACCAGGCAAATGAAAAAAAGATGGATGCCATTACTGCATTAGGAGAAGGTTAAACATTGATAAATAATAATAAGATATGGTTTTACATGGAAAAACGTGTAAATTAAGTTCAGTATTTTCTGTCTAGGTGACCTACAGAAAGCTCTGAATCTTTTTACTGAGGCTATCCAGTTGAACCCATGCCTTGCAATCCTGTATGCCAAGAGAGCAAGGTAATTCTTATTTTTTAATGAGCAATATATTTTATATATGATTTTATATAGAATGTATATTGCTAGTAATACATCATATCTGTATCCCCAGATATAAGGTAAATGTTTTAAATATAACATTTGTAGATAATGACTGTAAAATAATTTATACCTACAGTAATTGCAAAAACATTGGGCATGATGGCCAAGTGGTTTTATCATAATTTGATGTTTTGGTTCTCAAGACTCTTATCCAATAAAAAAGTAGAATTAATTAAATATTTTTGGCCATATTCTGAGAATGAGGACACACAGCCTACACGTTTTCTAGCTGCAGGTTAAAGGTGCACTGTGTAACTTTTCTGGTGAAGGATTCGCAATCTGCTTGTCTCATGGTGAGGTCATTGCTCTGCCTGGGATACTCCACAGTATGACATTAATATATCTTGTATTAATTCATTTACAGGTATTTTATTCCTCAAAACTACCACAAAGACTCTTACTCCGAGCAGGCCCACTTCTCCACCTCCTGACCTGTAACTTGACTTAGAGATGTGGCCTACTTGTCTCCATGGACATAGTTACATTGAATGCCATACTGTGGAACATTACAGGAAAAACAATAACGTCTACATGGAGTCAAGCAGGTGGCAGGCCCTCTACCAGAAAAGTTACACAGTGCCCCATTAAGGCACTGGCAACCCAAGTTCAGGTGTGATTGTGATTTTAAACCTGCAAGAGTCCAGGCTACATACAGTTCCTCTTAATTAAATTTAGTTTTAGTTTAGATTTCATGCTAATTTATTCAACATATATGGCTTCTATTAACCTAATTTTGTTTTGTTTTTTTTACCAGTGTGTATATCAAGATGCAGAAACCTAATGCAGCCATAAGAGACTGTGACAGAGCAATCAAGATCAACCCAGACTCTGCACAACCCTACAAGTGGAGAGGAAAGGCTCACAGGTACACAAGTATTTAATATAAATAAACAAATGCACCAACCATTGAAAATGTTTATTTTGGATCAATGTAGCTGAATAGATTACTGCTGGATGATGTTATTGTTAGCCAAAGGTTGATTTATACATGCAACTCTAGGCTGCTTGGTCACTGGGAGGAGGCTGCCAAAGACCTAGCTACAGCTTGCAGATTGGACTATGATGAAGATGCCAGTGCATTGCTGAAGGAGGTCCAGCCCAAGGTGAGGCTAAATTACAATCAAAATCCTTTGATAATTGCATTTTATTTTTGTGATATTAATCTGTTTTTATACTTTTAGGCTCATAAAATAATAGAGCACAGACGCAAGTATGAACGGAAAAGAGAAGAAAAGGAGATCAGAGAGAAGAAAGAGCGGATAAAGAAAGCAAGGGAGGAACAGGCTAAGGCTCAAAGGGTCAGTTCTGAGCACATTTTATGTGAACCCCAAGTTTAAAATGTATTGTGAAAAATATGGTATGGTATGCCAGTGTTGCATAACTTTGGGGTTTTTCACTAGGAGGAGGAATCAAGACAGTTTGGAAGTGGATACTACCCAGGTAAGACTATGAAAGTTGAAACATATGCTTTGAGTTGCACTTTTTACACATTACTTGAGGATCTTCTTGTGAAAGAGTCTTTTCTTCCACTTATTGCAATAAGCCAAAGCAGAATTAGTTTGTTAGTATTGTTCATCTTAAACTGAGTTTAAATGTTTTACAGGAGGTCCAGCTGGATTCCCAGGTGGCGCTCCACCTGGAATGCCTGGTTTTGCTGATCTCTTACAAGACCCAGAACTCCTCAATGCAATGAAGGTGACTATACATCCAATTTTGTGTCCAGTGTTAGAACTTAACCCAAGGGGCACAGTTAGGTAGCAGTAACTAGTACGTCCATTCTTTCCTCTGTTGTCGGCTATGGCACATCATCAGTCTTAACCATGAACGTGGTTTAACATCTGTGGTCCCTGGCAGCCACTACACTGAACTGTACCACTCACTGCCACAGTGATGTTCCAGAATTAAATAGACAAGTTTTTTATTGATGTGACCGCTGTTGCAAAATATGAATCCTTTTTTCTTTTATCTACAGGATCCAGAGATAATGGCTGCCTTCCAGGATGTCTCTGCAAACCCAGCTAATATTGCCAAGTATCAGAACAATCCTAAAATCATGGCGCTCGTCAGCAAATTGAGTGCAAAATTTGGAGCGTCACCACAACCATAAAAAAGCTGAAGCTCTGTGGAGCACCAAGCCTTTTCTACTATTAATCCACTGTGGGCTAATCACAAGAGCAGGCAGGGGGTAGATTGCTTTTGTAAAGATGGTGGACGATGTTTTCCATCAGCTGTTAGAACATGGCACTAAGACTGAGGTTCAGAGGTGTAAGATTTAGAAGTCCAATGGACCTGTATCGCTTAGCAACGACCTAACCACTGGTTCCTAATCCAATTCTGAAAGCATTTTTTTCCAGTCATGTCATTGTCACACAATTCAAAAACAGTTTCCCTAATTTTTGATCATCTCTTAAAATTTATGTTGTCACTTGTTAAATGTTAAAAAAATGTTACTTTTGCTGTCTGACCCTGTTGGCAAGTTGATTCACAATAAAACATGCTGTTGCTTCAAACTAATCTTGTTACTGTTTTATATATTTTGACCCAAATGCTACAAATATTTTTGTATACTAATGCTGCAATGTTTTTGCCATTTTGCAGAATTATTCTGTTCATCCATTGCCCATTAAACGTTATTGGAGTTGAAGTGTTTCCCTGCCTTTTCACAGTGGGCCTTGTGAATGGGCCAATGCAGTTTCCCTGGTCAAATGTCAACCTGGTCTTGGGGTTCAAATAATTCACATGACTAAAGCTAATGGGCCTGTCCAATAGCCTGTTGGCCCCTGTTCTGAAATATAAAATAATTCCCTTCATAAAATCTAAAGGGTAGTGTAAACCATAAACCCATCAGAAACGTGTGAAATATTGCTTGAATGTCAAGTTAGTGAACGATGTTATGTGTCTTGTAACATTTTATTACACAACTTAAAACAGGTGAAAAATAAACGGGTTGTTTACAATACCTAAGGTTACAAATAGGAGCAAGACAAGCATTTAATGACTGATAGGGAAACAGATGTAGAAGCAGGGAGCTAGTGTCCATATCTGTGAAAACAAGAGAAAAAACATGTAGCTTTCTTTTTAGCGTCAGAAAAAGGGAAGTAAAAATAGCACATACTTCTGAAATTCCCACTCTCTGTTGTCTAAAGGGCAAACTTGTCTGGTTTTCAACCAGCGAGAAATGCAATGGAAGTGGAAGGCATGCTGTAAAAACAAAAAGAAATATCAGATATCTCTTCTACCCTCATGATGAATAATTGTGGTTTGCAGATGTATGACATGTCCCTCTTGCCACTTACATTGCAAACACCCCAAGCAACAGTGCACTCCTCAGATGTTGCAGATGCCTGATTAGCTTGACACTCTATACCTGAATAAAGACAATATACAACAGTTATCCACATACAAATGCAATATAAGTAAACTAACTTACAGAGGTCCATAATGTGGTTCCTGCAGATTGCACAATTATCCACCACGATGTCCCAGGCCCACAGCGCTACTGCGTTCCACTGGTAAGACAACCAAGACAAGACATGTGTTAGCCATCTGAGAGCAACTTTTGACATCAGAAATATCAGTAAAAACAACACTAGTTATACTGTTCCGTTGAACAATGCAAGAAATTTATCATTGAAATGCAAAGTCATGTAAAAGTGGGGCTTGAAATGTTATTTTAATATACATATATTGGTAAACAAAAACAAACAAGTCAAATTAGGTATTTAAAAGGTAAGGTATATTTTATTGATCCTTTTGAGGTAATTGCATTTGTCCCATCCTTCAGCTAGTCTTGGAGACCAGCTGTCATAAGCAATGAGCTACTGCCGTTAAACGCCAAGGAACCCTTCTCCACGATGTTAAGCTGGGCTTGGTCAGGAGGAACATCTCAGCTGGAGGCTTTTACACACTGTGCTTATTTTGGTCTTATGGGGAAAATCGGAATACCCGGAAGAAACCCACCCATACACAGGGAGAATATGCAAACACGTCATTAGTTTGAGCAGCATTTTACCGTCACAGTGCGACTGAATGGGAGTTATTGTTACCATGACAATCATTTATTAATTGGGTCACAGGTGTCCTTTATGTGCCAGTGTTTCTCCGATAAGTTTACCGCAGGTGGCGCTTGCACGTCTTCTGATGATACTCAAGGTGTTTTGCTTTAGGAGTGCATTCAAGATGCTCTTGAAGGTTTAACTATACTCCGGGTTTCATTTATCCCAGGTTTCAGTGTTTAACGCCCAGCAGATCACCATATTAGCCAATGCGCCATCTTTTTCCTTCATGACACTTTATATTCCACATTATATCGTATGATAAGAATACTAATGTTAAACGAGAACAATCCGGAATACACATTACTCCACAAATATTCATGAAGTGCGCATTCATGCTACACCGTGCTAGCCACAGCACCGTGTGCTAATGAGCCGTCTGCTTACAGCCGGTACAAGTGCGTATATTACCACGTATTCTACCGTCAAATTTAAAGTGAAGTACTTGAGCTACAAAACAAACCCCTATCAAAAAAACAAAACACACTCATTTATACCTTTTTGACCTCAAATCGTTTCTTACTGGACCCGCTGTTAGTCCCGCTTGGAGTATCAACATCCATTGCTGCTGCCATCTTGAACCAAGACTGAGTGACGTAAAGTAACCCGGAACTAGAATCCAGAATTAAGATGGACAAAAGTGAACGTTAATCTCTTGTTCGAATTTTAAAAAAAAATCTCTCTAACTTTAAACAACTGTAAAATCAAATTAAAATATTTAACTAAAAAAAAAAAAAAAAAAAAGCTATCTTAGGTTCCACCGAGATTTGAACTCGGATCGCTGGATTCAGAGTCCAGAGTGCTAACCATTACACCATGGAACCCCATGAACCCTTGCATCCTGACATCTCATTTTATACTCATTTTACAACTGTACCTATTGGGACAGTTTCTATTTTGAGTCCTGTATCCCCTGTCCCAGCAGATTTATCCAAGACCAGTGGTTTATCCCAGTTTTATTTAAGAAATGTCTCAGGCGTCCCTATTTTTGAAACTAACACCAGGACTAAACTAAGATTATACAGGACTCCATCAGGTCTAAAACAGGATTAAAACAGGACTATCACAATTTTTGACTAATCTGGCCCCCGCCAACAGTAAAGAGAAGTTTGTATTGCCAAAATACAGAAAACCGTGTTGGCGAATGACCATAAAGCAAAAAAATGCAGCGACAGAAGTCCCTCAGATTGACAAGAGAATCTACAATGTTACAAGCTCTTTTCACAATTTTATTTATACCAGCCATTCCAACCCGGGTGTGTCCCAATTAGATTTTTGAAAATCTGGTCACCCTATGTTATAGTCACTACACACAAAGTTATTTAAATTATTACCACAGAAACATTACATTGCCTTCTTCAAGTTTTTCTTCTGTTTAACTTTAGATTTTGCTGCAGAAAACGTCTTTGTTGCTCCTTTTTGTGATCTGGTTTTGCCTTTCTTTGTCTTTAAAGGTTTGGGTGACACAGTCTTGGATTTCGGAGCTGAAGCAGACTCGCTTAATTCTGGGCAGGACTTAAACAGAAGGACTTCTCTGATTTTATGACCTTTCTGCTCTGGGGGACTGGCACATGTGGCAGTGACCGCCAAGTTCACACTCCCAAGCCACCTAGAACGATCCAAAGGGTCAAATGCAAGCAATAATACAAAAATTACTGATTATATGGACAGACCTGTACAAAGTATGCTGAGCACAGTCACAGAGAAGAGGGATGTCATTTAGATCTATAAGCTCAAGACCAGTGAGGGGACTCAAGTCAGGAAGCACCTCTATTGGGTTTCCTCTCAAAGTTAGAGTCCTTAGGCCTGGGCCTAGACCTGTCAGAGCATCAGTAGACATCTGAACAAAGAAAGAAAGGAAAAGGTTACCCAAATTATTTTCCTGTAGTTTTGAATAATTGGAAAACAGCAGTGATTTAAGTCATACAGTGAGGTGCTACAGCAAATATGTGAATTTTCTTTCTGTGTGAGTGTGCTCAAGTTGCAATACAATTGTTCCATTACAATTTGCTATTGAAACCTTACAGTAAAAATCAGGCAAATTACACAATCCATTTCATTCACTGTTATAACACCACATGAATACAGCTTATTATTTCTAAAATTGCTTTTACCTTCTCAATGCTTGCCTCATCCATTTTAAGCTTCTTGAGAGTTCGGGATACTGTCTGAAATGAGTTTGGTCCAACCCACTTGATGAAGTTATGGGATAGATTGAGCTCCTCAAGCTGACTTGCCTTTGACAGACCTTGGGTGGGTACCTCCTTCAGCTGGTTCATGTCAATGTGCAGGATAGCAAGTCGTTCTGAGTCAAGAGCATCTTTAGCCACAGCTGTTATGGTGTTATTGGTCAAATAAAGTTCTCTGAGATTTGGAGCAGCAGATGACAATAAGCCAGAGCGTTCAAGTTTTGAGATGGCATTACGTTCTAAATGGAGGACAAACAAATGTGGCACATGCGCAAAAGCTGCAAGCAAAGAAAATTCTCAGATTAGGGCATTCAATTTGTACGTGCATAATTGCAGTGCTCAAGATGAGTAGGTTAAAGAACAATAATAATAGGGTGGCTATCATCCAGTACTGTATTACATATTACCTGTTCCAGGAAACTGGAGCAGCCTGTTCCCGTCCAGGTGGAGGTATGTTAGCTCTGGGGCCCCTTTAAATGCCTCGGGGTCCAGTGATGTGAGATCATTGTCAGACAGATAGAGATACAGCAGTTTTTTCATTCCACTGAAGGCACCACCTTCAATCTCATGGATCTTGCAGAGTTCAAGATGAAGAGAAATTACATTGCTGGCTGCTTTGAAGCTGTTGATAGGGAGGTAGTGGAAGTGGTTGTTGCGAAGATCAAGTAACTGTGTAGTAGCAGGGAAACCTTTGGGGACTTTAGTGTGACCTCTCCCCTCACAGGTAGCATGCTGACCGTCAACCTCAAGAATAAAATGACATATTATATTAAGAAATGGTGCTAAAGCTCTATAAACTATGCATTTAAATGTAAATTTTCAATGGCAAAAATCAGACTGCTTTGTTTATTAAATAATAAGATAGTAACATAAAATTATATTAAAACATTATAAAACGATATGTGATTAATATATATATATAAAATATACTGAACAAGTGTGGAATAACACAATTACACAATACAACTGGGAATATTTGACGGCCATGGGAGTGCAACGTACTGTATGCATAACATACAAAGATAGATGAATATGCAATGATCTATACAAATATATTTTGATTGTCAATATTAATATTAACTGCATCATATGTACGGCTTGACATTAACTGTTATGCCCATTAGCAACTGTGAAAGGCTTACTCACTAGTTAGATTTGTGTGGTATTCAAATAAAGAAATATAGTGTGTATAAAATAGGTTTGATATTGATGATGACATGTATGATTAGATATTGTGCAAAATGTATATTTGACCCAAGGCCCACATGGTTTTAAAATTAAACTCAGACCTTTTGGATGTGTGAAAGTAGTGCATCACTGTCATTTTTCCACTTGCACGTCATTAGCCAAAGCTATGTTATTTTATTTGCATGAAGTGAAAATTCTTACATTGCAGTCACAGTTGTCAGGACACTGGACTTTTTTCTGAGGTGCTTTTGATGATTGGGGACTAGGTGTGACATCTTTCTCATTCTCCTCTTTGAGTGTCTCCCCTCTACGACAGCGTAGATCTAAAACTGTCATTTTCTGCAGAGGTTCATCCGTGAGGTGATCCGGCCCTGTGCATGATCCTAAGAGCTTCACAGCATTCTTCTGTGCCCACTGCCTCAATGGTCGCAAGAAGCAGTTACAGAACACAGGGTTACCTTTAAAATATATAAAACACATGAGCTAAGAAAATACCTAGAAAGTTCTACTGTAGGGCAATACATATATCTGGCAATTATTTAATTATGGGTGTGTATGCTCAAAAAAGCACTGAAAATGCATGGAGTCAATCAGGTGGCAGAAACTCCACAACAAGTCATATAGTGCATTTAAAAAAAAAAAAAATTCACAAAATGAGGATATAGACAAACCTGTGAGGTTGAGGCTGACCAGCTCCTTAGGTCCCAACAGTGGTTCCAGGTAACGAAGCTGATTGTAACTAACATCCAAATGGGACACACGTGGGGCCTTGGACAGCGCCTGGTCTGAGAGGTCCTGCAGAGACATGTGGGCCAGATAGAGGTGTGTGAGCTTGGCCATAGAGACAGCCTCCTCTCCAAGGTAGATCATAGGGTTGTGGTTCATGTCCAGACGAGTGACCTCAGGAAGCCTGTGAAGAAGAGGACATAAAGATCATTAGAAATGATCAGGTAAGCTGAAATTTTCCCTATTATAGGAGACTACCTAGTCATGGTCTGAGTTGGGAAAACTGCAGCTCATTGTAGTCCAAACTTAGGCGGGTGAGCGTGAACAGACCAGCAAAAGCTTCAGGTGCCAAGTTGTTCAGAGAGTTGTGGCTAAGACGCAGCCACTTTATATTGTGGAGACCCTGAATGAATAAGGACATATCATAGTACTATGTATATAGCAGCATATTATTTGACAATTAAACAACAAAGACCTGAAAAGCCATATTGGGTATGTAAACCAGTTGATTGTGAGTAAGTGCCAGCATATTGAGAATGCCAAGCTGAGTGAAGGCACCAGGTTGGATCTCCTCTATGCGATTATGATGTAGATTCAGCTCCTTTAAGGATGAAAGCCCATCAAAGGACTCCTGAGGGGTATAAATGATCATGAAAACAGAAATACAGTATACAAGAATCTACAGTGGTAGCATAAACCATTACCTGATATAAGATGTCAATTTTGTTGTAGGCCAGGTTTAAGGAGACCAAACGAGACAGGCTCCTAAAAGCGCCCTCCTTGACCTTTTCAATGTTACAGCTTTGAAGGTTTAAATGGGTCAGGTATGGTGTTTGTACAAAACTCCCTTTAGGAAGGCTCTTCATGTTGTTGTTCCTCAAGTCTAACTTCACTGTTATCTGTTTCAGTAAAAAAAAGACATATATAAATTTTTCGTACAAAGATTTTAAAATACTAGTATGCATGTTTAAAGAATAACCTCATCTACAGTTGGAGGAACTTCTGTTAAATTCTTGCCTGCACAGGTAACAGTGAGTTTAGTATTGTCACAGCTGCACATTCTGGGACATTTTCCAGCTTTGACCAGTGTTAATGACGAAAGTATGACCATAGCAACAAAGAAGTTCATCTGTGCCAAAAAAGAAGCGCCTTTTTATAGGTGAATGTACAGAACTATTATTTTTTTCTGATAAGCAAGTATGATTAAACAAAAGACAACAATAACAGAGAAGCTGCCTTACCTTATGAGCTCTGTCACATTAATTATAGGTAAAAAATCCAGTTCCAGTTCTCTCTTCTACCTTTCTCCCCAAATGCCTCCACCAATGCTGAAGTCCTATAGCCTACAAACAAGGCTGTGATACATTCTTCTCTAGTGACCCCCGACTCTGCCGCCCTTCACTGCAAATTAGCACCTCAGCTTTACATTTTCTGGTGCTTTGGATTGGGGCATCCGTTATTAAAAATACAAATATCTTTTTTTACTACTATGCAATGTGTTGTGAAATTATTGATATTCTTTTGCACATTTATTTCCCTGTGCATGACAGGTTGGACTACAAAGTTCTTTACATAATATAATTAAATTTAGCCTAGTCTTTTCTAGTTTTGTAAAAAAAAAAAAAAAACACAGCAGTAATATGACAAATAAAAATAAATGAAAACACCTTTATTTTGTTAAATCAATGTTTAAACTGTCAGAAAAATGCATTCTTTGTGCATAAATTGTCCCTGCCTTTACAATGGAATTAAACTCATTTAATAACATCTAAATTCCCTTTTCAACTTCTTGTATTTTACAATTTTTTGACTCAGATACTTCAGATACTATCCCAATAAAACAAGTAATAATTAGAAAAACGTATTAGTCTGTCAAATGCACTTTAATGCATTTTGATTTAGTGCAGAATCCCTGTGACAGTTTATAAAATCAAAATAACAAAACAGATAAGATATAAATATTAAGTCAATGTTGAAACTGAAATCATTTTATTATAAACAAGATAATTTCTTATTATTTTGCAAACCATTTGGCTCCTACTTTTATAATATCATGAAATGCCCTATTTATTTAATATACAGAACTCGGTTGTGTATAATAAACTTTAAAAGTAATAGGCAAATATAGCAATTTACTGTAAACGCAGCCGAATGTGTCCAGGGTTGAAAATAGTGGCTGCATCTCACTACAGATTAGTAGGAGAGTAGTACATAAATTAATGATCCATAAGTCCATAATAAGTCCATTCAAGTGTAGTGGAGAGCCTGGGGTAAGATGTGTTTCTTTTTCAAACAAATGCTCACTATTGCAGTCCATCAAAGTCCATTTGTGTGAATCGATGACCTCTGGTGTTCTCAGCTCTGGGACTTCAAACTGTGCAGAGTTGACTGAAGGAGGATTCTTGCATTTCCACATGAGTCAAGTGCTTTGTTGTTTCTAAAATTAACCAACAGAAATACATTTGGTTATTTAGTGTACAGTATCCCAAGTTATGCATATTATATAGCTGAGGTTTGATTAATTGGCTGCAACATCAGTTCTATAAACAGTATAAGTAAGAAATCCTATGGAACAAGAGTTGAAATTATTATTCACTATCCCAGGTGCAAAGATGGTGTCCCCTTTCAGAAAAGATTCAGTACCAATACTAGCTATACCAATAAGTGAAACAGGAGACACAGCAAAGATAATGTTATACCTGGGAGCTTTCTGTTGATTCACGTCCTTACCGGGACATGAAGGCCTCAAGGACCGCCACATTTTCTTTTGGGAAATAATCTTGTTGAACAACATGTTCTAAGGCCTGAAGGTGTCCTGGAACCACTAGAACAGGTTTCACTTTGTCCTCGCTCTTGAGGAAACAGAAAGAAGGGATGTTGGGTTCAAAAGCGCAAGTGAAAAAAGGCGAAAATACCTGATATTATAAATCTTTGTGTGAAATTAGATAAGGCTGATACCTTGATCAGTCCAAGTAGTATTAACAGAGATGATACAAAGCTGAATCCCTGGAATGAAGGGGTGGAATAAGCTTTCTTTAGAATAGCATCTGTAAGCAGAAGACCATTCAGTTTACTATCAGCAGACTTCAAAAATCAATTATTGTATTTCTTTTAAACCAGGACTAATTCCAAATGTCTCACCAATACTATCCAAAACAGCATCCTTCACTTCTTTGTTGTCATCCTTGTAAACAGAAGAGATCTTTAGGAAGGCTTCTGCGGTTTTCATAGGATCTGTCACATCCACCTATACACACACAGTCAAATAGAATTATGTTTATTTCATGCAATTACCACTATATTAACAGTTAGCCGTTTCCTTGTTTACCCGCTGTTCGATCAGATAGGCCCTTCTGTCTCCAAGTTTGAGCAGTTTGTCAGGGGAAGGAAAGCTGAGGAAGGAGGCGACATCTGGAGGCTTTGGTGCGGAGCTGGGTGTGGAAAACTAGGGTAGACAAGAATAAACATCAGTATTTTATTACCCACTACATATAGTAAAGCAAGAGATCTTGGCTTTTAGCTAACCTTCTCTTCTTCCTCCTCCTCCTCCTCCTCTTCCTCCTCACCATCATCCTCCTCCTCTTCTTCTTCAATTTCCTCCTCATCCACATCATCTTCGTCCTCTTCGTCATCCTCCTCTTCGTCATCTTCATCTTCATCATCTTCCGGCTCACCTTCATCATCACTTCATGAAAATATGAAAAATCTACTTTTATAGGATTTCAACCATAAAGATTTTCCCTCATTATTAGTTTACTCAAAACTGTATTTGAATAATTCATGTCTGAGTAACCATGTATTATCCTGCATTTGATGCTTGGGGAATTATTTCCACTTACACCCCATCCCTGCCAATAGCTCAGAGTCTCCTTGCAACTCTTTGAAAAAAGTCAGACACAAATGTTCTATTCTCCTCTCCTTACTACAGTGAAATGCTGCATTCAGTCCATGGTGATTTTTTTTTACACAAATGAGATTCTACATTCAATACTCCCAAAACACCTAGTGGTTAACACAGGGTTAGATGTACATTATTTTGTACTGTGACTAATAAAAATCTCTGAAACTGATGTGATGGATTTTGTTAAACACAGACTTTTAAAATCCTGTTTTTGTTTTCAAATATTTAACCTATAAAGAACAAAAAAGGACTAGAATGGATTTGAAGGGGTAGTAGTATGTGAATAGTGAATAGGCAGCTTGCATACCTCAGTGATCCTAAAAGCTGGCCCATGTTCATTTCTTCCATGGCATCCTGCACAGCTTTACAACCATCTTCTCCAAGGCAGTTTCCTTGAAACCAGACAAACAAAATCAGAATTGTAAAGGAAAAATAATAACTGTAGAAAAGATGTGATGTGAATTAAGATCTGACATGCATCTACCATTGAGGTCAAGTTTCTCCAGCGTGTTTTTGTGTTTGACTGCTTGTGTGACTCTGAGAGCCGCCTCTTCAGTGATTTCACAGAAGGATAGATTGAGCTCCTGTTCATTAATCCAGAAAAACAAACTGTTACAAATATGAAACCATTAAGCATATTGAAGCAACTATAATTACTGCTTATTAACATATTCACATTGTCTTCATACTGAGTACAGAGGAAAATAATTTATACAGAAAACTATTATTAGGACAATGTTTTGTACATCTGCTACTCTTTTTAAGCTTTTGTTTATAGACAAGAAGACAGTTTAGCAGCATCATTCCTAACCTTGAGAATAGGAAGTCCCTCTGAAACAGTTTCTGCAATTGCAATAGCTCCTGCCGGACGCACCAGACAATCCCCAAAGTTTATCACCTGAATGCTGCTTAGATGTTTGAGAGCCTATGAAAGACATTCATACATAAGTTGTATGTTGACATAAGGATACACACACTTTCACAATGTGTTAAAAGACCATTTTAAACCATTTACCTGTGCCATGGCAATTCCTCCTTTGTCAGTGAAGGTGTTGTCATTAAGATTGAGGATACGTAGATTGGGATTGTGCTGCACAGCTTTAGCCAAGGCTGTTACACCGGGATGGTTAATGCCATTCTGAGGCATGTGAATTTCCTCCAAACTTCCCATTAGCTGAACAAGACATGATTTTTAGTGAAGTTCATTAAACTATTTAAAAGTATTAATATGTTGGGAAAGGCAATTCACAAAAACTGATGTTAAAGGCCAAAACCTGAAAAGCTTGAGCAAGGGCAATTGCACCATCATTCTCTAGCCGGTTGCGACCTGCGACAAAGACCTTCAAGCTGAGTGGGCAGCCTTCGGCAGTGGAGCTTTTGTGGCATTGAGTCAATGAAGCAGCCAAGATCTATAATACCACCACCAAGAAGCACATTCTCAGTAGATAAATACATACATACATTTAGTGTCTATTTTTTAAAAATATTTTACTTTTCCGCCGCCAATGCCCATTCCACAATTATTTAATCGTAGCTCCTGCAAAGTGTGACAGGCACTGCTCTTTAGCAATTTTTCAATTCCTTTCACTCCGTCAGGTCCAAAGGCATTGTCACTAAGGTCTAGAACAGTCAGCCTGGCTCCTGCCAACATCAAAGCATCGCCCAGAGAATTCTGTAAAAAGGAAACATGACAATAAAATAAGTGGCAATAGTTTAAAAAAAGTTAAAAATTTAATGTAATGAACTTAGGCTTTTTACCAAAGCAGGTGGAATCTCAGAACGGAGGCGGCCAGTAAACATATCACTCCAGTAACATTGCTAAATGAAGATAAATTCGGTGATTATTTGAAGTTGAACTATTATTTACACATACATTAAAAACATGTCTTGAACCTTCAACAAACCTTAAATGTGCTTTTTGTTTCCAGAGCTTTAGCAATTGCCTGTGCTGCCTCCACCCCGACAGTGTTGCCCTCTAGGCGCAGGGCCTGTAACCCCTCAAAGTCCTGGATCTCTTTCACAATCTCTTCCACTGCACAAGAGTTATGTCCATCTCAAAGTGAGCAACATAACCAGGTTTTGTAAAGCTATAGATTCATGCCGTACCTGACTTTGCATCATCCAACTTCCGACCCTGGCCTTTATAGCTCAGCTCGCCTTCCTCAACTCCAGTCTTGGCCAGAGACTCGGCGAGCTGCGCCACAATGTCTGTTGCCATGGTAGCACTGAGGAAAAAGTGGCATAGAAATTATTGGAAGCTGGATGTGTACTTAATTTTGGGTTTCACCATTGGCATGCAGTTTTCTCAAAAGCAAAATAAAACAATAACATGCCAACCTCCTATCACTGGAAAGTGTTGTTACATCATAAAAAATAGAATAACATTAAATAAAAGGCAAAAAACAAATCTTTATTTTGTTTGCTCTGATGATTGTAACAGCACACATCTGACGCATTTGTGATTGAAATTAGGGTTAAACAGGAAATAATATCAGTAAATATATTCTATAGAATATTGAAGATGATTTTATATGAATTCTGGAGGTTCTGAGCTTTCACATAAGGCATAGGATGAGTTGCTGTTAAACTCCACAGAAGAAGAAGGCATAGGCTTTCCATATACTGAGGTTAGAGTGCCTTTGAGCATCTAGTAACTCTCAGTCATATGACATGTATTAAAGATAGTATGTAACTTTGGAGTATAAAAAGGAGATTTCTTGATATAAAAACATTTGGGTGCCACTTATCTATACATCAAGTGACACTACAAAAGGTTTATAATACTAAATCATATTTTCAGACAAAATGTTGAACATGGCGGTAATGATGGCAATATCATATTATGTAAAATGTTTAAATGATAATAATTACTACATTATGACATGAGAATAAATTAATTTAGGAAATATGACACTAACAGGTAAACCAGCTCAAAGTAAGAATAGGCCTAATGTTTATTAATGTATTTTTCAGCATAAAAACACCCATAATAAAATGAATTTCATAATGCCATACTGTGCAACAATCCAGGTAATGCATAAACATCAACATGAAGAGAAGAATGGTTACGCAGTGCACCTCTAAATTTATATCAAAGACAAAAATGGTCATTGTAAAATAACCACAATTTTTGTCTGTACTGTAAGTAGCTATTACATCTGAGTCAGGTGCATAGACTTTTTTCAGGTGTCAGACAACATCACCCAATACAGTACTTTGCCATGCATATAATTGATTAGTGACGCCCATTATATAAGGACAACTAAACCAATAATAATCGTGTGCTATAAAGTTATGATGTTTAGTCCATATAAAGCTGTCTCACGATCACGACTGCTGCAGCACCACCCGGTGGCCCAGTTACCGCCGCACGATGCTAACACAGCTATCCAACAAGTTGCCTGGTTGCAGCTGCTAGAAATGTGAGTGTTGGGTTTCATCAGTTGTGTGGAATAAACCAAGGTATGGACTATTAATGACACATCACTGGGTATGTTAAGCCTTTTTGTTTAGGTTTGGTTGCTCGCAAGTCAGAGCACACACAAGAGAGCGTGAATGGACTGGACTCTAGGCCTGTCCGCTAGGCTAAACTCGACCACAGCGTTAGCCCATAAACTAGCAAATTTAATTCACACAAATACGCTCATCTGTTTCTATCTGAAGCATTCGCAGTGAAGCAACTACGATACAATAATATGCCAAGTATAATTACCTCAACACAGCAACTTAGCGAAACACACGCGTGACACTCCCGCCCGTTCAAAACCAAACACAGTAGAGAACGTCTCAAGGAACACAAACTAAGGAGGCAAGGGATTTGTAGTCCAAAAAAACTACAAATGGGCAAACGCGAAATGTGAACTGTTGAAAAAAAAATCGGTGAATAATGTTACACTGAATGAATCACGTAAATACCTGGATTTGATAAAAATTTTTCTAACTTAACTTTACTAGCCGAAGAATGATGGCACGAGGATACAGTGTATGCGCAGAGGAGCGAGCCTGTGAGGCAGTACTTTGGGAACAAAAACACCAGTGACTAGCTGAGCTGGTGCATGAACTTCTGTGAAACGAAACTTAAGCGGGGCCGTCGAGACACGACAGTAAAAAAAACACCTTAATTTGGTGATTATAACAATGACCATGTGGTATATTTTCACTTTCTTGCACTGAATTGTGTTTTCATGAATCAACTGACTCTGCTGATTGGTAGGTAGGTGTGTCTAAAGTTTTGGCGTTATAGCATAGCTGCGAGAAAAGCATGCCAAGATGTATTTTTTATTTTGTTGGATTTTCTAAAGTATTGTGTTTGTCAAGTGTTGAATCTTAAAAGTTGCATTTACAGTCTCACGTTTTGTCATGCATGCCTTTACCCTCAGAGGAGCAGAATGGACCCTGGCAGGCTCAAGCGTAAAGGGGAAATCAACAAGGCCCTACAATTTATACAGTGCGCTTTTTTTTTCTTTCTTTTTTTTTTTTTTTGTCGCTCCTCTTTTGAAAGTTGTCATTTGTCTCATATTGTATTTTTTCCTAGGTCCTCTCTGGCTTATCCTGACCCTCAAGGCTATCAGGTACCAGCTGTTCTTAGAAATGTCTACAACCTTGATTCATTAGAGTTAGTATACCCCAAAAGGCAACACATTGAATTCTAAACCCAGTTGATTTGTCTGTTTATAATATTGTAGTTTGTTTTTGTCTTATGACCACAACAACAAGATGTTACTAGTGACTATGACATTATGATATTATTGCACTTAATAAAATATATATTCGAGACAAATGTGTATGCTGCAATCATAAACCAGTACAACCTTCTTGGCTTGTCAAAGCAAAAGTAATATCATTCATTTGTCTCTTTCTCTCTTAGGATTTTTTAACTGGCTTAGTCTGCAACCTCTTGGAGGAAGGGAATGCACTGTTCAAAGACAGAGCATGGGAAGAGGCTGTGAAGGAGTTCAGTGAAGGTCTCAATGTTGCTCAGTATGCCTCCTCAGAAGATATCTGCATCCCAGAAGTACTACTGGAGAGCCTATATGTGAACCGTGCTGCTGCATATTATAGTATGGTGAGTGATTAACCTTAATAAAACTGTTCTTCAAGACATAGATTATCTTTCTACATTGCTACACAGTTGCAATCAGTTTAACCAAGGCTAAAGTTAATCACACATTTACACGGAAGGGGCTGTGTCTAGTGCACGTTTGATGTTTTGACTGAGTCACATGTACACAGGGTATTGTGCCAGTAATGTATTAGAATCTTTAATCACACCCCTCCCCAAAAAGAACATGGATGGCATTAATTGAAAGAGATCAATTGATAAGTATTATTCTGTAGTCACGATACTCATATCTCAAATAAAAAAAATTATAATAAAATAAAAAACACATACAAACAGAATTGGATCTTTCCTGAATAGTTTTATAATGGTCTTGATTCATCAGAACTAGTATAAGACCACATGGATGTACTAGAGAAAGAAAAATTATTTTGTACTGAAAATTACTAAAATAGCAGATTCTTACTATAATAATTACCTGCTGTTGTCCTGTTATCCAACCACTGAGACATGTATTCAACCAGTCATAATGATCATATAAAAGTGCAACTTGATGTCTGCATTAGTACAACGTGCTAAACAATAGCACTACACAATTTGCTTTGATTGCATTTGAATCACTGAATTGGCTGTCTTGTGAGACCTCCAAATGTAATTGTCATATTTATGTTTTAAAGTTGTTAAAGCACAATCTTATTCCTGATACCCAGGGTGAATATGGGCGAGGTGTAGAGGACTGTGATAAAGCTCTCTTGGTGTGTAAAGAAAGCCGCCGTGCTCTGTTCAGAAAGGCCCTCTGCCTGAAAGAGCTGAAGAAGTACAAGGAGGCCTATAGTTGCACCACTGACTGTCTGCTCATCAGTCACATGGTAAGGAAACTGGCATTCAGTAATTTTAATATTTTACAACGTCTTTAATAATGTGATTGTTGTCCCACTCAGATTTACACTTTCCCACTGACCTATATATGCATAGTTACTGTAAGCTACCTCAAAGCCAAAGCTTAATTGAATCAACATGATCATCCATGTTTGTAGACCATGTAAAGATAATAAAAACGCATTTTAAATGTTAATTTCTCTTCAGATGTTAATTTCTCTTCTCTTGTAGTTTTGTATTAGTCTAACTTCTATACACAGATCCTTCATCTTTTAATGTTTATGTATTCAGGACAATCAAGTGAATGAGCTTGCACAAGAGTTGGCCATTCAGTTGGGACTCAAGATACGTAAGCCCTTTGTCAGTGTAAAGGTGAGGAGTTAATATTCTGTGTACTCAATGTTTAAACAATTAGCGACACAGAAAAGAGAAAAGCTACAGAAAATGACTATTATACATTTCAAACCCCGAGATATTCTGAAAACCAGTCCAGATTAACACTTATCTTTTAAATAATTGCATAATGTTAAATACGTACCTGCAACCTGCTAAAATTAGCTGCCTCTATCCAGCCTAGTCTTGGGAAAATATTTTATGCGTTAAAAAAAAGATGTGTAGCTACATTGTATATTGAGATATGAATACACAAGATATTCAAGACATACCTTTCTGTCTATATTGCATACTGGCATGCTGGTCAGTGGACTATATAATCCAGGCAGTTCATACAGTGATATTAAAATAAATTGGTGGAGCTAATGCTGTCCTCTGTAATCTGTTGCTCACAGTGGGAGTAGATGAACAGATGATTTTGCAGTTAAGTTAAAAACAAAGATAGTAGATTACAAAGACTTTTTTTTTTTTTTTTTTTAGATGTGCACGAATTATACAGGAAATGGTTCTTGTCCTCTGCCCACAATTACTCAAGGTATGAATAAATCAAATTGTCAATTTGTATCTGATTACACAGAAATCAGTGTATTAAGGCTCTAAATGTACCATAGAATTAATGTATATAATTGTCTTACCATATTGTCAGAAAACTTCTCTAGCCAAGACCCTACTCTGCTGACAGCTCAGGGCGCTTCTCAGATGGCTGTCTCCTCTGTGCCAGAAATGCTCGATGACTCTGACGTGATGGGAGATGACTTGGACAGTTTACTAGACACCCTCCCTAATGAGCCGACACCAACTGAGGTGACTTTTCTTTTAATGCACAGTAAGGAATATTAGGTTGTTTGAGAAAAAAAACATATCAGAAATTGTAAACTCCACTATTGGGTGTATTCTTGGGTTTTAGCGTGATGTAAAATTAGCACAGTTGCCGTTGCATTTAATAATTAAATTTAAATAAGTGCATGGATATCTTCTGTTTGTTAGGCTAGCTAGATATGTACCGTATTTACAAAATTTTGCTGAGCCAGGCCTCGTTGTGAAAGCTCACCATTTCGCTGTTCTTACTTTACACTTAATATTTTATAGACCCATCTCCAAGCCTTCTCAATCCCCGGTGTGGAGACCCCCTCCAAACACGCTGTCCCTCCTGTCCTCCCTGCCCCGACACCACAGCTGCCCCCGGCCTTCTTCAGCTCAGCTGGCAGCCAGCTCAACTGCCTGGACTCCTTTGCTGCCAGCGGAAGCATGGTTTCCACACTGGATGCTCTTGATGACGTTTCAACTTCACACAATTTAGACCAACCGCATTTAATTTTATATGGGACAGCAGCTTCAAATGCTGTACTGACTACGACACAAAACTCCCTGAATGATCTTGACTCATTAGACGACCTACTGCCTTCAGAGACCACTACTGCAGAAGAGGCTTCTATATCAAATAATGAAATACAAAAATATATTAAGGAAGCTTTGGATATGCCTCATAAGCATGCTGCAACTGGTTTCAGTGGTGAAAAGGGGTTAAATGCCCTTGATTCCCTTGATTCCCTTGATGCTCTCGATGCTCTCGACACGTTTTCCTCTACAGAGAATATGGCAGCAGAGGTGGGAGCTGGTTTGGACGCACTCTCAGATTTCCAGTTAAATGGTAATTTAAAGACGATGCTCAGTTGCTGAAATACAAATCTCTTGTTGCAGAAAAACATCTAACATATGCTGCTTTTGCAAATTCATTTGAGAACCACTTATTCAGGCTTTAGAGACTTTGTCCCAGACATTGAAAAATCATAATCAAATGAAAACAGCACAACAGATGAATACCACAGCACATTTAGGAATAAATAGTCAAATAAAGAGTGAGTTTGGAGCCAAAAAAAACCATTAATTATATTGTTTTTTGACCTTGGCAATGGTTACAAATTTGAATCATGTAACTGAAAATAATGATTTATTTGTGTAACCATAGATGAATGTTCTCTCCGCCCTGCACCTCTGAAAACTTCAATTAAAGAAAGAAATAAGCATTCACCAGCCAGAGGGCCAAAGCCCTTGACCTTGACCCACGAGTTTATGCTGGCATGCTCAACATGTTACCCTCGAACAGGTACATATGTTGTAATGATCAATTTATTTGTTGAATAATTGATTTCAGATGTTAGCATAGTTGACCACCTGCATTTGTTGTTTTGAGTTAGTGTTTTACCTATTACTGGTTTGGTTAGATTTAATTATATCTATGATTCTCCTTCATCATTAGGAAGGGGGATTTATACATTTGTTCACAAGCCTGACCTTGTGCACAGCTGTGAGAAAGACATTTTACTATGCCGAGAAAAGGACAGTATTTTACCCTGGACCAGAGTTCGGCCCATGCCTGCGTGGACATCTTTTACTGGGCCATTTGTACTTTGCAAAGGTAAGAAGAGTACCAAATTGATTATGGTTGTGACAACTTTTGCTATGGGTACTTTTTATTTGGTGTATATGTACAGTAATTTTTGATTCTGATTATGTGTCCAGAATTACTGAAATCTGGAGAACTCGGTTTATGTAAATATGGAGAGAACTGCACATTCGCCTTTAACCAGACTGAGATTGATGTTTGGACCGAGGAGAGGAAGGGGAGGTTCAACCGTAACCTGCTGTCCCAAAAGCCAGCTATGAAGCAAGAGCCTGTCAGTGGCATCATACAGATTCTTCAGGAAAACAAGGGCATGTTTATCTTTCTATGTGGGGTACGTACATAACTTTTAGGTATTTTATACATTACATTGCACTTCATAATATATGAGTGTAGGCCTAGTACTTACGTCTGTAAATACAAATTGGCAAGTTTATTTTCAGTTTTGTTTTTTGTTTTGTTTTTTCTCAGAATTGCTTTAAAAAGCACTGGATCTTGTAATTTCAATGGGCTTTAAATTTCATATCTTAACTTACAGGATACAAGTGATACTGCTTATACAAATATAATGTTTTGGTTTCTGTCATATGTATGTAGGCATGCTTTGACTGTAAACCTACTATAATAAGTAAACGCAGCAGAGATGATGACACTGTCTGCTCTAACACAAGTGTTCGACATCTGTTTGATGCCAATAAGTAAGCCTGTTTACATTTACCGTAGTAAGCCAATAAGTAAGCCTGTTTTCTGTGTGTTTATACATTTCCTTGCTTTATGTGATAGATGCTTGGCATTTATGATGAGGAACATCACAGTGAGGTACAGAAAGGTCCGCCCTCTACACCTGAACTGCCATTTGGATTTATGTCGCCATTGTATCAGATATGGGTGTCTATTGGGTGATGAGTGCATGTTTGCTCACTCCGATGTCGAACTCAAAACATGGAAACTACAGAGAGAGACTGGTCCTCTATCACTTTGTCCAAAGGATGACATATTTCACAGGCCTAGATTGAAGGCACTAATGTTACATATTATATTATTTGTACAGGAACCAAACCAGAGGAGATAGTTAAAGTATCCACTGATTACTATGAAAAACTAAACAAAAATACAAGCAATCAACAGAGCAACAAAGTACGTCACTTTAAGAGCATTGTATTGTCTACTTTTTTCTTCCTTTGCCATGACATCTTGCTATTGTTGCTGCAGTCTTTGGGTCCAGGAAAACCAAAAGGAGGAAGACCTAAGGACTCTCTCAACATGAGGATGAGGTTTGTCTGTGGTCACTGCTGGCGTGATGGAGTCACAAGTGACCCAGACAAGTCACTCAAGTATTGCTCAGCTAAAGCTAAACATATGTGAGTAGAATTTACATCACCAATGTATGCCGATGAACATGGTCATTTGGAAAATCATTTAGTCTAGTCTGTTACTCACTACAAATATATGTATGCTTTGGTGGCTCACTACAGGTGGACTAAAGACAAGAGAATATTGCTGGTGAAATCCTTGGAGAGAGATAGAAGTAAATGGGTTATGGTTCGAACACTGCCACATTGCAAGCATTTCCCATTGCATTATGATGTAAGCATTTCCCATTGCATTATTCATTCAGCATTAACTTTATTTGTCTTTGTTGGCTATTTTTGGTCTGAAATCTGTATTGGCTATGCTCTACTGTAGATATGTCATCGAATATTGGACAGAGGAAAATGTAACGTGGGGAACTGCACATTTGCCCACAGTCAAGAAGAGAAGGATATGTGGACTTATATGAAGAATAATAAATGTGAGTAAATGTGCAAAAACATTAATGTTGTTAATATGTTTGGAAATATTGGAATACTATCGCATTGAACACATTTGTGGCATTTGCAGTAGTGGATATGCAACAAGTATATGACATGTGGCTAAATTTAAGCACTTTGAACCACCAAAATGAAGAACCTGTTGTAACCCAGCCTTCGTCTGAAGAGAAATGCATCGTGATGCCAACAGACTGTGCTGAGCCAATGGTTTGTACAATATCTATATTCAGAAAGCTGCTCACAGACATAATACAAATGTGCAGAATTGGGCTACATCTTACTTTTTAAATCTTGACATGCATATCAAGGACACAATTTTACACAATATGGATAGATGGAAGGACACGCCATGCCTCATTCTTATACAGGCTTTAACTACCTCGGGAGGCTGCTTTAGCACTAATTACAGTCTTTTAAGAGTTATTTTAACTTGGCTTTTGAATCTGGAAACCGAATGTGAACAGCTAGGTCTGCTTTCTGATTGGATAATTATTTGTAAAAAATAAAATGTAAGCATATACAACTTTTAGAAGATGGGATAAATGTTTTTGTAATAAAGTTCCTACATACTGTACATTAAAATGTTCTTTGTATTTTTTGTTTAGGATGGCTTTCACTGCAGACTTTGTGGTAGACATAGCAACAGTGAAAAACAGTGGCAGAAGCATATCTCCAGTGAAAAGCACAAAGATCGTGTGTTCAGTTGTGATGAAGAAGAGAAAGCCCTGACATGGAATTACAGATTCCCAGCAAAATGCTTTAATCTCTGCCCCAGGTGAGACTCTTATATGGAGTCAAATCAAACGGTGCCAACTTGAGGCTTTTTATACCTGTATATACCTGCATATATTTTCCAGGCTGGATGATAACTGTCCTGATGGCATGAGCTGCGACTATGCCCATAGTCCAGACGAGTTGCAGGAGTGGATTGAGAGAAGAGATTTCCTCCGACGTAAACTAGCCAGAGCCAGGGAGGATATGCTCATAATGCCTGATGAGTCTGACTTTGGAAAGTATAACTTTCTTCTGCACGATTGATATTACTGGCTACTTTCTTGGATGTAATCATCTATACCAAATACTGACACCTTACAATTGTGCTAAGGCCTGCGACACTCACAGGATGCAGTGGATTTTGTATTTCCCTAAAATCAACACACATATATCTTTGAGATACACTTAATCATATTTTTGTTGGCACAAAGTCATAAATGCACAAAACATTTATAATGGCTTCATATACTCAGTTATATCAGCTTTGTTACACACTTAACAAATTCAGAGGCAGCAGTTCTACAGGTTGTGGTATTGACAGACATTATTCATAAGAATCACTAATGCCTTTCCCAGTTTTGTATTCCATGTTTTTAAAGGCTTCAGTTTTTGCATAAAAATGACCTCATAACGATTTTGAGTTTAATGTTCCCAAACCAATAAAAACAATGTCATTAAGTCCTTTGGTTCCATTTTAATTGATCAAGTAATCCTTGAGCCATTTACTTTTCTTAACTTTTCTTACCACTTATGTCACAAGATGGCGCTATGTAGCAGGTTTGCATTGTATACACGTGCCGTAGTACGTGGAGTGAAATGTGCCACCCTGTTCTACAGCGGAGTTGTTTTGATTCTCTTCTCTGGATCCCGCCCACTTGGGGCTGATTGGTCTGGTGTAGTAAGTGACAGGTTTGTCTTTGGCTGCTCACGCTGTAGCCTGTTATATGGGCGTGGTTATCGGTGCTCATTACAATGCAAGTTGTAGGGACACATGGGTCTCGTGATACAAGGGGAAAGACCTGCTGCAAAAGTTAGTTCAAAGTCTTGAAAGTCTGCAGTAGAGTGCTCATTTCTTCTAAAGTCGAGCATCAAGGACATTTTAACATCATGGCAACTGCAAGTCAAATCCTTTTTGGAGATAGGAGTGATGCGTCTGATCTGCTGAAGTGTCTGGCTGAATATCCCTTTTCATTCCCTTCGTTGGAGGATAATGGTAAGAAACGAGACCCTTTCTGTTGACATTAATATTCTCAAATCGTATGTGTGGCGCATTTATAAGATTGTCTGTCTGCTGCCATTTGTTCTTGTGCTTAGACAAATTGATAGTGAAGAGAAACACTACACTGGGGGATAGTTTGTACACTGCACTGGGGCATAGTGTGTACAACTCAACATATACTGGGATAAACCTTAAGACAACCTTCAGAGTACTTCAAAGTTTTGACTCTGTGAAAAGCACCAAGCGGCCAGTAGAGGGCATCATAACGTATCTTACAACCAATTAATTAGACCTATCTTGTGATGCCAAACACAACCCTTGCAGTTTGTTACTAATGCTAACTTTAGTAACAGCATTTTCATTTACTAATAAATCGCAAAAAAGCTATTGAACACGTGGGTTAATCTGCTCCTTTTCACATCTGATCCACTCTGGGCCAGCCTGTGTATTCTTGCTGCATGTGCGCATGTATTCTGTAATTGCTAAAATTTTGGAGTATTTGTCTGATGGAGGTCACTGTGGGGCGCTGGTGTGTAACCCTTTAGTGACCTGCTGTGTGGTTTGGACACCGTGTTCCTGAACCCAAATATTCTCCTCCCGCAGGTAGTGACACTGCTCCGCGCCCCTTTCATAGAGCGCATGTTGTGTTCATGTTAAGCCTAATTATTGTTAGGCTATATTTTAATAACAAACAAAACAGCAAACACGGGCTATTTAGAATAAAACTAATAATAATAGTTATAAGTCAGTAATTATTATTGATTCATGATAATACCTTACAGGTTTATGGTTTCTGTTAGTGTCACTTTCTTTTGGTTGAGAATAATTTGTGTAATTGCAAAAACGCCACTGTAGTAAATTAAACACGACTATGTGCACTTTGCATACTGCTACTACGCCTCCACTGCTGCACGTAGAAGTATAGATCCGTTGTGCTGCATAGCTCCAGCTCATGGTGCACATGTGCAGGATCTGAAATCACGCCCCTCGACAGCTTGTACTTTCACGTGACCAGGGTGGGGGTGCTGCACGTGTATGGCCACGAGTGTCTCCTGAAGGACAGAACATCGTCTAAACAAACACTGGCGGTGCAGGGCTGGTCACTAGCCAGGCTCACAAGTTAGAGCGAAGGTTAGTGCACAGCATTGTGTATTTTAACCTCTGTGTTCTGTGACTTAAATGAGCCAGAGGGTGATTTTTGTCAAACATTCCTGTCACTTTTCGCAGTGTTTTTGAATTAGTAAACCCAGCTGTTTTTCTTTGTTTCATGTTCAGCTAATAATAATATTATGTTTACTTCATCATAAAGGCTTCTGCAACATTTGCAAATACAATACTGTGGTGCAGAAACAGACACTTGTTTAGCGAGTTGAGAAACAAGCCAATCAGCGCGTGCTCTGCGTGTGTGGGCGGGGACACTGCGTGCGCTGAAAGACCCCTGGATGGACACTGTTAGTGGCGTTGTATTGTCGCCAGAAAAGCGTTAACAGTGACAAAGAAGGACCATTTAAGCATTGTCCACTTCTTGTAAGTATCCCAAAGCCGCGTCGTACTCGTTACTATTACAGACTGTGACACCTTACGCCCGGTGTGTTCTTCGGAGGCAGACGGAACAATGCCTGGCAAAGCTGCCGTGACAGTGGCCATTAAACCGAGCGGTCCTGCAAGTACCACGGGTCCACAAAAGTCGTTTCCTTTCGCTTTGAAGAAGATAATGGACATCCCCCCTCCAAATATCTTGGAAGAAGTCGACGACGGTAAGACAACTGTGCTTTGTGTAGCCCACTAGCGTGGTTACAATTAATCGTCTTTAATCCAGTCCTCAGTCAAATCGGATGAAATTGTGGATTAAATGAATGGGTTTTGGTTCGAAAACTGTTAATATTGACAAAGACACTTGAGCTGGACATGCCGTGTTGTCGCATGAAGCCAGTCTCCTTCAAGGATACAAGAAAATCTGAAAAGAACAAAAAGTCCCCACGCTGCCTTTTTGCAGTTTGGCATCCAGTGCACGTATTACAGCCTTATAAACTAAGACATATATGACTTCACATGATTTTTACGTCAGTCTGTACAATCAGTAATGAAACTGGCATATTTAAATCAAAATAACAAAAATGTTTCTTTTTTTTATTCAATCTACATGTTCTGTGTTGTCATTTGCCACTGACTTGCAACCTGACTTTTTTCTTAATTTTCTTTATGCATGCTTTCATGGAAATCACAAAATCGATTTGTACACCTGTGTTTGGTGCAGAAATCGAGAAAGAGAAGCTGGGCTCTTCAGAGGATGTGGATGGGGGCGTGGCTGGAGGTGCCACCACTGGTGGTGCGTCCAGGGGCAGTGGTGGCGGTGGCAGCGGAGGAGTGTCTGCCTCCCTGACCCCTGCCATTTGGGACAAGACCATCCCCTACGACGGAGAAACATTCCACTTGGAGTACATGGACCTGGATGAATTCCTGCTGGAGAATGGTATCCCCGTGAGTCTGGAAGAGGAGGAGCTGCAGAAGACTGTGAGTGGAGGAGAAGGCAAAGGAAAAACTGTTCCCAAGGTTACAGCTACTATTGGCACAAGCAGTACTACTACTACTGCTGCTGCTGTTGTCCCGACTTCAGTAGCATCTCCCACTTTGGAAGGCACTTCTGAGCCAGAAGAACCTATTACTGTTACTACTACAGCCAGCCAAGATCGAAGAGGAAGAGGAGGAAGAGGAGGAGGAGGAGGAGGACACACAGGAGCAACCACAAGAGACATCGACCGAGCCAGTGACAACAAAAGCTTCAGAAGTAAAGGAAAAGAAAAAGGGTACGTTAAGTATATGCTTTTTTATCAATTATTTGTGCATTTTGTTGTTTCTTACTATAATTATGGAGCAATTTACTGCAAGTATTTCTATTGTTCACAGAGAGCAGCACTGGAGACAGGAATACACCATCACCCATTGATCCAGATGCTATTGAAGTGGACATTAACTTTCAGCCTGATCCCACTGACCTGGTGCTGTCCAGTGTACCAGGAGGAGAGCTTTTTAATCCACGCAAACACAGATTCTCTGATGAAGACCTCAAACCACAGCCCATGATTAAGAAGGCCAAGAAGGTGTTTGTACCTGACGAACAGAAGGTTGGTACAAGTGGATGTTTGTATGTACATGTTTTAAGTAAAGGATGTATCACCAGTGTATTTGTTCTAAAATTCATAAAAAGTGTTGTAGTAGTAGTATTTATTTTTTTCTAATGAACTGGGAGTATGTTTTTATGAAAGGTAAATGTGTTAGCTGCTTATGAAAGAGATTTCCCATATGTAAAACCTTTACTGACTGACTCAATTTTTTCTAGGATGAGAAATACTGGTCCAGAAGGAAGAAGAATAATTTGGCAGCTAAACGTTCCCGAGATGCACGTCGGCTCAAAGAGAACCAGATCACAGTGCGGGCCTCTTTCTTGGAGCGGGAAAATGCAGCTCTTCGACAGCAAGTGGCAGAGCTCCGAAAGGACTGTGGCCGCTGCAAAAACATCCTGGCCCGCTATGAGGCCAAGTATGGTCCGCTGTAAAGTCTGGGAGATCAGTTTAGGAAGTAACAATGAGACATAAGCAGAACACCCTTCCCCGCAGTATCCAACACAGACACAAACACCAAGGGAATCTAAATTTTAGCTTGGCTGATGCCCAGTGACTGTTCCTAAGTTTGGGACACAGGGTGGCAGGGTGAGGCGGTCTGGGAACGGTGGTCACAGGGAGCCCTGTGCAGAGCGCCTGGCTTCTACCTGGGCAGGTGAGAGTTGACAATGGCAGATTCGTCCATGGTCAAAATCACATGGAAAAAGGTTTATTACGTTATTGGAAAGCAATGGTTAGTTCAAATTAGAGCTACAGGAATTGAAACACAACAGTTTTAGAAAGCATGAGTCATTTAGAAGTCGTGTCACACCTTCACTTTTCTTAGAAGAGTTGCACTTGTGTTTGTGTGTGCACTTCAGTGTTCAGGATAGAGGCTTCCAGGGTTGTTGTTTTACAAGTGACAGAGTTGGAAGGTTACATTTAGAAGTGTAGGAGACAGTGAAGCTCCAGGCCTGAGGAGAGAGCAGCAGAGAGCACAGTGTGTAGGTTCAGTTCTGTTATAGTTCTTCCACTTTGTGGCTCACATGGACACTAAACAGGTGAAATCTACTGCACACGGTCCATGTGTCTAATCCATTTTGCACTTATTCTTACACAAACTGTGGGTAATAGGGTGGCAGGTGAAGGTACAGCTATACTTTGTGAATGCCACTGTAGCGATTCTGGGGGAAAAAACATGCATGGTCTACAGCTCAGAGCTACAGCTTTCACTTTTTTACATATCTCAAATTTCTTCCAAAGCCTCACACACGATAGATCATTTTACAAAGAAAAATATTTTTTTGTCAGTTTTGAACCTTGTATGTATGAAGTTCTACAGGGCCCTCACAGGTGGAGGGATATGTTAAAATGAAGGAAATGTTTATTTTACTGCACATTGCAAGAAGAGGGTGCTTCAGCCACTGCCTGCCTTGACATGGTGTAGTGAAAGGTGGATCTTTATTTTTGCAGTTTTCTGCTTGTAAATATTTTGAGACAGGGATGCAGACTGTGTCTTTATTAACCCAATACTATTCCTTATATTTGCCAAATAGTCAATGAGTGCTGTATTTATTCTGATGGTAATAACACATCTGTTGATTGTGATGTAAAACAATGTTAGATTATTCCTTTATGGAAGAATACTTTCACTGAAACCAATGATAAAGCAGGGAATTCAATGGGTAAACTGTGCTTTTAGATGTTTGTTTTAAAACAGATTTATAAAGTATTCTCTACATTAACATGAACTCACAAGGACAGGGACACCCCTAATATCTCATCCAACACTTCCTTTTGGCTGGGTCAAGGTGTAGGAGGGCTAATGGCAGCGAGCACATCAAAAGCACCATTAGATTCTTTGGCAAAGTCGATGAGCTCAGTTTGCTAAGTGGACTGAGGTTTGTATCTAAATTAGTAAAAATAAATGCATAACTGACTGTTAAGGGACTCTGTTCAAAGACTCTGTCTTTGGGTGATGGAGATTTTTGCAGAGCAGTTGGCTTGTGCTCATAATCGCCTCAGTCATGAACAAAATTACCGTGGCAATAATATTCAGCTATTTATGCTTGTTTTATTTCAGTGATGTCGTATGTAAAACTGTCATGTGATACTAAATAGAAATGTCCCAAAGTCATTTATGCTTCCAATATTGCCTGGGATTGTTATGCATGAGGCCCAGTTAGAATTTGTCTTTTGCTAAATATTTGACACCAAGTGTACTTAAAGTCTGTAATCATCACTTAGACTAGATGCAGTTTTGATGAATACACCAATGGTCTTCTCTCTCTCTGAAAACATCCATGCCACGTATTCCTGATAATGTGTGCTCCATTTTGGATGAAGGCTGCATCTTTTGATCACTGTGTGGATTGTTCAACGTTTACTCAGCGTACATTTTATATATAACTAGATGCACTGAACCGATCGGTTTGTGTCTCTTAATTGATTCTATAGTATTTTGTTTTTCTATGGTGCGTTTGTTGTCTTTGATTTTGTATTGACATCCAGACTTGAAACAGATTACATTTTATACATCAGTGCTGGTGATAACTGCTGACATGTTGAGGGATAATATTGCAGAAAGCAAAAACAGCAAAAGGTATGTAGCAATCTTTTCGATATGGTAGGTTTCAAAACTAGAGGTTTTCAGTTTCAAACATAGTAACCTGCATTTATATGAAAGAAAATGCGCTTTTGGCAATCATCACATACGGCTTCACCTTTAAAACATTTGTTCTACCTTTATTCTCAAGGTAGTATGACTTAAGAGCAGCTAATGAGTGATTTTAAAAGAATATTTGAACCATCTCAGCATAAAGCAAACTGCAGCTCTTATACTTTGCATGCAAGTGGTGCCTATATGTTTATATGTTTTTTGTCAGGTTTTCCTCTAATGCATTGTAGGCATTGGTGTCGGGTGCTTGTTATATATAAATATGTTTACTATTTTAAAAGTAGCTCCTGGCAAATATTGAGTATAATTTTGGATTCTTTTTCTTTTTATGTATTTTCCATTGTTCTAACTGTGTAAACTAGGATATGTGCTTTTCCACGCTCTATCCTGTATCTTGTATTATGCATAAAAAATAAACTGAAATTTAATGACCTACTGGCTGCTAATTTGACCTTGATGAATGAATCCGCTTGGCAAGGGTGAGCTACAGCAATGAGAAAAGAATGAGATTCCTTACAGTGGAAATTTCATACAACTTCAGAATCTTATACAGTTCAACCCATTACATCTTGAGTTGTGATTTGTGGTTTTCCTCTTTGGGCTCATTATTATTCCAGAGGAGTAGAAGATGTTGCGTAATGATCTCATCGACACTGGGGAGCACTGTTGCGTAACACTGGGATGCAGCTGCAGCATCCAGCCCCAGCATGGAGCGGGTGGGGTGGGAACGGAGAAAGGAAAAGTGAGGGACAATGATAAAAGGGAGGGGCTCTGGGAACGCGCTGACAGGAGGAGGGACGACGGGAGAGGATGCTGCGTGGAAGAGACGGGGATGGATGTAGTCTGATGGATAAACAACAAAAGAAAGGGCGGGACTGTAAGGCAATGATGACAACACGAGGAGGGGCCCACCCTATATGTGCGCTGCACTGCCAAAAAGCTTTCAGTCTCGGAGAAGAATCCAACTCACAGCGATAAATGATGAAACGCAAAGTAAGACCTGGGTGTGTGCACCTAAGGTGGGCGGTGCGCAAACAGCTCAGCCTTCCTCTGAATTAGGCCTGTAGTCTAGAGTTTTAAATAGTTTAGCCTTGGGACCCGCTGAGCTACTTCTAGTTCGTGTTTAATGTGCACATAAACTCACAATCACGCCATAGGCTTATGTTTTCCATGCTTCCTTTTGGAGGTTTCTTTTATTACAAACTTAAAAAAGAATCTGATACAGTATAAACTGCAGTATTAATCCCCCATCCTAGAGGGGCTGCACAGAAAACAGGTCATTGCATTTCAGTAGTGAACATCATACACATCAGGTAAAAAATAGGGAAAACATTAACAAAATACAAGCAGTAAATGCATTATTATTTAGTTAAATTGCTCTGTTTTGTTTATTTTTAAATCTTAGAAAATAAACATTTACACATGAAATATAAGCAAAAGACATCTCTATATAAAAGAAAATCTCTAATCTTTGCCCAATTTGTTTTCAACCCTGACTGTAAAAACTTGTTTAATATGGTTTTTGAATACACTAAATCTGATTTACTTTAGAAACTCCTTGAAACTATAAACAAATACCTGCATGCAGTTTACTAAAATACAAATGAGCAATATGTTTCAGCTCAGGCCATCTTTACCAGGGTCAGTTACCTACATACAGTCATGTCCAGAAATCTGTCTAAACCCACTTTACAGAGACGAGGTAGCACCTCCAAAAAAAAAAAAAAAAACTTCTCGGGTCACTTCAGCATTGCATTAAACTGCATAAATGTGATCATCTTTCTAAGCAAAGATAGTTTCAGTAAGAAGGATTGTTAAGTGTGACATCAACACAGCTTGCTTGGGTCCAACGGTTCTGAGTTGCTCCATAGATACACACAACAAAACCCATTTCACCCTAAAAATCATTGGGTGTGCACATTTCTACAACAAAAATGATTGTTGTATTTTTATATTTACAGCCTCAGTAAAAAATATTTTTGATAAGTTATGTGTGAAAGGATCTCCAGAGAAAAGCTAAAGTACACTTTGTTTTTTGCCCCCTACTGTCAAATATTAAATCAGCATTGTTCAAAACCCTTGAACAGGTTAAATTTTGCCAAAAATGCGATTAAGTTGGATTTCCACTGGACCCAGAAGGAGGGTTAGGACATCATCACTTAAAAGTCTCAAAGATTATGGCTATAATATTAGGACCATGATGTAACTAGGCATAATCAGGAGAAATAATCAAATGTCAAGAATGCATAACATTTGAAATATCATGAATTATGTCAAATGCACTTGAAAAGTGGCCTAAGATTCACCAAAGGAATTATTTAGCAGAGTATAGTGTATTGGGACCTTGATATTATTTTGGTTTTAATGAACTGCCCATGAGAACATGGAGTGGTGTAGTCAGAATGCAGTCATCCTTTCCTTCACAAACCCATTGTAAACATTCATAACTCATTTCTAATCTCCTTCAAGAGTGAATACATTAACCCGTCTTATTAGACAAATGCTGTACACGGTACAATACACATTCAATACTTTATTCTATACATCTTTATTGTCTTGTTTTGCATATATTCACGTATTTTGTTGAAAAAATAACCTCAGCATGTAAGAAACTAAACAATGACTCTTAACATAAGGACTGCGGATATATACATTTTCCAGTATTTTATACGTGTACAAATATGAGTGGTCATTAGCAAAAACAAAAAAATAGAAAAACACTACAAAGAAAAATACATTTCCCATTGCAATCGTAACATGTGTCAACCCCCTAGTATTACAAATAAAAGTTGCATGACTGCATGCATATGACAAACCGTCACATTGCAAAGATCAGTGAGCACAAGTCAGGGGTCGTAAATAAAACATTTACAAGTACAAATCTGGACTGACATCTTCTCACCAGTGTGATGCATTGAATACTTTGTAGTCCTTTTAGAATCTCTAAAGCATTTAACGACAGCTAAGTGAGTGTGCATTACTGAGCTGAGGGCGAGGGCACGAGGAGCCCAGTAATAAAGTGCTGGAAAGCTTAAACGGACATCTGAGGGTCACTCTTGCCACCGGAGACAAAACTATCACAAGGACCCGGCCAGTAAACATACAACTCACATGTGACAGGCTATTCAAAACACAGTAACACAGCCCATGACACATTCAGGAACATTCACCTTCACTACATCACTGTCACCGAATACATCTTTGTATAAAACTAGAGGAATTTCAAGAAGGGAGAGAATAGAGAGAATAGTGTGTGCCTTTGGCTTCAAAACCATTTAAACTGAGAGGAAACGTGCTCTGGATTTTAACGTGAGGCTCTCTCAGCTTATCCACCCTGAGCAGCGTCGAGGCAACACTCCCTTCAGTCGCTCCAGCCCTTTGTATTTGCCTCGGTCTCTCCCCTGCTCCTCTACACACCCAGGAACCACTCTCCTTCATAGTCAAAGTCATGCTAAGCCATTTATCACAATCCCCAATGCTTAGCCATAGCTTCTTCTGCCCCTCCCCCTCCATTCTTCTGCCTGTTCACCTTCACATGCCGCTGACTGAAACCATGCGCACATTTCCCTGCACGTGTCCATTTGCACAGATATATCGAATTATGACTGAGGTATCAAAACATGTTGCAGTGCTAAATTGCTTTTCATATTCAGTTTTCCTAAACTGTCCCTGATGCAATTTCCCTTGACAGGTGGACTACATTCCACTTCATCTGCCGTCCACAACATACTGCACCCTCTCATTTAGGCCCATGTCATGCAATACTAAAGCTCCTCTGAATATGTAATATGCAAGTGTGCCTGTGGTTTCAAGAAGATGGCCACTATGAACACTGAGGCTTGGAACCCCATCAAAACATAACAAAACAAGAACAGCAAGGCAAGCAGAGCTCCACTCGCTGTATTTGTGGCAAGTAGGGCAGAGCAGATTGCGGAACAAAGTGCTGAGCTTTTTCCACAGCCGTCATTCACTGCAGGACTTGGCTAGGTCATTTTTCACAGCATGACAGTGCAATGCAAAATGGAGGGTACACTAGAGCCGGGTCCAAGAAAACAAATCTCCGTTAACATTCAATAGAAATCATAAACAAGGGTCTGGCAACAAGTCAATGCAGAACGGAAGGTGCGTTCCCACCCGCTCTTATGTTGCTCACAAAAGCATGGCTGCTAATAAATGACAAAGTGCATGGGGTGAGGTGGGGGGTACACAGGAACAAAACAAAATGGTACACTCATTTATATTGTAGATCAGTAGTAAAAGTAATTCTAAACTTGCATTGGTATTTCAATTTGTTAGAAAAAATAAAAAATAATCTAAAGTTAGTGTCTTAAAGTATTGTCAAATGAAGGCTTAGTTGGCCAGCACTACAGGCTGGAAGGATGGGCTAGGATATTGCAGGTTGTAGTTTCCCAAACCGTCAACAAACGGCGGCTTCTCGACATAAGAGATGGGGCCACCTCCACTTCCTATGATGCCCACGCTCTGAGTTGGAGGGGGGCTGGAGAAGGGGTCAAAGGGCGGCTGGTTGCTCACTGCGTGAGGAGGCTGAAAGGGGCTAGTGTGAGCTTGCATGGGCGGAGTGTCACTGTCAAAGTATAGCTGGCCTGGAGATCCAGGGTAGATGAACTCTTTGGCGTTTGGGGAGAGCTGGCTGGGCATGGGTCCACCCAGGGAATGCAGGGACAGAGACAGTGGCTTGTGCTTGAGCAGCTCAGGGGCAGAGAGAGGAGGAGGAGAGCGGGACAGCATCCTTGGGACAGGGGGTACAGCGGCAGGCACACCTCCACTGCTCTTCTTCATCTTTGTGGAGCCAAATTTAGTGGCAGCAAAGCTAGCGGTGGTGAAAGTGATGGGCTGTGGTCGAGCTGGCTGCTGAGTGGAGAGGTAGGGCAAGGCGCTGGGGGGAGAGGGTGTGGAGGTGTTCGAGGAGTGAGGTGCCAGGTCAGGAGGTGTACTGGAGCTTGGGTAGCTGAAGAGCCCATGACAGGAGGTGGGCAGTGGGGGAGGGGTGCTGCAAAGTGAAGGCAATAGAGTGGGCGATGCCTGACTGCTGATGGGCACAAAAACCTGAGCGTCTGGGTTAAAGCCTGCACTCTTGTTCTCCTCAGCTTCAATATCTCCTTTAGCCTCCGTCATGACACCCTCAGGAGCCTCTCCATCACAGCCCAAGCCAGGGGGGTCCTCCAGGTACAGTACCTTCACAGGCCCCTTCTCTCCAATCTGGTATGAGACCTCATATGGGTCAATCCACACACTAAGCTCTGCAGGGACATTTGCCCTCACCTCCTCTGTGTCCAGCCCACTCCTCTTGGCAGCAAGCTCCACAACAGGGTCCCGAGGAGCCCCCAAGTGGAGACAGCGGAAAGCAGAGCCCCGGAGAGGTGCCTCTGGATACCAGTGCCCCTCGAAACGAGACACCAAGATCCTCTCCAGCTCCTCACCAAACAGGTCTGCTCTGCGGCGAGGCAGCTTGTTGTAGAGGTATGACACAATGAAGTTGAGGGCCACCTTGACTTCCAAATGCATGACTGTGTCACCGTCCTTTGGCTGATATCAGACGGTGGTTCTAAACAGAGGCAGGATTTTTTTTCCTTAGACTTAAACTATTAGGTGGACTTCAATGATCATCATAGTAAAGGCACCTCAAACAGATCCTCAGGTCCCAACTGCAAAAAAAAAGAAAAAGGAAAAGTGCATTAGCCAAGCACATTAGACACACAATATATTCATGGGATGTGCAGCCAGCTGAGCTATACAGTGTCCATATTTGATACACAATCTTCACAAAGTGGTGTCTAAAGATGAAAAGTGAAATAATATCCCACAGATGGCATCTCAGCACAAATTTATCTTGTGGCACTGATCTTATCCAAACATAAACAAACCAAAATTACTGGTGACCAACATCCAAATGAACAATAATTATAACATCGTCAAATCAAAATTTAACTGGCCCATTATAAAAAATATAAACAACAAAAGCCATTGTAAAAGCCCCATATTATTTTAAATTTTAAGTGAGCTACATGATGTCCAGATGGATGTAACAGATGCTGCCTGCGTTGTAGGCTTCATAATTCCTTTATAATCTGAATGAGATCTCAAAGTCTTTGCTTTCCCGTAGCTACGACAACCTCGCATCAGAAGAGTTGAATCACATAAAGCAATAAGAAGAAAAGCAACATCAAGCTCATGAAAAACTGGTGTAAAATGGCAGGAGAGTTGGTCAAGCCTATTGAACACAATTTCCCACCATGCAGTGTGCACAGAACACCCCTCCCCCTTTGTCACACAAACAATTCAGTTCTTTGCCAGAGAGGGATTCTGCAGCTAAGATTAGAAAGACATCTCTGATAACATACAATTTGAATGTAAATGCAAATAAAACTAGTATCTGCCTGCTGTCGGTTATGTGCTGTGTAGCTGAGCAAAGATGTGACGAGACTCTCCTCAGTAACAGAAGGACCTAAAGAATATCATTCATCCATTCATTTGGGTTCAAGGTGGAATAAGCATCACAAGCAGGAGCTATTATAACGTAGATATGGCACAGCAACCAATAGCATTACTGCTTTCCTGTGATTATTATAAGGAAACGGCTCTTTTCAATGTCATCCAATGACAAAAGAATAGCTTACCTTAGATATGCATGAATTCCACTGTCAATAAACCACAGCCCACATCGTCGGCAATACAACGTCGACATTATTGCTATGTGTGGTGTTGTCACGGTGTTTCTCAGCTTAGCTCGCTTTCAATTGCAGACCTGCTGGAGTTATAGTATTTGTTGGCATCTACAATAGTTGGAAAAGCAATGGCAGCTGCTCCAATTATTTATGTTTACATGCATTAATGATGAGTGTTCCTGGTGCCTGGTAATGTGCCCTTCAATGTATTTATGTAGGAGAGCTGCCTCAACACTAAAAGAAATATCAACAAGATCCTAAAACATGTAGACAGAGCAACAACAGGGCTTGTGCTTTTGCTCTTCTAAGCGGTGCAAATCTAAATGTAAATGTATTTTTTTTCTGACTCTTTTACTGTAATAACCTGGACTGTCATTACCTGAAAGGCTATATAATGACTCATGTTCATGCTGCATATTGATGAAGACTTAAGGTGCAGTTTGGATGGACGACAATAAATGAGGCAGCAAAGCACTACCTGCCCTATGACAGTCAGCAGGTACAGCACCAAACTGTAATGTTTTCATGTAAACAAACACAAAAAAATAACATAAAAAAAACGATCTGAGTAAACATAAATGTCTAAATGACTATGCCACCTACTGATGATGCGAAAATAAGGACCAGACAAGGGGAGCATCCTCAAATACCAGGAAAGGAACAAGGAATTTGAGCAAAATATACAGTAATCTTATATGACAAGTCAAGGAAGTTCATAAATGTGACTTTAATTAAGATATGATGTAAATTGAAAGATATTTGCTCCATTTCGCGACAATAATTTGGTCAGCGTTGTGCTAATTGTGCCACTACCCTAAAAACAATCTGAAGATGGAAACGATCAAAACAAATTAGACCTACTGTTCATAATGTATATAAATATAGAATAATAAACGCCTATAATAAGATCCCAGGCCTATATAAAAACCAGCAACAGAAAAGATAATCGTCCTCATCCTCACGCACCGTTTGTTTGTGATGCTCCAGCGACGCTATCTTTGCGCCTTTCCAAATGCAAGACGCTCCTGGAACAGCTGATACTCCGGTGATGAAGAAGAGAGCCCGAGAATGTCCACATATGCGTCTAAAAGCCGTCCTGGAGGTGATAAAATCCTCGTACTTTCTCTGTCGCTGTCACTTTGGACGGAGCCTCCACACAAACTTTAGTGTTTGACAAGCAGGCGTATTTATACACCGTGAGGCGCCCACACCCCCACGGCTGCACGGACTACTTTCCTCTTATTAAGGATCTCAGCTGACAATTATGTAAAATGTTTAATTAAAATATACACACATGCGGGTTATTTATGGACAAACTAGCCATTTAAGCACAATTATAACATCAACGATTTAATAGTTACATTTTCTATTAAAGACCTGTACATTTTTAAAAGCCACATAAATAGCACAAATATTAAATATATGTCCATATTCAATGTGAAGTAAATACAAATATAAATATAAAGGCCTACGTCACAAGAGAAAACTTCTTGACCCGTGGGGTCTAATTTGTTAAGCGGACGGATATGTGTATTCCTTACAGTTGTAAGAAACCAATTTGCTAAAAATATAAACGGTGATAGCAACAGAGTTTCTATTGGCTGAGATGGGGGAGGACCCACAGATTATTGGGCTACAGACGTGAAGCATCCCGGCTTTCGGTGGGCCTAGTGGCTTTTGGGAAATGTGGTCCTAGTAAAGAATCACAGAGTGTAACATGGTCTAATAGCCATAATAGCTTACAATGTGAGTCACACATGGATCTATAATAAGAAGTCACACTGTTACGCTGATAAAAGTAAGAAAAATGTAGGCTATTATATTTGACATCTAATGTGCTTGGACCTGTGACAATAAATACACTAATATGTGTGCACAGCCTACTTTACATGCATACAATACAACTAACAGCTGACTGTTCTCCAGGCCTATAATTCACAAACAGACTTCTTTTTTTTTCCAGACAGGATGTGAAAAGGGGTGAGAAAAATACTATTGTGACTTTATTCAACTGAAACTTCACAGGCAGAAATAATGCTAATCCATTTTTGCTTTTGTCTTATGCCTTTAAACTTTTAAGACTATTGTAAACTGCTGTAACTTCCTTATGGGCCAAAATGTTCAAATAATTCTCATATGAACCTGTTTTGAACTTGGCTATTTTTTCTTTATTGAGGATTGTCTCGGCTGTAGCCCTTGCCTGTGCCTTGGACAGAAGACCTAACCTCTTCTATTGGAATCTAAACGATCTCTCATCCAGAGTCTTTGACCCTGGGCAGGACCAGCACCCCCGACTTGAGAGCAGCTCCAACCACATGAGGGTGCTTATTTAATACTGTACATGAATAGGCCAAGCATAAATTGCGGATCCTAAGGCCTATCAATACTGAGAAAAATACTGTTTATAAGATGAAGAATCTGTTACCAGGAGAATAATTATGGAGCTATACCTGGCTCATCATTATAAAGTGTTATAATATATTTTGTAATTGTTAGCTATACAGTATTTATTCTAAATATGTAACAGTTTCCAATTCTTGATTTCTAGGCTTCTAGGATTGTAGTTTGAGATGAGGACTCCATCAGAGATAAAAATGCATAAAAGGCCAATTTAAGCAAATACCAATACTCCTAATTTGGGGTGTTCAAAAATATTTAAATATCAATATAGCGTATCGTTTAATATCATGATACAGTATTGATATTATGGGCTGCTGTATTGATATATCGCCAAGAATATTTTTTGATATATTTTATTGAATTATTTTATTAAAGCGCTACAGTTTTGTTGCTTGTTCAGAGGAGGAAACTTGTTTATGCAACACATTTGACATTTTTACAGTTTTGATGATTCAAATGGATGTGTTTTTTATTCAGTTTGCACAAGACGTGGTTTAACAAAGACTTTTAGTATCACAGCCATGATTTAGAAAACATTTTTTACTGAACCGTATTGAATAGATTTTAGATCAATTGTATCGACTGTATTGTATCGAAAGCTTACTGTATCGAGATATGTATCGTATCGTGGCCTGTGTATTGATGTATGTATTCTATCGGCAACTTCCTAGTCCTGCAGCTAATTTTGTTCAATTATGTGGGAAATAACCATGTATTTATAATCAGAAATAAGTTGTCACAGCTGGGTATCAATATGATGGGACAATTGAAGTGGTATTTCAGTTATGTAGCTATTGAGAACCTATAACAGACTCAGAAACTATGTCTGGATTTGGCCTGCATGGAGCACAACAATTTCAAGATTGTGGGGCATTGTAAATAGATTAGCATTTCCCCAAGGACAAATACAAATCAATACCAACCAGACAGAAAGACTAAGGTGCATAATTTTTCCATGACCTTGTTGTTGAATGTATGAGAGATACTCCTTACAGGCTTAACACGCCTTCTCTGGTTTCCTGATCAAATATATGGCTGGATCTCTCCGATATGACGAGCAATTAAAGGGTCCATATTACACTATTTTCTGATCTATGTTATAATGTTGTATTCTCATCAGAAACATATTTTTGTTTCATTCATACACCCAAACCCTGCAAATTTAAGAGTTCTTCTTCACTCTTCTCACACTTCAAACACTCTGTACCAACTTGTGATGTCCTGTGGAAATACAGAAAGGGCTCCATTGTGTTGTTTTTTTTTTACTCAATACACCTTCATTAGAATCATTTGGATAATTTCAGTCCTGAAGTTGCCAGTCTTTACTAAACAAAAGGTAAAAGGTAGCTTTTAACTAGAACACTACTGCTTTATGGCATCACAAGGTGGAGCATTTTGATCTTTGGAAATGTTGACAGACAAATATTGTGTAATACTCAAACATTCTGACATGTCTTAAAGCTCACGAGAGTCAGTTTTGTGTAATATACAGTCTTTAAGTAAATTTTGTGGCTAACCCATCACTACATTCTCAATATAATCCACATCACAGATAGTCCTTACATTTAAAAACCCTGTATATGACCCCTCTTGTGCTTTAAGTATGATTGGTTTTTCTTTTGCTGCCCCTGACAGTAGTAATCCAACACTGGGGCGGCAGCAAGGACGCCATTTCTCTGAACCACACCTTCACCGAGACGCAGATCGAATGGTTCAAGGCTGGCTTGAATCCACCCTCAACAGGATGAGGGAGCTCCACTGATCTGCAGCTTGGAGTTTAGTGCAGTCTATGGGGGCAAATGACAAGCCATTAATGTTGTCGGGGAAGGCAAAACATGGACAGGGAATGCAAATGAGCAGTAAAAGGCGCATTCTGTAAACACTACATCATGGACACGATATAGTTGAAAAATGCACACGCACACAGACACAGACACAAGCATGAGTTACAGAAAAATACATAAATGTTTCAGCATTATGTATACATATCATTGTAACCATGTGACTTAAGGCTTTAACACAACATAATATAATATAAAGTAATCAGAAAGGTCATAGTTTGTGATTCAGAAAAGTACAAAAATTTAGGCACTCAAAAAGGTTATATTATTTAAAGCATGGCAAACAGGATTAAAATGCCATAAATGACTGCACGTCCCTACTGAGTATATCTCGCAGTAGACAACTCATCATCTTTGTTTATTCTGTCAAGATGAGCCTGTTTATTGCCCATAAATGCTCTGTTGTTACATAAACTTTTAGCTATATGGGGCTGTGTTATGCTGCAATTTTGGAGTAGAACAGATGTTTCCATGGCCATTGTCAACTGCCTCTGCACTATAACAAAACTTGCTATGTTTGCTAATTTACACAAACAAATGTTCATCAGTCATGGCGCAGCTGCAGCCCACCTACTTCTGCTTCCATCTGTGATCTTACAGTGTCATTCTGCTGCTGTTTATGAGCCCACAGTTTACTTGCTTTATAATTCAGTATGTTACATGTAGAATTGCTTTTTTCCCCCCTTCACAATTAAAATTCTATGATCTGTTAGAAAACAGCCTCTGCAGCCTTTTGGAAGAGTTATTTTCCTATGCATTTTGCAATTTAAAATGATGGTCGTCGGTCCCTCTTTGCTTGGCAAATTTCCCAGCTGGTTAACAGTTGAAATTAAAACCTGAAATGTGTGAAATGTGCATAGAACATTAGTCTTGCCTGCAGTGGGCAAGATACTAATGTAACCTATATTAGCATTCTAGGTTCCATGCTGAGGGCTTGGGCAGCATATAAAACAGATAAAGTCCTGTATGCTCTATAGGAAACGTCTACAGTATTATTCCATTAAGTGGCATTCAATCTATACATTTGTTAATTTCCATAATATTTGGTGAACTTGGCCTAGTTTAAAATTGCCTGCATGGGACAGCTCTAATACAAGATGACATGTTTTGTTTGTTTTTGTTTTTTTTAATATATATGTATAAATTAGACCCGGAACCCCCTATACATCAGACGTATGTGTGTTGACAGGTAATTCATCATACAGTATGTGCAGAGTGTACACGCATTAGCACTTTTTTACATTATAGATTTACCACCATATTAAACAATGTGATACTTAGTGCTTCATCAAATGCATTGTTAATGAAATGCACTGTATTAAAAAATCTGTTTTGTTTGTTTGTTTGTTTTTTGTCCTGACCTTGGACAATTTGTGCTTTGGACCATCATTTATTCACATAGATATGCATAATGGAATTTTGGCTTATGTTTTCACCCCAATATACTACCCACACTGAAAACAAATTGTGTTCAAAATGGTAATGCTAATCTAAGATTTCAAAACTATGGCTAAAACCACAGACGACTGCAAACAGTGCTGTGATGTATTTTGTTATTACATCAGTTTATTTAGTTTTTCCTGATATGTGCACTGTGCCTTTAAGCGTTACGACAAGCCGTAAAGAAATGAGAACAGTCGCAAATGCTCACGCGGGTGTCTCATGTGTTTTGATCAGTTTTGTCAAAAGTTCAGGCAGTATTTTTTAAGCGATAGATAAAACAGTGATGAAAATGTCTCTACGGTAAAGAGCGGAGAGTGGAGCGGTGTTGTTGATGGGCATCGGGCTGCATCATGTTCGTGCTGGTGGAGATGGTGGACACTGTGCGGATCTCACCGTGGGATTTCAACAAACAACTGAACGATGCTGTGACCGAGGAGCTCAACAAGAAACTGGCCAACAAGGTGCGTGGAGTTCTCAAACAGAAAACACTCTTCCACCTTGTGATGTCGTGTGGTAATACAGGAACTGCTCCTCCGTGTTTTTAAATTCCATTCACCTACACTAGAATAAACTGGAAATACTAAAATTCATAAAAAGCAATAGGTCTTGTTTAGGTATTCTGCCTAGTCCATTGTTAATTATTTGGGCTTCAGCTCTGAAAAGCAGTTTGCAGTCCTGAGCAAGTACATTCCTGAAAACTATCACCATTGTTTACCATACCTTATTGCAAAGAAAATACAAACTTGGCAAGAAAATTGTAATGCAGGCTGTATTAAAGATGCTCTCCTGAAGTGTCTCTGACAAGCTTGTTTCTTTCCTGCTACTGCCCCAGGTTGTCTACAATGTTGGACTGTGTATCTGCCTGTACGACATCACTAAGCTAGATGATTCTTTTATATTCCCAGGAGATGGAGCTTCACACACCAAAGGTAAGACAGTAACAGTTGCATAGGCTCATCTTAAGTAACCTATCAAAATGTCTTCTTCATATCTTCTTTCTATAGTTCATTTTAGATATGTTGTCTTCCATCCGTTCCTTGATGAGGTTCTTGTTGGCAAGATCAAGTACTGTAGTCAAGAGGGAGTTCATGGTAATATTTTGTTTATTTATTTTATACATAGTCATAGTGCAGGGATTTTTTAACTCAACTATTGTAGACAGACCTACTGAAGGAAAAAAATAACATTTATACTTTTACTTACACATAAGGTTCTGTCAGAAGAGGCTCCTTGTGTTTATAATGATTATTGCATCACAGATTATGTTGTGTCATCTAGCAGTGGACTGACAAGAGTAGAAATGTAAAAAAAAAAAAGACGACTACAGTATTACAGTATTAAATATATCGCTTTTTAAAATGCTGAGTGGAACCATGTAGGATTTTGATATCAAAAGGGAAGAAATGTGTAATATAATTAATATACACCAATGTTATTATTATGGTATTATTGTGACTATTACTGTGATAGCACTGAGAGATTTTGAAATTGGTGCTCCTGTATCTCTTGTTAACTGGTAACTCTATTAAACTCATTAATTCATTCATTCATGCACTGGACATGGAAAAACCTCACAATGTGTCAAACTACTGATGTTTACCATTGTTTTATAGTAACTATGGGCTTCTTTGATGACATCCTCATTCCTCCCGAGTCTCTTCAGCAGCCTGCAAAATTGTATCCTGTCCCACTTACAGTATTGCTGTGTGAATGTGTTTTATGCTGATCAGATTTTCCTTAGCTGCAGCTGCAGTGATGAGGCAGAGCAGGTCTGGCTTTGGGAATATGAGACCGATGAAGGGGCTCATGACCTCTACATGGACCAGGGAGAGGAAATCCGCTTTAGAGTTACAGATGAAGTTTTTGTGGACACTTCTCCAACAGGACCAGCTACTGTTACAGAAGACACTGCAGCCCAACCCGGACAGTCCACGGCTCCACCACCAGAGGCTGCTGTGGAGAAGAAAGAAGCACCATATACTCTCATAGTAAGAATACACCCAGCACACCTCTACACTCATTTATTAGATTTACTATACACATAATTATTAGGCAAGTTGTATTTATCAGTATTAATTTTATAATTGAACAATTGCAGTGCTCTGGGTCTGTTCAAAATGTTAATAAACGTCAAACCTGAATGTTTGAGAAAGTGAAAATTAAGTTTTGGCTTTCTTAATAAAAAATCTGTGTGCACAATTATTGGGTAACGATTAATGGACAGAATTATTACGCAACTAAATGAAAAATTAACATTTTCCTACTTGTTTATTTTCATTTGTCAAAATAGTAACTCAGAATTTACACATAAACATTTCTGACATAAAAAATAAAAAATAAAAATCAGTGACCAATATAGCCACCCTTCTTCTCAATAATGGTCATAAGCCTTTGATTCATGGAGTCAGTTTCTTGATCTGTTGACGATCAACTTTTGATCAGCAGCAACAACAGCCTTTCAGACACTGTTCAGAGAGGTGTACTTTTCTTTCACATAATTCTCCCGTTTAAGAAGAGTCCACAAGTTCTCAATAGGTTTTAGGTCAGGTGAGGAGGGAGCCATGTTGTTATTTTTTCATCTTTAAGGCCTTTACTGGCTAGCCACGCAGAGTATGTGATTCATGAAAATCATTAAAATCATGGTCCTCTTGAAAGATGCAAATTTAACCTAAAACTGGCAATAGGTTTTGGAGTTCATTTTGAGTCCATCTTCAACCTGAAGAGGTCCAACAAGTTCATCTTTAATAATACCAACCCATACCAGTACCCCACCTCCACCTCGCTGCCGTCTGAGTCAAAGTAGAGCTGTGTTCCCATTACTGATCCAGCCACGGGCCCATCCATCTCGTCTGTCAAGAGTCAGTCTCATCTCATCATTTCATAAAACCTTTGAAAATAATCTGTCTTCAGATATTTCTTGGCCCAGTCTTGATGTTTCAGCCTCTTTCTTGTTCGATGGTGGTCTTGATATACTGTAGGGTTTTGATCTCCTTAGGCCACACCCTCCCTCGTTAGACAAATGCACAGCACTGAATATGCTTAAACCCAATAAGATTTCAAGTTTATAAATCATACCCTCTTGCCTAATAATTGTGCACAAAGTGTATTGTCATTTGTCATAGTATTTACCCCCGCCACTGCTCTAGATTTTGGACAGAGCATTTTCTTATTTAGCAGAAACAATTATATTGTAAATTAGAAAGAAATGGTGAAATCACACACAGGAAGACTGGAGATTCCAGCATCTACTGGTTCCTTAATTTATTTTTACTTTTTACAGGGGACCATTTCTGAACCAGGACTGGGGTTACTGTCCTGGTGGAACAATTAACCAAACAAATGAAGACAAGGGAATGGTTTGTTTGTAAAATACTACACTGTAAGAAAACATTTTACTTTACAGCTTAAAATATTGTGTTCAAGAAAATGAGGCTGGAAAACAAGAGAGAACTGATTTTTTACAAGTATTCAGCAGTGACTTCAGGTTTAAATTATGGCATCTTCAGTTAATGAACATATTCAGTTGGAAAGGAAATAAAGATATTTTTATTTTCACCTAGTTGCCTTTATTAGTATAAAATTACTGTGTGACAGGAATTTAAATTGTTAGACTTTAATGTAACTATTTTTGTAGATATGCAGAGAATGACAGTGATTCACTCTATAGGTCTATGTGCATGTGCAGCCAAAAATCACAGGCTTGACATGTGATCACTGTTCACATGATGTTGGTGAAGTCGAACCACAATAAAACAAAAAATAGTACAAATATGAACAGATTACAGGCACAGTATTTATTGTGGTGAACTTTGATGCAATTCTATAATGAAATAAATGTTGTTTTGTGTGCCTTCAGTTGCAGTATCTCTTTTATTGTTATGGTTTTACATTAATTTGACGAATTGCATTTTCCTCAATACGTGTTCCCCATATTTTGCACCATCTATTATACAGCAAAACCACACTATAGAAGATCCATTGTATTTGATATAGGCCTAATGAATCCGCTGACCATGACCTAGTGCAATAGATTTCCAGTTTGCAAGGATCAAATGTGAGAATTGCCCTGCAGTCGCTTGTCACAAAACGGAAGTATCCGTCCTCGTACACTGAGTACACTGTTCTCTCGGCTGCAGATTGCCTGACGGGACTGAAGGGCGCTCCTCAGATACACGCGGAGCGAGTAGCATCACGCCATCGGAATCTCCGCCAGCTGCGCAGACTCGGCCGTGGCGCACAGGCACACCAGGGTTTTCCGGTGCTCTTCGCGGATTTACGCGACTTATTTATTTAAATAGAGGTTACATAATTCACAGCGACTTAAAAACGATCTCTGGCGTTCACTGGTAGTCCCCATCCTCCTGTCCCGGCTGATGCGGTAAGTCTTTTTGGTGAATAATGATGTGCAAAGAGGATGTGTCTGTCTCTGTGGCTTTGTTTTGGGGTTCGACGTGAGACCTGTGTTTGGTTCAAACGTTTCGTCAATAAATATAAAGAAATTGCGTGATTAATGTTGACGACAGAACGAACGGCGAGGTTAGTCACATTTCAGAGCAAAAAAGTCCTTGGGCTTGACAAATCGACATGCTGCTGCAAGTAATGGCACATGATTAATGAATCTCTCTCAACCAAAAGTATGCTACCTTTTAATTGGGTAGTATTGCATTTGAGATAATTCTCAAACAGGAGATAGTAAGTCTTGGGTTTGTTCTTATAAATGTGCATGTAAGTCCCTGATAACTTTCTGAACCATTGCACCTACTCTTAAATGTGGTTCTTGTCTGTAATTTTCCAAACATCAGCCATTAGTCAGGTAGTAGGGTGACGGTGATGGTCTAATGGGGTCCGTCATGTAATTGTCCTGTAGAGGGAGCGTGCCCCCGACGTCACTTTGCAGCTGTTTTGACGTCACACCACGCGCGGCTCCCCTGCGGCCTTCACGGTCACGTTTGGTAGAGCAATATGGGTGCACAGGACAGAACATCCTCGTCGTTACACAACAATTAAGCTACAATGTACATTTTCTATGTGAACGGGAGAACTCAACTAAACTAAACCCTGTTTCTCCATTCGGGACATGATCCATCTAATTTTATTAGACTACATTTCCCCACTGAGTCTTGCACTCCCGTTGCTATTGAGCTGAAATGTTGGTTATCCGCATTTGATTATGATGTTCAGGTGACCTTAAGTAATTCCAGTCATCGTTCGGTTTGCTCATTTATTTGATGGCATTCTCTTGAAGATATGATAATGGATTATTAATCAGTTACAAAATAACTCAATTATCACTATATGTTCGGTGTAGTTGAATGTTTCCCATACTTCTGGAGCATATGTGCGTGTAAATATATGTAATTGTAGCCTATTTCAAACCATATTTTCAGACTTCAAAAGCATTCTGTAGAGGCATTGTTATATAGAGGCTTTTCTTCATGACATGTAGGCCTACCTAATAATGTAGCTTTTATTTGTTTTATTCTGTGGAGAGCTTGGTAGATCATTACATTATCAGAAGACTGTTTTTTGTTTTGATTTTCTTTTTTATTTGGTTTATGTTAATCCATCTCCTTTTTTGTTGAATTTTCAGGCCATATGATAACCTACTGTCCTCCTTCTATTCCATCCCTGCGGCTCCTTCTTCCTGAAGGAGGTCTCTTGACAGCCTCGAGGCAACAGCCCTGACCTGGTTATCAGAATCTGAGTCCTGCTCTGAAGCAGACAGACCACAACAGACTGGGACTACGCTTGAGTTTACATCTTTGACATGGCAGAGCCCACCTCTCCCTCTGAGCCTTCTTTGCGCTCCCCCCTGCGCTCGCCCAGTGCCTCTCTGACTCTGTCGTTCCCCTTCCTGAGAGAGGGGAGTCGAGTATGGAAGGAGGGGGCAGAGGAACCTCTGCCTCGGAACCTGCCAAGCCCACTGCCAACCAAGCGCACCCGCACATACTCCGCGTGAGTTAGTCTTATTGTTTGTTTGTGGTGGTTTGTTATGAGGAACCAAACAAAACAACAGTATGTAACTTTTAAAACATTAAACACTTTTTAAAATAGACGAAACTTTAAACATGTTTTTTTTTCTCTCAATTTGGTTGTGTTTATTGCTCTGAAATACGTTGAAAAAAATCTTTAATATAAGTGGGCTAGCATCTCCACAAACCTGACTGGTTTGGAGGGGGACTACCTTCTGTTTGTTTCCATGGAAATTTAGTTCCTTTGGCGATAAACTTCCACAGAATGGCACAAAACTCCAAGGAGAATATTCCAAAGTATGCCTTTAATTTTCTGCTTTCACTGAATCATGCAGGTGATGTGCCACCTTCAGAAAGTTACGTACTGTAGTTGGTTCTGAAACCTTTAAAATGTGCAGTGTTTATTTTGACTACCATTGTATTTTTATTTTAACAAAATGTTTTTGCAATATGAATAGAAAGTTTTAATCATTAGACTGTCAGAGTCTTTTGAGATATTTGACTGTAATGGCCCCTGACTGCATGTTACACATATATGAATACATTGTTCATTTGTGTAGTACTGTCATCTCTAACAGTGTTTCTGTGTGCTCCAGGACTGTGCGCGCTCACTCAGGGCCCGTGTTCAAAGGGGTGTGTAAAAACTTCTCCAGGTCTCAGGGTCACGGCTTCATCCGGCCCTCACACGGTGGAGAAGACATCTTTGTTCACATCTCCGAGTGAGTGCTGACAAGCTAAATTTCTCACACGCATCTCACATATTTACTTGGTTACAAAAAGCATCACAGCGAGTGGGGATGTTTTAAATGTCACAGGGAAATATGTGATTTATCTGGACATCTTCATTAAGGTAAAAAGTGGTGCAGTATTCAGGTCAGATTGTTCTACAAAAAATCCAGACATTTGTGAAAGTGTCAAATGCAGCATAATTTTGGCCTTTGCAGTAAGACGGTAGTGCATCAACCATACCACCAGCATAATTAAATCAATCTCATCACCAACAGAACATTTTAGTAACATACTATTTTAAATGAGGTGCCATTAAGGAAAAAAGTATTTAATGGATCAAGTGTGCAGCTCGATTATGTACCAATAAAATAGTATATTCAGTATGCAGACTGTGTCTTGCATTTACATGGCAATATTGATTTTGCACAGTAAAGTGGCCAGTGAGTTGACCTGCTTATGTGCTTAATTTAGTACACATTGCAGTAAATCACCCAGATGCCCTAATTGTTCCTGTTTTTATTCTCTTTTAGCGTGGAGGGAGAGTACGTCCCAGTTGAGGGGGATGAGGTCACATATAAAGTGTGCCGGGTCCCACCCAAGAACCTGAAGGTGCAGGCAGTGGAGGTTAAAATCATACATCTGAACCCGGGGAGCAAACATGAGACCTGGTCCGGACAGATCATCAGCGCATAGGCTCCAAATGGACCTTCAGGAATGGAGAAAGAGGACTCATAACTTTCACTGATCTCAAGTCTTTTTGGGAATGTAGGGTTTGCATACAAAACACTTTTACTGATCTTGATGAAATGCATAGTTTGTTTTCTAAATTTTAGATGAGTCAGGATTAGAAATTTGAGTAGGACTCTTGTTCATTTTACAAAACTGCTTTTGCACAAGAAAGATGAAATTCTGTGTAGTGACACTCTCAACAAATGCCCATATTCAGTTTCATTTCTGCTTCCAAATGGCTGTTGTTTACTTCTAACATCACATGTTCAGTATGGGTCAGCTGACTAGTTTTCTCAGCATGTATTATTGTAAAGTCAAGTGAAGAAGGACATCTGAATGAATCGTACACAATAACAAAAATGTAAAAAGAAAATTTTGGTTTGACCTGCTATTTTGAAATTACCTAAAATAATGAAGAAATGAGAAAGGTTATTGTGCATTGTGTAATGTCCAGAGCGAGAGTTGGTGAAGAAGAGCAAGGAGACAAGCTACAAAGCATGGATATACACAGTTAATGTGTCTTTGTATTGTTGTTTTTGTGTTTATTTATTTGAGGTATTTAGCAGGTATATCCAATGGTTTGTGAATTTCCCTTTGATTTGAATGACTTGACTGAACATTTGAGTGCTGTCTAGTCTGGACCTACTTTCTTACAAATTATTCTCTAGGTCAATGTCAAATTTGAAATTACGTTTTTATTGCTACTTGGAACCTATATGCATTTGGTTATAACTGTGCCCCTGTATTTTTTGTGTTATTGCTGGAATCTGTTGTTTTTTTTTCACATCTTATAGCACTTTGTGGATGACACGTTGGGATAATAATCTTATTTTAGAATTAAAATACTTGTTCGGACAATGTTTGTCAGTCATTCACAAATTTGCTCCTATTGAGGTTCTACATGTAATAAGGTATCTCCACAAAGGTAAAAAGATAATATAATAACCTAATTTATAACATTTGCATTTTACAATTCCACACTTTGCAGATGACACAATTAAAAATGTGTATAGAAAATTCTTATATGCTTAATAAAATAAAAATATTTCAATAGTTGTCCACATTTGAGTTCACCCGTAATATAATATCAGTGGACTTTAATGCACCAAGCACAATCTTATTACAAGAATTATCTCAATTCCAGTTAAAACACATGCCCTTTTATTAACTTCTGATGATTCAAAACCTTTTGGCAGTCAATCGGAGTGTGTCAGTACCTGTTGCGTAAGGCTTAGCTTTAAACTGAGTTAACTGAAGTTTTGACAGTTTGACAGAAAATGGTTACATGATTCATTAAAAAATCTAGTTGAAACATAAAGTACATATGCTACATTATGCAGAAAAACACAAATAGGTCAATGATGAAGAAAAAGTAGCTTAATCCACTGAGTTAGTCAGTTTGGTGTTTAAAGCATGTGGAAAAAACAAGAGAAATCCTCAATCATTATTTTAAAAAATGCATAAATAACAAACCATTGACAATTCCTCCCATTTCCTGCAGTTCTGCAACTAAAATATTTCGCAGATAATGAGGCACTACACTTCGTATACATTGTTTACATTATTTTATAATAAAATACCTCCACCAAAATATTTCCCCCCAAATACTGAATTTAGCTGTTAATAAATTGCAACATAAATTTACAATTACTGTCATTGCTAGTGCAAAGTAGTTATCTTGAGTATTATTTTAAACACTGCACAGTATCTCAAAGGTTAATTTAAAAACAGTTTGAAAATAAAACAGATTGTAGCAGTGACTGCATAAACAAAATAACACAGTTAAAATCTCACGTGGTCCATTTTTAAAAGGAGTGTACTGACAAATCCCTAATTTGGGGCTGTCCCTTCCTTTGAGGAGTTACTACACAAATAGTGGCACCTTGAGAATTTAAGGTGGTAGCTGTCACGTTAAAAACAGGCTCTTGACAATTCAGCATCAGCCTGGGCCTTAAAGGAAGGGGGCAGTAGTGCAGAGTGCAATGAGTTCAGTACATCAGGATTCCTGCAACGGAGTGTCAAAGAACAGTTGTTGACAAAGCCTGGCTGTGTCCTCTGGCGAGTATACTGTGAAACCAATGGTCCGAGGGTCATTAAAAATCTCATAGTCATTCCCTCCCTGCAAAGAAAAAAGGACACTTAAGTCGAAGTGTTTTAGACGTGTGGCGCCGCCTTGTGGTAGATGGGCAGAAAATACCACAAAAACACAGCACACACTTGGCCTAGTAAGAAGTACAAACTAGTAAGAACTTTGAGTATCAGTAGGTCAAAAGAGTGATCTACATGGTCTTTACTATATGATTTTAAACTAATGCAATTGACTTGCTCATGCTATCAAAAGATGTACAGCGTTAAAGAAACCTACATCTGAAGTCTCATTGCCAAAGAAGTAGATGGCATCCAGGCCTTCCCTCTCCAGGACTTCTAGGCACAGCCTCTTGTCCCAACCCTCTGGGAAAATGTCAAAGCTGATGAGACCACCTACGAACAAAACAATATTAATAATAATGATAATACATTTATAATGCATTACAATAGCCGCAGTACCAGATTATTTTTTTTATTATGAGAGAATGTTTTTGCCCTCCTTTGAGTTTATTGTAAAAGAACAACTTTTCCACATCCTCAAAGTAATTTAACAATTTGAGCTTTTTCATATTGTTTTACTTTCAAGATCAGACAAGACTGGACATTCTCAAGGTAGCATGACTGCTTGTGACAAAAACACACTGGTGTGTGTCTCTAAAAATGTAGATCAATTGAAAATATGGAATAACAGAACCGGAAAAGTTAATACATGAGAAAACTAGACATCCCAGCTTGAATGCAACTACACTAATTGCAATGGTAGCAGAAATGCTGCAAGAAATCACAAGATACTTGTTTGTCATTTGCCTTATTTCCAGGCCCACATCGGATGCACTCCGTGCCACTGCAAGTGACAACTGTGAAACTCAGCCAATAAGAAGACTTGATTCTGCACACACCCCACACACACCCCACACACACCTCCATCCCAACTAATTTGTGGCTCAATCCGTCTTACTTAGCACAAGGTGCACTGAGCAATCACAGAAGTTATAAATCTACAGAAAATATACAGATAAGATTTGAAGTTTGGTGTATAAAGGCATAATTGAAGCAATAACACATAAACAGTCACCCAGCACATTTTATAATTAAACTTCATACATAAATAAATGCCTTATAATTTATCACTTATAATTAAATTTTTACAGTATTTTCCCACTATAACTCAGATATGTCTGACTTTGGCCTCTATTAATCATCAACCATCTGAAAAACATTGAACTGCTCCTTGGGTTGCAGCAGCAGTCGTAGCTTGTGAAGCACGTAGGCAAACAAAAGCACCTCCCCGTGAGGCAGAGAAGGCAAAACTTGAATCTTTGTCCTTTTTACCAAAACACCTTTCACCCTCAAAACATTTCACCTGTTATTCACATTTGGTGTGCCCTGTTAATATGTCTACTTATGTAAATGTCTACATTTCAAGGAAATACCTCACTCCTTGAAGCGACATCATATTTTGTTATTGTTATCACAATAAACACATAATAAAGCTGAATACTCACCTCTGGTGAACCTCAGGCCTTTACCAGCAAATTCTTCCTTCAGCGCAGCTACAAACTTTTCTCTAATCTTTTCCTTCTGACAAAGCAAAGTGACAAAATCAGCATTTTTACTCATGAAGTGGGAATTAATAAAAATGTTATTGGAAGTGACTGTTATTTGCATTCATTTGTAAAGGTAATTTAGTCATTTTTACAACGCCCAAGAACAGTTTGGGCCTTTATAACCGAACGGTCTTCAGCCAAGCAACAGTTAAAAGTGCATCTTGTTTATTTTTAGGAAATTATTATTCAAAGACAATTTTAATTGTTCGATTTGAAATTGTAATAAATTAATTTGAGGGGAATTTATTGCCCATGGCAAAGTGAAAACATTTATGACCCGTCCTCCTCACAGGCTGTTGGACATCAATAGAAAGTTTGTTTAACTGCTTTCAATGCTTGGCTTTGTTTGGCCACAAGTAACACCCACAACACAGTGACATTTCACTGTAGCAAGCTGCAGATTTTAATTTACATTAATTCAATGCATTATTAATTTATCATCTCAATAAAAGTCACCCCTAAAAAAAACCTAAAAAACATGTATTTGTATTATAAAATAATTAAAAAAAATAAATTACGAAAAAAACTTACCTTATCAATTTCAGAAAATTCCAGACGCTCTTCAGGTGTACAACTGCGGCCAATGGGAGAAATGTTCAGCATTCCATTCCTAAATTCAATAAATGTACCTCTGCATAAAAAAACAACAACAACCATACAATTCATTACTTTACTGACCTTACAAAAGAAAGAACAAACTTAAGGTCCAAAGATCCAAAGCAAATAGGCTCGTAAAGCACTTTTGTTCACAGGTTTAGTGTGTTTAGGTTCACCTTTTCTTTGGCAGCTTGATAAGTCCCATGTAACTGAGACAAAAGTTAATGAGGTCCTGGAGCAGCTCTTCACCAATATGGTTCTGAATGGCCTGTCAGGAAAAAAAAAGGAATTCTTTCAATGCAAGCCTATTACAGTGTTGTGTAAATATGAAAATGACAAAGGGACGTGACTGCATACATTCTATATTGTATATACTTGTATAAACAAAACATATAACTGCTTAATCTGCAGTGTACACACACCTGTTTAGAGAGAAGTTTTCCATCTTTGTACTGCACAGTCCCATTTTCAGCAAATACATAATCAAACTTATGGATCACTGCAAAAGATAATACACATCTTATACATCTACCAAACATGATTACAATCTATTTTTTTCCAACAGTAGTTTTTTGCAGATATTAGTAGATAAATACTAAATTGCTAAATACAATTTTCACTTCACATGCTAAAAGTGATCATAAAGTTGTTTCTTGACTGTAAAATAAATATATAAGCTTTACACTATAATATAATATAAATGAATTAATTAATAAAAATTTAAAAAACCAAAAAACAAACAATAGTTGTTGTTGTTATTATTATTGTATTATAAACAAACAACATAATAAACAAATGCTCCTATTCATAACTGACATTTCATAATTAAAAATTATTTAATGCAACATTAACTGGCTTTCATTTTTTGGCACATCTTGGAGTCATTCTTCTTAACACAAATATTTCCAAATATGATGGGCTTTTGTTACTATTTTTAAAAATGTCTGTAAAGGCAGAGCACCGAGCCATATGCTAAGAGTTTCAAATATACAATTACATTACATCCCTAAGGCATATCAAGTCCAGACTGATGTGTGTCCTTTGCTTTGTGAGGTCAGGTGAGGTTAACTATAGCATAAACAGTTTACCATCATCACCCTCCCCAAGCTGCTCTGCGATCTTGGAGTAGTCAGATCCTCCCACAACGCCGATTTTCACTTTCCTCCGCAGAGTCTGGAAGAACTCATCCAGGCGTGGGTCGATTTTCTGTTCAATGAGAACAACGTGTCCCGGTTTATGACAGTGATTGTGACAGCGACATCAATAGCAATGTTATTCTAAAGATTGCCTGGGGCTGAAGTAAAGACATACATTCATAAAGACATACAGATATTCAACTGTGTTTTTAAACAGATGTCATAAATCCTGAAACTACATTCTCGCATGCAAAAGTGACTACAGCATTTGACTTCACAGTTCACACAGAAGTGACAAGTACAAAGTAAAATCTCATGGGTTTGAAGGTACACTCGCCTCTCTGCTGCAACATGAGTTACGTAGTGAAACAGTGTCCGTGCATGCATGCAGGGGGAGTGGGGATGCTGTAGCATGCACAAACATGCACTGGACCACGTCAACATAGATCAGATTCATGACAAGTCTCACTTGCCTCTCTCGGCAGGGTCAGCGTGCCGTCGACATCAAACAGGCAAAGGATGTTCCTGTTCGGCGAAAATCCGTTCGTCAAATCCATTCCGTTTTCAGTCCTGCAGAGTTCCCTTTGGATTTCAAGTGAACGCCTCAAAGACACGCACCATACTCACGCGCGCGGCAAGCACGATCCTTAAGGATAAAATATCTAAAAACGTAGCTAAAAGCAGTCAGTGTTGCGTGTTGTTTCTATCTTATTTTGCTCAGCGTGTACATTGCAAACATCCTCGGCAGACGTGCTGAACGTGCAAGACTCCTTTTGCGACATCTCGAACAGAAGCCAATCAGTGTGCAGGATTGCGCCATGACGCAGACAATGGGCGGTGTGACTCAATTCACGAATGTCAGTGCAAATGAACAAGATGACCTATTACCTAAAAACAGAACTTGTATTGCTGCAAGTTTTGTATTATTATAATTATATTGTATTATAATTTACTAGGTTTCTTGGAAAGTCTTTAGGCTACAAAACGTGATTGAACAGGCTAGACGTCCTTAAATTGTTGTAAGTACAACTACGCCCACTCAAAATATCTACTTGATTTTTGGCCACTCCTTTAGGGTTCCAGCAGCTATTTTATTTTCTCCACATTACTCGAATAATTCGTACCCTTACATTATTTGCCCCAATAGACTATAATGAAATGTATATTATAGCAGTGGCCCAATAGGCCTAACTCTTGACTAGGCCTTTTGGTTGTGCTCCTGCAGTAGTCTTAGCCATAAATGAATGTTCAAATAATCTAAATTGCTGTAGCGGATAGATTCTAAATGCTAACTTTACTTGTTTTAAAAATAAACTCAAACTATACATAAAATCTCTGAAATATATGGACCTAAAGCTCAAAAAGTGTATTCTACTATGTGAAATTCCCCTGAACTTTATGGACTGAATGAACTCTACTCTTGCTTTCATCTTTTCTTGTCTTAACTATGCAAATGTACTTTTTATGCTGTTGTATTATTATTGTTATTATATAATATGTTGTGTTTATGTTCCCTCATCCAGACATGGAACTGCTGATGACACACAGCCATGTTTGTTGTATCACGTTTGCACACCCAGTTGTGAGTAACTAAAACAATAATTAAAAAAAATGCTAAATGATGTGAGCTTGTCTTCTAGTCAGGAGTAGTCAGGGCTGTCCTCAGTTTAGTTTGTTGTCGCAGTGAGAGTTCAAAATTACCCTTTCGGCTGCAGGTGACCGGCGCTCACGTGAACCTGTGAACTACAAAAATAAATGACCTTAACTTGAACTGGTAGGTAAACCGGTGCACAATGTTCTGGATGAGGTCCAGCTCCTGATCGTCTCCATAGAGATTATATTGCTATTCCTTAAATGTTCCAGAGTGTGGGATTAAGCGTCTCTATCTATAGCTGTACACAAGCTCACACTGGAATGCATGCTTTCAAGATATTTTTAGCAACAAAAACACTTACTTGAATGACTGTGTGATAGCCTATAGGCAACGTTTAATGTTATAGTGTGGAACATTTGAAACCAACCAATAACTGGTGGCAGACCCTCCCCCTGAAAAAAAAAAATCACTTTAACATGACAGATAGCACATCATAAATGTTTTCCAAACATATTAAAGATGCATTGTGTAACTTTTCTGGTGGAGGGTTTGTCAAATGCATTTCTCCATGGGAATGTTATTGCTTTGTTTGGAATGTTTCACAATATGGTCTTAAAATCTTCAAGGAGACCTAACCAGACCAAGTTACAGGTCAGATCTGTGGAGAGTAACTTGACCAGACGTCCCCATTTACCCGGAACAGTCCCAGTTTTGAGCCCTGTGTCCCCTGTCCCAGCAGATTTATCCAAAACCAGTGATTTGTCCCAGTTTTATACAAGAAATGTCCCAGGTCTCCTTATTTTTGACCAATCTGATCCCTGTCAACAGTTAAGAGAAGCATAAATTGTAATTTGTTTTGGTAAAATACAGAAAAGTTGCTTAAAAATGACCAAAACACAAAGAAAATGTGACTATACTGACTCACATGTTAGTCATGAGTGGTCTCTGCATATTCATTTTCCTTAATTATGAACTAATTTCACAGTTTTATTATTACCAACCACCAAAAAACGGGGATGTCCCAGTTTTTATTTTGAAATTCTGGTCAGTCTGTCTTACTGTTTAACATTCTAGGCAGAGCAATAGAAACAAGCAGGTGACGGACCCAGAAAAGTTACTATTTAGTTAGCCTTTAACAAATGTGCAGTTTTTTCACATTCTCTTTTAATTTGCTCTTGGATGTAAGCACCACTGCTATCCTCCAGAGGGCAGCAGAGGCAAAGTAGATGAACCTGGATTCCTCACACAAATACAGCCTATGTATTTATATGTTTGATATTGCTGTTGCATGTAATGTTCAGCACAGGAGAAGAAAGATTATTGACCCAAATTGCTGCCTTCGTGCTGTTGTTGCCTGCTTTTGTAAAAACTGGCAAGCACACAATGACTACTATTTTCACATTCTCGAAATCAGTGCAGCTTACTGACAGAAAAGCCTTGTATTCCTGCCAAGAACAGAGATTATTATTATCTGGGGTGTACTGTTAATAGTGTATTCTCGCCAGCAGGTCCTGGAGATGAGAAAATGAAAACTCTGAACATTCTTGTCCAGTCCAATAACTGATCTGAGCTGAGCCTTTGTGACATCTGCAAACCATATTGTGATTTTGCTCCACTGAACCTGCTTTTGTGGGTAAGAGTCTGTTCTTTATTGATTAATTCTTAAAAAGGTATCTCCATACCCTTAAAAATATACAACTCACCTTCAGATTGCTCAAACCCTGCTACGTGAAAGAAAACTCTGTTTGTTGGAGACTGATTTTGCAACACGCCCATATTGCTCCCATAAATCGTGTAATCTTTTTCTTCAGTTCAAAGCAGCGATGTTTTACGATTTTCGCAACTATAGACTGAGTAATCTGCAGTAATCCTCTGAGTACACGGTGCAACTTTTGTGACAAGGGCCATAGACAGCTGGTCAATACAGTGAGACTTTCAGATAGATGAATTTTACATACGTTTTACATACAGAGCCACAAAACCTTAAAAAAGTCTTGAACACAAAAGCTTGAACTATATGGTATTAGAGGGGCAGCTGGGAACTAGTGCTATATGTTTAAATGTGAAAGTATACATCTAAAAATCTTGGTATTGCTTGTGGTGTCCCCCAAAACTGTTCAATATATACATAAATTAAATATTTAATGTATCTCAGTCACTAAATCTTATGTGGTGTAAAATATGTGGTGTCAAACTCTGGAACAGTCTGGATACACATTTCAAGCAGTGACAAAATATCCATAAATTAAAGTTGTTATCAAACTATAACAGGTATTTATTGTCCTCACATGTAAATAGTTCATAATATGGCTTAGTGTAAAATGTCTGAAGAATGCAAAAGGAAGCTCATTATGTTAAATTAGAAGATCGGGGTAGATTTAAATAAATTTTTCCTCCTCATAATCCTTTTTGGGCAATTTTAGATCTATGCAATGAGATGTTATTGAGGTTGCGGTGATAGAGATGCTTGAATTTGGGCCAGTTCAGCAGAAATTTGGTTTGAGGGCTGGATTTAGCCCCTGGGTCATAGTTTTCACACCCCTGGTTTACGTTGAGAAAACAGATTTTGAAATAAGTTGAAAAAAATATTTATATTGCCCAGACCTACCTGAATGAAATGAATGCTAGATTGATTCTACATTCTAGGCAAATAAAATCTGGAGATATTAAGCAGACAGGACTCCCCGTAGCTTGATTCATCAGCCGGTTTTACTTTGTGGAAACCGTCTGACATTGCAGCATTAGGATTCGTTCGCTTAACACTAGGTGGGTACTTTTTTCAAATTTAACCAATCGCTGCTATTTGGTCATGACGTATGTAATGCGTCGTTAACGGAGCTAACTGGTATATTAAGCTTTTCCCAAATCCCGTAGGAAGAAGGGCAATAACATCTTTCCCCTTGAAAAAAATTCACCTAACATTCTCTTTGTTCTGGCTTTAAATTCTCGATCTCGGGAATCGTTGCCAACACAGAATGTATGACTCTTTGCTGATTGGCTGGTGCCTGAACTCACACTTCCGGGATTCTTGCATACCGTCTAGTGCAGGGGTCACCAAACTTTTTTCTCTGGGGGCCACATTATCGCTCCTGACTGTGATGGGGAGCTGGGTTTAGGTCGGCCGTATAACAGAATTGTATGACCCTGATGACGCAAATTATATTCTTTGAGATCCTCCACACTTTCTTTACATATCAGACAAGCTGCACGGTCCTTACACTGATCAAAAAATAATTGGTCGTCGACTGTTATTTGAAAACTCGACACTCTTTGTCAACTATTCGTACTCATCATTTTGCTGTCCTTAACTGCATTACAGTACTCTGGACGTCCGTTGACCATTACTGTTTGATCTCAAGCTTATCAGGTGATGAAAATTCAACGGCAAATTGGGCTACAAATGTAAATGCGTCATATAATTATTTAAATATAAATATAAATACTTCATATGAATATAATTTTTTAATTGAAAATCAACAAAGTACAAGATGCAGATGTGTTATTATTTGCCAAAAAGCAATAAAAAAAAAAAAATAGGCCATGACAACTTTTGAGGATTGTTTCATAGGGCCAGTTCAAGTGGTGGGGGGCAGAGGAGCTGGGAGGCCGGTCAAAGAGGCATAGTGGGCCTGAGTCAGCCCACGGGCCTTAGTTTGATGACCCCTGGTCTAGTGTATTCTGATTCCTGACCTAGTCGCTGGAGAAAAATTAAAGTGGGCGGAGGCAAAAGGTGGCGCCAGCCTGACTAGACTCCCCCACCAGGAAGGTTTGAAACAATAAGACCATCTTAACATTAGCATTCATTAGTGTCTTGTTAACATAGGTTATCTCCTTATCTGTCTACATGTATGCGTTAACGTTTAAAGACCACAATACTAGACAAAACACAGTGTTTTTTATAATGCACTACTGTTTAGCACCAAGGTCATGGAGTAATCTATAGGCCAGATTTAGAAATGATTTGGATACGGCTCAGGTTTATTGGAGTTATATGAAGGGTGTAGGAGGGCACCAATGACTCATAAATATACTAATGATTAGCTACTGAAAATATTAACGAGGAATCATATCTCTAGTGACCTCAATCCGCTCACACACACACAGGACTATTAAGTTTTCCCAATGATAAGACTGGAATTTGTGTACCAAAAAAAATCCACAAATCAATTGTTATCCAACAGGGGAAACTAAATGTGAAGAAGGAATTCAAGTCACTTCATTTAGTATAAATAAATCATAATAAAACCAGCATACAGATAATAAAATACAGCACAAAGACATAAAACATAATCTCAGGGCACACAGTAGAATGGCACAGACTCAATACAAGGAACTTCACAAAAATAACAGGAGAATAGGTAAGCTACTGGAATTTCTGCTCTTAACAAAATACCTGTAACGTTAGATGAAGATGCACACTCTAACTTTTTAGTGACGTTATTTTTTTTTGTCTAGAATTTTCCACACTATGGTATTAATATAGCCTGTTTTTGTGGACATACACTGCCAGACCAAGTTACAGGTTAGATCTGTGGCAACGTTCACAGTAAAATCATGTTTTCTTTTTTACTATTATTATTTTTTATACTTAATTATGTCATGTTAATGTTTCACAAAAAATATTCTTGCTTGACATTACAGCAGACACAATATTTATATTTTGTTTTGTTTTTTTACCATTTCACATTTTAGAAAACACCTGTAAGTGAATAAATACTGCAATAGTTTCATATTTCTTAACTATGACTCCAGGCAGCTTTCAAAAATAGATCTCATTTGATAGGATAAGCTGCCAGTAATTGTGATAGAGACCAATGAGTTATAAATATTTTAATTAGGGTTATGCAATGAATTGATTTCAAATGGACATGTTCACATCTAATCCTCTGTCAGGTTTCAAGCAGAGTGCAAATTTTCTTGTGTTTGTATTTGTTTTGAATGAAAATAAATAAATACATTAATTAATTAAAAATAGAGATCAATTTAAGAATTCCACTTTTGTTACATCACCCAGCCCTAATATTTGTGAGGTTAGGTTAGGTTGCTTTATCCGTACTCGTAGATAAATTTGTTTTGCAGATTTGAGAGGCTGGTCCCACATTTCACATTTCATTCATCCACATTATGAACAATAAACACGTATAAAAACACAAGTACAAAATAAAGTGTTACAGTGCTCCAGTGCAAAATGGTTTATTCCATAAACAATTAGTTAATATCGTCCATCACACTTGGCTAAGATCACAATAAATATTAAATTGATAAAAACACAAAATTTTTCCAAGACAAACGTACTAAAATTGATAGATAAATAGATTACAATTTATTCATAAGGAATGAAGCTCCTTTTAAAATGATTCATTCTCAATCTTGGGCCTAAAAGCCTCTGACCAGAAGGAAGCAGCTGAGACTCTGAATTTAGTGGATGTTGCACGTCTTCTAACACACTCTGGGACATCTGCTGTAACTGTCTTGAGTACAGGGAGTCCAGGCCGCTCTGAGGAAGACCAATCACTGAACTCATCCATTTAACTAAGTGATTCAGGGAGTTCTTGTTTTTAACAGAGACACTCCCAAATCATGAGACCAACGAAAACGTAAAAACTGATTCCATAAACATCTTATAGAACGGTGTCATCATGGTCATGGTACATGGTAAAAAGAAACTTCCTCAGACAATGAAGACACTGTTTTTTTACACACAGCAGCACAATTATCATCAAAGCTCAATTTTGAATCAATGAGTGGAGTCCACACACTGGACAGACTGCCCCTTTATACGTGTGTGATTACAGTAAACAAACAAACAAAGCACCTGACTGACACTTATGCAGCAAATTCCTCCAGAGAATCTAATGTTGTGAAATCACATAAACCACAAACTGATATTATTTTAGATGTATATATTTACTGTCCAGACAAAGACACTTTTCCTTATACAAACACAGCTCCATTAGCAGGAGGTAGCCATTAAACAGCTGAGATGACACAATAAAACTCCAGTCCTGTTTCCTATCAACGCATCATCCATTTCCTCCACTACCTAGTAGGAAGCCGCTTCTCATAAACCATAATCGCAGTACCACCAATCTATTACAACGTCATACGCTTTTAATATACGCGTTCTACTAGTTTATAACCTTTCAGTCTGAGTAATGGTGAAAACTTTAAATAAAAAAAAAGAGTAGCGAGTATCTTTTAGGTAGAAAAGCTTAAAGGAATATTATTCTATATATTTGAAAGTGGGGTTAAATTTGCCTTGGTGATAAATCTGCTCCTTATCAGCAGCATCAGCAGTGTGAGAAAGACAGTGACGCTGATAAAACTGACTGACTGACCATAGACTGATAAAACTGTTGTTTGAATTGAGTAAGGTTTATGATCAGCAATAAACGTGTTGTAGAACGCAGTACAAAAGAATTCTGAATGCCAAAAAGAACAACTTTATATTTTTAGTTACAATGATTACTTGAAACAATACTTTATGAATTGATAAGAATCACAATTTAGTCAATAGTTAATGTAAATATAATGGTGATATTGAAATGGCTTCACTAAATGGCCTTATGGTCATTCCTAGAGAGAGAAAAACATGTTAAAAATATACTCATAGTTTTCTATTTAAGCTGTTTTTATAGCTGCCAGTATTTATTTATCTGCCCGACTCGAGTTCTTATGTTTATGGCCTAAGTTGACCTTCGGCTCCTCTTTGCTTTTCCATGATGGCTTCTTTAAAAATACTCGCTTGCAATACAACCTCATGTTCAATTTATAGTTTACACATATTTTCTGGTAGCTAATTTCTGAATGTTAGATTTGAGAGGTTGCGTTAAGTGTTTCTTGTTTTTTCATGTTGACAAATAGAATTATCTATGATTAGAAGCGATGCATTGTGGGAATCTGAGGCCCTCCTCCCATTTTTTTCCTACCTGGCACCAACTGTCACCAAAGTTGTTCATTAACACAGGGCAGGTGGATCAGCTCGCACCAGGGTAAATCACCACAAACCCCTCAGAGCAGGTGAACGCAAAAGGCGGTGTCAAGACCACCGGTGTTGTTTTATTTTTTGCACTGGATGTACAATAAGGGATATAATTTTGTTGGAGTCGGACAAATGTGACAGCCTACAATATCAGGATAAATTTTTTTTCATAAGTATTTTCTTGTCATGTAGATGCTTTTGGAAAACACAGATGAAGATGTCCATTTCTCAGAGTCTATTTTGCCTGTGGATATTAATTGTAACAACCACAGCCAACCTCATGCTGGATTCTTGCCTCACTCAGAAATACGCGTACAGGATAAATGTAGTGCTACTTGAAGACAACACGTACGAGTGGAGTCGGCCTTATGTCCAAGCTGCAGTGGAACAGGCGATTGAGGAGGACAGGCTGGAGAATGAGAGGCATGGTATGAAAATCCACATCCGCACTATTGCTCTATTATATCAACCAGCACGCACATTGTCATCTCACATGTAACTCCTCTAGTGTCACATGTCTGTGCTTGTGTGTGTCCATCATAAAAAATGTGTAATTCCCCTCAGTTAATTTAGTTCATAAAATTATAATTGTAAGAACATGCAGAGACCATTTAACATTTTTATTTCAGTTTCACGCAATCAAATGTCCAAGCTTTTGGCAAAGGGACAAGTCTTTATTTTCTATTCATATATTACCTGTTATGTGAATGTTGATTTATATTTTTAAATTACACTGATCCTAATGTGATTATGGATTTTCATTGTTTGCTGGTCTTACATGTAAATAAAACTTTTGTAAGTTCATATGGTCACTGAATATGAATCTTTGACTTACCTGCGACTGATAAATTGTATTGTGCAAGTATTGTTTAGTGAATATGTGAATGTGTGTGAGTGTGTGAGTGTGTGAACTGGCCTGTTATTTTTTTTTTCAGTTATATGTTGACCTGTGTTAACGTGGCCAATTGTTTTTGTCTGAAAATTAATAAAAATATTGGAGAAAAAAATAAATTAATTAATTAAACTTTTGTATCCATAGGTCTTGACTTTACGTTAACGGCCAACTACAATGGTTTCAATACGTCTGGGTACAACAGACAGGGCTGTGGCAGCAGCACCTGTGAGGGAGTCACCATCCTCAAGAGGCTAAAGGTGAGCCTATGTAACATGCATACTCTCACTGACATGTAGTGTTGTCATCGATTTCAAAGGCTCTTTTTAATCATTCAGTACCATCTTTATGCATGGTGACTTTTCTAAGATAAAATATATAATAAATAAAAAAAACAACAACACTTAAGTTAAGTTTTGCTTAAAAAATAACATATTATTGCTTTGCTTAAAATGCTCTGTAGTTTCCAAAGGGCAGCACTTTGGAAACTGTCATGTTTATAAAATGTGCTATATAAATAAAGTGGATTTAATTGAATTGGATAAACATATCATTTTATGTAACATTTCAAAACAACATTTCCTTGAAGAACAGAACATTCCAGACCCTTCCATAGACTTTGAAGTAGATTTGGTGCTTATAACTTGTGCCTTTGCAGGAAAATTTTGAAATAGGATGTGTGATGCTTGGACCATCCTGCACCTACGCCACATTTCAGTTAGTAGAGTAAGTACATTTGATTATCTTGTCCAATTTATTCCTTTTACTGCTCCTATCCATTGATTTCGGTTTCCTGTTGCTGAATTGTCAATTGCTTTAGTAAGAGTCATAATTTTTATCTCTTTAACCCATGTATTCCTTTTATTCTTTTTCAGTCAAGAAATTGGCCTGACCCTGAGTATACCTATCATCTCTGCTGGAAGCTTCGGTTTATCCTGCGATTACAAGCCCAAACTGACTCGGATTTTGCCCCCCGCACGCAAGGTGTCCGACTTCATGGTCAATTTTATCAATGAGAGCTTGTTACCCATAAAACAGTCGTGGAACCGGGTCTACGTGTACAAAAAGGTGAATGCAACAGAGGATTGCTTCTGGTGAGAACACACAGGCAATAAGTCACAATACCTCCATGTCTCCATTATGAGTTTATTAAGTGATTGTTATGGGGTTTTTTTCTACAGGTATATCAATGCATGCACTGGAAGCACCATCACTCAGTTTTGCCACAAACACTCTAAGAGAAATGCTGCGTAATGAAAATGACCTGTTCACAGCTCTCAAGTCAACTAAGAGACACAGCAACAGTAAGTCACAAAGTCAAATCTGCAAAGAAATAGACTGATCTTTGTTGATTTAGCCTAGTATTTAACAGATAAGCTAAATAGTTTCCCCCACACAATTTGTTGAACTACAATTTCTTGAACCTACCTAACAGGGCAGGGATGGGGTGAATTGTATTGTTTACCCAGGGCCCAGCGCAGAGAGTGGCCCTTTACCAAGTCATTGGCATTTTCATTGGTAATGGGCATTTTTCATTAGAGTACATGTCCACCAAGATGATTTGTGCCCAGGGCCCAAAATTGTATGCTACACCCCTGCCTCGGGCTATGTTCATACACATTACAACATTCTAAAAACTCTATTGTTTGTTGTTTAAAACTGAGCTTGAAGACAGTTCAAAATTGTATGGAGGGATTAGCTGTGTAAAGAGCCCATATTACACTTTTTTCTAATCTATGTTATGTTTTGTTTCATTCACACTTTTGAGTAGCCCTTTATTATTAGTCTGTCTACATCTCCAAAGCTCAAAATGCTCTGCTCCGTCTTCTGATATCATATGGTAACCAAGGATGTCCACCACTGCGTTTTTAAACTTCTACTCCTTCACAAAAATCATTTAGATGATTTCAGCCCTGGAATTGCCAAACTCTACTGAACAAAAGGTAAAAGCTAGCAGTTAACATGAAAACTACCACTACACGACATCGCAAGGTGGAACAGAGCATTTTGAGTTTTGGAGAGGTAGACAGACTACAACTCCAGGTAGTTTTTGATCAGGTAAAGATTATAACATGGCCAAAAGCCAGTGAGTGAGAATTTTGTGTGACCTTGCTTATGATTATCTCTGTAATTACTGGAGATTTATTACTTATTTATTTTTTTACAATAGCCAGAAACTGGTGCCATGCTATTATTGGGTGATTGGTTAAGATGGAGCTGAAGATTAACTGGCTTGGCTAACTTCAGTATGGCACACCTGAACCATTTTCATTGCTATATGACCATCAAAGGTTTCACAGAATGAAAGATGGGTGCCATTTGGACTATTGATACTGGGAATGGCATGGTGACACAATTCACACATTAGCAAACACTGTCAAAAAAGTTTTTAAAATGACAAAATACACAATGGATTTAAACAGAACATTTTCAGGAGTGTATGATCAATACAAGCATTCATGGTCCTGTTTAGGTGTGTGATTTTCAAAAAAAAGGAGTGGCTTGTCAATGCAATTTTATATGTGAGAGACCACTTGCTATAGTTCTAATTCAGTTCTTTCTGGTCAAATTGTGTTAAAGTAAAGCTCAGATCAAGCCTAGGTTGACCAGATTTTCAAAATAAAACTGGGACATCCCTGTTTTTTTTGTGGTTGGTAATAATAAAATTGTGAAATGAGTGCATAATTAAGGAAAATTGTTATGCAGGGACCACTCATAACTAACATGTGAGTCAATATAGCCGCATTTTTTGTGTGTGTGTTTTTAAACAGCTTTTCTGTATTTTACCTAAACAAATGACAGTTTGTACCTCTCTTTACTGTTGGCAGGGATCAAATTGGTCAAAAATAGGGACACCTGGGATGTTTCTTTTATAAAACTTGGACAAATCACTGGTTTTGGATAAATCTGCTGGGACAGGGGACACAGGGCTCAGTTTTCAGGGCATGTTGATGCAGCTGCAAAATATCAACAAAAAATCCCCTTATTATTGACAGAATGCAACCCAGAAAATGTATTATTTTTTGTTACCAATTTGTTGTACAGTTTTCATCCTTTGTGGGGGCCCTGCCGACATCGCCTACATAAAGCAGAATTCTGAAAACATCCATCCAGACATTATGTTCATACTCTTAGACGTATACAAGTGAGTACTGTAACTGTTTTGTTTATATCAGGCCGTAACACACCAGAAGTAAACATATTTTCTTTTACACAGTCTGCAATACTACAGCAACAGAACCTCCAGTTATGGCATGGAGAATGTTCTGGTGGTCACTCTTCCTCCGCGAAACTATAGCTGTGGTAATTTGACCTCCAATGACACGGTAAGATCCTATCCAATACTACCTTATTTAGCCTGTTAGACACCCATAGCATTCATCCAGTCAAATGAAGCTCACCGAGGCTGCAACTTATGGGTCAAATTTGAAGCTGAGTTCCATATTAGGACTAGGAATTGATTTATTGAGAAAATAGTGAAATAAAAACATCAGCTGGCAGGTTAGCTATGTCCATTGGTTGCGATCAGATCTGTGGAGAGGCACGCCTATTAAAACTATATGTTTTCAAGGTCATTCACACCCTGAGCGCCTGAGAGAGGCAGCAGGGTACAGCCCCTCCTGAAGATTTCCTCAAAACCAGTACCTTTTTTAGTTATTCTGGTTTTCTCTTTAAGATTTTATTTTATTTTCCTTACTTGATTTGACCAGTTAAACACTCACAATGGTTTTTGGGTGTGTTTGCCTTTTTTTCTCCTTTTTCACTGGTGTCTTTGTTCTTGGCTCTTTGGCCCAGCAGAGAAGGCCTGTTGTGTATTCCAGAGAGCACTTTCTTTCATTGCCCAAGTCCCCAGTGCTGTTTGGAGTTAAGCCTGATATAGTCCTCTGGAACTACAGAAGAGGACACGCAGAGGATGTCGTGCTGAAATGAAAGTGAAACAGTGAAGAAGTAAATCCAAGCTTGCGGTTCCGTCAGACCGCATAGGGAATGTAAGGTCACTGGGAAATAAGATGGACAAGCTGCGTTCAGACCCAGAGGGAGTACGCTGTCAGCAGTATCATGTGCTTCACGGAGATCTGGCTTCCACAGACTGGGATGTGCTTTGCCAGCCCCACGGGGACTGCATCGACAGCATGACGGACAGCATCAACTTCTGTGAGGATACAGTCCACATGCACTGTCCACTGTTACCCAAGCAACAAGCCCTGAAACACCAGCCAGCTGAAGGGTCTACTCAATAAGAAAAAGCCTTCAACTTCGGAGACAAGGACAAGGTGAAGAAGGTACAACGACAGCTAAAGGTCCAGCTCAGGAAGGAACAAAAGGCCTATGGAACAAAATTGGAGGTAAAATCTCAACAGAGCACCAGATGTGTGGAAGGGAATAATACAATAATAATAATAATACATAACACTTGTATAGTGCTTTTCAAGATACCCAAAGACGCTTTATATGAGAAGACAAACAACGACAAACAAGAGAAAAAGACAGCTGAAACAGGAATGAAGACCATCACAGGTTTCAACACCAGCAATGCAGCAGGACAATAGCCCAGACAAGTCAAACAGACTCAATTTGCATTTTAATCATTTTTCATCTCCTGATACCCCCGTCTCTACAGCTCACCACAGACCACTCAGACGGCCATTCATCAGTCCATCACCTCTACTCCCACACCTGCTCCCACCCCGTAGAGAAACCCACCCCAGTGTCTTTGTCATCTTCGCAGGTGAGAAGACAGCTGGAGAAAGTTCATCAAAACAAGTCTCCAGGACCAGCCCAAGTCAGCCCCCGTGTGCTGTACAGCTTGCTGAAATCTCGCACTTTCTCTTCACCCTGAGTCTGAAGCTTGAAAGGAAACCGGTGCTATGGAAGACCTCCTGCATTATGTCAGTGCACAAGAAGCCTATTCCACCTGGATTTAATGACCTCACAGTTGCATGTCATGAAAATATTTGAGAGACTTTTTCTGGCTCAGCTCAGACCCCTGGTGGTTCCAGCTCTGGATCCTCTACAATCAGTGCCATTTAGGTGTGGAAGATGCTGCAATCTGTCTTCTGCAGCCGGCCCACTCACATCTGGATAGTGTTAAGGGCTCTGTGAGGATATTGTTTTTTGATTTCTCCAGTACCTTTAATACAATGCAGCCCTTTCTGATGAGTGAGAAGCTGCTCTGCTTCCTTATGACCACTTGTATATAGCTTAGACTTTTTATTACTTATTTTTCTATTTTATTTTGACTTGTACATATACATTTAGATAATTATACCTTATTTGACTCCTGTCTCTTGCTGTCTTTTTTTGCTAATTATTTAGAATTTATTATTACCATTTATATGTTTTATTCTTTGTCATTATATTATATTGTTATGTGTGAGCTACTGTGTCCAAATAATTTCCCTTGTGGATCAATAAAGTTAGTTTAAATCTAAGTTCTAGCAGTATCCATTATTGAATGAAAGCAAGTTTAATGCCTTAATGTGTAGCCCAGCAAAGCCACAACATCTAACTCCCCACTAGAAAAGTTATAACCTTTCCTCAAACATCATACTTGGACTGTTGGACAATTGAGGGATTACACAGACACCTTGTACAAACACTTAGTCCAGATCTAATCCATCTTCATAGATCATTCTCTCCTGGTTTGGTGATAATATTGATCTAAAATCTCTGTAAAGTCCTGGTTTACTTAAGATGGTTAATCTTTGCTTAACCTCAGTTTGGAACCTCCAAAAAGACTCTCTTTACTGCTACGTCATGGTTTAAAATTATTCCCTGATTCTGATACTCTGATTGTCTTAACGAGTCTGTCTTTGGACTTTTTTTTAACCACATGCCCTATTTACACTTTATAAACTTAATATTAAACTCTTCTGTCTTGTGCAGGTCAATGATTATGTAGCAGGTTACCATGATGGGGCCATCCTGTTTGGGAAAGTATTGCGAGAGAGGATGCTCAGTTTACAGCGGGGGGACATGCCTCATAGTGACCATCCCTTTGCTAATATCTCCTTTTATGGTATGTATGTTTGACCACTGATAACCTGGCTTTCACACAAGAGATACACAGCAAATACTAACTGGAGTGTATCAATGGAAGTGGGAAAGGTCCATTTCCACTATATAGAAGGAAATAGTTGTTCAAGAATACCACTGTCACTGTATAAATAAAGAGAGAACATGCGATTACCAGTTTATGATGCATTTTACTGTTGCTCAGCGAAGCATTCATCAAGTACCTGTTGCCCCTTAAACATGTTTGCATTGTTATGTTATATCTGTAAAGGCAAAGGACTACAATATTTTCTTATAATAATAATAATAATCATAATAAATGTGGTTTATGTCCAAAACAACATATGAAACAAATTATAAACCAATATTGGCTAACGCAATAATCCAGGGGTGTCACACTCAAATTCACAGAAGGTGACTAAGTCGTGGGCCAGGCTCAATATTTATTAAAACATTCTAACAACATCAGCATGTTTTCTCTTCTTTTGAGATATGTAATGTTAAACCTTTGCTTATTAAAATAAATGTTTAATAATACTTTTGCTTAAACATTGAATCCAGAACAAGCATAATGTAAAATAATAACAAAATTTTAAATAAATAATGTCTCTATAGCCCATCTGTAGCCGGTGGGCCAGCTCTAATACATACTTGATATGATCTCGAGGCCTGAGTTTGTCATGTCTGTAATAATCAATATTACTACAAACAATTTATTTCAATAGCATCAAGGTTCTGATAAAAATTTACATTATTTTATAGATTTAACAAATCCAAGATCAGCCTTTTTATTTGACATAGTTTGACTAGTAAATGAATGCATGAACCTTTTGTTTTATAATAACTGAATTGAGTGGATCAAAAGTCAATAGTAATAAATCAAAATCGCAGTATTAAACAACTATGTCGCAACATTTTCCAATCCAAATTGTAAAAGGCATGTGTTTGAAAAAGTCAGCTGTATTTGTTAAAACGGTTGCTTTGTTTGCTGTATCCAGGCATGGCGGGACACTATGTACTTGACCAATACGGAGACAGAGATGTCAACTTCACTCTACTTTACACATCCACCCTTACAGGCGAGGTGAAGCAACACACTAGTACTGGCAAGTTTTAATTGAATATATTTTACACAAGTCTTACATTGTTTGTTTTACTTCGCAGTACACAACTCTTTTCACATTTGACACGTCCAAAAATGAAACACAAATACTAGATGTATCTCCTGCTCTGCCCTGGAAGGATGGTGTTCTTCCTGACGATGACCCAGAGATGATAGATCGTAATACACTCAGTCCATTCTGATTTATTTAATGCAATCATTCAAATGATTTCAAATTATTTGTATCTTATGATTTCAGGTATAACTTCTCAGGATATCATTGTAATAGTTTTGAGTCTCAGTGTTGTTGTGGTCACAGCCATTGCACTCATCTTCTACAGGTACAAACATTCATTTTAATTAACCAATATAAGTAAAAATTAGGCCTTTAGATAAATTATCAGTAGTGACTGTAATGCATCAGCAAAAATACTATTTGGTTTTGGTTGATGTTTTGCTTTGAAAACCTCTAGGCAGAACAGAAAGGAGCGCCTCATGCAGAAAAAGTGGTCACACATAGAGCCTCATCTGATTGGTCCTCTGGATGAAAAAGAGGCTTGTCTAAAGGTACAGAAGTCTACTAGTTTAACATAAAATTAAATATTATGCAACTATACTTCAGCATTACAGTATTTTTGTGTTAGATTGACGATGACAAGAGAAAAGACAGTATATTCCTTGCTCATCGAGGGCGTTATGACAAGAAGGTAATATATGTTTTTTTAAAAACCTTCAGCTGTTTTTTTTTATACAAAGACTAACTTTTTTTTTTTCATTTCAGCCAGTCATTTTGAAAGAGTTGAAACATTTAGATGGTGATTTTACTGAAGAGCAGAAAATTGAGCTCAACACGGCAAGTGAACCTTTATATTTATGTATAATAAAGCTAATGGGGTTATAAATAAATAAATAGATAAATGGATAAATAAATGAATAGTTATATACATACCGTTTAAATATTGTGTGATTTAGAAATGGCTGTCAAGTGTAAACAAGTTTCATTCTAAATTGCAGTTACTCCGTATTGACTACTACAACTTGACCAAGTTCTACGGCACAGTTCAGTTTGAGTACGGTGTGTTTGGTGTATTTGAGCTGTGCCAGAGAGGCTCCCTCAGGGTAAGGATACTCTCGTGCCTCATCTGCATGAAATCTATAATTTATATAAAAATATAGCTTCAAATATTCTTGCAGTTATATATTTTTACATGATTAACAACACAGTCTATATACTTTTAAAATAAGTCTCATGCAGTCACATTGTGTTGTATTTGTCTCGATTGTTTCAGGGTTTTGATGTAAAAACCATGACTACATTAAACACTTAGATGATTTTTCTGGCCTCTTTGTGGCTCTCACAATGACTTTACAGTTTGTCTGATAAGGGACAGATAGTTAAAGTGCAGCAGTGGAGTGTGTGCATGTAATCACACACACATTAACTCAACACCGGGTTCATAATACTGTTTGTCTTCACAGTACATTCTGAATGACACGATCTCCTATCCTGATGAGACCTTCATGGATATGGAGTTCAAGATTTCAGTCATGTATGACATCGCAAAGGTGCACTTTTTTTCTATTTGTCAGTATTGTGGTAATAAAACATACTCTGTTCTGTTGTGTTCACTGATGCTTGTGTTATACAGGGTATGTCCTATCTTCACTCAAGTAGCATAGGAGCTCATGGTCGCCTTAAATCCACTAACTGTGTGGTGGACAATCGCATGGTGGTCAAGATCACAGACTTTGGTTGTCATACTATTCTCAGCCCCGGCAAAGGTGAGACAGTTTTGCTTTTACTGAAGAAAACTAAATGAAACATATCCTCACCATTTCATCTCCTCTTCAGATTTGTGGACAGCCCCAGAGCACCTTCGTAAATACGGGATATCTCAAAAAGGCGACGTGTACAGCTATGCCATTATTGCACACGAGATCACCATGAGAAAGATGACGTTCTACTCACAGTCCTGCTCAGATAAAGCAGGTGAGCATTCATCCATAAGTATTTCTAAATTAACTTTTGATCGATAGGGTTTTGGAATAAAAATTTAGATCTAGTTCAGATCAACAACTTGAATATTTGAATATTTTTATCTTGAATTACACTATTTATAAGTTTGCCCTGTTTAGGTAAAGCCATTTTAGAGTTGCTTTAAAAAAGAAAAAGTTACATTGGAAACTGTGATTGATCAATACGATAAGAAAAACATATTTGTTATTTGCTTATTTTCTTTGCCACATTATCAAATCCTTTAGGTTGATCATATTGCTTTTCTTCCTGTACAGAAAAACTCTACAGAGTGCAGCATCCCAGTATGACTGGAGTCTTCAGACCTGACCTCAGTTTTGACGGTGCATCAGAGAGAGAAATTGAGGTGGGAAAAGACACTTGGACACCTGGACATATCACTGAAGAGCAGTATAATCTTAGTGGCTTGTGTGTATTTTCACAGCTGTACACTTTAATAAAGAACTGCTGGGATGAAGATCCAGAACGCAGACCAGATTTTAAGAAAATAGAGCTAACCCTTGGTAAGATTTTTAGGTAAGTTGCCATCTAATACAGTATAATTAGAGCTGGGTAGCAGCACCTTTAATAGATGTAATAGACTACCATATGCAAGTCTATAAAGTTATTATTATATTGTTGATTTAAGATTCATGTTTTTTGTGCTATACGTATACTTGTTGTTTTTTTGTTTTTTTTATACCGAGATCTGTGCATTATTGAATGTTCTTTTTTAGTTGATTACACAGTTCACAGTTGATTAAATTCACATTACGTTACTAGTGTATTTTTTTCACACAATACATTTGACTTTTTTTTTATTCAAGAATCACAACTTTTACTTCAAAATTAGTAATATTATTTTAAGAACTTACTATTTTGACTGCTTGGCCCACCTCTTAGTATAATGAAAACATGCACATTTCCAAAAATATTGTGAACAGATATTTTTTCACCAAATGTCTGAAAGTAGAAAGATCTATTTTTATTTTCCGTTTTACAGTGCTCTCCACAACACAGACAGTGAGACCTACATGGACAACCTGATTCGTCGCCTGCAGATGTACTCCAGGAACTTGGAGCACCTAGTGGAGCAGAGAACAGCTCTGTACAAAGCTGAGAGAGACAGAGCAGACTGCCTCAACTTCATGCTCCTCCCTGGGTAAATCTCATGATGGCTTATTTACAGTGAGGGGAAGAATACTTTGAAAAGTAAGTCAGTTGGTTTGTGATTCGAAGGTTGAGGGTTTGAATCCCTCTCTCACAGATGAATGCTGTTGTTGTGTCCTTAGGGGAGACCTGTAACCCACCTTGCCCTCAGTGTATGAATGTGTGTGTCAGTGGAGAGCACTTCTTTGTAGGGGTGTCAAATTATCGCGTTAATTGCGATTAATTAATTACAGTCATATTTAGCGCGTTATGTTTTTTAATCGCGTTAATCTAATTTTTATTCTCTAACTTTACTGTTTCTGTATGCGAGTTGCTTTATTATAAAACCTGTTTTTATGTGTTGTTGGGACAACAACAACAACACACACACACACACACACAAAACACATTTATAATTTTTTTTTATTTCGGTAATTCCACTCATTGCCGGAAACCCACACAAAACGCGTGCAGTAAGAGCGATGTAAACATGAGTCGCACAATGGACGAGGTCGAAGAGCCAGTAGAACAGAGGCAGCAGTGCACAGGTAAAAACACATTCGTGTCTTGGAAATTATTCTCCCGAAGTGAAATATAAAAGAAAATAACAAATATAAAATCGCCTACAACTTAAATGTCACTGGTGAAAACAACCTGCATAGACTCATGATGTCTGCACTACTGTCCTATAGTGACCTGCCACATGAGGGGACACGCACACACAAACACACACAAACACACACACAAACACAAACACACACCTTCATCATCGTCATTAACCTGAGAACGCGCGGACCACGTTTCCTTCCGTAGTTACTGCGCGGACAACGACGTGCTCCCATGCGCGTGTGATCGTGATGTGATGTGTGGATCGTGTTTTCTCGCGTACGCGGCGTAAACCGCGCTTCCTCCTGTGAACTAACACCAGAACTAACACCAAGACTAAAACCAGGACTTATCCAGTCCAGGACTAAACCAGGTCTAAACCAGGACTAAACCAGTCCAGGACTAAACCAGAACTAAAACCAGAACTAAAACCAGGTCTAAACCAGGTCTAAACCAGGTCTAAACCAGGACTAAACCAGAACTAAAACCAGGTCTAAACCAGGAATAAACCAGAACTAAAACCAGAACTAAAACCAGGTCTAAACCAGGTCTAAACCAGGTCTAAACCAGGACTAAACCAGAACTAACACCAGGACTAAAACAGGATTAATCCATTCCAGGACTAAACTAGGACTAAAGCAGGTCTAAACCAGGACTAAAACAAGGACTAAAACCAGTGATCTCATATATAAAGCATTTCTCTATCAATAATATTTTTAATATGGTTAAGGAAAGACTGGACTTTTTATTGTCTTTAAGTAGACAAAAGTTATTATGTTCAGATTTCCTAGTCTTTGCTACTTTACAGCAAACAGTTTCTTATTCATGGAGACTTGGGCTCAACAGCCAATTTGGAGAGATTTGTTAAACAATAAATGACTTTATAAAGTCACTTTTTTTAATCTATATCAGTCTTTTGATCTGCCACAATAATGTAATAATGAATTTAAATGAAAATACCTCAAATTGAAGGCTTTTCTCAGCAATTTTTAGGTGAGATTAAAATGAGATTAATTAGATTAATTAATTACAGATCATAATTAATTAATCTCTCAATTTTTTTAATCGCATGACAGCACTACTTCTTTGATGTAACATACTTTGAGTGCCTTGAAGGTGGAAAAGTGCTATACCATTGGATTAAAAACTGTTCTATCTCTTATGTTTGTTTGATATGCAAATTTGTGACAATATAGAGAAGGAGAAAATCACACATGAATACACTACAAGAGCAGTGTTTGCTATTCTTCTTTCTAGTTGAAACTAATTGCAAGATTAAGTGGCGCTGTGTATTAATTTGATTTTAGATAAGTAATTCTGGTCTGAAAACCACCACATGAGTAACTGGAAAACAGTCTAGCCTACTCATAATGAATTAGTATACTGAATACATATTTTCACTACATGTAGTTCCTTCACAGCACTGCTTATTTTTATTATGCTTATTCTCCTTCATTGAAAACCATTGTGTGTTGTTGTCTCAGCCCTGTAGTGCGTTCCCTGAAAGAGACAGGCCGAGTGGAGCCAGGAGCTGTTTGAGGAGGTGACCATCTACTTCAGTGATATTGTGGGTTTCACCACTCTGTGCCACTACAGCACCCCCATGGAGGTGGTAGACATGCTTAATGACATCTACAAGAACTTTGACAGCATCCTTGACCACCATGATGTCTATAAGGTACTGCAGAAGAAAAAAAACAAGAGCAGTTTTGTCACTATCACGGTTTTAAAGTAATAATATCCTTACTTAAAAGTTCTAGTTCCACTATAAGTAGTCCATGTGTCGTGTGACCAAAGCTTTATGTTTATAATATTCAAAGTTTTATGTCTCTCAGCTTAAAATTTCACCATGTAACTTTTCTGGAGAGTCACCGCCTGCTGGTCTCCATGGAGATGTTCTCGCTTTGTCTGTTTCACAGTGTGGAAATAAATGTATCTCCATGGAAACAAGCAGCTGTTGTTGTTGCTTTACTATGAAAAGTTCTATCCAGGCTGACACCGCCTTGTGCCCCTGCTCAATTTCATTTCTCTCCAGCAACTAGGTCAGGAATCGGAATACACTAGACAGTTTGCAAAAACCCCGGAAGTGCAAGTCCAGGCACCAGCCAATCAGTGAAGAGCCATACATTTTGTTTTGGCAATGATTCTCGAGATCGAGGATTTAAAGCCACCAAAGAGAATGTTTGGTGAATTTTATCAAGAGGAAAGACATTATTGCCCTTCCTACAGGATTTGGGAAAAGCTTAATATACCAGTTAGCCTAATTAATGGCGTATTACATACATCCAGACCAAACAGCAGCCATTGGTTAAATGAAAAAAGTACCCGCCTACCGTCGAGCAAACAAATTCTAATGCTGCGAGATCAGACGGTTTCTACAAAGTGAAACCGGCTGATGAATCAGGCTGGAAAAGTTCCACGGGTATGACATTAAACTTATCTATCTTCAGGAGACAAGCAGATGGAGAGGGGTGCCTTTTAAATGAACAGTACACTTCCCTAAGTTTTGTCTTGTCCACCCATATCAGATCATTATCACACTTCTCTTTTCCAGGTGGAGACAATAGGAGATGCCTACATGGTGTCTTCAGGTTTACCCAACCGTAATGGGGACAGACATGCAGTGGACATTGCCCACATGGCCCTGGATATACTGTCCTTTGTAGGGACCTACCAGCTGGAACACTTACCTGGTATTCCACTATGGATTCGAATCGGTGTTCATTCAGGCACGGAAAAAATGCTTTTTATTTTGTTCATGTACATATATAGGTTTTATGCTTTTGTCTGCCCTAACGATTTAGGTCAGTATATTGAAATGTATGCTTGTGCGTAGGACCCTGTGCTGCTGGGGTGGTGGGGAACAAGATGCCTCGTTACTGTTTATTTGGCGATACAGTGAACACCGCTTCCAGGATGGAGTCTACAGGCCTGCGTGAGAAGACACCCTTTCATTTAAAGACTTACAGCAAGTGTGTCAGTGATTGATTTACCTATTCAAACTGGTCTTACAGCTTTGAGGATACATGTGAGCAAGTCCACCATCAACATCCTGAAGAGAACAGACTGTCAGTTTGAGTACGAGCAAAGAGGAGAGACGTACCTCAAGGTGAAGCATTCAGTGACTTTTCTCTCACTGTGCAGATGTATATGGGACATTTACTTTAGTCATTAATCCTTACAGGGAAAAGGCAAAGAGATAACCTACTGGCTGACAGGTGTAACAGGCCAGAAATACAACCTCCCCACACCTCCAACTGCGTAAGTTACACTGCAGTAAAACATGCAAATACTGACTATACATAACATTTTGTTGACTGTTATTAACAAAATCATTATATAAACAAGAGGTTTGTATTCAAATTGACCATTTTTAATTAGTGTTGATATTATTTTTATGAGTTTATAGTATTTACATTTATTTCTTACTTTGTTTACATTTGATGACACAGAGAGAACTTCCAGCGGCTTCAACAGGACTTGGCTGAAATGATCCAGGTCAGTTTAGCGGAGCGTGCAGCATGTACTGAGGGCTTTGAGAAGAGGAAGACCCTGTCCACCAAAATCCGACGACGGGAAACCAACAGCAGTACACAGAGTGATCCCCCAGACTACTTCCACTTGGCTGTCACCGACAGCAGCACCTACCTGTGAGCCCCCTGCTGAGCTTTGTAAGGGACACATACTCAGGAACACAGGGACTGCCACAAAATGACTTCTTCCTCAAGCATACATAGATCATACTTATATGCTCTAAAACTGTGCAATGGACACTATTCAGTAGTGTTGATAGATTAAGTAAATTATTACAAAGACTTCTCGGTTATAAAACTGAGGCCAAGTTAGTAAAAACATAACAGAGGAAGCAGAGAAAATGTTAAATGAATGCATATAAGAGGTTTCTATGATAAAACTATCGATGCTCAGCCCAGTCAACAAGTGTCCATCTATTTGGAAATGTTCTGTTTTTGTTTGAATACTGCTGGTTTGAAAGCTCATTGATTGAGAATTATGACAAAAAATGTTTACCGTGTAAATAACCCTTTCTGCTGCTAAGCCAGCTCACATTTATATACCACATATATCCAGCTAGTGTAGAATGTGAGATGTGAATAAATAAATCTGAGAATATTTCTCTTTTACTGCAGAGATGTTTAATTCCAACACTTCTTGTAAATAAGGTACAAAATGTTACTATTTCTGTGTAAATATAGTGAACACATCTCTGATGAGGATCAGCAGCACAACATTTCAAATACATTGTGAGTAACAGAACACATAGAAAAGCATTAGAGAGTTTTGGGGCTGACCAGCTCTGTAGCTGGGAGTGGAAGAGTTTTGGTGGTGACCAGCTCTGTAGCTGGGAGTGGAACAGTCTCCTGTCTCACAGCACTTCCTTTGAGCCCACTCCAGTCCCTCCCTTCATGTTCTGTGCTCTCACTTTCAGGACTCACTCCTTCTTGCCACACAGTGGCGGTGTGGAGTAAAGTGCTGCAGCCCTCAGATGGGGGCACACAGTGAGGTGGGTCTGTTTTCAGAAGTGGGTGCTCTGGTGGCACCTCCTCTGCAAAAATAAAATGTAGAATGTAAAAGTACAAAATTAGGAAAAGATTTGGGTGACAATAAGTAACTAAGCTGATAGAGCTGTCAGATCCAATGACCCACAGGTGTACACTGGTGTATGAATGTGTGTGAATGGGTGAATGGTTCTTTGGTGTAAAGTGCTTTGAAGGAGGAAAAGCGTTGTTGACCATTTACTATATTCTCATCACAGAATGCAATGATGTAAGGCCGGAAGTCCACAAACAAACAGAAAGATGCCACTATATATTTTAACCAACTGCCCTTTCAAATGCAATAATTTCTAGCAGCAACTAATTAATACTTTGTGTGAATTCTATACATGCTGTTTATCCAATTTATTTATTTCAGATTATTCTGACTGTGACATTTGCATAGTTGGAAAGACACCCTAAAATGCAAATATTTATTACATATGACTGGTATCTTACTAATAAATTACACATGAATGAAAATAAGGAGGTGTGCAGAAATCTTTTGTATGTTTTTGCTGCTCCCTCTCCTTCAACACACCTGTTTTCAAAAAACTGAGGTGCAAAGTTCTCATTAATATCACACCCGTGTTTTTACCAGAAGAGCGTATGCTTCCTAAAACCGCACCTACTGCCCAGTACCCACCATCATCACGAAAAGAGATTCTTTAATGACAATGTTAAACAGCTAAAAGAAGGTTAACAGAAACACTCTCTGATTTCTACAGACGTTTACTTCTGTTCAACACAACTACGTCTGTTTCCTTCAGATATAAATATATTTGACACATCCTCTCACACCAACAGATGTACAATGAGTTGAAACTATTGTAACCCTATGGGGACTTAAGGGGCCCTGGTTGTTACACTTCAGCAGCTATCTTACCAGTGCTCTGCTTCCATACTCAAACTAGGCTAAAAAACAGCACCATACTGTACATACACTTGTGGATTATTTGATATGTAGTTTAAATGAGTCATGGAGAGCACATATTTCATGTTTATAAAAGTAGTATAGATTTTGTAATGTGTTTTGTGGTTTTCCACTGCATTGAGCTTATTAACACAGTTGATTAGTTATTATAACCTTGGATAACTTGCTTGGACCGTTGCATATTATCATTGTGTCCTTGGGCAAGACACTTCACCCACCTTGCCCATGAAGTACTAGTAGTGTGTGAGTGAGTGAGTAATTGGTGGCATTATTATTATAAATGTTAATAGTAATGGGAATAAATAATAAAATAAAGCAATAAAAAATATAAAAAATAATAATGGCATATACTTGAGGAGAGAAAGAAACAAACCCTAAAATGAGCAGTCTCTTACCTGTGGATTGTCTTTTGTGCCTTCTGTATATGACCAGCCAAATGGTCAGAGCCACAAGGGAGGCCAGAGTGATCAGCAACACAACAGTCAACACTTGTGGGATAAATACTGCCCCCTTCTGGTCAGCAGGGGGCGAGTTCTTCAGCTGGACTACTGTCTGGTCAGCAGGGGGCGTATTCTTCAGCCGGACCAGTTGCTGGTCAGCAGTGGGCCTATTCTTCAGCGGGACCACTGTCTGGTCAGCAGCGGGCATGTTCTTCATCCGGACCAGATTGGTTAGGAACGGCTCTGAAAGTAACAACACCAAGTCTAGTCACTGATATTATGCATTTTTAATTGCACCATAGCTCTTACCAGTGGGCATTTGATGCCCAAGATCCCTGGGCATGCAAACTTGAAGCAATGAGTCCCATTTATATCCAGGTGCACAGCTCTTCTTAGGCATTGCAGAGAAAACATGAAATGACGCTGTTATGTTGTTAGGGTTGCTCACTCTACATAACAGCCTTCTGGTGACAAAAGCTGAGAATATACTGCTACAGCTAATCAGTTTCAGTTCCTGTGTAGAGAGGAAAGGGTGAATCATGTGTCCCCTGGGAGTCTAGAGAGGGAAGTGCAGTTTGACCTCAAGGGACTCCTATATACCTTTTAATTTAGGATTCAAGCATATCTTTATTGCACATTAGTAATATTAAAAAAAACACACACAATTAAAACAAACAAACAAAAAACAACCGTTGTTTGTTTGTCCAGCAGCAATAAGCTCTTTGCGGTCTCACTCTGTTTTGTTAATTCCGCATGTGCTGCTGAAAGTAAATAGGGATTAGCCGCTGTGTTGCTTGTATGTATGTATGTGTGTGTATATATATGTATATGTGTGTGTGTGTGTGTGTGTGTATATATATATATATATATATATATATATATATATATATATATATATATATATATATATATATATATACATGTGCCCCAGTTCTATTTTATCTTTTGTGTGGACGAGTGATTGCCTGAGTTTTCTGTACAGTTTCACAGGTGTGTTGATAGTGTGCATTCCCATTACCCACGTTTTCTGTTAAGCTCTGTATGGTAATGTTATCATGTCTAGCACGCTTTAGTCATGCTTCATCTCCATTATATCATGAGACTAGGGGAGCTCTCGGTCTGTTTGACAGCAGTCCTAACACTGCCTGACCCCTGTTGAATGACGCCGCATGACATGGCTCAATAACAGTGAAAGAGCCACGTTTCAGCATTATATTGACAAGTATAGATTAAAAAAAAAAAAAAAAAAAAAAACATAGATAGATGGATGAATGGATGAAAAAAAAAGAAAAAGCCAGAAAAGATAAATAGATAGAGTACTACTACATTAGTAAGATAATCTAAACATTTATAAATTAAAATTTAATAATATCTAGCTATAAAAGCTGATGGTTTGCAAAAAGTACAGCAGAGTGGAATAGTCTTACTGTAGTTTTTTTTCAAGTAGACAAAGTTTGGCAATTTTTACATAGAATAAAGCTATGATGTATTTTAAAATTGGATATAAAGAAGGCTGATTTTCAGCAGTAATTAAACACTCCATACATTTTTATTTCAAAATGCTAGAAACAACAATCACAACATAAGCCAGTTGTTATTTTTCATACCATGAGATTCATATTCAATTATTCAGTGTTGACTGCTGGGTAAATTTGTAAGGCTAAAACCTGAATTTTCTTAGGATCAGTAAAATATCAAATACAAATAGTTCAAGCCACCACAGTAGAAGAGCCCTGAGTAATCAAATAAATTTAGAAACATTGCACATTGTCATAATATACAAATTAACATTGGATACAACACCATCTAACTCCTTGTCTTCTGTAAACCAGATATTTAAAAATACTTTGGATTTGGCAGTTTACAAAATCTTACCCCCTTCCCCCCATTTACAGAACATGCGTATTTACAGTACATGTGCACTCGCTCCCAGTACCAGATACATGTGATACCAGTGATACCAGTGATACCTGTGATACCTGTGATACCAGTGATATCAGTGATACCTGTCTATAGTCTGTATATCAAAAATCAAGGACTGAAGAGAAGAGGCTCCATTGGGACAAACGTGTAATTGTAAAAGCGCGGCAGTCCCACATGGCTAATGTTTGTGAACTTGTCCCATCTGAACAGTGGTAGCCCGCCCTGTGAGGTGGGCCCGTTCACTGCCTCAGCTCTGAAGTCCGCAGCCATTTTGTAGTCTGTCACCTGCATAGAGAATCATAAAAGACATTGGAGGAAGCATCTGTATTGAATGTGAGGACAAAGTTTTGGACATGGAAAAGATTATGACCTAAATTTGATCTTTGAGTCTTTGAGTATTTTTTTTATTTGTAATTACTTCCACTGACCTTAGTGTCATAGCAGCCTCCTGGAGAGGGGTTCACTGCCTTCAGGTCATTGCGGCAGCAGATGGATTTGCAGGGGTCGTTCTTGGAATATGGATCCTTCTTGTAATCTGAAGAAACAAATTTAAGACCATGGGAAATTATGTTTCAAAATTTGTAAATCTTTCAATTTTCAAACTCAGTTTATTTAAAAATACATTTTACTTTGTTGCCCATATTCCCCTGACATTTCTAACCCTATCATTGTGCCAATATATTGACTACACCTTCTCTGTAAATGTAAACCATTTCAATTAATGTAACAAAGACTGTTCCTCTGATGTACTCATCAATAATTCTCTTCGTACAAACATACAAACAAAAGAGACTTATTCATTGTTAATAGACTGACGTACTGTTGTATCTCATGATATGCTTGAGTGATTTCAGGTCTGTCACCGTAGCCTGGTCTCGTCTGAAGATCTTGGCCCTGGGGCAAAGGTCATAAGAGAAGTCCTCTCCAAACTTCTGCCACATCAACCCGTACCCGCTCAGATTGTAAATGTTCTCATGAAAGGGAATATTGTAGGATGGCCAGTAACCTGTAAGAAATGGCCAGCAAAAAACACAATAGTTAAATGTAGTTCTGCTTAGATTTACATTTAAATGAATGGAGGAAGTGAAAACAAAGAAAATAAATAAAGAAATCAGCAATAGATTACTGTATGTCAATTGCAAATGTCTGAAATATATTGGGTAAATTATACATCATGATTTTTGTTTTTACAGCTTAAGATAATAATATTAGCCAACATGCATTCATCATCATTCATTCATCACATTTTAAAGGTGCATTCACTCTTCAGTTGGGAGATACACATAGAACTATAATATAATTATTATAGCTCCATGGGGATACACCACTCATGTCCTTGTCACTTAGTTTCCTTAGACTTTTGGCATTACACTCATATCTCATGGAGATAAGCAAAATGTTTACAATTAAAAACATCTGAAATGTAGTAGATGCTAGAAAGGTAAGTAATAGCATCTATGCTGCCCTACAAAGGACAGACACAGTAACGGCACTGACATTTAAACTGAGGAAACAAAAAAGTTTAGACGCTGTCCCTCTTGTGTATGCCAGTGGTACAGTAATGATAGTGTGTTTATGTGCTACCATATGATGAGGTCACATGTATCTATCACAATCATTACCACTGAGTTTACCTTTGACCTCTGAATGTACAGTTAAAGAACAGAAAATGAGGTAGTCTAAGGAAACATATTTGGGGAGAAACATGAAGTATTTTATTTTATGTTTTGAATAAGAAATTTAAAGTTTCAAGGCTGTATTTTGTCATTTTAGAATTAGACAACAAAACATGTTGCAGTATCTGTGAGCTGTGTGAAATTCTCCAGTAAAACAACAGAAAAGTGCAATAACTGGTTTGGATTCTTTAGTTACAATATTCACTGCGGTTACTTCACTTTTCCTTTGAATCACTGAAGAATCTGTAGTTACTGCAAATTTCTGCAAACAAGATTTCTCAAGAAGATTCCACAAGAAGGTGGTGTACGATTCACCAGAAAAGTTACATTGTGCACTTTTAATATGCCCTTATAATTTGTATTTGTTTGCACATAGATAATTTGAGTGGAGATGTTTGAAGTATTTGTTTTACCTAGTCGTAAAGCTTGAGTCTGATCTGATGACTGCACAAATCCAGGGATCTGCTCCACCACAGTCAGAGCACCATCCTCCACACTGTGCCCCAGCTTCACCTTATTTCTGTCCAGCACCATGTACTGGTTGTTGTAAGTGCCTGCAAGCAACAAAGAAAATACAGTACTCCAACATAAAAACAACCTGTATAATATGAAAGTCTTACCAGAGTTATAGAGGGAGAAAATCTCTGCCCACTCCTTTCCTGTAGAGGCTAGGCTGTTGGCCAGTCGAACCCTCTGCCAAGCAAATAGACTCCCAGAGGTGATCAACTTAAAGAGATCGGTGTTGAAGACATTGTTGGTGGTCTGTGTCATCATCAGGCCACTGCCCAAGAGGTAGAAGTCATCCAGGGACACCAAGAATCCTGAATGAAATGTGAGAGCCAAATACACATGAGACACATTGGGAGAGTGAATCTGTATCAATTGTTTTTATAATATGATGAATGAACAGCTTTAATAAAAAATTAAATGTATTGTAATTGTAATTTAATCAATTTTCTCTGATGGTATTTAAAAAAACTGTTTATTTATTTATTCGATTGGGACAGAGCGTGTTAATGGACAAACATGACACAACATGAACGTAAACACTGAATTGTAGACTAAGGATAATTTCCATCCGTTGTTCCAAATAGCTGGAGTCACAGGGGGCCAAACAATAAAATATTTCACACTCCACTCATTGCACAGTTTCCATTATTTTGCAGTCAATTTGGCCACACATTCAATACATGCAGATATGTGTTTCTAGCAAATCAATTAAAATCACAATGCAGTTATACATGAGTGCACGTTTGCTTGCCTGGGTAGCTGCTGAAAGAGAGTTTTCCAGTAGCTGTGTTTGATTCTGCAATATTGAAGTCCCAGTGCTTGTAGATCCTCATTGTGGCAGCATAAGTGTACCAACTGGAATGGGCAAACAGCAGGTTCTCAAAACCAGGAAGCATCTGAGGATTAAAGTATTACTCATTCAGTAACTATTCAGTGCACTTGGTCACAAATAGATTTTTTGAATGATAAAGTAAATGTGGCAATAAAAAGACAATAAAAAGCACTTTACATTTACAGGGCTTTTTGGAATATAGCTTGAATGGAAATTACTTTATAAAGGTTCTAAAATGTTCATCCTTACGATTATCTTAATAGTAATATTGACCTTGATGAGGGCGGAGCAGTGCCCCATCCCAGGAAGTTTTAAGTCTCGGAGTGGAGGGTGGGAGGGGTTCAGGGCTGGGATCAGATCCAGCAGATCTCCAACTCCGTTCAGAAACTGCACTTCAAACTTTGTGAGTGGCTTTGGGAAAAACAGCAGATAAACACCTGTTAGAGTATAAATTACAGTGAAACATATTAGAATTAAATTGTACTGCCTTGCTTTTTCCTATAGGGCTTTAGTGGGAGTACTTTGGCGTCAATGTCATATTAACAGGGAACTGGTGAAATGTAGAGCTGACACTAACATACTTAAACAGACAACCATTTAATCCATTCTCTGTGAGCTTTTTAGTGTGACCAATTCCCAGAACACATCTTTGAAGCTCGGATGAGGTTGGACATGCAGACTCCAACCGCACTATAACCTTCTTGGTTCATAAACTATTGGAATCACCTAATTCATTATGAATTCAGTTTCACTTTAAATTTTTGTCATAGTGCCACACAGAAGCCTGTTTTTCAAGTCTCAAATCTTTGACCTAGAGTCCAAGTCAAGTCCCAAGTTGAAGACAGGCAAGTCCAAGTCGAGTCCAAGTCCTCTGCTCCTTTCAAGTCCCTTTCTAGTCTTTAGACTGAAGTACCAAATACAGATTGTATTTTTGCAGTGTATATGATTTTTAAACTAAATTGTACTGTAAAAAAGTTTAAAGGGTTGTAGAAAGCTTTTTTAGGAGCTTTATAACCATTATTCCATCATGTAGACTGCACTGAAATGTAAGGATCATGGGTTATGTAGTTTATTGTCTGTGCTTTAATGCATTGTACTGTATATTGCTGAGACATTTGATGATAGCATGTAACTTCAGTTACTGTTACATCCAAAGTAACAAATAGAGAAGTTTGAGGGACATGCTCAAGTTTTTCTTGTTTTTGAAAGCATCAAGTCAAGCCTGGGCTCAAGTCCAGGCCATGTCCCGAGTCATTGGCCTTCAAGTCCAAGTCGAGTCCAAAGTCTTAGTCCATTTTATCAACTCATCAACTTAGTAACTCAAGTCTCACTCGAGTGCCTTCTGAGTGACATATGATAAAGACTAAACAATGATACATGATCACATAATAGACATGGCTGTAGCTTCCTTATTACACACAATGAAAAGAAGAACCAGTTTAAAATTACAGTACTTTTTTTAAGAGCATGCCTATCAGTTCCCTCACATTGACTTAACTTTGTGCCTGTATATTTGAATGTAAAACAAACCCTTTTTCCATTTTTCTTGGCCCAATCAGCGACCCCAGCCTGTAGTCCGTCCATCTGTGCCATAATGAAGCCTGCATGCGCCCACAGAGGATCACCGCTCTGTTTCTCTTTCACTTGGGATCTGACCCATGAATCCTGTTTACTACATGTACAATTTAATATGACTTCAGAATCATAATGCAAAACACCATTCAATTTAACATAAAAGCAAAAGTCAAAAGAGCAGCAGCTTACTCCATGAAATTTTCAACAAGGGCGAGTGTCTTAATGTCACGGATTAACTGTGGCATCATATTGGTGCAGTGGTCTATGATCTGTCTGAAATTGCAAACAACAGAGGATCATGTCCAAAGTTCTCTACCATATGCAAAATACAGCTTAAAGTGCTTATGACAGGCTGAACTATACGCTTAAGATAATAATTTTTTTTTTTATTTTACAAAAAAAACAAATCAATTATCTCCCCATTTTGGCAATTTTATAGGTTTTAAATTTTACCTCCTGGTGGAGAGTCACCTAACAACCCTGCTGTAAGTAGGGCAAATCTCCTTTAATGTACACATGAATTATTATTTGACAAATAAAAAACAAAAAAAAAACACATTTATTTGTTGAAAATTTTGAAAGTATCATAAAAAAATGTGTTTTGTGTGTAAATTGTGCCAAACTTTCGGACAGAATTCGCCCTAGTGTGACGTCGTCAAAAAACTTTGTACTTTTTTTTCCAACATATTTTTTCTCCACAAATTGCTTCTTGATTGGTGTAAAACTATCATTTATATTTGAGCATGTATTATTCCACCAAATTAAGCAAAAATTTGAGAATCTGTCATAAGCATTTTAAGATGATAGCAATAAAATGTTTCCTATATAGGTTATATAATTTTGTTTAGCCTGGCGTTCTACATCATGGAGCACGAGACATGGCTCCAATAGTGCACAGGCAGCACATTCCTGACACTTACTGTGCTGTTAGGAAGCCTTCCAAGTATCCAGCCAGATAGAAGGTGAGTTCATCTTGCTTGGTCATTCCATAGCCCGCCCGGATCTCCAGGACACTCCACCCAGTACTGTTCAAGGTATTATTCAGGTAGCCATACGCGTCCCCCTCAGTCTCCAGAACCCCCTCCCTCAGCACCACAAGTTTGTGAGTGGGGTCCCAGTAAACAGTGGCTGCAGACACTGAAACAAAGCCTCAATACATCAGTCTTGCTACAGATTTATTGAATATAGGCAGTGGTGGAGTTAGCAATTTGGGTGACCTAGGCAATCTTGACTTTGGGGCCCTCACTATAATGCACCTTTTTTTGGTTTGTTTAATATATTTATTGTCTGTTTTTCCCCATTGTTCTTGAGACACGCACATCTCTATTTATTTGCATTATGGTGGATTGGAAACTTGTTTTATTAGTTAGGTAGCTTAGCTTAGATAACCAGCACTGGAATTAGTTTAATTTTTTTGCTAGTACAGTTACATTTTTGTTTACATCCATTACATATGATTATTATTATTTTTCTTGTGATTATTGTTTAAAAGTAAATTACTCTCATTTAATGTCATATTGAGAGAAAATCAAATTGCATTGAGGCCTCGGCCATGAGTAAGCACTGAGGGCAATTGATTGGGGGCCCCTCCAGGTTTGGGGGCCCAAGACAGCCGCCTACTTTTGCTTAATGGTCGCGCCGCCTCTGAATATAGGCTCTATGTAATTATTAATATACAATAATTATTGATATACAAAATGCAAGAACGGGATCGCATAGTCCCATAGTCAATAATACGATTTTGTCAGTACTGATTTATTGTAGTAATGCTGAAGAAGCGCCCGCGTGTGTAGGGGAAAGGTACTATAGGTAAAAACGAAAGTTACCTCACAATTGTCCTTACACTACCTGGTAAAAAACACACTTCCTTCAGTGAACTACAACGTCTCAAACTGTGTATGATATTTGTGTAAACAGATCGAACAGCCTGTACGTGTTCAAGATTATCCACACTACTGCCATTCCTGATTTCACATGATCCCGATCTACTTACTGTTTGGGGAGGCGAAGGTCGCAGCCGAGCACAGAATAGCAGCTAAAGCGCAAGTACATTGCCACCGTGTCAAAAACATTTTGGAAGTCTATAGGTTTCCAGCGATCTTCACACAGACTGGGAAAACAAGAAGTGGAGGGAGCTACGAACTAGCTTCTTCCCATTTACTGGTAAAGGTACTTTTGAGGCGGCGTGTTTCCTGATTGGCTGATTGTTATAAACTCCACTGTGCATTGCGTTGTACAAAATGCAATATTGGAAAAAGGTATCTATTGGATCAGTGTGTAAATATACTCCTGTAAACAAACTTTTGACTGTTCAAATATTATCACATAAAACAAAATGATTCACCCCAGATGGGACTCGAACCCACAATCCCTGGCTTAGGAGGCCAGTGCCTTATCCATTAGGCCACTGGGGCTATATTGCCACATCGTGGACAGAGTTATTATTATTATTATCCATCATTACGTCAATATCGGTAACGTGTGCTTGTTAAAAGCAATTAAATACTGTTGGCTAGTAATTATTTGATAATTCTTTGTCAGTGAGTGGTTGGGTGGGATTAGAGAAGAATAACTTGATTCTTCAGGACAGGTTCCGTCATTTTGCTATTTTTACATGGCGTGAAACAAATGTTTAACGCGTGTTTTGTAATTTTCTCTAACGATTGCGATAATGCTGGACGGTATTTTAGTAGATTCATGATGTTTTAGTAAAGCTTGGGAGCTCGCGTCTGCCCTCTACTGGCGCACAGATGTATAACCATGACTGTAGATGCAATACATTTGTGAATAAAAATGCTCTCATTTTGCTGTTCTTCGTGCAGACACAATTGCAAAACAGAATGATTTTTATAATATGCTAGAACCATGCACCCAATTTTGTGAACCATCTCATTTCAATCTTGCACAAATGACAGCAATCTCAAATTATTCATGATTTTCCAAAAGATAATTTTAATTATTAATTTAACCATAGAATACATTGTATAGTGGGACAATTTGGATGCCATTTAACACACAACAAAAACATAAAATATATTACAATAAAGCTCACACAAATCTGTATCTGTATAACAATTTACAGAATGTAAATGTAAAGCTATAGTGAAATCTATTAAATAAATCAAAAAGCATAAGTTAAAATATGTAAATATAAGATTAGTTGTTGACACATCAGTAGCATAGTACTGGAAAATGTAATTTCATTAACAATACAAACAATCCAACAGTGGCCACCTCCTCATCAGGGATAGAAGGCACATCTCATGTATACAGTATTCTGCACAGTTCAGATAAATTAAATATTTTGCATTTAGTCGCAACTGACCTAAATCCAAAGTGAAATAACCATGTGACCTGGACCTGATGCTATTTGATTGTTTGCCAGTTTAAAAAGTGAAAACTGGTTGGTTTTAACCACACACTTAGTCATCATCAATCAGCTTCTCTGCACCGTTCTCCGCCTGTTGGACTGTGCTTGTTCCTTGCACCTCTTCACCACCGACCCCCTGCTCCTCGTCATCCTCGTCTGTGTAGGAGAAGGACTGGCTGCTGTAGTTCATCATGGTGCGTGACAGGTCCACCTCAATGGGGAACACATCCGCCTCCTTCAGCTCTGCGTAACACTCGTCGTAGTAGTGGGACATGCTCGAAACAAAACGCTGCAGCTGGAACACAATGTCCTGGACTGCGTTTAAGATAAACGACAGACACAGGCATGAGTGAGTAACATAAATGCAGTTTATAAAAGGAAGCTGACACCAGTACATTTTTTTACTGCCTTGTAAACTTGTAAAATAACCTGCTGGTCTCTATGGGGATGTTGCTTTGTCTGGAATGATTGTTGTATTGCATCTATTCAATTAAGACAGGTGTATTAATTATTCTGAGCAGCGCCACCGCTCCACAGATATGACCTGTAACTTGGCTCTGCTCATCTCCATGGAGAAAAATAAGCTTAATAGACACGGTTCACTCTAGACAAAGCAATAAAATAGCTCTATGTTGGAAGATCAGCTACCAGAAATGTCACATGATGAGCCTTTAACTTCAAATTCTGATCAATGTTTTTCTAGTACATGGTGGGTGATATGGTGGGTGATATGGTGGGGATTAGTAGTACTGATTTGTTAGTTGAAACAAATTCACTGACAGAAATCATTGACAAATTGACATCACATACCGTGCTTCTGATCAAGCAGCTCTATTTTCTCCAAAACATCTTTCCTCATTTTTGCAAAGCGGGCACGAGCTTCTTGGCGACATCTGAGAATCAAGCGATACTCATAGTTGCCGGTGCTAACTCTGTACAGCGGTTCACCCATGGCCTGTTGGAGAAAATGATTTAAAAAGACCAATGAAACAATATTTTAATTAAAACTAACAAATAATATTCACTATGTACTCACTATGCTGCTATATTCTTCATCATCCATTTCTTTGACCTTCAGACAATAAGACTAAAAGAGACAAATGTTTTACTTCACTAATTAAAGCTTCATTACAATAACTTGCTTATTTTATCTTACCAAATATTCAAACTTCACATCTAGATACTTTCTGATAGTAAGCTTCGTGTCTGGAATGGCTTTGTGAAGGTACGTGTTGAGGTCATGGAGCATCTGTAAAACCAAATCAAGTCAATGAGATGAGGACGACGACGAGTTTCACTCTTTTCATTCATAATTAACTCACAGGTTTGATAGTCTTTAGAAGCTGAATACCAGATTTTTCAATGCTGCGGTGAGCATCTGCAAACTTTACAAATGCCTCACTAGCGGCTGCCTGTGGCTCCCGAACACCGATGACAGAGAAAACATCACCAAAGGCTGCATAAGCAAAGAGGTGTGAATCAATTTAGGTGAAGTTCATTTGTGATAACATTTAAAAGGTCCTACATTATGCTAAATTGTCTCTTGTTAGCTTTTAGTCATAATTTAGTCATATAATGTTTTAACATCATCAAAAACATAAGTTGTATTTTATTTCATTCACATATGTCTTTTATTCTTAGTCTGTCTACATGTCCAAATCTCGAAATGCTCTGCTCTACCTTGTGCTTGTGTGTGTTTATTGAATTCAAAGTGCTTTCTGATTGAGAGAAGTACTAAAAATGCATGGTTTAAGTGTTAACCATGTGTGAAACTAAACACAACTAGGTATATTTTGGATGAGGAAACAACATTATTACATAGATCAGAAAACAGTGCTCTTTAAAACACTAGCAAACAATTACACAGGAACTCACCTCTATGAGTTTGAGAAAGCTCAAAAAAAGCTCTCAGGAGTCTCTTTGTGTGTTCCATAAGTCCTGTACACAAACTCAACATGTAGTATCTGACTAACATCAATTTCAGCATTTTATAACTCTTTAATTACCTTTGTAGAGTTCAGCTGTCTTTTCTAGTTCTTCTAATCTTTTCACCAAGCCATCTGAAAATAACTAACAACAGTCATTCACTGAACAATACACTTGTTCAAGTTTATAATCCACAGTATGAGGTCTCACCGTTGCATAAAATAGCTCTACTAAGACCAAGAGCATCTGCTGTGCCGGAGCTCATATTCTCAACAAGGCGATGCTTTACTTTTTTCAGAACTAAAAACACAGATATATATGAGATTTATTTATTTTTTAATTAAATTATTAAGTTAAGGTTAGTTTGGAATCCAGATGAGACCTATATCGAGAGATTTCCCTTGCTTTGGATCCGCTTGCAATTTATTATAATGAATAACTGCTTCTCCCTGAAAAACAAAAATTAACAAATCTGAAATTAATCATTATTATGCTGCAGCTCCCAAAACTAAGAGGTTGACAAAAGCAAAACCAACTAATCCTTTAAATTCCACAGTACTGTCTGACTTTAATCCAGGTCCAGGAAGTCATGGATTTTTTTCCTTCCTAAAACAACATGACGTAGACATAGTACCACTTGCTTTTGTTCATTGTATCAACCTCTCTAGCGCAGCATTGCTACACAGACAACATATTCACCAGTCCAGTGGTGGGCTTGAACATTGACTATCTCTTATCGACAATTTCACAGCAGGAAACGTGAGTACAGCCTTCTTTTAGTTTCTTTTGACTTTTGTATTAATTAAAGTTGTGTCGTATTTACACCGTCATTTATATATACTAATGAATAAAAATTTAATGACTAAATATGCATAAATGTTTAGAGTGTACCTGGACAGCTTGAATCATTTTGGCCACCTCCACTTTTGTCTTTCCTTTCACTGGTTTGCCATTAACGCCTGTAATTTCGTCACCTGCAGCCAGTGTGCCCTCCAGAGCAGCAGGTGTGTTATCAAAGACCTGGAGCAGGACATGGGCTTCATTTACTCTTTTACATATTAAATGAATGAATGAGTTACTTTTAAAACAGCCCTACCTGCACGATGTAGAGACAAGGACAGTACTGCGCCCCTCCCCCAATGCTTATTCCAATAAGGTTGTTGGCATCTTTCTGGAGGCTGACTGTCCCTGGTACAGTTGGTATTCCACTTTATAACAAAACATAACAATAATTCAAGTGTTCCGTGAAGCAGCCATTTAATGAAACACATTTAAAGTGCAATGGGACACTGCACAATAGTGACTCACAGCTTGTCTTCTTCCAGCTCGTAGTCCATGTCTGTGAACATTGTTAGACCGTGCTGCCTAAACGATCGGAGTGAAAGGAAGGAAAATGAAAGTACATGGACTCAAATAATGTTAGAGAGTTTGATTGATCTCCTTACACATCCCCTTAATAAACATGCATTATATTAGGACATCAATTGGGGGTGCACTTAATAGCAGGTGGACCGACAGCTGCTATCGTACAAAGTCATAATAACAAGATTATTATTATTATGGATGGCAGATTTAATTTGCAAAATATATTGACGTTGCATGGGCTAATAATGTACTAAAAGCAACAAACGAGCTGAAATGAGATGCCAATGGCTAACTAGTAATCGATGCTACTAAAAGGTGGAGCATCCATTGAATACACAAAGAAATAGCTAAAACATTAACGAGATTATTGACATTACCTATTGTGTGTCCACGCTCGACGCTGTAGCAGTGAAACGTGAGTTAAAAGCCGCGGATTTTATGCACTTTTCACCATTATCAAATGCAGCAAAAGCGCATTATTTACTTTGGTGCGTCACTTCCGCGCTCAAACCGGAAGCTCTTGGCATGATGCTCGTGGATTGGATTGGGGATCGGTTCATTGGGATCCTGGGTTACTTATTTGGTTAATATATATCTAATCAATTATAGAGTCTACGTTTTAAACCATATATTAGGAAAATTTCAATTTCAATTACTTTGCAATGTAAATGGAACCTAGATAACTTGCTTAACAGTAGGAGATACAGGACTACATTCATACTATAACACTCCCTACAACTGTACAACAACTCACGGTTATGTAACAGATAATACTCCCTACAACTGTACAACAACTCGCCCTTATGTCACAAATAATTCTCTGTACAACTGTACAACAACTCACCCTTATGTCACAAATAATGTTCCCTACAAATACAACAACTAACCCTTATGTCACAGATAGTACTCCCTACAACTGTTTTCAAAACTCACCCTAAATGTAACAGATAATACTCCCTACAACTACAATAACTCATCCTTATGTCACAGATAATGCTCCCTACAACTATAACAGCTCACCTTTATGTCACAGATAATGCTCCCTACAACTGTACAACAACTCATCCTCATGTAATAAATAATACTCCCTACAACTACAACAGCTCACCCCTATGTCACAAATAATACTCCCTACAACTGTACACCAATTCACCCTTATGTTACAGATAATACTCCCTACAACTGTACAACAACTCACCCTCATGTAATAGCTAATACTCCCTACAACTACAAAACTCACCCTTATGAAACAGGTAATACTCCCTACAACTGTACAACAACTCACCTTTATATAACAGATAATACTCCCTACAACTGTACAACAGCTCACCCTTCTGTCACAGATAATACTCTCTACTCCCTACCTTTATGTAACAGATAGCCATATGTCCTGTCAGTCATCATATTGTTGCTCTGTCTTCCTCTCGTGTAAACTTGTGATTTTATATTTTATTACTTATCTTTCAATTTTATTGTAACTTGTACATTTACATTTCTATAATTATGCTTTATTTGACACCTGTCTCTTGCTATCTTTTTTGCTTCTTATTTAAAATGTATTATTACATTTACATTTCGCTCTTTGTGATTATATTATGTTGAGATGTGTGAACTACTGCATCCAAATAATTTCCCTTGTGGAGCAATAAAGTTTGTCTAAGTCTAAATCTAAGTCTAATCTTCTACTATTGTAATAAAATAGAAGTCCTGATTCCTTAATACTCAGTGAATGATCCTTGACATAAATAAGAGTATCCAAAACATTCACAACATTATTAGTAAAAAGGGCCTTGATAATTTAATCCAAAATCAATCTGTGACTAAATTCATGTTTATTCTCACATTTGTTTGTCAGGAAAAAGACAGTCCCTCTCCATTAGTCTGTGGCAACACCAGCAGCAAACATGGTGAGGTAGATTTTACTTATTTGTCTTATCATTTATTTCTAATTATCTACTTGTCTTGATAATTAATCTTAATATATGCAATGGTCTTGGTCTTGACCCACTATTATATATGTATTGCAGTTTTTTTTGTGTTTTTTTTTTTTTTGTGCTTATTTCTGTTAGGCCTATTTGAAACCATAATATTAAACTGTGCCTGTCTGGCTTATTATAATCTTATTGACTGAACCAATCACATAAACTCACCTTTGTCTGGTCCCTGTTGTAATGAGGAAATTCTGTGTGACTCGTTTTTTTCATAGGAACTTGAGATGAAGAATATGGACTTCAAAGCTGGAGACAATCTGAAAATTAAAGGCTTGATTCTGCATGACGCGGACAGGTAAGTCTGTAGTTAACCATACAGTGTTAATGTAAACCTGCAGACTAATTAGTATGCCTGGTGCTCAGATTCCAGATTGACCTCGGTTGCGACAAGGAGGACTTGGCGCTGCATTTCAATCCCCGCTTCAATGATGATCTCGATGGAACTGTTTTTGTGTGTAACTCTAAGGCGGCTGGGTGTTGGGGCGATGAGAAACGAGAAATTAACAACACTCTGCAGAAAGGGGCTGAAGTCAAGGTAGGGATGTTTATCAAATATTTTACAGTGCACAAATAATAAACTGTACTCTGTGTTTGATCTATCCCTCAATAGGTTAAAGGGACAGTCCATAATTTTGGACGTAGGGCCTCATTTCCTAGTTAGCCAGAGTGTTGGAGACATGTGGAATTTTTAAATATTCCATCCAGTCCTTGTATTTGCAGAGGTTGCTGGTGCTAGGCTAGTGCATGTCAATGGCCATAGTTATCCTGCCGCTAAAAACAGTCTTAACCACTCCACAAAACACCCGAAGCAAATCTGTTATTACGCCAGACTGTCAATGTAAATGTCTGTGTTGATAGAATAATGTTTGAAATAAAACTAACCTTGCATCGCATGAATCGTTGCATGTTGAGGAACTATTTTCTCATATATCAGTCCGCCGCTGCCAAGCTTTCTATCAGGAAGTACAACTCGCTGCTGCTGCTCAGACATAAATCCTTCAAATGCAAGGTTGTTTTTACTTCTAAAATTATTCTATTGACACACACGTTTACATCAACACTCTCGCGTAATAATAGATTTGCTTTGGGTGTTTTGTGGAGTGGGTAAGACGGTTTTTAGTGGCAGGATAACTATGGCCATTGACATGCACTAGCCTAGCACCAGCGACCTCTGCAAATACAAGGAATGGATGGAATATTTTAAAAAAGTGTCTCCACACGTCTCCAACACTCTGGCTCACTAGGAAATGAGGTCCAAAATTCCAGACTGTCCCTTTAACTGTGCCAGACGGACCTTTTAACAGACCTTGGATAGGAGCAGCTGAAGAGGTGGACGCAATACAGATGGTTACAAAGGGTCCTAAGATAGTCTACAATTTCAGTCGGTTAATTCAGGTTTTGTTATTCAGGTTATTCATGTCTTAATACTCAGGTAACGTCCTCATTTTTTTTACTATTGAAGAAAAAACAAATGCAATACCAATTTCAATACCACGATTCATGACAAAATAATAAGTATTTCTTGGTTGCTAAGTGGTCATACTACTTCTGAAAATATCAAGGTTATTCTCAACAGCATTACCTGCTCAAATTAGAAGATTCTGAACTGTAGTTTGGACTTGACAGATAGTGATAATTAAAATCTGATTCTGACAGCCATAGTCAGGGTGGACAGCAAATGTATAAGTCAATGCAAAATAAATGAATAAACCATACTATGCAGCAGATGATTTCATTTAAAGTGAATATTCTGCTTAATATGAATCTGTTCTGTCTGAATTCAGATCGTGGTGAATTTTAGTGGAGACATGTTTGAGGTGGAGCTCCCTGGTGATCAAGAAGTGCACTTCCCTAACCGCGAGGACATGGACGTCATCAAGTACTTGAGAATCTGTGGGGACTTCCAACTGATGTCCTTGAAGATCTCACACTAGTATATTATATATTTACTGCCCTCTTTCCTAAAATTAAAGTAATAAAGTAAAACGTAAAGAAAACATTGTCGACTCTAATCCCTCATATGTTGCCGGTGAGAAGCATGGACAGCTTACTCATACTCACTACAAGAAACACACTTGTCACTTGTCACTCGTTAACCCATCACATTTATTATTTGTTGCATTTCAATCAGTAGTGGTCTTACAATTAGTTAAGTATTCTGTATTCTGCATTATGACATACCTGATAATAAACATGTTATAAACGTGTGTCACATAATAAAATCAATATATCAAATATTGTCAATTAAATAAAACAAACAGTATTTCATTGCATCTTTAAAAAATAAAATATTACAGTACTCCCAATCACTAGTATAAACCATGTCATAATAAACCATGATATAAATGTGTGTTACATAATAAAATCAATAAATCAAATATTCTCAATCTCAAAAATTTCATTGCATCCTTAAAAAAAAAAAATTACTCCCAATCACCAGTAGGTTATACCATCCCTAGTTCCCTGTTTTCTGATATTGGCTTAATGTTTTTATGTGCATATTTCATTCAGACTCTGTATTGCTTCCTCTCTGCTGTAGTTTCTCCATTCGCTGGGGATTTCTCCTTGACCCACAAATTTTAAGTTGTGGTAATCCTCCAGTTCCTTCTGAAATCGACAAATAAACCATTTCCAGTAGACCAGCTTGGATCCGTCAGGAGTGATTAACCATTCAGCGTAGTTCCCGCTAGCACTTTGATATTTTTTGTAAGGAACAGACACATGTGAGAAGGACTGAGGACGGAATTTTTTGTCACTTGCAACTAATGTTGTGCAAAAATCAATGACCATTTCCACTGTACCCCGAATGTGCCATCCTTCAATCCCTGTGGGGCGATGAAAGAGCACGCTGTGTTTGTCCGGACTGTGGTCTTTGACTGTGTTGAGGCAAACAGCAGCACAGAAGGGGCATGTTTCCCAGCAGCAGTTACAAAGCTGATCAATCAGGATCTGGTCTGGGTGAAGCCGAAACTCATTCATTTTATCCAGTGGGAGGTTTTTGAGGTCCTCAGTAATGGGACAAAGACGCTTCTCTATGGCTTCTTTAAGAAAGCTAAATGCTGTCACACTTTTAAAATTTTGAGCTAGAATTTGGCCAAAATTTAGTTTTTCTCTAAGCAAACTGTGAAACTCTTGCAGCCACACCTCTATGTTTCCTTCTTTCACCTTTTCAGTAGCCTGAATCAGAGCTATAGTCACATGATTTTTGATCTCATCAACATTTTTCTTCAGAAGAATCTGCACATTCTTCTCCCTGTGGATATAGTCCTGGACTTCTTCTTTGATGAAGAGCTCAATGTATGTCTTTGGGTTCTCTATGTAGGTCATGTATCTGTTAAAGTCTCCTTTCTCTGCCAGAGACTTCAGCACATGTTTCTCTAAGTTCAGCCTGCTCGCATTAAACGCTGGATAACTGGTCCTCATCACTTCAGCAACATCAATGGCAGTTCTGTTACACACTGTCTCAGTCATGGAGGCCTTCAGTTTCTCACAGATCATTTCAGCAAGAACCACCGCTGAAGACTCTCCTTTGCAGAAGCTTGAGAAAACTGTGTAATGTTCCTGTTTCTTTCTTTCCAAATACCTGTGTGTTTCTGTCTTCATAAACTTCTCATGTGACTCGGAGATCCATGTCTCTGTGCTGACAAAGACGTACAGAGTGAGATCTATAGTGAACTCCTGCTTCAGAGAGTATTTCCACTTTGTTTGAAATTCCTTCACACTTGTGTTGACATGTTGTGCCATTTCTCTCAGGTAGTTTGTATTGTAGCCTTTTGTTGCCACAGGTTTGCTCTTGATGATCTCTTCAGCTTCTTCCTGCACTGTGTGGATGAATTCTGTGATGTTTTGTTTTGTTTTATGATTGCCTTTTTGCTCGACATAATCTGAGTAATCTTCAAGTTTTGACAGATTTGTGTAGCATTTTGAGTTTTTACGTGTAATAATCAAAGTGAACTCAAAGCCAAATTCTTGAAGAACCTGATTTTGATCACGCTCTAAGTTTATTTTTTTAACACATTTTACGTGTTCCTCCAGTGCAGGGGCATACTTTTGCCAGAGAGAGTGGAACTGTTTTTCAAGGTCTCCATCTTTCATGTTGATTTTCACTTGATGAGCAAGTTCCTTGCATTGTTGGTGTAACTGGTCCTCTAAAATTATCTTCTTCTCGTTTAGCTTTTCATTTCTTTTCTTCTCTTCAAGAAAATCACTAAGATTTCTTTGTGTTCTTCTGACTATTTCATCACAAAAATCTTTAATCTTTTGTTCATGTTGGTTTTTCCATTGAGTCAAGAGGTCTTTTTGTTCCTTTCTGTCAAAGTATTGGGATATGGCAGCTTTTATTTCCTCATATTTCCTGCTTATTTGCCCCAAAAGAAAAGCATGATCAATTCTGAGAACTGTCCCATTTTCAATACTTGTGTGAAGCTGTTTTTCAATGTTCAGCATTTCACTCCTCAGGGCCCATGTCCAGTTTCCAAACTCAACTTCAAGTCTTCTGTAAGCAGAGATCTCGATGGTATTTTTGAAGCTGAAAACAAAATTTTCATTTAACAGAGCATTCCAGAGATCTTGCACTTTAATTTTGAACTCAGAGAGAGTGACTCCTGAAGACTGTGATGCTTTAGAGAGGATGAATTTCTTCAGGTCTTGGACACTTACACTGTAACCTGGATTTGGAGGAGCCATCGGAGGACTTCCCTCCCACAGTTCAGCAAAGTACTTCACATCTTTTTCAATATCAAACTCAATAATGTCACTGAAACTTACAGCATCACAAACCTCTTCTCTGGCAGCTACTTTGACAATTTGGTCAAGTGTTTCTTTCAGTTTCCTTTTCCTCTCCATGTTTTTCTCTGCAGCGCCAACATCTGTCACATTCTTGTGAACAAACACACAGCTTGGTGAGAGCTTGACTTTCTTCATCCTCATGAAAGCCTGAACCAAAATCTGCAGAACATCTTGCATCTCAGAGGGGTTTTCTCCAAAGATATTCACCAGAGTCATGTTTCCCACTCCAACTGCAAATGTTGCTAATTCATTGTCACGTTGAACTGATCCATTTCCTTCTGATTCTAACGCTCGCAGCCCCTCAGTGTCCACCACGAGGATGTAGTCCCACTGAAAATCTCTCTTGAAGTCTTCTGACAGTTTGACCAGCTGCATGAAGGCCCCTTTGGTGCATCTGCCTGCACTGACTGCGAACTGAAGACCAAACATGGCATTCAGCATGGTTGTCTTCCCACTGCCTTGTATGCCCAAAACTGACAAAACAAAGACCCTCTTGTCCCCCAGTTTGTGGATGACTTGATCAATGAGACTTGAGATCCAAATTAAAGGAATGTGGCCTGCATCTCCATCCATCAGCTCCATTGGATGTCCTGATATCATCAGCTCTGCAGCCAGCTCAGGGTATCTAGACCAGTCTGAACGTTCCTTATTTGGCTGTTTATTTAGAGACTTATGGGCTTCATAGATCTGTTCCATTTCTCTAAAAATGTGCTCAAGGCCAAATGTCGCTGACTGAAGCTTGGAAGATATTTGTTCAAGTTCTGCTTGTTTGGATTTTAATTCAGAAGATTTGTCAGCTCTTCTCTTCAGGGCTAAGACCTCAGCACACTTCTGCTTATAGCTTTGTTGGATTGAAGAAACATTTTCTGTGACATGAGCATCCATTAAGATCTGTGTCCATGTGAGGTAATACTCACTCTCTGTTGGAGACAAAGATGAGAGGTGTCTGACAAAAGTCTTCATCAGGTCACCACTGGAAGCTTTGCACTGATCTTCTCGGAGCTTCAGCAGCTCATTCTGTTTTTTACATCTTTCTTTCTCAATATCTCCTTGGAGACAATACTGTTCTTTGTTTATTCTGCACCAGTCCTGTAACAGTCTACCTTGACAGGGAAGAAGATTGCTTTTTATTGTCATCACATTTACCCTTTGAATTGTATTCATTACTTCCTTGGCGGCAGACAACCCTTTTGAGCAGCAGGGATCCTCTTCATCCACTCGTATTCCAGTGTTGGACATTGACTCAAGCTGAAAAGACTCACATGGACCAGATAAAATGTCTCTGAGGATACTTTTCAGCTCTTCAGAAACATCTGACTGGCCTCGGTCTTTAATACCAACTTTGTATTTTCCCTTTTTGAGTTGAATTGTACAACTGTTGCTGTCTTCAAGCAGAACAATGAGCGGTTTTGGAGACTCCAGAAGGACAGTCATGAATTCAGCACTCACATGGTCTTTTCTTAGTGTTGGCACAAAAACCACATTGACGGAGGACTTGTCCATCAGTATATTCAGCTGTTTATCATGAGTCACACCATCCCCGTGAAGATTGCAGAAGGCCACACAGTCATTGAAGGTGTCATTGGGTTTTCCAGCAGGACAGTACCAGGCGATCTCCGCTACACCATCAAACAGAAGGCAACTTTTGGTGCTGCCTGGACAGCTTCTGTGGTAGAACGTGTTGTGGCGGTCATTAATTAAAGTGTTGATGAGCTCAGATTTGGAGACAGACAGAGACCCCAAACGGAAACAAAACACCATTAGGGTCTGTGCTTTACAGATGGGCTTGGTCACAACTTGTGAATTGTCTTTGGCCTGAGTTTTTGTCCATGTTTTTTGAATCTGTCTGAGTGTCCATAGAGGACACTCTATGTCCTCAGTGGAAGGGTCAGGCACCAGCAGAGGTAAGGCATACTGACACTGGGACAGTTTTGTGACCAGCTTCTGCTTTAGAAAGCTGTCTGAGCAGTGGAACACTGCCATCTGGCAGTCCATGGGGTGGATGTTGTCATATTTTGGGGAACTACTGTATACCTTTGTGCTAATATCATTACTTTGATCCTTAACCCAAATATACCTCGCCCTGTAGTCTAACATCAACAGTTTGTGCAGGTAAACAATGAAGAGATCCCCCTCAGCTAAGTCTTGGTCATGTTTCAGAGGTGGACCAATCTGAAGAAGCTCTGCAGAGGTCAGTTTATACTCAGATCTGTTGTTCAGGAGCAGTCTGTCCAACAGTGCTTGGGCTGGCTGTGTCAGAGTGTCCTGTCAAATTTAAGTCAAAGATATTTAATGCATCTTTGAAAAAATAGATTTATAGCAATACATGCTCAAACTATAGATTGTTTACACATTATTTGCTTGAGGTTTACAATTTGATTGACTCTTCTTTGATAATCCAGTTATAATTTAGATTGCTGTGAGGTGATGGACCTACCACAATTACGTATAGTTTTTTTTTTTTTTAAATAGAAAAGGCCTACTACTGGTTATACAGAGGCTTACACTGGCAGCAACACTCATGTTTAGTAAAAAGTTCTTAGCTGTCAGGCCATTTACTTCCCCTTGTTTTCTTATCACTGCTGTAATAGCATGTATTCATCACGACAAAGACATCTACAAAGCCTTTTCTTATTAAATATTTTGTATCAATTATAATTGAAAACAAGATTTTCCTTACCTTTTTGACAGCTGAATCAACACTGTCTTCCAATGTGACTGTATGTTCTGTAAGAAAATATTGTCTGAGTTTTTTCTTCTTTCTTATTACTATTATAGTTGTTTATTTCAAACGAATACCTTGTTGGTCAGAGTTTATGTTAATTTCCACTTGTACATTCTTCTTCTCATGTACAGCCAAGAAAGTTGCATGGTTATCCTAAACAATGATGGATGAGTAAAATCATAAACATAGCATTTTATTATGCATTTCTTTAGCTTTTAATTACATGTTCCACTTTTACAAATCAAAATCAAATGTTTCTTTCTGATCAAAATTTACTATATGATACAGAGTACATTCTTGTGGAATATACAGTTTATTTATTGATAAGTATGTTTCTTACCTTCAACTTGAACACTGGTCCCTTCTTGTTTAGACAAACTGCAGAATGTAAAAAGGTTCTGAAAACATGGCACTACCTAGTAGTTTTATTGATATGCTGCATGCCAACAATATTAATCCTAACACATCATATCTCACCTGGTCCTAGTTGTCTCTCTGTTTTTTGTTCACTGGCCTCCTCTTCCTCCTATAAAAGCAAAATGTATAAAATACGTCGCTATTCAAGAAATGCTTCTTAACTTTTAGATGAAGTATTCAGTTTTGTTCAGTAAGTAAAAACACAGATACCACAGCAAAAAAATAAATAAAAGTAAAAGTATGACATGAAAAAATCTACTGGTAAGTGTTAAAGTACCTGTTTAAAAATGTATTTAAAGAGCAAAGAGTAAAAAGTAAAAATATTTCACGCAGATTTTTTTACTTTTCAGTTAAAAAAATTTACTGGTGTAGAAGCTGCAGATACCTTCTCTCAAATGTAGTGAATTAAAAGTAAAAGCATTCACTTTAAAATATACTTATGATAAATATATATAATAATCAATAAATTATATGTAGGTACAGGACTTTACTACTTTTACTTTGTTATGTTCCAACACTGGCTTTAGGTAGTAGCAAAATGTAGCTAATATGTTAATTTATTCTCATGTCATTTGGAATAACTAAACTTGTTATCTTAAATTATAATGACTTTCTTTCTTTCTCTGTAATATTCTGGTGGAGGATACACCACTTGTTTCCTTGCCACCTTGTCTCAGTACTAATCTAAAAAACATCTCAAATTAAATAAATGGAAGAAAGATAAGTTTATTGCCATACTATAAAATAGTACAGACAAAGCAGTAACATCTCCATGGGGACAATGTTACATTGTGCATTTTAATGATAATATTCTAATAATAAACATCCAATAATATCTAAAAGAGTCACCTGAACTTTGACTCCTGAGAGTGGGGACTTGACGTAAATTTTGACATCAGAGGCAGGACTTTGCACCTGCACTTGCACTTGAAAGTTCTGAGTCTCCACATGAACCTGCACTGAAAAACTAGTCTGTCCTTTGGATGGCGTGGATTGGTGGTCACTGCCATCAGAGTCCTCACCTGGAAGAGAATGGAAATACTTAAAACACTTAAAACAGGCACATGTCAGAAGTTATAATAACTGTGTGTAACTGTCATGTACTTTGTGTTTTTGTTGTCTTTTGGTCTTTATTGTCCATCTCTAAAGTGCTCACTGCACAAAAAAGGAAGAAAATAATTAGCTGCAAGCAGTAAACTCTATTTTATTTCTTATAAAATTCCAACACAACAGTGCAAGAAACAGACAATTATGGATGGTAATAAAAAGTATAAAACTCACCTTTTGTGCTGTTGAGCTTCTGTTGTTGAGACTCTTTGTCATGGGTGCATTTAAAGGATTTTTCTAGATCATCCCCCATAAACTCCTCCTATGTGGTTTTGTGAAATAAAAGTAAAAGTTACTTACAAACATTTCCTTGCCAAGTTACTTACATGTATTTCCTTGCCACATATTTAAACAAACAGGGAAATAAAATGTCAGATTACAAGCCCAGTTTTGCGTCATATGAACGCACTGAATTAAAAATTATGAAAGACTTTTCATGGGCTGACTTTGAACACTGGGTTTTCTAATATAGCCTTCTAAAAGGTGCACTATGTAACTTTTCTGGAGGATAGTTAGCCACCTGCTTATCACATGGACAGGGGAGAAGCAAGTGGTGCTACCAGGCCAAGTCACAGGTCAGATCTGTGGAGCGGCAACCCAACTCACTAAGATGGTTTTGTGGTATTTATATTTTTAGCAACACTTTCAACACTCTTGAAATAAATGCAAAATAGATCTAAATAAAACCACCTTGAAATACTTCACAGGCGTCATCACTAAGACTTTAGGATAGGCTTTAGTCATCCCCACCCCAGTCATTTAAGGAAATGAATGATTTGATCATGAATGAGGAAGATTTGTATTGAGCAAATCCCTTCAGTATTTCCCCATGCTTGTTTTCACGTGTCACTATTTTAGGCCAAGATTTACTTGAGAGCAACATTAGAGTTAACTTTGATGTATTTGGCTTAATTATTTTTAAAAATTGTTCTCAGACTCGTTTTAAATACCATACCTTTACTCCTAAAGCAATCCTTTTATATTGCTCCTAAGTAATATTTTTTACACTGTATCAGTACTCCTGAGTAAAGGTTGTGGTTACCCACTGTGAGGGAGTCTACAAGTGACAGCTGCAGTGAAGCTTTATGATATTGTGTTGATATTTTTAATTAGTGTTTCATGCACCACTCATTCATGATTCATTTCTTATTTGTGGTCTATTTTTGAAAATACCAGATTTCATGTATTATTCAATATTTTATTCCAAATATATTACAATTAATGTAACTTAAAATTCTCTAGTAGTTAAAGAGGCTTTTATATCCTCATTCTAACCCAATTAAATCTCAAAAGTAAAATGTTTTTTTAATACATGCTTTAATTGTTTAATGTTTGTTATTAGAACAAGGTGTAAAAAGATGTTATCAGTGTACTGATTTGATCTGTTGAACTTGTTGTTCTTCTAGGTGTTTTCTGATTAGAATGAGGAAGATTCCACAGATAAAAAAATCCTTAACTAACAAAAGTTGGTATGTAACTTGACGAGAATGACTGCCAAAAGCCTTAGAGCATAAAATAATACATCGAATTTAATACCTTTCATTACCAGTGTTTTTAGTCCTGAAATTAATAATGAGAATCTTGCTGAATTGTTTTAAGGTGCTGTATGCTCGAATGAATTGTTTAGATTTTGTAGAGAATGGAACATCAACAACATGAACATGCTGCAGGAGATACTTGGATGTTTATGGAGATGAAGATATGTTGCTGAATATCTTAATTTACTTAACCAGAATCGAATAAAGAATCCCAGGTCAAATTGTATTACAATCATTGTATTTTGTTTATAGCATACATGTTAAGGCCAAACAAAAGAAACACATTCTAGATGAAACATTATTTATTGTACTGTTATTTGAACATAGAGTTTAGTCTGATCACAAGTTCAGTAACCCGCAGGTCCAGTGTACTGATCAGTCTGTTTACGCTTAGAGTTCATACTTTGATCTCTTCCTCATCCTCTGAAGAACTTGATACTGACTTCTTGCTATGGGCAGGAGACATGTCATGGTTACAGACAGGAGACATGTTGTTATGGTTACAGACAGGAGACGTGTTGTCATGGTTACAAACAGGTGACATCCTCCCTCTGCTCCTGTGTGTGAAGGACGCTCCTCCATAATGACGGGACAGGACGTGAGCTGCTCTTTGAAAACTCTCGGCCTGCATCCCACACTCAGACAGGTCTACAGATCTCCTAAACTCCTGCGGCTGCGTAAAGTCTGAGCCACTACAGCGCCCCCTGCTGTGCATGTGTCTGCTGTACATGCTCACACTAGGCTCAGGTGAGAGGACCTCAGGGCTCTGTACAGGCGTCTCTGAGTCTTCGTCTTCTTCATCTTCTTGCCCCTCCCCTTGCCTCTCTGTCGGGCTCTGATTGGACGTCTGAAGGCAGCTGTGGATGTCAATCATGCTGAGCACCTCGGTCATGAGGGAGGGCCCCAAGTCAAGGGTGAAAGAGGTTAGGGAGTCGGAGCGTGGCAGAGAGCCCCGGCAGGACTCTCCATCTGGGCCTGGTCTGTCCATGCGGGAGAGCCGAGGCAGAGTCACAAAGCCAGACTGGTAACCTGTCCAGAAAGAATATCCAAGAACATTTAACAAGCCACTCACACCACATTCAGTTTGTTTGATCCGTGCTCAATCTGATCACTTATACAAACTAGTTAATTATAGTTTCATTATTGCAGTTATGATTTAAGCCTGCAGTGTCTATACTATGGACCAGTACCCAAATTAAACCTTCAAAATAATTTTTTTCTTGGGTCTCTAGCTGATTTGACCAAATGATCATAGGTAGACAGTACTCTTTACTGCACATTTAAGATTTTCTACAACCAGAACCTTATTAACAGACATTGCATTGTGATACGTGCAATATGATTGCGATATGTGCAATAAAATATCAATAAATAGTATTATTATCGTTTACAACTTTTTATACACAGACAAATACATCCATGGGCTGCAGTGATGAAAATAGCACCACTGACAAAGCAATTAACAATTCAAATCAAAATGTTAGATTTTTCAATTGAGTAAAAGTCCTCAAAGGTATGACCTGTAAGTAGGAAGTGGAACCCCGTGAGAAGAAGTTAGTGGCAGTTTAACTTTTTCACCAGGCGATGGCAGTGTGGGATAACAGACTTGAGATCAAACAAAACAATGTTTACTTCAACTTCAACAGTCAGTGTTATATTGGACCAGAGGAGCTGAGAAGAACTACACAAGTACACAAGAGCCTGTCCTCTGTGTTATTGTTTTATAAAAAGCTTTTGTAGAGTAACAGGTCTAGACACAGTGGCAGCATTTTCCCCTTATTACCATTGTATAAATACACGGATTCACAATGAATGCTTCATACCATAACATAAATAACATCTAGCACGCCAAAGGATTATTAGAAAATATTCACATATTATGGCGTGCAGTGCAGTTATTTGTTTTATTTTAATAATTATTATAGAGTAAATTACAGCATTCCTGATTATGCCATCTGGAACAACATGTATTATTAGTGAAATGTGAACAGACCCTGCTCCCTAGGCAGATTCCTGATGCAGTGGGTAATCTGTGATGGTGAGGGGATTTCCAGTGCACTTGGCGCTCACTGCTGTCTGCTGCGCTCTGATTGGCTGAAGTATGTTTACTGATTGCTACTGAGAGATGACAGGAAATGCCCACTTTGTCCTTCAAACCAGCTGTGCATGTTTGTGTTTTTAGGTGTTGTCTAGGTAACCACACCCTGACTATGGGGAATGTGAGAATAAAGTTAAAGAAAAGCCTTTCATTCACTATTATTGGTGACTGACATTTACAGGCTAAAGCTGAGTTATTAGAGAGGGAAGAGTGACATACATGGAGGTCATTTGGTGAATCATTGACAGTTTTCGTCATTAAAATGACATATATATACTTACATAAATATACTTACAATATGTACAAAAAATCATTGGGATCTCTTGATCTCTTATGAGTTAAATGAACACAAATTCATCATTCAGTAAAAGCACTGGTTTCCGAGGATGACAGTTAAGACCTCAGTGGGTGCACAGCCCGCTCACTTAGTGCTTTGACTGCTTTGAGTTATGGGAGTATTTAAGAATCTCCTCACACTGAGTTGAAAATGTGTGTTGAATTGTGTTTTACATTTTTACATGAACATGTCAGACCCTTCAAACGAAAAGGGGTTGAGAGTGGCCAGTGTAAGGCACATTTGGGAGGTGATGACTTTTGTATGAACTTCTCAGACCCTGGTCCACGAACCACTACAGGGTAATCCTAGGTTAAGTCTTCCCTGGCATTGCCAAACAGTGACAGTGCCAGGCCAAGTTAAGCCTTGTTTTAGTCCTGATTGGAGTCCTGTCATTTGGACCTGGTTCAATCTATGTATGTTATCTTTTAGCTTATGGTTTCTGTCTTCAGCCTTTTCAGAGAAATAAATACATTTGGGAAACTTTGGTCATAGTTTTTGCCCCAATCTGCACTCAAATTCACAGTATGCCTAATGAACAAACCACAACTCATTAAAGGATAGAAATAATTGAACCCAATTCTCACCGTATGTACAGAGGGCATCATCTGTAGAACTGAATGAAGTGGTTAACACTGCCCTCTGTAGGCACCCACTGGCAGAGTCCACCATATTGAGCTGGGGCAGGGAGATGGCATTCTTGATGATGGGTGATACTTCGGGGGGTGGAGAGGACAAGTCACGTGACCCGCCCCTGGTGCGTGGTGCAGAGTTCTTGCGCACATGTTTGAATTTGCGAGTGAAAAAGCCAGTCCTGGAGGTGGTGGAGTCTGGACTGCTCGGCTCCCTGAACCCTCCTCCTCCATAATTACTTAGGAAAGACGTGTCTCCAAAGACATCACCTCCGCGCCCGACGTGCATGGTGTGGCGAAAGTCTCCCATGGGTGGGCCGATCATGTCCACAGACAGGTCACTCTTGAAGCGTCTTTTGGCCTGGGAGCTGGACACAAGGCCCTTTATGCCGGGCAGTTTAGCCAGGCTCATGGTGCTGTGCTTTTTCAGATCAGTTGGATTTTTGTAAAAAAATCTAATCCCAGTTCAACTTGAGCAATCTGAAAAATAAAATAATAAAATATAAATATTATTGCAAGAAGAGAACCTTCTGCCTTTTGGGTGGTTTGTTAGTCTGCAAGTTCTGTCACTAAAAATGTTTTTGGAAATATAAAATGCCTACTAATTAGGAGGATTAAAGAAAATTGCTGGTTATTTCACTGTATCAATCAAAGTTTGAACCGTAGATCTGTGGGTGATTAAGGTTAGTCATTGTATTAATTCCTCTCTTTTTATTATGATTACTTCTAACTCCAATAAATTAAATCAATCAATTATTAGATTATATGCAGCCTTAATGGGTTAACGTGATGAAACTTTAAAAATGGACTTTTATGCCCCATAAGCTTTAGTCTGAGCAGAATAAGGAATGTCCTGCTTTGTTTCAGTCGCCAAACTTTATGTGGCGTGGGCCTGGCAGAGTGTTCACTTTTAGCTCTTTGTGGACAGAGGGAGGAAAAACAAAAACCACAACTGCAAAAAGATTGGAGATTGGGATCCAACATCCCAGCAGCTGTGTGGAACTTGTGGCTACAAAATAAAATGTGTAAGATGCATATTTGTGAATATGTGCTTTAACACAGCTACTGTGTCACTTACAAAAAGAGAAAGACCTGGACAGATTTAGAGAGATTTTGTCAATATTCATTATCAGTATGCATTATCAGTGAGCAGTAAATTCAATGTTATAATTCAGAATACCAAACCTGTATTCACTGGCAACAATATTAATAATGATTGCATAACATATACAAGTAATTTCTAACATTATTTAATATTTTTTTTACCTCTGAGACTCTCTTTTATCCAATACAGCTGCAGACTTCCCTTATTGTAGACTCTTCCATCCACTGGTTTGTGCTAAACAGGTTGATCCATGTGTAACAGCTTCCAGCCCGTGGGACATTCAGTCACCACCACCTGTTGCGGTGCAGCACTTCTTCAGAACCAATGAGATGAAACTGTCTTACATGAACAGTCTAACGGAGTAAAAAGTCCTAATCCAGCTAGTGTTTTGTCTGCACGCTGCGGTGAAGGTAAGGCTGCTCACCGATTGGCCATGAACGGGATTAGCCCATAATCTCTGTCTTTCCTTCTTCTTGTTGAAGTCTTAACACTTGCTTTCTGTGTTCCTCAATCCACTTAGGCCCACAGTGGTGCACGGATAGAGAGCTTCTCCGTCCACACTTGGTTCAATCAAGGCCGACTAAGGAGAAAAGAGAAAGGAGAGTCAATGTCAATGCAGTATCATCGTCCGTCACCTTGTTTCTATGGATGTAATGGGTCTGGAATGTTCCACAGTATGACTTTAAACTACTTTGCCTTACATGTATTAAATTACAAGTGGTTTACAGCTCAAAAATACCTAGAAAAACAGGCATTCTGACTGTAAGCAGGATTTCTCTCCACAGATCTGACCTGTAACTTGTTCTAGTTTGGGCTCCATGAAGACAGAAAGGTTTAATGCCATACTGTGAAACATTCTAGACAAAGCATTAACATCTTCATGGAGAAAAACATTTGATAAGCACACTGCCAGAAAAGTTTAAGTAAAGCTTCTGAAAAAGTTTTTGGAAGCTGTTTTTGTGTATATCATTTTTTCTACAAACTATATTCCAGTGATGATTGATTGAATGTCTGAGCACAACAACATCATGTCACCAAACACATTTCCTTCTATTTTAACTTTGAATTATGGATGCGATTTTTTATGTACTTATTTTTAACAGAATATCTTGATCCTTTTACCCTCTAAGGTTTTCTAACATCTGCTATGATGAAGAATGTCCTTTACTGCAGTGTGGTTGTTTATCATTTGGATAAAAACACTGGAATAAGTCATTTTTCACGCTGTCTGTAATAGTGTCTTCCTGGGCAAAAAGTAAGGCTTGCATCGTGTGACCTCTTGTGAGCGGATGGATTAATGTCACACCAATCAGACCAAGGTGATGGTGCCACTCTGCCATGGCATAGATTAACTGTGTCTAATCCAATCCCAGTCTACAGCACTATTGGGACGGCTGGAGCAGAGCAGCAAATGGATCAGTATGTCGATGTCAAGAACAAGAGCAAGAGCAAGAGCAAGAGCAAGAACAAGAACAAGAACAAGAGCAAGAGCAAGAGCAAGAGCAAGAGCAAGAGCAAGAACAAGAACAAGAGCAAGAGCAAGAGCAAGAGCAAGAGCAAGAGCAAGAGCAAGAGCAAGAGCAAGAGCAAGAACAAGAGCAAGAACAAGAACAAGAACAAGAGCAAGAGCACAGTCTCCAGATAAAATGGTGACCAGTTTTACACAATTATGAGTTACTTGTACACTCAATTATTTGCGGTGTGTAAGGCATCATAACTTTCTCAACACTACAATTAGTTGCAATAATATAAACAAAACCCACTTTCTGTTGCTGTTGCACTGACACACAAGCAGTGGTGGAACATAATGAAGTAAAAGTACTTAATACTTAAGTATGAATCATCTTTGTGGATTCTGTTTACTTTAACTTCACTACTTTTGAGAGAAGCTATCTGTCATTTCTACTGCACTATATATCTGAACAGGACTGAAAAGTAAAAGTATTTCTTATGATTGTTTGAAACTTGCTGACACAAAAATATACAAAGAAAAACAGCTAGGAAGAAATGATTGATTGAATTGTTTCCATTGAACAAAATTCAGCAAAATCTTTATCAAATTCAGTACATTTGAAGCAATATTGGACATCTAAATCTGTGTAAAATAAACAGTTACTTAAATACTTTTACTTAAGTAGATTTTTCATGTGATACTTTTACTTGAGTATTTTTTTGCTCCAGTATCTATACTTTTACCTAAGTAACAAAATTAAGTAGGCCTACTTCTTCCACCACTGAAGACAAGTAAAGTAAAAAGAAGTGAGTGTAACAGTGTGCAGGCCAGATACACTGACATTTGTCTTAAAACCCAATTTCTACTCCCTTTTTATGTTTGTCTCTTCATTCTGTCAGCCTCTTGCCACTGTATTTTCCATCGTACACAGCTCAAAATCAAATCAGAGTTACACTATGAAGAGATGCATTGTGGGAGTGGTATGCACAGACTGAGCTGTGGTGCAGTGTGGGTCAGAGTTTTCTTCCTCTGCTGTGGTTGTGGTCACTTCGCTCTGACCAGTGAAAGTCGCTCCAAAATACAACAGACACAACGTGGCAGGACACTCTGAGCAATGCACGTGAATGTTAGTTCGTATGCAGAATTATTTTAAAGGCTCTGTGTTCTTTTATTCTGTGTTATAATGCTGTTTCCTCATAAAAAAAACATTCCTGGAGTTGTGTTTTGTTTCATACAACTCCAGAATAACTCTCTCAAACAGAAAACACTCATGTGGCAATATAGGGAGTATTCCACTGTGTTTTTAACTCCACACACTTTCCCCAGAATAATTTAGATAATTTCTGGAGTTGTCAATCTCTAAACTAAACAAAAAGTAAAAGATTAAGTTTAAAGATAGTTCAGTTTCATGACATCACAAGGTGGAAGAAGAGCATTTTGAGCTTTGGAGATCTAGACAGACTAATAAAAAAGGACTCAAACATGTGTGAATGAAACAAAACACAACTCTGCACCATGATATGGCAGAGAACATAAACATCCGACCCTGGGTTAGTTATTTAAGTTAAGACTATAAATGCTAATGTGTTTCTACAAGACCTAATAATTACTTAAATGTCTGTCAGGGTATGCCCATAGTTGCTAGAACGATCTTAAGGGCATTTCTGTATCATCTGCCACCTGCTTGTCTCCATGGAGATGTTATTGCTTTAATGGGAATGTTTCACAGTATTGAACTATCTCCAAGCAGATGACGCCACCAAGCCAAGTTACAGGTCTGATCTGTGGAGAGGCGAGTCTGAAGAATCATGTTTTTCAGTGTATTTTTGAACAACAATGTAATGTAATGGAAAATTCCAGGCAAACCAATAAAATATCCATGGAGACAGGCTCATACCGCAGACATAGACACTTTTAAATATAGTATAAAAAAACAACAACATATTGAACGAATAAACAGTTTTCTGAGCTATCCAATCTAGATTTATGAAATATGTAGAAGATATTTAAACTCTTCGAGGTCTGGAACCGTATTTGGAGTAGCCCATACAAGACCCCGCATCTTAAACAGCAGCCACCTACACAAGCATTATTTACGCTTAGTGTAACGCTCTACTGTGCCACTCCTCCTGAATGTTCCTTTTAGTACAAGAGAAAAAAGCTCAAGAGAACAGTGTGGGGCAAATGTGTCTCCATGCATGACAATGGTTTGAACGAAAAACGTCTCAGCAAATGTTGTCAGTCCAAACTTCACACAGTCAACACGCAGATGTGCCAAGAGGTGCAGGAGGAATGCAGTTACTTTTACACCAAACAAAGTCACTTTTGTTTGGTGTTTGGGTTCTGCCTAAATGGTACAATAAACTGTACAATAAATTAGCTAAAAAAAATCAGCATCCTTTATGTAAATGTGAGAGTTAAAAGAACAAAGTCCTCGTATTTAATTAAACTGGTCAAATTATAACTAATGCTAAACAGAATAAATTATGTTTAATGGTTATTTCACAGACACATGCTATACAGTGTTGTTGCTTGTTTTAGAAATTGAGGTAATGATAATATAATAAGTGATTATATCATCATCACTGCTCTAAAGTGTTTTAACTACAGCTGGTAAAGTTTGAGAATTAATGGTAACTCACAACTCTACAATATGTTCATAAAGTCAGTCCTATGAATTAGACTAAACAGAAAGTAATTATATATTTTTAGTTTGAATTATAAACTTGCAATTTGATTATGCATTTCAAATATAAGATGCAGTACTCAGATGATGCGCCCTTTGGCCTTACCTTTGGGACAGTGAAGTATTCCTGTGGCCATTGGCTTCACATGAGTGTTGCTCTGGGCAGCAGCGTGTCCGCTCTGAGCTGCCCCAAACAAGAACGACACACGGAGATAAAGAGGGGAGGAAGAGGAGGAGGAGGAGAGGGCTGGGCTAAAGACTGGACAGGATGCAAGTGGATTAGAAATGGTTGCAGAAATTGTGCTGTGTAAAAAGTATTTGTACAGATAATATATTGCAAAAATAGGTAAATCATATTTTTAGGTCCTATCACACAGTTATTCAGTTTTGAATCCCTATAATACGTCTAAAAAGCTCTACAATAAAACAGAAATAGTTAAAACAGAAATTACTTAAATGTTTACTTTTACCATAAAAGACATCCACCAAAATGATTGAAACCTATATTGTACGTTTTCTACAGATGAAATTTACACAAGAAAAATTTTGACACTTAGGTATTATTTTAAAAAGTGAGGAGATGATGTCCTTATTAATATTTATTACAGGAATGTTGCAATGTGCTTGTGGGAACTGTAGATTTGACAAACAGACCTCATGTTGACGTTTATACTGTGGAGATGTATAAAGGGGCAGGGTGCACGGCCAGGTCACTTGTAAATCTGAAGGTCCTGCCGACAGCAGCCGCTGAGTGAGAAATGAGTGTTACAATATGTTTTACCATTGTAGCTATTTTGAATTTACTGTATAAAAACAAATATGGCATGGGGTGGCGTTTGACCTCTATTTATAAAGACATGAAATGGACTGCAGACTTAAAGGGATCTGAAGATGATCTTAAAGGGATCAAGGAATCTGTATCCGAGGAGATTCATCCATTAAAGAGACAGACAATAGCATTCTTATGGAAGCCAGATGTGGATGTGGAGAGCATCCTTCAGGAAGTGGAGCAGGACGGTTGATATAGTGTAGGCAGAGTGAGGTTTGGAGTAAGTCAGTGTTTGGGCTGCACTCCTGTCTCTGTGTCCTGGGACGGGACAGGAAGCTGGCCTGCAGACAATAAACCTTTGTCATGTTAGACCACACTGCTTTAGTAAATAAGCAGACAGTGCTTAGTCCTTATAGGATCTAATTGGCTAGAAACATTTGGAAGTGTCCTCCTGCTGCAATACGGTTATGATTTTTAAAGGTCCCAGATTACTGACCTTTACTTCATCAGGATAATCTATGTTTCATATTTTATTAATTACTGTTATTACATTGAAATTATATACATAATATAAAATTAAGAAATGGCTATAAAGCAGTGTAGCTGTTAGTAACATGGTTTTAGTGCTGAAATTATTATATTAAGGCATCATTATAACATTGATTTAGCATAATACATAAAAATAAGACCTACTAATGTTAGAAACTGAGACTGCACAGCCTTAATAAAACCTCAAAAGATTAATTTGCATTTCCTGCTTCAAAAAAGTAAAACATATTATTTATTATTTTAAATACAAGAATATTATAATCCAGGTGTTAGAGAGAGAGAGGAGCAGCCCCACAAAAAGAGGGAAATAACCCCCATGATTTCCCAGAACACTGCTCCCGGGGCAAAGACTCACTCAAAACATTCATTGTGCTTTGAGACTTGAATGTGCACTGGACTCATGCAAGGGAGGATGAAGAAGCTCCTATCACTCATTACTGAACAGTAAAGTGCTATATTGGATATCAAAATACAGAGATATTTGGTCTATAAGCTATGTTAAATGTATATATGTTAATTATGCAGCTTTGACACAATCTTTAAACATAAATCATGCCTTCAGCAAAGCAAAGGTACAGTGATGTAACCAACTCTGGTCACAACTCACAATAGACTTTTTGGTGTTTATCTAAAAAAAATAGAATGTAATTTGGGTCAGGGAGACTAAAATCCACCATTAAAATCCAAATACTAAGGTGTTATGACTAATCAGACAGCTATTCAAAGCATCTAAACAGTACGCCTCTTAAAAAGAAACCACTAGCCAAAAGTTTGGACACAATTTTCATTCAGTGTTTTTTTCTTTTTGTTTATTTACTACTTTCCACATTTTAGATACATCCAGAAAACATTAAATACAAGATGCACAAGGTTGAGAATTATGTGGGCAATAAAAAAGTTAAATAACCCTTTTACTTTTTTTTTTTTTTTTTTGTAGCTTATAGACAAATGCTCAAAGTAGCCACCCTTTGCTTTGTCGAAAGCTCTGCAAACCCTTGGCCTTCTCCCAGTGAACGTCTTATCTCACAAAATGGTTTTCACTTCACAGCTGTGCCCTGTCATGGTCAAGAAATGCAAAAAGTGCAAACCAGGGTTCAAAGCAAAGGCTATCGTTTTGTTTGTTCGTTTGTTTTTTAATCTAAAACAAGTTTACAATTATTTTGAGTTTATTTTTTGCTTACTATATTCCATATCTGTCCATTTATAGTTTTGATGGCTTCATTGAAAATCTATAATGTAAATAATCATGAAAATAAAGAGGATGAAGAGGAAGAATGTGGTTAACATTTACTGTTTAATGCCACAGTGACTCAATTTATTATGTCTGCAGTTCATGTGACAAAAATGTAGATATACTCTGTTGTAAATGAAGCAACACTAAGCAGCTGGAGCAGTTTCTACAATAGAAATTTGAAACCCTGTAATACTACAATACTCTTGAAACCACTCCCACTCTCTCCTACCCTTCCTGTACCTATTCAAACATTTTTATTTTAATTACAACCTTTGACAACATAATTATGATCAAAATGCACTCACTATGGTCAGTATTTCCAGATAGATTTGCATGTTAATAAATTTTTTCATTAATTTTTTTCTGGCCTAGTGGTATTTTTAAGGATTTACATAATAACTATCACAAAACAATTTCTCATTTTGTCCATATTTGTCCCTTTGAAAGTTTCTCTCATATTTGCTTGAACAAGAAATCCATCCCTCTGACCTTGGCGTTGTTTATGTTGTTTTGCTTTTATTTCACTTTGCACAGGAAATTGCATAGCTTTGTCGTTATTAACAAGCTCCTCTCCACGGTATTGAGTTTTATAAGGCTGATAAGCACCACACTCAACTCCAACAAAAGAAGCGCATGGCACAATCCGCAACATCAAATGTAATTCATGTTGCGAGTATTCTCTTTTTTTGCTTTGTTTTTCCAGAAAAGTTCAGAAAAGAGGCTTTCTTCTAGTTCACAAAGGGGCGATTCTGTGCAGTTGTCAGCCTTGAGTCATAGACAGAGCCACTGGGGGTCAGTTGCAGTGTTTTGTGCCAGAAATGGGCCGAGTGGTACAAATGCAGTAATGAAAGAAAGACCCAAAAGCTATTTAACAATTTGATAGCTGTTGCAAGTTAAATGCATGTATGATAGAAGTATTAGTGTAATTAGTAGTAGACATGACTGTTTTCAGAGTGTCTCCACGCTCTCTCTCCACATTTCACACTACAGTTGTCCTGTCCAATAGACTTTCGGAGAGCCCTATAATGCGCTGTTTTCATTTTTTTCTTATAGCTAATGTTGTTTCTTCATCAAAACATACCTGGAGTTATGTTTTGTTTCATTCTCACATGTTTAACACACAAATCCTGCATATTTAGGCAGTTCTTCTCCCAAACAGACAACACCCATGCAGTGTCATGTGGTAATACAGGAAGTGCTCCACTGTGTTTTTAAACTCTATACATCTTCAGTATAATCATTCGGATCATTTCAACCCTGGAAATGTTAGTCTCTATTGACCAACAGGTAAAAGGTAACTGTTAACTTCAAAACTACTGCTTCATGACATCACAAGGTGAAACAGAGCATTTTTACATTTGGACATGTAGACAGTCTAAAAATAAAGGGTTACTCAAACATGTGTGAATGAAACAAAACACAACACAAATGTTTTTTTTTAAGAGAAAACAAAAGAATTTTAATATGGCTTAAAGTGTAAATTTTGAGTAATGTTGAACTATATGAACTTTAAAAGTGATTCTATTACTTCGTTGACCTCACCGGGCTACTAAAGGTAACATTTCCATTGTAATAGTTTGGCATAAAATAATGTATTTGTTTGTATATCTATGAATGTCTTTGTTTCTCTCAGTGCAAGGCCTGGTGCAACCAGGATTTGTTGTCGGACATCATCTAAAGAAAAAAGTTGGCTACAGTTAAGATGTGATTGTCTTATAGTAAAAAGGTCGTTTAGTAGTCTAAGGCTTGCGTAAGGTCCAGTAGAGCACGATGTGTGAGTCACATTCCTGCATGCACAATCCATGGGCTCCGGGTGTACTGTCAATGCCCCCTCTGTGTCGCCGTCACCTCAGAGACTACTGGAATGCTCATTCTTTCCCCACAGACACCCTGATCTGGGACGCTCTGCTGGGTGGACACACTCTGAAAGGGGCACAAAAACAGAAGTGCGTTCACACTTGATTAAACTAGGACTAACCTGGAACTAAACCTAGATGTAGTCAGGATTAAACTAGGACTACAACAGGACCAACAACTACCAACACTGCACCAGGACTAAACATCTCTCAAGTATTATCAAGTGCGTATTCTAGATCCTTGGCAAGGACTAAACCATGGCAAGTGTGAACACACCAAGTGAAGAAAAAACATTATAATACAGCACAGATTCTGACTGACACTTAGTATCATGCTTATTTAATAGCCTACATGTCACCATAATATATTCATTCGAAGTTATTAGCAGAGGCTAGTACTGCAAGAAAACTACATCTTTTTTTCTTTATTACTTTCTAGTTAACAGAGTTAGGCCTAATCTCTGTGTTATCTTCAAGCAGCCTCACTCATATTTATACTAGCCTAAGACTAAACCAACAAAATTTAGGGTGTGCAGTTGTGTAATGCTTTTAATTACGTTGCAAAACTTGACTTGGGCTACTTCAGGTGCCCTTTATGACTAGTGGGCAAGGCTGTGTGTCATATATTCCACTTCCTCTTCTAAATGAAAATAACATGCATTGAGAATATAGCTACAAACAACATTGCCTAAATCCCTGTGTGTCACTGTCTTGTAGTGTTTTACTCAAGTTTACCTGGCAGTGACTAAGGCCATTCCCCCTCAGGGCGAAACCTTACTTTGAGGATAATTGTAGCGCAGCACCTGTATGAGTCACACCTTTATCATTCTATTATAATCATTCTATTTTTTGGCAACCCATGTCGTAGTAAGTAGCCCTAAAAATAAGTATATAAGTGTGTGTGTGTATATATATATATAATATATATAAAGTATAGGTAGCCCTATAAACAAGTCTTCAGACGTTTTGAAGGTCTTCTGAGCTAAATGATGTATCAGTAACAAGTCAATGTAGAGACGCCACCTAGCGTTACAAAAGGGAAATGCAGAGTAAACTTGTGAACCTAATGCACGCTACTGCAGCCTTTTGTCAACTAGACCCAAAGATCATGTATACAGTCTGTGGAGTTGACCCTGTCATGCCTCATGCCTGTAGTGCAGCGTCCCTCTCGAGCGGCTCAGCCCCTGATTGGTGAGTGTCAATGGTGGAGGTGCGCGTGCACAGGTTCCCCGCCCACCTGGTCAGGTGGCACGCTCACTCTGACCTCACAGCGCAGTTTCGTCCGGACTCTCAGCTGAGCTCCGCACTGTTAAGTTTGGGGTGAAGACAGTAACTGATAACTTGGGACAGCATGATTACAACCTCTTTGTTGGAATATCGAGAAAGATGAGTGGTAAGTCGGCGTTTTATTTTCTTTTACAGAGGTTATTTTCCAGTGTTGCTGATAAATGCGTGATTCAACGAGCACTGTTTGCTTTGGCCTCTCCAAACAGAAAAGCAGTATGGTGATCTGCCAAATGGGTAATGATGTTGTAGGGCTTCTCTGTCACTGACCGAGGTGCAGCTTTTTACGTGACTCTTCATTTATCAGAGCCTAATGACTAGGCTGCCTCTAGATATTCAATTTATATTTCAAGCATAAAGTACTAATATAAAAAGAAAATGGAATAGTAGAATACTGACACAGATTCCTGAGCACCACAGACGTGTCCGAGCCTGCTTGTTTACCCATATACACCCCCATGTTACCCCTGTATGATCATCTGTATGGAACACCCCCCTACCCGCCTGATACAGAATTAACTTTTAATCAATTTAATTGATTGATTATTTTTCCTAAAACAATACTAACTTAAGTAACCTATTTCCATCCTTGTTACTTTGGAATGCCATGTGTTAGCGTGAATTACGGCACATTACAAAGTTCTTATATAATAAAAGCCAGAAAGACCCATTTAATATAGTTTGGTGTGTTGTAACACATAGGAGGACTTTGTCAGAGGCGGGATAATCCACTTTCCCTAAATCCAGTCGGGAAATCACCTGAGCGTGTTTCACTGGGGTCCTGCTCTCCCCTGTTTTTGGAGCACCTCATGACTCACTCCATTATTTTCATTCCATCGCTCTGAGACACTGACCCACAGGTTTAGACTGTCCCCCGGGTGTTCGGATCTTTACACCCACTCACAACACTCACAATAACAAACCTTATTATTTTTTTATTTTATTGTCCATATCTGCTGACTACTAACATCCACTGTTAGAAGAGTGTAAATAAGATATGTATGATAAAAGTGATGTAAATAATCATGATAATTGCCACATTTATACAGACAATATGGAACATTTTAGTTTGTCTAATGACAAGTTCCTAATCTACACAGCCTGTGCGATGATTGTATTGGAATTATGATAATTCATGCAGAGGATGCCGAGAATTTGTGTTTGCATTATTACAAGTCAGAACAATAGGATGTTCTTCTGATCAGAAGTACCTTTTGGGCATGTTGGAACAATAGTGAATGTAACAATGTTTATATTTAATGGTATTTTGGATTGTGCATGTGCACATAATATAATCATGCTCAATAAACAAAATATTTGTGAAATGTATGTAATTAAATCTGTTTGAATTATTGTAAATTTACTATACAACATATTAAAAATGATTTTATATGCAGATGACACCAATATATTTTATTCCAGTGACAAATTATATACAACTTATTACAACTATGAATACGGACTTAAGTAAAATCAAATTATCCCTAAATTTAAACAAGACAAAAGCTATATTTTTTGATAATCATAAAATTAATTTTGAACTTTCAATTCATCTTGATGGTGTTAAAATTGGTTTCTGATAATAAATTTTTAGGTATAACGATAGATGAAAAGATAAACTGGAAACCACACATCAGATAGATACACACTAAAGTCTTGAAAATTATTGCGGTAATAAAAAAGTGAAATACATTCTTAATCAAAAGGCTCTTTATGTATCGTATTGCTCACTCATAATTCCATACTTGACATATTGTACTGATATTTGGGGCAACAATTATCAAACTTTACTTCTTCTCATTTTTAAATTGTAAAAACTTGCTGTGAGAATAATGCATAAGGTTGGTTACCTGGATCATACAAACGACTTGTTTTTCAAATCAGTCTTAGTGAAATTTTACACTGCTTTGCTTTGGTATAAATCAAACAAGAATATACTGCCATTAAATATCCAAAAACTGTTGAGTACACAAGAAGTACACTATGAATTAAGGGGAAGGGGTAAATTTAAAACAACGACAGTGAGAACCACCAGGAAAAGCATCTGTGTATATCTGTGTGTGGGGTCAGTCTGTGGAATGGGTTGGGAGAAAACCTGAAGCAGTGTCCACAAATTCACAGCTTCAAAAGAAATTATAGAGTTTTTGCTTTCGTGGCATAAGGGTGAGTGACAGCACTGGGTGATCTAAAATAAAATAAAGGACCACTTTAACTCACATCTCAATGTGGGAAAAAAAATCAATTGGATATATGTACAAACATGGATAGGACAATGTCTAAGGAACAAAAGGATGTTAATGGAAATGAACAACAGGTGCACTAGAGTGGCAACAGTGAGCAGTTTAGGACCCAGTTGATATGTGGTTAAGCTCTCGAGAATACAACCATTAAACACCAGAGAGATTAGTGCTGTAATATGTGGAGCTACATTAATATTTACCTTAAAGACTGAAATATGAACTTAAAAATCACATTGTATTTTGTTGTTTGTGGAAGAAAGTATGGTACTTTGATTTGATTAAAAATTTTGATTAGATTGCGATTTATGTACCCCTAATAGCTGAGACCATAAAAATATTGTTTCAATCTTCCTATGGTGACGACACATTGTACCCCATGGACTGAGACTGGATGTTTTAGTCTTAAATTCAGTTCCATCATTATGCGGGTCTTTTCCAGGTGTGACAGATTTGGCAGAAGATCCTGACAGTATTGCACAGGACGAAGTTCGGTCTCCGCCGTGGACAGAGGAGCGCTGTGAGGAGCTCTGGGAACGGATTGAGGGAGTACGACACAAGCTCACGCGTATCCTACACCCAGCCAAACTCACGCCTTATCTGCGCCAGTGCAAGGTCATTGATGAGGAAGATGAAGATGAGGTGCTTAATTCCACACAGTACCCTCTACGCATCAGCAAGGCGGGTAAGAGGCCACGGAAGCTATTCAAAACAGGTAGAATCTTTGGAGGAAGCTTAAGAAGTCTGAAGAAAAAAGAATTTGTGAGTGATGGTGTGGGGCTGTCGGACAAAACAGATGGTATAGATAAATGATGCAGCAAGAACAAGATGAAAGGCTTCACTAAGTAGAGGGGAGGTCAGGGCAAGTGCTGGAGAGACACAAGATAAACATGTCTCTGAACTGTTGGTATCTTCTTCATTCTTCATGTTATGGCTACAGTATCAGTTATTCCTCTTACAGGCCGTCTGCTGGACATTCTGCGAGGTCAGGGCCAAAGGGGTCTGCAGGCCTTTATGGAGTCCCTGGAGTTTTATCACCCAGAGCAGTACACACAGCTGACAGGGGAGCAGGCCACACAGCGCTGCTCTCTCATTCTTGGTGAGTGTTATAACAGCCCTTAGTGCCCCGTAGACTTGGTAATACATGACTGATGATAATACTGTCTTTTCAGATGAAGAGGGCCCTGAGGGGCTGACACAGTTTTTGCTTTTGGAGGTGAAAAAGTTGCGTGAACAGCTCAGAAACAGTCGACTGTGCGAGCGCCGACTGTCCCAGCGCTGCCGTATGGCCGAGGAAGAGCGGAGCCGTGCCGAACGAAAAGCACAAGAACTACGCCACGATAGACTGCAGCTTGAGAGGTCCCATAACTGTTTGAAATATTATTCATTTTTATGATGACATTTAAATGAAAATGCAATACAGAGATTTTTATCAGCTGGCTGTGTGTGTGTGTGTGTGTGTGTGTGTGTGTGTGTGTGTGTGTATGTGTATGTTTATATTCTCAGGATAGACCTGCCATAGAACTTAAATTGTGGCACACAGTCTCTAGTGGGACATGTGTTAAAGCCCAGTAATCCAGATTTGATTGGTAAGGCAGTCAGAGGAATGCTATGCACCCAGGAACTTTGGTATTCTGAAGTGGACTAAATGCAACAAAGAGACTTATCAAGAATATAACGTAAGAGTGTTTGTTGCTCTGTAGGCTGCGTCAGGACTGGGAATCAGCGAGCCGGGAGCTGGGCAAACTGAAGGACAGACTTTTGGAGCAGGCTGTGAAGTACTCCAGAGCTTTAGAGGAGCAAGGAAAATCCACGAGTCGAGAGAGAGAACTGCTCAGGCAGGTTTGTAAACTAAGAAAGTCTATTACACAAACCCAAAATACCTGGTCCCCAGAGGGTACAAAAGGACAAAGAATGTATTTTTGTTAATAACAGTATTTGTCTCAGCAGCTTCTTGTTTGCTCTTGCTTCTGACTAGATGCCTGTCTCTGATTCGGACAAAACAAACTCCTCAAGTGTAGTGTAGTGAAACTGTCAACATAGTATCTTAAAAACAAAGATACTATCAGTCTGCTTTTTTATTCAGTGCTCATCGTGTTACAACTTGTCAACTACTCAGCACCAAATACCTATGGTTGAGCATGCCTTTGTGGCATTATGTTAAAATAAGTTTGTATGTAGGTGTCTTTAAGAGTATATACTCGTATTTACAACAATCAAAATCATGTAATTGATGTGATTTTGTTCTGTAACCTTTTATTTTGTGTGTTTTGTTTTACAAACTAGATAACAAGGAAGGTTCATAGTTCTTGTTTATGCAGGTGGAAGAGCTAAAGTCAAGGCTGAGTGAAGTAGATACTTCCTCAGTGGAGGCCCAACCCATGACATCGTCCAAACGCAACAGTTTGGTGACCAATGGTTCACAGCCGCTTCCACCTGCACTTCCAGAGAAACCTCTGAAATGTCTCAAATCAGACACCACAAGCAATGGCACCCAGGATTCAGGGGTAATTGTATGTATACCACATTTCTCTCATGTCATCACTTAAAAGCATTAAATGGACTTCAGCGAGCCTCAAGGAAATGTTTTGGAATTAGACATGATGATAATGAATCATCAATAATGAAGTTTTGCAGAAATTCCTTTCCTGACGATATAGTTTGAAATTTCTGTATAATCTATTAATTCTTAAATATACATATATTTAATTGAATTAACTGTTATAATACATTTTTTATTTGTTAAGCATTGTTGGCAGTTGGCAGTGCAGCATTAATGCAGCGTGTTTCTGATGGTTCAGGCTCTGATGGACATCCTGCAGCAGGACCGCAGAGAGGCGGCAGAGGAGAGACAGGAGCTGTGTGACATGATCACTACACTACAGGAGGAGGCACAGAGGTGTGAGGAGCAGACGGCCCGGGTCAGTACATATATGCATGTATGCTCTGTAATACTCATGTGTTCAGTTCAAATACTGACAGTTCCCTGTGCCTGCAGCTGGAGGTGCAGTGTGAACAGCTCCAGCTGAAGGTTCGGACTCTGCAGCTGGACTGGGAGACGGAGCAGAAGAGGAGTGTGTCATACTTCAACCAGATCATGGAGCTGGAGAAGGAGAGGGACCAGGTCAGATTTATGCTCTCACTTTCACTGTATGTCTACACCACTTCCAATATTAATAATTACATCAGCATCTAGATGTTCAGATGAGATGTACTCTAACATGGGGTTTGGGTAATTAAGTATGGATTACATTCTAAGGTCATGATGATTTACAGATTATTATTATTATCCTACTAAACTATATCATGATTAAACGTTACCAGATGAGTAAAATGAATGAAATGTCAAATGAATACTCAACAGGCCCTAAGAAGCAGGGACAGCCTGCAACTGGAGTTCACAGAGTGTCTTCTGGATAAAAACCGTTTGAGGAAGAGAATCGCAGAGCTGCAGGCCAGTATAGAGCAGCAGCAGAGGGAGCTGGAGAGAGAGAGGGCCCGAGAGCAGATGAACCAGAGCACTTCCTGTCTGCACTGTGTAAGTATAGCTTATTCTACTCTAACGGCAGAGCTTGTGTCATCACATCTGTGTCCTCCTAGTCTCACCTGTCTCTGTGGAGTGAGGATCAGTGTTATGGCCCCTGCTGCTCCCTGGGATTGAGCCCCCAGTCCAACAACAACCTGCTGCTGCGGAAGGTCAGGAAGACACCAACCTACATTAACAATCAAGGCCAAATTGTAATCAGTTTAATTCAATGCTAATACTTTGTCTTAGTCTCAGGCACACCTGAGAGAGAGAATAAAGGCAAGCTCTTCTGGTAAGATATGAATGGCTCCAGATTAAACAGGACTGACCACAAGGCCCGGTCCCATCTGGCCTGAGATGTACTGTGACTCCAATCCATTCAAAGCTTTAACCATCTTAATAAAAAAACATCTGCTTCTTCTTGACAGATTCTCATTCCACCTCTGAGGAAAACCTCTTAATTTCCGTGAGGACCTGTTTTTATTTTACATTAGATATCAAAGTAATTTAATTTCCTTCACCACTCAAGTATATTAACATTTCCCATTTGCTTTTCAGGCAGAAGACAATGAAAAGGAGATAAATCGCCTCTCAACATTCCCCTTCCCTCCTTGTATGAACTCCATCAACAGAAGAGTCAATGCAGAGTAAGTTCAGAGAGGTTACACAAACATGCGGATGTAGTCATATTCTCATATATACAGATATATTAACACTACACATGATCATTTCCTGCTATAGGTTTGACTTGGATTCTTGGGGCAGTGATGAGAATGAAAACATAGCTGGTGTGTTGGTTATTGTACAGTTGATAAGTTGATAAACAAACTTCTGTATGACCTTGATATCGTTTTTCTTTTCAGGCCAACAAAGTGAACTCTCTTTGTGGGATTCATGGACCTCATTACACTCTCAGCCCTTTCCCTCTGATCTGATCAAATGTCCTTCTCCCAAACTAACTGGACAAAATATCTCAAGGTAAAATGTGTATAATTATTATTTTTTTCCCAATAAGATCATTTAGCTACAACATGCTTTACACAGGATACCCCAACTTACCCCACCTTCCAGCACCCCTCCCTCTCCTAAGGACAGAAAGGCCAGTCTTGCTGATGACATCACAATAGTGGGGGGAAACCAGACTGGGATCTTTGTTAGCCACGTGAAGCCTGGGTCTCCAGCTGAACAATGTGGACTCACTCAGGGCTGTGAGCTGCTGGAGGTGTGTGTCACATCATAGAGAACTATCATAGTGAAACCCATGAATTATTGTGGCGTCATGCTAGTTTATTTCTGTTTTAGACATGGTTTAGTTCCTGATCCATGTTTAGATCCCTGGTTTAGTCTTTGTTTTGTTTTGTGTAGTGCATCTTAAATCAATTTTAATCCTTACATTACCCACATCATATAAAATCCTGATCTCTGTTACCTCAATAGTGTCTGCAGTCATTCTTTGAACAATTTGGATTTCCTTCAAGTAAAGTTATATTGTGAGTAGGATTAAGTGTAAATTTAAAAATAAGGTATTTGTCCTCCTTTGCAGCTGGAGCGTGTGCTGTTTGGTGGGGGAAGTGTACAGCTGGCCCAGTGCACTGCAGAGATAGCACACTTTTCTCTTCAGTGGTGGACAGAGCCTTCTTCACTCAAACATCAAAACAACCCCGAGGGTGAGTGTAAGAATATTTCAGCAGTGTAGGTTAGTAGTTTGCCTCAACATCAGCATCTGAAATGCCTGTGATGCTGTATAATGTTGTGTATAAATCTTCTAATCAGCTTTCATCCACTCCTCAGCCTATGCCAAACTGTGCTCCCAGATGAAATCTTCTTCTTTTATGGGGGCTGACTCATTCTATGTTCGTGTTAATCTCACTATGGAGCCTCATGGGGATCCTCCATCTCTGGGAGTGTCTTGTGATGATATCATACATGTCACAGACACCAGATTTAATGGGAAGTATCATTGGCGCTGTTGGCGAGTCGACCCAAACACAGCCAAGCCCCTGCAGGCAGGGACCATGCCTAATTACAATAGGTACATAGTATGCTATTATTATTTTATTTGTCAACATTTCTCAGGAGATTATGTTTTATTATTATCATCATCATTTTTTAAGGGCTCAACAGTTGTTACTTGTGAGGTTAAGAAAACTGGCACTTGAGCAAAAAGACTTCAAGAGAAAAATGGTAAATCTACAGTTTATTTCTAAATTATGTAAGATTTGTTTCAAAAATTCATCATGAGTTTCAATGTCTCTCCATTCAAAAGATTTAATATAGTTCTGTTTTGAATTGTTATAGTTATATTACTCTGAAACCCATGGATTTGAAACTATGAAGAATTACATTTTAATGTTTTCTTATATCCCATTAGTTCTTGAAGAAAGCAGCAGGTCGTGTGCGCCTTATTAAAGCTGTGGATCCTAGCTTTCGTGGCATTGGCTCTGGACAACAGGTTTTCTACACCCTCAGTAAACGTAAGACAGAAATAACTGTCTGCATTAGGCCTTTTGTGTTTATGCTTGCTTTTGATTGTGTTGGTTTTACTGTAAGGTCACGAGGAGCACCTGATTCCATACAGTTTAGTAAAGCCATTGCAGGTTGAAACTAAACGACCAGTTGTTTTCTCCCCATCTCTTCTGTCTCGGGGTCTTATAGAGAGACTGATGCAGCCTGCAGACGCCAGTCTGAACTTCAGTACCTGCCCAACAGGTAGGCTACATCAAACACATTGTGTTGAGTATAAATATAACAAATAAACAGAAAGCTTAGCTGATACTTCTGAATCAACAGAACATATCCCCAGTTCAAAACAAGGAGACAAACAAGTCTTCTTGTTAGATTCCTACACTCCAGAGCAGACTTTGGGTGTAAGACTGCAGTCTATACAGGACATAATCAGCCAGGTAAAGTATACATACTTTTGTAAATCCCATACCTAACAGTCTAATGCATGTGTTCACATCTTTCAATTTCTTGATTTGTTATAGGACAAACACTGTCTGTTGGAGCTGGGGCTGTCCAATGTTGAAGGCCTGCTGAGACAGGGAATATACCCTATAGTTATCTACATTCGCCCAAAAAGTAAAAAACACAAAAAACTAAGGCAAGTGTTTCTACGTTTATACTTTTCAACATAAAGTATAAGTTTAGTACTTATTGATGATTTTGACATATTGTGTTCTGTCTTTTATAATGCATTTTTTGTAATGTGTATATTTTTTTTAAAAGGAAGTTTTTTCCACGATGTGTGGAGGACGGTGCAATGGAGGAGGCGTGCCATGCTGAAGAGCTGCAGCTAGAGACACTGCCTCTGCTTTATTACACTCTAGAGCCAAACACTTGGAGCTGCACGGAAGAGCTGCTGTCATCTTTACGCAATGTTATACAAAGCCAGCAGAGGGCAGTAGCATGGGTAGAATTGGATCGGTTGCAATAAATCTACAGCCATGGATCTATAAAATCTACAAAATAAAATAACATGGCAGGCTCCTTGTTATACGTAATATTACAAATACAATCATAGCACCATACTTGCATAACTTATGTTTGGTTTTCATTTGAACATGTGAACATTTCATGAAAGTAAACTGATATTATTTTGCTACTTTTGCACTGTGTTTATTTACATAGTGTACTTTATGTATTTACCAGGAAACACAAACACAATAAAACACTGTATTATTTCTGGATTATAATGAATAACTGAGTCTTGACATGGAATTTTGAATTATTTCTTTGTGGTTTGGACCAGTACTTGAATTCTTGCGTTTACAGAAACTTAGTTTTTGGCTTTTAATACAAACTTTTCAATAGAGTTGAAATCTAAACATGAAATTCTGCCTTTCAAGAAGAAGGAGCTGTCTATGTTTAAGTTAAGCGCTATGACAGCGCCCTCTAGCGGCCGGTGCGCGCAGTGCAGCGCCTCCTCCCCTCTGTGATCAACAACAGCCTCGGAGCGGAGCCTGGTGAGATCATATGCTGCTGCTAAAGCCTCACAGAAGCAAAATGGCCGATAGTAAACTAACCGATCATACGGCGTCCGACAGTCATCAAGGGGTTCTGCATGATTTGTTTACAGCGTGAGAACCAGACTTAGACAAAAGGAACATCACACGTTTTACCGACTAGCATTTCGTCTTTGGTTGATGTCATTTATTATACAAGTTCGCCTTGAAAGCCTCGAAGATCTAGCTCGCTAGCCTAGCTACTTTGCTAGCTTGCTAGCGGTGGGTCTGCAAAATATTTTGCACAGAAGCACTTTATGTCTTAACTTCATGTGATTCCCGAGGTAAGTGTTATTTGTCGCTTGCACAAATTAAACGTATCCACGCTCGGGTTGATTACAGTATTCATCCAGTCCATGTCCAACACTCGCTTACAGCGCTCTGCAAGTGTCTGTGGCGTTTGTACATTTTATCTGATACCGTATGACTTATTCGTGAGATTCATATTTTGCAGCCTTTAGCTACATTATCTGTATTAGTGTTGTATGTTGATGACTGGGGGATGTTTATCAGCAGGACTGTCTGCAGCGCTGTGTGCACAGCTTGCACTGGCTGCAGAAGGCTACCTTTGAACCCTTCTCCTTTCCCTCATTAGAGGCAAGATGGCACGGCATGAGACCGCTGCCCGTCGACTCTAGCGTTAGTTCTGTCTGAAAGTGTCGTCCGTAAGACTTTGAGTATGGGCAGTATCCACGTAAACACATGCATTTGTTATGAGGAAAAGTTCCATGTGAAGCCACTGCGTTATTTTAAAAGAATTATGTTATAGCTTTGTAGTGACGCAATAATTTTAACATTTCTTAAGGACTCGGATATTATCAACCTCTAGTTCTGTTTTGCACACACCTACTCACGTGACTTGACTGCATTTGCATGTCGCCCTGAATTTGAGTTGAGGGCAGTAGTTTAATGGGCGGCTGTGGCACGAGGGTAGTGTTTAAAGTCTTACCTTAGGAATGAGAAACATCATTTTGTTGGACATCACCAGTGAAACCAGAGTGTAAACATGCGGAAAGGATTTCCCTCCAGAGTCTAATCTGAAGTCAACCTGTTTGCTCCACCAATGCCAGTGCTGTCCATGTTCTAGTTAATGAATTATGCAGTGAGAGGCAAGAATACTAAGGCAGGTTGTCAAGCTGTCTACCCTTGGCTAACATTACAGCTCAAACAACATGGCTTCAGCTACAGTGCACACAACATGAATGCTGATTGTACATGTAGATTGAACAAGAACACATTTGTCTGAAATAAGTGACAATGCAACTGTTTCCTTTGACAGAAGCATCCAAAAGGGGAACAGTGTTTCATGGAAGACAAGAAAAAGAAGAAAGAGGAGAAAAAGAAAAGGGAAACCCCACAGAAGGTAAATCTATTTTACAGATGTTTTTGCCTTTTATAGAGCTCAAATTGAGTGATGTGTTTTAGTCACAATTTTCTCAGTTTTACCCTTATTTAGTCCTTACTTTGAAACAATTGGACCAAATAACCATTGTGTTATTGCAATATTTAACATAGTTATTCCATGTCTTTATTATTGTGCAGCTGTAGCCTCAGTATTATTTGAACCTTTTTGCTATGTTACTAATTGCTGTTTTTTCCAATCTTTTCTTCTCTTGAAGGTGCCAGATCAGAAACTCAAAGGTAAGTGTTGGAGTTTTAATTGTCTTGCTTGTAATGACATATGTATACTCATGGGGCACTTTTTTTTATTTTTGAACAGGTAGTTTTGACAGTGCATGCACTTTATAGATATTAAGTAAGATATTTTCAAAACCTTTCTCTATTAGAAGCATATCTATTTAGCCTTTTTCAGTCCATCTTCATGTCATGTTTATGTTTGATTTCAGTGCCAGAATCTGCCAAGGCGCCCGGTGGTCCATCACACACCAGTCCAGGCTCAGTATCCCCCTGCCCCGGCCCTGCCGCTCCTTCCAGTCCCAGTGCTGCCAGCGCCTCTGCACCAGTTGCTCCTGGTGCTGGGAACAATGCAAAGCAGCGGACCTCTGTGGCCAACGGACAGCCCTCCTCCTCCTCCTCCTCCTCATCTTCTTGTGGAAGCCAGGCCCTCCAGCAGCAACGATACATGTCCAGAGAGGTTCCACCCAGGTTTCGCTGCCAGCAGGACCACAAAGTGCTACTGAAGAGGGGCCAGCCTCCCCTGTCCTCCATGCTGCTGGGGGGAGGTGGAGCGGACGAGGCTGCTGCAGCCAGTGGCTGCAGTACACAGGGAGAAGATAACCCCAATGCAAAAACAGCTGGAGCCACAGGTACATGACCATTAGTAGTTCTTTAAAAAATATCTTGTTAATAGGATGTCTTTTGAAAAACTCTTTCCATAAAATGAACTAGGGTTTTGAATATTTGCTAAGTTAAACATTTTTCAGAGAAATCCTGCAAGTTTTGTTCTTGTTGTTTTGCTTGTGTCTAAATGGTCTTTTTTTGTTTTCTTTAGATTCCATTTTGGGTTCATCTTCCCCTTCACCCCATAACTCATCCTCATCATGTGTGGCTGCTGTGTCGTCTTCTACTATTACTACTACTATTAGTACTACTTCAACTTATGCAAGTTCCACATGGGGGGCAGGCTCTGGCAGCCAGCCCTACTCTCAGGGCTGCGGGAAGGTAGATGGGATGGCTGTAACGGACTGGCCCAAAGCGTGTTCGGAGGCAGTGGGCGAAGGGACACAAGAGCAAGATCACCGTGGTAACAATAACAACAGCAGTGCCTCATGGAGCGAGACGAGCACCCAGCAGAAAGGAGTAGGGGAAGAGAACATGGACAATTCTTCGCCACCTTCTCCTATCTCCCCCTCGACCTCGCTTAACGAATGTGCTCAGTCGGGTGGTGTTGTGGCCTCTCAGGTGGAAGTGGGGCAAGGATCAGCAGCTATTCACAATTCCAAAGTCTCCCATCTTTTTCAAGAGAGTCCTGGTGCCAACAGTAACCCCAGCTCCAACTCCTCTGCCCGGCATCAACAGCCTGGAACCACTGCTTCAGCTTGTGATGGCCTTCCTTTGCACTCATCTGTGATTTCCTCATTTTCTGCCAGCAGCCAACTCATCACCACCAACTCATCTGTCAGTCAGGCAGGTGCCCCACAGCAGCAGCACACAGGAACAGCTCTGGGTGCCAGAAGTGGAGAGCAGCAGCAAGCAGCAAACCTAGCAACAGAATCAGTTGATGGCATTGGACCAAATACAGAAAATGGTGAAGCAAAGCAAGGAGAAGAGAGTACAACTTTGTCTTCCTCCACTGCTGCAGCTGCTGCTTCCTCTTGGAGAGCTATGCCCCCGATAGAGACTGGCGCTCAAGGGAAAGAAGGAAATTCTTGGGGTTTGGATGGCGGCTCAAATACCCAGGTGGTATCTCAGGGAGCACAGGTAGTGTGTAGTCCGAAGGGGGATTGGGGCAGCACTGTGGGAGGGGGTAGTTTGGGTCACTTAGCAATAGGAAGTGGAAAAGGCGAGGATGGTAGCAGTAGTGGTGACAGTGTTGTGACAGACTCTGCATCACCAAAGTTTGCAACTATGTCAAAAGCATGGGACAATCAGAAGGGGGCAGAGAGTGACGATGGAAAAGTGGGCGAATGGGGAGCTGGAGGAAGCAAGGGGGAGGGGTCTACAGCTGGGAGCAGCGGTGGAGGGCAGAAGACAGACCGAACCGGACACCGCCAATCCCACCAGATCAACGCAGACGTGGCCTTACAGAGCATGCTCAGTCGATCAGACCTGGACCCCAGGGTCTTGTCCAACACAGGCTGGGGCCAGACCCAAATCCGACAGAATGTGGCTTGGAACCTTAACACGCCAAGTCGAAATGATAAAAGCACTTCATTGTCATCAGCAAATGTAAACACTAGCACTAGTCGTGGAGCTAACAATCCTGGGTCAAGTTCGGTGAGAGAAGGTTGGGATGGAGGAAGGACCAGTCATGATGTGGAGAACGAACAGGGAAAGGCAGAAGGAGGCTGGGGGGTGCGAAGCACTGAAACACAAGGCAAAGGATGGGGGAATGAGGAGCAGTGGGCTGATGGCAAAGCAGGGGGAAAATGGGGGGAGTTTGGAAAACAGGGTACTGGGTGGGAAGAAGGTCCAGAGGATAAAGGGACAGGAGGATGGAAAAATGTGGGACAAGGGGGGGAGACGGGTGGGTGGGGCGGGGAATGGGGGCAGAGAGACTCTGCTTCTGGGAGAGGATGGAGTGATGGACCGAACAGAGGAGAAAACATTTCTGAAGAGGGCTCAGCATGGAGTGAGGGAGGGCCTCATCGAGGGGGATGGGGAGGAGGAGAGCTGGGTGAAGGTAAATCTCTTCAAAACTGGGGTAATGCAAAGCCCCATACAGCATCAGCACAGATACCAAACAGCCAAGTGGCGCCAATGAAAGCCCCAACACAACAGCACCAATCACAGGGCCAGCCGCCAGGAGCACCCATCCAAGGAGGGTGGGGCAGCCGGTCCACACCTGGAGAACCCCCATCCAAAAATCCAAACCAAAGTACAGGCTGGACATCTGGTCCGATTCCCCAGATTCCAGGGGCTACAGGAGACTCTCTGGAGCCCAGCGGCTGGGAGGAACCTTCCCCTCAGTCCATCAGTCGCAAAATGGATATTGATGATGGTACTGCAGCATGGGGAGACCCCAATCGCTACAACACTAAG